TAAAGCGATGGTTTATCCCTGTGGAAATTCCGCGTTAGAGAAGGTCCAACCCATGCTTCTTGTAATCGGGTGGTCAGACTTGCTGACTCGGTTGATTGCACGTCTTCAGTGTCAAATGTTGTTAATAAAATCAACCGCAATATCAACTACTGGATTGTGTGGTCCAGACTCGATTATTTAACCACCACCACATATCTGGAATAATACTGAGCGTCGCATTAAACAACAAACAAACATTTCGACATAATGTCTTATAACTTAGTCTGGATTTGCAAGGGATGATTGAATAAGGATTTTCAGGATGATCAAATCAGGATTTTCAGGATAATTGAATCAGGATTTTCAGGATGATTGAATCAGGATTTTCAGGATGATTGTAATGGCTGTTTGTATAAATGTAGATGTTCCTCATAGTTGTTTGGTTGTTTGTTGTTTAATACCACACTCAGGAATATTCCAGCTATATGACAGTAAGCTGTAAATAATCAAGTCTGGACCAGACTATCCAGTGACTGATAGTGTAAACAACAATCGATGTCATCGGGGAACGATGACACACCATCAACCAAGTGACCGAACTGGACAACTCAATCCTTTTGGTCGTCTCACACGACCAGCATAGGTAGTTGGAGACCCGGAATACCCAAGGGGTTGTTCCATATAGGGATCGTCTGGTAGTCAGAACTAGGAGTAACTTGGACCTGAGACTGGTGTTTCTTGAAACCAATTTGAACTAGGGCTTGTCTGAAAAAAATAACAACAGTCTTTTTATGTTTTTTTTGGAATATGAAGACCATCGTTATTTGTTTTGCGTAAGGTGGTGGCTGAATTGACTACAACAACCACCACCCTCCAACCGTGGCAGGATACGAGAGTAATTGATGTTCTGTTAGCTGAGGCCCCAAACTATGTCAAAACCCTGCATTTGTCACTAAATGGGCAGATTTATTAGCTGTGTCTATCTTATAACTGTCATTGTTTTTGAGAGGCCACAAAGCAACAAGTTATTTGTCGTCAATGTGCGACAGTTTAGAGACCACGGAAACAGCAATAGCGAGATTGATGCACGAATAAGGCTTCTCACATTCACTTGATCTTGTATTCAGGTCAAGATTAGCATGATCTCATTAAATGAAACTGTAGTAACACCTGATTATTCAAGATGGAGCAATCTGTATAGAAAAACACAGGTTTTTGTATTGAGTCAGCGAACAAAGGATTTCGATTGAGTGGCGCTATAGTTTCAAGATTTGCTGCAACTGGGCTCGGGTTTTTAGCGCTTCTCATTCAGAGTACTGAGATGACGTTTAAATGAAAAAATGACATGATTGATTGAAAACTTCCCTGCTGAAGCTGGTGACATGGATTGGGTTTATCAACAGTGTTGGTTTGGGTACCTGCGGTGTAAATTTATCATCAGGGACTTCGCCCTAAAGAAACTAGCAGGATTTAGTATTTTATGATTGTTGAATAATGAGATGGTCCTTAGCTGAAGTTAAAGAAAATGTTGTCTTTTTGGCTCGGGAATTAAATTTGAATTTACATTTTGGATTTTAGATTAAGTAAAATATTTTGCTTTTATTCCTTAAGCTTGGAAAGCTTTGCAAATCATGACTTTGAGTTTTTAAATGTCAATTCAAGGTTTCACCCACATTTTATCTTTCCTTGATTCTGATATATCCGATTAATATTTCAGTGTAAAAATACTAGCAATAAAAGCCTTTAATTTGTAGAATTATTAGCATATGAATGTTTTACTACATTGTATATGGACATGATGGATACATCTATGTACCTCAAGGTGCTTTATTGATATCATCTGTGTACCACAAGGTGCTTCAGTGATATCATGTACAGTAAACTATGTTTGTAACAAACATGCTTATAATGAATTGATGGATATAATTTTTTTTCTGTCCCGGCCATTTGCTGTATATATGCCGAAAAGCAGTTATAACAAACTACTGTTATAACGAACGAGAATAAGAGCGCCAATTGAGTTCGTTATAACCATAGTTTAGTATATGTACCACAAGTTGCTTTATTGATATCATCTATGTACCACAAGGTACTGTATTGATTTCATCTATGTATCACAAGGTGCTTTATTGATATCATCTATGTACCACAAGTTGCTTTATTGATATCATCTCTGTACCACAAGGTGCTTTATTGATATCACCTGTGTACCTCGAGGTGCTTTATTGATATCACCTGTGTACCTTGAGGTGCTTTATTGATATCATCTCTGTACCACAAGTTGCTTTATTGATATCATCTATGTACCACAAGGTGCTTTATTGATTTCATCTCTGTACCTCGAGGTGCTTTATTGATTTCATCTCTGTACCTCGAGGTGCTTTATTGATATCATCTATGTACCACAAGGTGCTTTATTGATATCATCTATGTACCTCGAGGTGCTTTATTGATTTCATCTCTGTACCTCGAGGTGCTTTATTGATATCATCTATGTACCACAAGGTGCTTTATTGATTTCATCTCTGTATCACAAGGTGCTTTATTGATATCATCTATGTACCACAAGGTGCTTTATTGATTTCATCTCTGTATCACAAGGTGCTTTATTGATATCATCTATGTACCACAAGGTGCTTTATTGATTTCATCTATGTACCAGAATGTGCTTTATTGATATCATCTATGTACCTCGAGGTGCTTTATTGATTTCATCTCTGTACCTCGAGGTGCTTTATTGATATCATCTATGTACCACAAGGTGCTTTATTGATATCATCTATGTACCTCGAGGTGCTTTATTGATTTCATCTCTGTACCTCGAGGTGCTTTATTGATATCATCTATGTACCACAAGGTGCTTTATTGATTTCATCTCTGTATCACAAGGTGCTTTATTGATATCATCTATGTACCACAAGGTGCTTTATTGATTTCATCTCTGTATCACAAGGTGCTTTATTGATATCATCTATGTACCACAAGGTGCTTTATTGATTTCATCTATGTACCAGAATGTGCTTTATTGATATCATCTATGTACCTCAAGTTGCTTTATTGATATCATCTATGTACCACAAGGTGCTTTATTGATATCATCTCTGTACTTCAAGGTGCTTTATTGATATCATCTGTGTACCAGAATGTGCTTTATTGATATCATCTATGTACCACAAGGTGCTTTATTGATATCATCTGTGTACTTCAAGGTGCTTTATTGATATCATCTGTGTACCAGAATGTGCTTTATTGATATCATCTATGTACCACAAGGTGCTTTATTGATATCATCTATGTACCTCAAGGTGCTTTATTGATATCATCTATGTACCACAAGGTGCTTTATTGATATCATCTATGTACCAGAATGTGCTTTATTGATATCATCTATGTACCACAAGGTGCTTTATTGATATCATCTATGTACTTCAAGGTGCTTTATTGATATCATCTGTGTACCAGAATGTGCTTTATTGATATCATCTATGTACCACAAGGTGCTTTATTGATATCATCTATGTACCTCGAGGTGCTTTATTGATATCATCTGTGGACCACAAGGTGCTTTATTGATATCATCTGTGTACCTCAATGTGCTTTATTGATATCATCTATGTACCTCGAGGTGCTTTATTGATATCATCTATGTACCTCAAGGTGCTTTATTGATATCATCTATGTACCAGAATGTGCTTTATTGATATCATCTATGTACCACAAGGTGCTTTATTGATATCATCTATGTACTTCAAGGTGCTTTATTGATATCATCTATGTACCTCGAGGTGCTTTATTGATATCATCTGTTGACCTCAAGGTGCTTTATTGATATCATCTATGTACCTCGAGGTGCTTTATTGATATCATCTGTGGACCACAAGGTGCTTTATTGATATCATCTGTGTACCTCAATGTGCTTTATTGATATCATCTATGTACCTCGAGGTGCTTTATTGATATCATCTATGTACCTCGAGGTGCTTTATTGATATCATCTGTGGACCACAAGGTGCTTTATTGATATCATCTATGTACCTCGAGGTGCTTTATTGATATCATCTGTGGACCACAAGGTGCTTTATTGATATCATCTATGTACCAGAATGTGCTTTATTGATATCATCTATGTACCACAAGGTGCTTTATTGATATCATCTATGTACTTCAAGGTGCTTTATTGATATCATCTATGTACCTCGAGGTGCTTTATTGATATCATCTATGTACCACAAGGTGCTTTATTGATATCATCTGTGTACCTCGAGGTGCTTTATTGATATCATCTATGTACCTCGAGGTGCTTTATTGATATCATCTGTGGACCACAAGGTGCTTTATTGATATCATCTGTGTACCTCAATGTGCTTTATTGATATCATCTATGTACCTCAATGTGCTTTATTGATATCATCTATGTACCTCGAGGTGCTTTATTGATATCATCTATGTACCACAAGGTGCTTTATTGATATCATCTATGTACCTCAAGGTGCTTTATTGATATCATCTCTACTTTATGTACCTAACAGAACATGTGTTCACCTATTCATGTACACCAGTGAGAGTCAGGTTTGCAGCTCATGGTATGAAATAGTAAATTTGTATTGAAATGGTAAATTATGTAGACATGATGTGGTAAATTATACACGATATAGTTCATGATAGTACCATATTTTCTTGAGTATAGTGCACACCCAGTATAATGCACATCCCCCTCAAGGGGATTAAGTATTTTCAAAATTACAGTGTAATTACAAAATGACATTGCATACTCAAGTACGGATTTGTTGACATGGTATTTCCGTCGTTACATGCTCACGGTAGTATCTTTGTGTTGGGAGAAAAAACATCAAAAATCATAATGGTGTGTATAATGCACACACCCTTCTACACAGCTGTTGTGTTTTGGGAAAAAGTGTGCGCTATACTCAAAACAATAAAAAATGGTAAGACATACATTTGTATGATAATGTCCGTCAGTTCATTGTATCTTGAAAGTACACGGTCTACCTTTCTTCCAGGTATGGAAATGAAGGCAGAGTTTTACAGAGACCTGTATCTCGAGCGCTATCACCATAGAGACGGTGCCCCACCCACATACCAGCGCCGTGGGTCGCTGCAGTTGTGGCAGTTCCTGGTGGCGCTGCTGGACGACCCGTCAAACTCCACCTTCATCGCCTGGACAGGGCGGGGACTGGAGTTTAAACTCATCGAACCAGAAGAGGTGGGTACTCCAACTGCCTGTAAACTTTCAATACACAATTTTGAATATACAGAATTCATTTCCCGAATTTGTCTTGGACAGTCATGATGACAGGTCATTGTTCGCAGAGAAACAAGTCTGGAAAATAAACATGACACTAGAGTACTAGATAATCAGTCATTGTTTTGTCAGCCAGTCAGAGGGAGCTTCATTATCTTGAACACTTTTAGTGGTTATCCCCAGATATGACTGTAGTATTACCAGAGACCATATAATAGATTATTATATGGTTTCTGGTATTACCAACATAAATTGTAGAAACAATAACAGTTTCAATATTTAACAGTGGTAAAGAAAACACGACCTCACCCCTAGGCAAGCATTCTTATTTCTCCTGTCTTTTTTTTCTTCAAAATCCAAACATGACCACTCCCACATAGAAATGGTTTCACTTTTGTGGTGGATGGCGGTGGCGGGTTCTACCGGTAGGGGAGGACATGCTTGCCCTTTTCGTGAACGCCTGGTGTCATCACTGTGATTTTCAGTGATCCATGCATATAATTTTCACCTCTATTTTGCCTTTTATGCCTAATGGACTGTTTTGGAGAGACATTGACATTTTATGTTTTAAAAATCTGTTTGACTAAAGGCAAAAGTGTAATTGTTTGTTCCCTCCTTAATTTTTTCCCAACATGCAAATATTCTTGAAAAAGTCGTGCTACATGGAAATAAGTGACCTCCATGAAGTGACAGTACATATGTCCAGGGCAAGACAGGGTATTGATCAGTGGTACAGTGGTGGTGTAGTAATGATCTGGTGCTAAGTCCTTGAGGATGTCACATACTGGCTGTGCTCCTGCAGGTTGGATGTGATATATATAATTATTTGATTATACATAGTTAGGGCTGGTAACAGATATTCCTTGGCCTCCACACAGGTCAGTGTGTTACACAGTAGTCCCACTAAGCCAGGACACTGACAGAGTGAGATGCACTGAAAACATTTCACTTGATCTGGAAGATGCGGTGAATTTTGGCATTTACTCTATGGTAGCAATGTATTCAAGAATTAAACGAGTGGAGTTGTTTATCCTACAATAAAACACTGCAGGGAGAATAAACCACTTGGGGCATGTTGCACAATAAAACACTGCAGGGAGAATAAATCACACGGGTCTGCGCCCCTCGTGTTTTATTGTATGAGAAACGATAATGACGATTATCATATCTCCCCCGTTTTAGGAGGTGATTGTTCAGCCATTGCATTTATCTGTGTTGCCCAACTACATCTCACAAGACACTTCCCAGTCAAAAATAACGTCCAATTTACGACGTCATCAAGTTGCAAGCGCAGGTTCGAATCTCAAGAAATGATGTCATGATAGAATAATGGGTTATCCTGAAATAAACCATGTTCATTCTTCATTGTTCTTTGCTAGTTATGGGATAGCTATCTCATATATGAACATAGCAGCAATGGTGTTCTTATAACAAGCTGTGGGATTACGTGAGTTGGGTGTGGCATTGGTAGCCCACAATACCAGTCATAATCAGGTGTCTGGAGATTGGTGTGCACCCGTCGACCTTCTCTTGAGTCACCAGTGCTGCAGAGAATCAGTCAGCAGTTACTCAGATAACTGATCCTTTCAAATCATTTTCACTGTTATTTTTGCCTTTTATGCCCAAAGTAATCTGTTTCATTGGATAATCAAGACTGGGGTCAGGACTGTTCTCTGGTGTCGACATTTTACATTTAGAAGATGCTTATTCCAGGATGAGGTTTTCTTGAATCGACTGTTTACCATGCTTTTGTGATTGATCATAGCATTTTTATGTCAGCATGTAAAAAATATAAATAATACATTCCATGTTTCAGGTGGCAAGGCGATGGGGAATTCAGAAGAACCGCCCTGCGATGAACTATGACAAACTTAGCCGGTCTCTGCGATATTACTATGAGAAAGGCATCATGCAGAAGGTAGCTGGGGAGCGCTATGTGTATAAATTTGTCTGTGACCCAGAGGCTCTGTTTTCAATGGCATTCCCAGATAACCATCGTCCAATACTGAAAGGCGAACCAAACAAAGAGGACTTTTTAAAATCATCCAATCAGCAGCTAGATAATCAGCCGCTGGCGTTAACGACAACACCCCCACATGCCCACAATCCTCACATGTCCCACAGTATGCGTGGCTTCAACATGCCGTCCCAGCATACCAACAGTCCCATGACAGCAGAACAACATCGTCTACAATATATGCAAGAAGTACAGCGAATGTACGCCCCGGGCCCATACATGGAGGGGTGTGTCTACTGACTATAACATGGAGAACCTTTTCAAATCTGTTACACAATAAATGAGATGTTACAATTTGTTTTCTTTCAATCCCAATATTTAAAATGGGATGAATGATCTAAATTTACTTTAAATGATTATGATGATGATAAAATGGATGGTTGGAATTTATGAATGATACCCGTGCTCATGGGTTTCACTGAAGTGGTAAAGGTCTTAAGATCTGCATCACTTCAGGCTTTCCTCCCACTTATCAAGCTGACATACCAACTGAGGGGGCACAGATGGCCAGTCATCTAAGGCACCGCAATTCTCTGTGCAGAGTTGCGTCCCTTTGGTGCACCAGTAACCTATTATCGTGGGTTCGAATCCCGGGGTGCGCCTGTTATGGTTCAAGGTTTGTGTTCATTGGCTTCACCAATGTGGTAAACGTCTGAGACCTGCAACACTTCTGGCTTTCCCCTCATAATAATCTGACACTGGACACTCTTCCAAGCGGCGTTAAACCAAACTCACTCACTCACATTATTCTGGATGTGAAATCTTCCCTGTGAAATCAGTGAGATTAAAGAACTTCTGGAATATCGGATAAAGCATCCTTTTAAACTCCCCTTGATTACCAGTCTTTGTAGATCCACAGTATTTGTTCAGAGGGAACCGTGTCCAGACTAGCAGTGTTTCAGTGTAGAGGAACATAAATGGACACAAGTGAGAAAGAATCCTAGAGTTCATCTGGAATTGTTTTGAAAATTCAAGTTGACTCCTCATCATCACCATTTCCTGAATTTGAAACTTTCAATTTCATTATATATTTTTGAGAGATATTTCATATCATTCTCAAACCAGTTTCTGTCTCTACTGGTGCTAGGAGGTTTTCAATCTTGGAAACCTTGGATAAATTGCATGAAAGATTTCAAATATTTGAATAAAGTTCAAAATGGGCATGCAAACATGTTATTCCTTTTAAAGCTGTGTAGCAGATTTGAATTGTTACAGATGTGTTGTACAGTTGAATATATATTTATTTGTATTTACAGGGGAATTATGAATTCTACTTTATGTGGTGTTCTGAGGTCTCAGACAGACTGAGGTCAAATACAATCTCACGAAACTTCTTGATTATTTCTGTCAAACCAGTATATGGGTACCCGGTAGTTGTTATTATTTTACTGTCTTAGATAACATTAATGTAACTGTACATTTTGGCTGACTGACAGGGTTTGAGTGCTTGTGTTTCATGTTAGGCTAAAGGAACAGATAGGTCTCAGGAATCTGGGTGAAATATGTTAGAACCTGGCCATTTGATATTCTGGAGGCCTGGGATTTGAAAAAAATATAACAAATTTATCTGTTCCCCAAACTTCTGAAAACTAACATGATGCAACTCCTAAAAAGATTGCTCAGCATTTCATGAAATATTTTATGATGGTTTTATGACTGAAAAAATAATATCTTCCTCACAAAAATCCCATCTGTCTCCAAAATATTAATGGTTGGTTATGGAAGACAGCCTCTCACAAAGTCAACTTTTCATCCTCCTCAATTCAAATCAGGGAACTATTTTGACATCCTTTGAAGTGGCTCACCCATCACTTTGTACAGAACGAGTCTGTGGCAGAGTGCCACGGAGTTCTTGTAGAACATTTAAGGTATTTTCTACCTTAATCTACATCATGAATACTGTCAAAATGCATATTGTTAAAAAATGATATTTTTTAATATCAATTCCTGCAAAGGATGTTTTTTTAATAATTCGATGAAATGTGCTTTTTTCAAGTACTCATGGGGTATAGCCATAAAACTGTTGACTCATTTCAGTAGTCAAACAATGCTATCCAGTCTAGATCTCATGCTACCTTGTCACATGTAAGTAGATGATGTACTGTCATTTCTCATTGTTTTTACATCCAGGAGGACTGTTTCATGCCGGCTTCTAACAACTCTGCAAATATGAAAACATCAAATGTTGAAATTTTCATTTAATCATTTTGTTTCATCTTAAAACCAAACTGGTTTAGTTTTCATGTCTTTTGGGAAACTTTTTTCAATAATTTAAATTTTTTAAATTATTTTTTTAAATGCAACAAAAATGGATTTGTCATTTTCCTGAAAGTTGGTAAAATCAGATAACTAGGATACAGTTGAAACTAAAATAATACCGGCAGATATACCTTGTGAGAGAAGCGGCATGAGGTATCTAATTACCTTTATATACTACTCAAAAGAAGTTAAAGAACACCCAATTTTTTCATATAACTATAGTTAATCTGTAATGCCATATTTACTATAGCAATATGATAAAATTGAGTGTTCCTTAATTTCTTTTGAATAGTATAATAAGGGAAGTTAAAAACACTGGCAAATGCAACTATATCTATACTGATACCTGTAGCTTGTTTAAGAGATGTATATATACTCTTCAAGAGCTACATTTAGAACATACAGCTCAGATAACACTTATCTGAAAATTTATATTTTCATTTTGTTCCGAGATGCTGGTGCGATGTATATATTCATATGAGCTATATCTGTTATATGGTTTATATTCAACAAATTATGTGTATAATTCTTTGGCTTTATCTTGTTGATTCTATCAGTGTTTAGTGTTGTGCTATTTTCACATTGTCATATTGTGTGTCTTTACTGTACAGTTTCATTCATTGTATCGGCACATTGTCTACATCCTTTAGTGCTATGCTGTAGTTGAGTAACACAAACAACACGAATATGATAACAAGGCCCTTCATCAATGGGCTAAAACCTATGACTGCATTATTTATAAACGGATACTAAAACAATTTGCAATATCTTAAGGAACAAATGTGGCCATCTGCATTAAATGCATCCATACAATATAGTAATATATTATAGATTTATATAGTGCTTTATATATAGATACTCCCTGCTCAAGAGCGCCAAATTCTACTTCTACACAAATTCCAGAAGGAGCAATATGGTTCTTAAATTATTATTTATACATTACTTTGGAAAAGGTACCAAGGTGATGCAGACGTTGTCCAAGTCTCAATGAACACTTGTTTAAATTTAAGCAGTTAAACAACCTGTTTGTTGCTGATATTATTGTCATTACTAGTGTGAAAATATCCATATATCTGGAAGACGTAAACATCAAACCATTTTGTCAGACCTGGTACTGTTTGCAAATACTGTACCTCCACACACACGATATAGGTTAACTGCATATATCACCCTAATATTGTCTGAACTGCATTGGCTGCCAATCCACCAAAGAATGCGATTTAAACTACTCACTCTGGTTTACGAGGCGATGCGTAGTTTGGCTCCTGCTTACTTACAGGAACTGATGGCACCATACAAGCCCGCACGTTCTCTCCGTTCAAAAGATCAACATCTGCTAGTGTTGCCTAAGTCACGTACCAAAACATATGGTGATAGGTCATTTTAACATGCTGGCCCATTGCTATGGAACAATCTGCCACAAGAAATCCGAGAAATAGAAAATCTAACAAACTTTAAGAAGACACTCAAAACCTGTCTCTTCAAGACAGCCTTTGACAGATAAATCATGGTCTAGGTGCATTTAAGCAGTTGTTAATTGGAAAATGCGTTATACAAATTCTTAACTTAATTTAATTTAATGTAATATTCATCTGATGTAGATCCCATGTAGATGGTATTGAAGTTCACGTATTATCATCATAAAAATAATTGGAAGCAAGCACGGGACTTTCGGATGCAAACTGCTTTTATAGTATATGATTGGACAATAAATACATGATTGTGACCAGTTCTTGATGTAAATGGATGCGTGAGAAACAACGATTTGTGTACGACAGCAGGGATAAGAAAATAACAAATTTAAGATTTTCTGAAACATGATGTCATATAAATAAGATAACCATATAGTGTTTTTGTTTAGTATTCTACAGATTAGGCCACTGAAAGAGCAAGTATTCTATGTGTAAATAGATATCATGATCTCAGTAACCAAGCAAACACATACTATTACCCGTACAACTTGCTGTAGGCATGGCACAACTGTCTTTGTCTACATCAGAGATGTGTATATATAAGCTGGTTATTTATTTCTGAAAATGTGATGTGTCAAATCCTGTTACTATCTAGTCATGAATATTGTTGATCTGTCACATGCCACAAATATGTACTGTGAAGGAATAAATTTCATATTTCTTAATTTTGTCTCTTATTTTTATTTTTTAGATATTTGTATGATGTCTCATAACTTAGTTGGTCAGTGAGTGAATGTAGATGCAAATCATTCACAGCCAATTGATATTGTGTACTGGCCTAAATTAAACCTCAATATATTTAATCATAAGACGTTTATGAATGTATTTTTTCCTGGAAAGAATGTTCTCCTGAGTACTATAGGGGGGCACGGGTGGCCCAGTCGTCTAAGGTGCCGTGATTCACTGTGCAGAGTTGCGTCTCTTTGGCATGCCAGAAACCTATGATTGTGGATTCGATTCCCATTTCGCCCAGAGTATGTTTCTAGGTTTGTCAGCACCATACCCATTTGCTCGTGGGTTTCACCCAAGTGGTAAATGTCTAAGACCTGCATCACTTCTGGATTTCCTCCCACATTAAGCTGACACGCCGTGATATAACTAATATTGTTAAAGGCAGCATTAAACCCAACTCACTCACTCTCTTGAGTACTAAGACAAGGGGAGGGTAGTCTTTATGCTACAAGATGTTCTGGATGTGTTCGAGATGGCAAAAAAATAACGTCTGAATACTGATGTCGCCACTTGTTTCAATCATACAAAAACAGTGTGATTGGATTGGATGTCTTTTTTCAGCATTGTGTCATTCTTCACTGAGACATGGTACTAATGAAACTATGGTTGTGAATAGATCCACAAATATATAGCCCGTCATAATAGAATGGATACATCTTACACTGGATAATAGAGAATATTACGAGTACAGACTACTGCCGACTAGTTTTATCCCCATTCACCAAGTCAGATGCATTTTATCACCGACCTGCTCTCCTGGAATAAGACCTCTCCAAAGAGGCAGTTCTGAGCAGCAAAGCCAGTGTTTGATATTGTGAGCACTGACGAAAGCCAGGTGACAAATGCCCCAGGTATAATGACCACACCATTAGCCAGATCACAGCTGAGAACCAGTCTTCAGAGAGTTGATCCATCCATGAACTAGTCACAAGACCACCTGATCCTCTTTGAGAGCCCTCTTGTGGCAAGTAGGATGACCTTGAGGCCAGAGTTCGGCCGTTACTAGGGTGGTCTGTTCCATCCCCCAGGCTGTTTGACCATCTGGTCATTATAAACGTTGCCAATCAGGGGCCAGAGTAGGCCTTGGCCATCTCCATAGCATTATAATAATGTAATAATGTAACAACACCTCAAATACTGGCTTAGCCCCAATCAACTTCTAGACCAATCTGGAAGTAATCTTAGAAGCATAAAACCCCTTGTTAAGCCTGAAAATTTCATGATAGTCCATATTTTCATGTGGGGGGAGGTGAAATTGAGTTTTTCGCACATTTAGAGACTACATGTATTACACTTATATATCGAAATGCCTGCATATGTGTCTGTGTGTGTGCACATGCACGAGGGTGTGTGTGTCTGATGGTCCACACTTATGCCCCTGTATAGTACTAGCCCACTGAGATACCATGGGCAGTTTACAAAGGATACCCCACTCAGACACGGCATACTGACTCCGAGCCGACCAGTCCTTGTTTTAACCCCATAGGGGCAGGCAGGATAACAAGTATTATGTTTTATGTTTTCTGGGCATGCACTAGACCAAGGAGACAGTTATTTTCTTGTCCCACCCAGCAGTTATCAAGTTTGTAGTTGTTTGATCCAAGAACTTGGTATAAATGATAGATCAAATAATGCCATATGTAAGGCCAGCATGTTAACTCAGGAAGAAATCTGCCCAAACCATGCATCAGTACTGTCAACATTTGACCTGATGACATGTCCATTCCTCTTTTGTACTGGATGCCAAAGCTCCATAAGAATGGGCACAAAGAGAGATATATTAAAGTCTTTGATAGGAATTTAGAAGTTGGAAGACCATATTTCATTGATATATCCATATCCATATGGATAGCAACGTTTTTTACTCTTTGTCACTACGTTTCAAGCTACTTCTTGCTCCTTCATCAGGTGAATAATGAGTTAGTGCATAGTGTGTGTGTGTATATATATATATATATATATATATATATATATATATATATATATATAGCATGATATGTTTACACAGCACAAGGTGGGATGAATATCAGAGTCAATGAGATAGGATTAATGTACAAAGATGTATCTCATTGGCTTTGTCATTATATTGTTATCTTCGTACAATCATCCCACCTTGTGTTGTGTAGACATATCACGATCTATATGTCCTAATTTGCCTCTTGCACTTTACTCAGCAATCACCTGATGAAGGTCAAGAAGTTTTACGTAAGCTTCAGGTATATTGAAGATCTGATATCGTTCAATATCCATCAAGTAGCCAGTTCCCTTCCACTGATTTACCCACCTGAACTGGAAATAAAGATAACTAGTGATATGGGCTCATCTGTTTAATATTTAGATCTATGCATAAAGGTTCAGAGTGTCTCCACAAAACTGTATGGCAAGATGGATGACTTCAACTTTCCAACAGTCAAGTTTCCCTTTATGTCGAGCAATATTCCAGCAGCCCCAGCGTTTGGTGTCTACATGTCACTGCTTTTGAGGTACAATCGAGCATGCGCTCTAACAAGATTTCAAAGAGTGTCATATGTTTATGATGGGTGCCATTTTTAATGTTATTGTTTAATAACAGTCTGGGGCAGGGAATACACCGAGTCTATAACATTTCAGATGCTTCACAGGTACACAAACAGATGCAGAAATATTCAACTTACCCAACCCGGTATGTTACACTTCTGAACGAAATACATTTTGCATTTAAGATGTCGGTGGGCGAATAAATTGTCTCAAGAAACAAAACTGAAATATACAGACACGTTATTTAGACAGGATACATAAAATACATTTGTTCAAGTCAGGGTAATATCAGTCAGGACTTAAAGAAACTGGCCTTCCATTTATATAGTGGTACTATATTAGGTCTTTCTGTCTTTGTTATAATAGTCGCAATGAGCTTCATGTTGAAAAACACACAGATCTGTGTACGTTCAACATAAACGCAAGCTTCACACAGAAGGCCACAAAATGCAATACACAAGATCAATATAAAGTCTACTTTTTCTGGATCAGTAGCCTGCAACCTGAGATAAACAGATCTGGACAAGAACAAGCAGATATTTTCTTTCAATACAAATGTAAATGCAAAATATAAATTCAGATAAAAGTGTACTATAGAAATAAAGAACTTCATTTTCTTGCTTATCAAGGATCTGGACTCAGGGCACAAAGTTGTTATCAACATATGATCTGCAGATAGTGTTGTGGGGGCCTGCTACAGTTATCTCCCTTGCTACTAATGAGCGACATGATGTTGAACAGGCATGGCCAGCACTGGTACACACATGTACTGTTGTGAGCAATATTCCAGCTGTATCCTGGCAGCATGTGAATAATAGAGTCTGGACCAGTCTAGTGGGGGTCGACAGCATGAGCAATGATTCATGATGATTTAACTTCAACTGTGCAAACAAAATACATTCTTTGAACTCCGTGTTGTAATGTAATATCGCTCGTTCACTCAGTCACTCCCTCCCTCACTCATCAAAACTCATCCTCATCATCACAGTCATCATCCTCCTCCTCATAATCACAATCATCCTCATCATCACAATCATCATCCTCATCATCATCACAATCATCATCATCATCACAATCATCCTTGTCATCACAATCATCATCATCATCATCATCACAGTCATCATCCTCCTCCTCATAATCACAATCATCCTCATCATCACAATCATCATCCTCATCATCATCACAATCATCATCATCATCACAATCATCCTCATCATCACAATCATCATCCTCATCATCATCACAATCATCATCATCATCACAATCATCCTCATCATCACAATCATCATCCTCATCATCATCACAATCATCATCATCATCACAATCATCCTCGTCATCACAATCATCATCATCATCATCATCACAATCATCATTATGATCATCACCACAATCATCATCATCATCATCATCACAATCATCATCATCATCATCATCACAATCATCATCACCACAATCATCATCATCATCACAATCATCATCATCATCACAATCATCATCATCATCATCACAATCATCATTATCATCATCATCATCACAATCATCATTATGATCATCATCACCACAATCATCATTACAATCATTATGATCATCATCACCACAATCATCATCACAATCATCATCACATCATCATCACCACAATCATCATTATGATCATCATCACCACAATCATCATTACAATCATTATGATCATCATCACCACAATCATCATTACAATCATCATCACAATCATCATCACAATCATCATCACATCATCATTATGATCATCATCACCACAATCATCATTATGATCATCATCACCACAATCATCATCACAATCATCATCATCATCACACTCATCATTATGATCATCACCACAATCATCACAATCACCATTATGATCATCACCACAATCATCATTATGATCATCATCATCACAATCATCATTATGATCATCATCATCATCACAATCATCATTATGATCATCATCACCACAATCATCATCACAATCATCATTATGATCATCATCATCACAATCATCATTATGATCATCATCACCACAATCATCATCACAATCATCATCATCATCACACTCATCATTATGATCATCACCACAATCATCACAATCACCATTATGATCATCACCACAATCATCATTATGATCATCATCATCACAATCATCATTATGATCATCATCATCATCACAATCATCATTATGATCATCATCACCACAATCATCATCACAATCATCATTATGATCATCATCATCACAATCATCATTATGATCATCATCACCACAATCATCATCACAATCATCATCATCATCACACTCATCATTATGATCATCACCACAATCATCACAATCACCATTATGATCATCACCACAATCATCATTATGATCATCATCATCACAATCATCATCATCTTTATCCAGCATGGATGCAGGCCATTGGCCCATACAGTGTAAGCTACAAAGCCCACTAGCTGGCGGTTTTTGAATTGCACACTAACACTATTGTTTCTGAATTGCATTGCATGAAGTACAAACACTGCCTCATGCTTAACAACGTCAGTGTTATCAACAGACATTAGTATGCTATATTTCTGTAAGGTGGGATGTACTTAGTATTTCTTGTGAAGATACATTTGACGCAGATCTGCATAAGCCTCACAAACAGCAACAAGTGATACACATTTCCTACATATCCATACTTACATACATCACAAGTTCTTTCTTCTCTTGGTGTTCCAACATATCGACCTGTTTCTATGTATAATTTACGGGATCTACATCAAAACTGGGCTAAGGCTTGAAATCTTAATGCTACAATCAGCTATAGTGATTCAGTTATTTAACACAGACATACAATAGTTGTTTCGACGTATGTACATATCTGGATGGATGTATGTTGTAGGTGTCATAAAATTCTGGTGAAACCTTTGAGTGTGGGTATGGTGCTGTTACTACCAGCAGATCCTGGCCTGTCTAAGGCACATAACACAGCCCAACAACCACACACCAATGGGCTATCATAACTTTACGACAGTAGCGATTGTATGAGTTGTCTCCCCTTAACTGCTGACAACCTTGTTTAGTAACGATTGAGTTGGGTTTAACTCTGCTTTTAACAGTATTCCAGTTACATCATGGTGTGTTGCAGGTCTTAGACATTTGCCACTTTGGTGAAATCCACAAGCATGGGTATGGTGCTGACAAACCTAGAAACATAATTCGGGGCGAATCAGGATTCGAACCCATAATCATAGGTTTCTGGCATGCCCAAGGGATGCAACTCTGCTCAGCGAATTGTGGCGCCTTAGATGACTGGACCACTGGTGCCCCCCACCCCCCCACCCCCCCGTTGAATAACATCCAAAGCATTCCCCAGGTCTAATACATGACCCGTCATGGCAATCATTGGCTACTGTGTCCCACCAAGACAGCCCAACAAGGGATTAAATACAGAGGATTGCCACCATTATGTAAGATACAGTTGGGGAGAGAAGGAATTGGTCAGTTAATATCAAAATGGGGTGGTCTGGACACATTATCTGACTGTTTCAGGAAGCAGTATCTGTCTACATTTGTCGTCAGTCACATACTCTTACATACACATCCTTCAAAGCACAAATAACTTGGTATGAAACTGGGCCCAGGTCTCAACAGATTGTATGTCCTGCACAAAATGCTTTTCACGTCCCTCCCAGTGACGGTGAGGTGAGGTGAAATGGGGTTTAACGTCGCGTCCAAGATTATTGCACTTATAAAGCGACGTGCATGTACGTGTGTGTGTTTGTGTGGCTTCTTGTACTAGTCTGGACTGATGCCGATTTATAGTGCTAGCTCACTGAGATACCATGCAGTTTAACATGAATACCCCACTCAGACACAGTATACTGACTCCGAGACGACCAGTCCTTGTTTTAGCCCCTTAATGCCGAGTGCCAGACAGGGTAACAACAAGTACCATCTTTTAACGTCTTTTGGTCTGACGCCCCCGGGGATCGAACCCCGGACCTTCCGCTCTCCGGGCGGACGCTCTACCACTAGACCACGGAGGAGGTCCCCCTCCCAGTGAAACCGAGGTTGTTGTTATCATTAAATTGCATAAATATTTGAACAATTTTATACGAGAAAGTTTTTATGACTTGGCTTAAAGAATATTTTGTAAAAAATATGGGGTCTGGGTCTGGATTGGGTTCAATGGTCAAAACAAATATAGAAATAATTATTATGGACAAACTCTCTTTTGTATATATATTTTAAAAAAATGGCCTATTTTAGAAAACTATTAATCTAAAAAAAATATCATCATCATCATCATCATCATCCGTACAAACAATTCCAAACTATTATTTGAAGTATTGACATAACTGTATTCCAGACACTGAGAGAAGCCAAACGCATGAAGATATAGTTAAGGAAGAGATACTTTTCACCTGGTTCTAGTAAATAAATATAAAATATATCTGTCAACCTCCATTAAAATCACAAATTTCAAATAACATTCACAGACCTTAAATCAATTTTCTCATGAAAAAACAAAAGCAAAAAAACCAAAAACTGTATCCGTCTGAATCTTTATTTATATTGCACTGTTGTATATTTACACGGGCATATCATAACAAGTCTAACAAACACCCTGTCTGCTGAAACAACACAAATAAATACTCAGCACTAACTTTACACAAGACATTTAACAATGTCCTCTCAATCATAATATATTTGATTTAGCAGCACTCAAACAATGCGTCGGTGTCTTTTACAGTTTTTGATTTAAACAAATCACAACTGAAATTCATACAGTCCGGAATGGTGGTTGTTTTGCAGGTTTAATGTCAATATACACATGAAAACATTTCAATGTCATAAAAACTTTCTTATGCTGACATCTAGCATAAAGGTGAAAGAGTAACAGGGGAAAATGGGCTGCACCATTTAAGAGAAATTTTCAGCCGAAGCATTAAGGATTCACACCAATGTTAAGTCTATGTCAGGAATTTGGGTTTAACACCACTTTGTTGTTGTAGTTGGTTTGTTGTTTAACGCCGCACGCAGCAATATTCCAGCTATACGATGGTAGTCTGTAAATAATTGAGTCTGGACCAGACAATCCAGTGATTGATATCATGAGCATCGATCCATGCAATTGGGACACGATGACATGCATCAACCAAATCAGCAAGCCTGACCACCCGATCCTGTTAGTCGCCTCTTACGACAACCATAGTCGCCAGTTATGGCAAGCATGAGTTGCTGAAGACTATTCTACCCCGGATCTTCACACAATCTCATTAAAAGCAGATCTTAGTTCTTGCTATCGCTAAACAAAGATCTGAAGACATCCCATTACAGGTCACGTCAGAACGCCCTTTCATCTGCTCAATCAAAGCGTAGCTTACCAGATCGTGAAAGTGACAGTCGGAATGTGTTTTCTAATCATGCAACCATGAAAACGTTAACACAGGGTATTCCGAATGACAGTTGCAGTCCACTACTGATTCCGTCAAAATTATCGTCTGTCTCTCACTTCCGTGGGATAAACATTTGAACAGAGGAGGCGTTGCACAGTAAGTGGTAAACACTGTCATACAATCCCAACCATATATTAGACATTCTGGAATGTTCGTTTGTTCAGTTTTCAAAATTTTAATCGAGAACTGTGTCAACATATTTTTCAAGTGTAGTCTGAAATGGAAGTCGCCAGGTTGAAACGAGTGTTCTAAAGCTCGAGAAAGCTGATTTCTAATTGGCTGAAGTTGACTTCTTTTTAGTCATTCCAGTGGTCGGTCAAAGTTCGCGAAAGGTCGTTCTGACGTGAGCCGTAATGGGATGTCCTCAGATCTTTGTTTTGCGGCAGCGAGAACTTAGATCTGATTTTAATGAGATTGGATCTTCAAGGGTCTTAACACCACTTTGAACAACACTTCAGTTATATTGCAGTGCGTCTGCAAGGAAACGCAGCTGACCCAGATGACACACATGTAACACTTTGGTAAACCCAAGAGCATGGGTATCGCGCTGATCAAGGATCATAATCTTTGTTTGTTTGTTTGTTTGTTTGTTGCATAACGTCTCACTCAGCAATATTCCAGCTACATGATGGCGGTCTGTTAATAATCAAGTCTGGACTAGACAATCCAGTGATTGACATCATGAGCATCAATCTACCCAATTGGGATACGATGACATGTATGAACCAAGTCAGCAAGCCGGACCACCCGATCCTGTTAGTCGCCCCTTACGACAAGCATAGTCGCGTTTTACAGCAAGCTAGGATGCTGAAGGCCTATTCAAACAAGGATCTATTCTTACAAAGTTCTTCTTTGAAACAATGCAAAAATAGCTTTAACACTGCATATGTGATGACACATTCACTCACTCATTCTTATAGGGTTCAGAAATCTGACTTTGGGTTAGTAAATTGCAGCTTTAGTATGGTGGGAGACAAGAATCAGCTTCACAATGTGTCCAAGATGGAACTGAACCTGGGTCTTCCCTGTGCTTCCTATCACTCAATACATGCAATGTACAGATTTAAGCCCTGGGCTTATTTATGAGTTTTACCCATCTTTGCTGATAATAATTCACTCATATTAAAGCCCTAGGCTTAAAAAAAAGGAGGGCAGTGGGGTAGCCTAGTACTTAAAGCGTTAGCTCGTTACCTGAATAACGGGGTTCAGATACCATGTGTGAAGCTCATTTCCTTTCCCCCGCTGTGATATTGCTGGAATATTGCTAAAAGCAGCGTAAAACCATACTCTCTCACTCAAAAACAAGGATGTGTCACATGACAAAAAATCTGACATTAGCTTAAATTGTCACAAGTCTCCAGTACATGGCCTTCATGAGGTGATGAGGGTAACGTCTTGTCACTGTGGAAGTCTTGATCAGTACTCAGTGTGCAACCGGCTCAAGTTCAACATGCATTATTAAACATTCACTCACAGTGGTCATCAAAATAATAATTCAACTTAAGCCCATGGGCATAAATTTGATACATTGCTGTTTTTAAGCCAGTGAAGCAGGCAGGGCTTAATTATGTCCACTCCCATAGACTAACAGATTGAACACTGAAGTCCTGCATCATTGCGTCTAGCCTGCTACTGTAGACCTTGTGACTGTGAGAACCAATGATGAAGGATACCAAATCACTGAAGTCTTTGATTAGCATTTAGAAGTTGGAAGAACATGTACACATGACACTTTTTATGGATAGCAACTTCTTTTAAAAGAAGTTACTATCCATTAAAAGTGTCATGTATTCCCCAAATCACTGGTTGATTATCAACATACTGTTTGTTCAATGCTGTATAGTGTACATTATGCTTGATGTTTCCCAGAAGAGTTGAGTAGAGAAGTGTCTTTACTTCTTGCCCAGTTCGTTCCTCATGGCGCGGATGGACTCCGCCAACTGTTTGTCCGCAAGGCTGACACGAGACAGCACTGTGTTCAGCTCGTCCTCATTTCGGTTCTCAAATGCTGCTTCAGCAGCTGCCTTCAGGTTCCTGCAACACAGAAATGATGATGCTACTTTTGGTAAGCTCCCAATATCATCAGCCGTCACCCACAAAGGCTTGGAGGAATCTTTCAGCTGAATCACGGAGTCTGGTTGATTTGGCTACTTTTGGGCAAAACCACCAATGATCTGTATGATACCAAGTCACATGATCAAACTAGATTATGTTATGTTAGGGTGGGCGTATGGCACATAAATAGTACTGCAATATATTGCCATACAGAGAGCTGTATTATGATACAAATTGCAATACATACATATATATATATATATCCTAACATATGTTATATGTCCTAACAAAAATCCCTTTTGACAAAAGCGAGACTTGATGGACAGATAGATAGACAGACAATGGGTAACATCTTATATGACATCCTCTGGCCAATGACAAATTGAGCAAATTTCACATAAATAGTATAAATAAAATTCTTTAAATACTCATGTTATGCATGTATACCGGTAAAATCTGACATCTTTCATCATCATCCACAAGTCGCAATATTAACAGATAAAACACGTCCTCTCAATATCGCAAAAGTACTGACCCCAGTTTGATGAGACACTTGACCTTCTTGTCTGGAGTGACCCGGTTCATATATCTGTGAGCTTCTTGCTTGTTGTGTAGTTTGACACAAGCTTCAACAAATACCTGGAATATATACAGTACAATTAGAGGCAGGGACACTGGAGGGCTGTGTGATGAGTGTGTTTGTTGTTTAATACCACACTCAGTGTATATTCCAGCTACATGACAGAGGCCTGTAAATAATCATGTTCGGACTAGACAATCCAGTGATTGATGTAATGAGCAATGATCCACATTGTTGGGGTACGTTGACATGCCATCAACCAAGTCAATGAGCCTGACCACCCGATCCATTTAGTCACCTCTTACGACCAGCATAGTAGGGCTGGGACGAGTCCAAATTTACTACCCGGGTACCCACCCCACTATTACCCGACCCTACCCGGGTACCGCTGTAGGTCTCAAGAGGTAGGTACAAACTGTCTGATTGGGAAAAGTTTGACTGTAGCTCTGGTAAAATGTGTTTAGATACATGTATGAAACGATCTGGTGTATACAGTGAAGTTGACTGAAGTTTTATTTTTATTCAAACATATAAAAGTCAGAAGGAATGGGCGTAGTAGTCAGGAAGAACTGCGAACATTAGTGACTTGTAGTTTAAACATAGAGTATTAGATACTTTTTGTCATTAAACAATATATTACGTGACTAACCATGGGTCCGGGTAGTCCTGTGGGTACCCGGGTCCTAGTCAGTACCCACCCGACCCAAGTACCCGCGTTACCCGTCCCAGCCCTACAACATAGGTTACTGATAACCAGTTCCAACCCATCATTCCCCCAGTTTTGGCCTGCAACGACACCTGACATCCAGACAACTGGCAAGCAGATAACTTAGGCCACACATTTTTTATTTTTCATTTCACAGGCCTGCCACCCCTACTGTAAAGCAGCTGGAAAAGAAATAAATTAAACAGAAAAAGATATATTTTTATTATGTCTCCCTCTCGTAATATAGCCCTGATGCAATATGAAATGTTATGTATAAATTTGATGTCTCCTTCACTATGAGTGATTCAAGAAGCCAGCTGCAGTTTTAACTCCACGGCAGAATGACTTTCTCATAAATAAATAAATGATTTACATAGCTATTTATTTTTATTTCAACCGACCTAGTGTGGAACATGTGGAATAAATCTGTGAAACATAAAATGAAAAAAGTGTGGCCTTAGGTAGATGGTAGAAGGTGAACAAGCTTGGCCTTGACAATGAAAATATGTGGGTTTGATTGAGCCAATCACTTGTCAACTTTCTTAATTTCTTACAAACGTCCTTTACTTGTCTTGTTTGGCTAAGTTCTGGATTGCTTGACTTGCTTCCAACCCCCTTATGTCAAGCAGGGTTTTCCAACTCCCTTATGCCAAGCAGGGTACTCCACCCTTTATGCCAAGCAGGGTACTCCAACTTCCTTATGCCAAGCAGGGTTTTCCAACCCCCTTATATCAAGCAGGGTACTCCACCCTTTATGCCAAGCAGGGTACTCCAACTCCCTTATGCCAAGCAGGGTTTTCCAACCCCCTTATATCAAGCAGGGTACTCCAACTCCCTTATGTCAAGCAGGGTACTCCAACCCCCTTATATCAAGCAGGGAACTCCAACCCTTTATGCCAAGCAGGATACTCCAACTCCCTTATGCCAAGCAGGGTACTCCACCCCCTTATGCCAAGCAGGGTACTCCAACCCCTTATGCCAAGCAGGGTACTCAAACTCCCTTATGCCAAGCAGGGTACTCCAACTCCCTTATGCCAAGCAGGGTACTCGAACTCCCTTATGCCAAGCAGGGTACTCAAACTCCCTTATGCCAAGCAGGGTACTTCAACCCTTTATGCCAAGCAGGGTACTCCAGCTCCTTTATGTCAAGCAGGATACTCCAACCCCCTTATATCAAGCAGGGTACTCCAACCCTTTATGCCAAGCAGGGTACTCCAACTCCTTTATGTCAAGCAGGATACTCCAACCCCCTTATATCAAGCAGGGTACTCCAACCCTTTATGCCAAGCAGGGTACTCCAACTCCCTTATGTCAAGCAGGTACTCCAACCCTTTATGCCAAGCAGGGTACTCCAACTCCCTTATGTCAAGCAGGGTACTCCAACCCCCTTATATCAAGCAGGGTACTCCAACTCCCTTATGCCAAGCAGGGTACTCCACCCCCTTATGCCAAGCAGGGTACTCCAACTACCTTATGCCAAGCAGGGTACTCAAACTCCCTTATGCCAAGCAGGGTTTTCCAACCCTTTATACCAAGCAGGGTACTCCAACCCCTTTTGTCAAGCAGTGTATTCCAACTCCCTTATGTCAAGCAGGGTACTCCAACCCTTTATGCCAAGCAGGGTTTTCCAACCCTTTATGCCAAGCAGGGTTTTCCAACCCTTTATGCCAAGCAGGGTTTTCCAACCCTTTATGCCAAGCAGGGTATTCCAACCCCTTTTGTCAAGCAGGTTACTCCAACTCCCTTATGTCAAGCAGGTACTCCAACCCTTTATGCCAAGCAGGGTACACCAACCCTTTATGCCAAGCAGGGTACTCCAATCCTTTATGCCAAGCAGGGTACACCAACCCTTTATGCCAAGCAGGGTTCTCCAACCCCCTTATGCCAAGCAGGGTACTCCACCTCCCTTATGTCAAGCAGGGTGAACATTATCATTGAGTAGGGATTATGTTATAAAGCATGTCACTCACCTCCATACCAACAGGGGGCTTCTTGGTCCGTGAGAACTTCTCCAGCTCGCCCCAGTCTCCCGCCTCTGCCAGGGCGTTGATACGCAGCAGCCAGTACCTGCAGGGAGGTGCAGCAGGTCATTTACCGGCAAACATCCTCAGTGGTAGGATACCAGAAATACTTTTGTTTTTGTGACTTCTTATGCCATTAATATTTATGTTTTGTGGGTCATTTAGTTTGATCTGTCTATACATGTGAGTGCATAGAAAGTTTGGTTTAACACCACTTTGAACAGTATTCCAGTTATAGCACGGCATGTCAGCTTGATGGTGGAGGAAGGTCCGAAGGGATGAAGATGTTCACCCTCTGGTGAATCTCAGCATGGGAATGGTGCTGACAACCTAGAAACTTAATCAGGGTGAGTCTGGCACAATCATTCTATACATGATATTGCTTACACATTGAAATTGTACTCAGTCCATCACTGTTTGTGGAGGTCATCATTCTGACACAAGGCTGAAGCCAAGTGGGCAAAAACAATACATACATGTCTATATTACAAGACCCATGCCCAAGCCATATCATAATCAACACACAAAAAGCTGAAACCATTGCTGTCACAAGATGCTGACCGTTTCTCTGGAACCTTGAACTCCTTGCGTAGCTGCTCCGCGGGCTTGTTGATCTGCTCCACTGTCAGCTTGTAGATGGTCTGGTGGAGGGACAGGTCCACATACGGCTTGTTATGCTCCTCCTCGAGGCGCCGCTGGAACTTGAGCAGCTTGATCTGGTCCTCTGTTTGCTGGGGGTACAAGATATAATGTGCAGTGTAACAGTTAACAGCTACATCTGGTCCTCTGTTTGCTGGGGACACAAGATATAATGTGCAGAGTAACAGTTAACAGCTACATCTGGTCCTCTGTTTGCTGGAGACACAAGATATAATCATGATAATGTGCAGTGTAAAAGTTAACAGCTAGATCTGGTCCTCTGTTTGCTGGGGACACAAGATATGATGTGCAGTGTAACAGTTAACAGCTAGATCTGGTCCTCTGTTTGCTGGGAACACAAGATATAATGTGCCGTGTAACAGTTAACAGCTAGATCTCTCCTCTGTTTGCTGGGGACACAAGATATAATGTGCCGTGTAACAGTTAACATCTAGATCTGGTCCTCTTGTTTGCCGGGGACACAAGACATAATGTGTAACAGTTAACAGCTAGATCTGGACCTCTGTTTGCTGGGGACACAAGACATCATGTGTAACAGTTAACAGCTAGATCTGGACCTCTGTTTGCTGGGGACACAAGACATCATGTGTAACAGTTAACATCTAGATCTGGTCCTCTGTTTGCTGGGGACACAAGACATCATGTGTAACAGTTAACATCTAGATCTGGTCCTCTGATTGCTGGGGACACAAGACATAATGTGTAACAGTTAACATCAAGATCTGGTCCTCTGTTTGCTGGAGACACAAGACATCATGTACAGTGTAACAGTTAATAATGTACACTGTAACAGTTGACAGGCAATCAAATATTACAACAACAATAAGTCTAGACTTTTAACACCCGCCCATCGAATCGTAAGTCCACTGACTATGTCCTCACTGTTTTCTTATACATAGGTTTGTCATGTCTGTCAAATACTCTCATTCCCTACTGAGTGAGTGAGTATGGTTTTACGCCACTTTTAGCAATATTCCAGCAATATCACGGCAGGGGACACCAGAAATGGGCTTCACACATTGTACCCATGTGGGAAATCGAACCCAGGTCTTCGGCGTGACGAGCGATCGCTTTGACCACTAGGCTACCCGACCGCCCCTCATTCCCGACTGAGTGAGTAAGCGGCTGCATGTAGACTGTTTGACATACTGACCAATAACAAATTCTAGGAATACAAACCTTTGCAGCAAAGTCATTCTTGGCCCTGCTGTAGCAGTTCTGAGCATCTTCCAGTCGCTTCAATCTGTCATCCAGCATCTGTGGAGACACAGGTGATCTTAGAACACAGTTGCAAATAAGAACCTAACAGTATCCACAACACAACTACTCAATACAACAAATGTCATATTTGGGATAACACTTTCTTTGTAAAGTACAGATTCTAGTACTTTTGGGGGTTGAGTCCCATCCAGGATTCTAACCCACACCACCAGAGAGAGGCACCTAATCGCCAGCAGACAAAAGTCAGCGATCTAGCCCACTCAGCCACCACGGCTTCCACAAAATGAAAGTACGACAACTGGAACATACTTTGAGTACCCTTCTGATGATTGTAAATTGGCACGGATCCAATGGCCAAAACAATGAACACACAATGCCATTTAGAAAGTGGTCAAATGTAACAAATGTTATATTTGGGAAAACCCTTTCGGAGTAAAGTACAGAGTCTAGCACTTTTGGGGTCCGGGATTCGAACCCAGACTGTCAGAGTGAGGCACCTCATCACCAGCACACAGTCAGCCATCAAACCAACTCAGCCACCGAAGTTTCCACAAAAAAAAAAGTAAGTCCAACAGTTCATACTGGTTAACTTGAAATCCTTGGACCATGAAAATTATCCATATTTCGAATCTAGCTGTGTACAAATGGTGTACTGCTGTAAGAGGGTGAGGATTCTAATTGGACCACACAGTAACATCACATTCAACAATACACTGAGTTCATGGAGCTCCAACTTGTGATTTTCTTATACCAATATCTAATACTCTTTCACTTTTCTGTGTTTTGTTTGTTTCTTGCTTAACGCTGCATTCATTAATATCCAAGCCACATGATGGCGGCCCTGTATGATTCAAGCCTGGACAAGACTAACCACAGCAGCCTGAAGTTAGCAGTGGGTTCGTCTTACGTTATTCATTTTTTGAAAAACGAAAACCAAGCCAGCACCAGGTTCATTATTCAGTTTATGTCCAGTACTGAATAATTAAACAGTTGTTGAAAGACAGACATCTTTTATTGCTGGACATTAAATGAATAACGAACCCAGTGCTGGCTTATTTTTATTCAAAGTACTGAATAACGAAACAGTTGTTGAAGTGAGTGAGTGAGTATGGTTTTACGCCGCTTTTAGCAATATTCCAGCAATATCACGGCGGGGGACACCAGAAATGGGCTTCACACATTGTACCCATGTCGGGAATCGAACCCAGGTCTTCGGCGTGACGAGCGAATGCTTTAACCACTAGGCTACACGACCGCCCCAACAGTTGTTGAAACTCAACAGCTTTTGGACAATGGTACACCTGTCAGACGAGTATTTGACCATATAACTGTATTTGTATAATAAACAGACTTTGAATAACGAACCCGGGGCTGGCTTGTTTTTTTGTTTTAAAAAACAAAACAAATATTAAATCACAAACCTGCTGGCAACTTCAGGCTACGACAAACCAGTGGTTGATATTATGAGTAACATTCCACGCCGGGGGTACCATGACATGCGATCAGCCAAGTCACTCAGTCTGCCCATCCATCCATCCATCCTTTCATCCTCTCATGACAAGCATGTACCTTACTGGCTTATACACTATCACAGAACTGCCACGGGGTTAAATAATGCTCTGTGCTGACAAGCTTAGATTAATGACTTGGTCATCCTTTCAAAACTACTTACAAAAAGGATGCCATCCTCATTGTTCAACATGTAGCACAGAAAATTGTAGAATTTTCCTATTCGGAATATTCTATAAGTAATACGTTACCACTGTTATACCGAGGCTGTTGTCTCCCACAACTGCTGCTATAGCGAAATCTACCACAGAGATCTCAATTACCTCATGCAGCACGTGCGTAGCCACCTAGCTGCCATGTGACACCCTTCACTCTTGTCTCCTGCGAGAGCAAGTGCTCGGGGGACGGACGGGCGGGCAGCAGCCCAGTGGTAACGTATTACTTATAGAATATTCCGAATAGGAAAATTCTACAAATTACATTAAGTAATACGTTACCACTGTTATACCGAGGCTGACTACCACAGTAGGTGGTGGGGAGCACCTACAACCCGAATCCTGACTGCTAGCGTTCCTTCCGACCAGCGGAAGTAAACACCAAGGCGGAAGCACTCGATGCGCATGCACCTAGCTAGGCGTTACCCTATAGGAATACCAAAGCACTGTCAAGCGCATACCGTAAGGCTCAATCGTCAATGCCAAAATGATTGGTGACTCCAAACGGCCCCACTGGATAGGTATTTCATCGCCGCAGCGGATGAGAACACTGTATCCGCGTGAGCTAAATCTTAGATCAGGTTAAACAGTCGAAAAGAGACCGGAGGAAGAAGGACCCGACCCCTTAGGCCTGCCGGACGCAGCATCCTGGGGCGCGCTCCGCTTCGGAGCGGCACCCAGGCGCCTATGCAAGGACCCCACAAGATCCAGTGTGTGCCGAGAGGCCTCGGCAGACACAGCGGCCTGTTGTTCCTTCAGAACCCCAGGGATCTTGTTATTAAACAGGGTCCGAGCAGACCAAGGCTGCGAAAGGAGCACCTCCTGATTAGCAGCGTCCAACCCTGAAGCAACCAGATACGACTGGCGCCGAAGAAAATGGCACGTGCCGGAAACAAAGGCCGAAGCCCCGGCAACGTACTCCAGGGAAGCATTCAAACCGAGCAAGCAGTTGTAAATGCGCTGGTCTCGGTCCGTGGGAGAACCTTCGACCAGACTGGCCGCTGCAGCCAGGTATGTGTCTCCGTGAGACATTGCCAGCATGGAGTGTCGAGCGAGGGTGTCCAGCTGTTGCAAGGTACCTTGTGGTACCGTGGCAACCGGTGGGGCACGGACCCCCAAACGCTCCACATGGGCTTCCGCAGAAGGACCAGCCTCGGGAAAGGCAAGGTCATGTACTGGGATAGACCCTTTTCTCCACGACGGGGGAGGTAACAGGAGACCCCGACCGGAGGCAGCCGTGAAGGCCTTCTCCAAAGAAGGCTTAATCCCGCGCAGCAAGGTTGATGCCGGGAAAGCCTTGTCGGACGTCTCGTCGTATACCTCGGAGGAACCCACGGAACCGTGGATTCCCCGCGGTATCGGCAGGGGCTTTGGCATGTCCTCGAAGAGGTCATACACCATGGCAACGCGGTCCTTAACCGATAGCGGAAGCAACGGTTCAGGGGAAGGACCGGTAACCACGGCAGCCGCCGCCGTACCGGTGGACCCCGCGTCCGAACCCGCGGCCACCGAAGAGGCCGGGGACGGAACAGCCAGCGGCCTATCTTGCGATAAGGCCGCCAGCTTGGAGTCCACAAGTTTTGACAATAATGCGGTGACGGAAGCCCCAGACAGCCCGAGGGCCGCAAGGGGATCCGCCGCAGCCGAGGAGGTGGTACCCGCACGGGGACCCCGACCGGACGAACCGGCCACCACAGGGGTGGAGACGGACTGTACGTACAGCCGGTACCGCTCAAACTCCGCAGGCCCCAGACCTTCGCACAGGGTACACCGGGTGTCCCCGCAAGGAACCCTGCACCGCGGGCAACGATCGTGGGGATCCCGGGATGACAAAAACTTTCTGCACACCCCACAACTCCGAGGAGCAGGGGTAGAGGGGGTGGATACTGGGGACATATCCATGTCAGACATTGTTTGCTATAAACAAAGAACAAAACATGGTTACAACGCACGCACCACAACGATTCACAAACGAGCATTTTCACAAGAAAATAAACGAGCAATGTGAACATATAACATACACATATAACTTTTATTAAAGAAATAAGTTATGTTAACCCCCAAAACATACAAGAACAGGGGAAACGTAAAACACAACGTGCATACGCGAACCCCGCAAGTATAGAGAAAAAAGGGCGGGAAAAATTTTCCGTTTGGCGGGAAAATTATAACCAAGCGTAGCTACCGCAACGCCCCATAAAAGCACAGTTTATTAGAGAATAAACTATAATAAATATCACCAAATCTTCAAGGAACGCTTCAGCAGGAGAAAACACGTCTTGCTAAGCAGACGAAGGAGACAAGAGTGAAGGGTGTCACATGGCAGCTAGGTGGCTACGCACGTGCTGCATGAGGTAATTGAGATCTCTGTGGTAGATTTCGCTATAGCAGCAGTTGTGGGAGACAACAGCCTCGGTATAACAGTGGTAACGTATTACTTAATGTAATTAAGTAGTCATGCCTAAAACTCAGCTAGTGTACATGTGTAAATGTATGGAGTGCAACCCTACTTTCAATATGTTTTGTTTTGTTTGCAAAATTGTGCACAGTCAGCAATATTCCATCTATAATACCAGACATGATGTATGTGTAACATGTAAAGTGCAACATGTAACAAGTAACAAAGCGCAAAGAGTAACATGTAACGTGTAGCATGCAATGTATAACACGTAATGAGTTGTGTTGGTCCTACCTCCTCCTGGAAGCTCCTGACGACCTTGCAGTTGCCGTTGTCCAGGAAGTTGTCCTCCTGGTAGTACAGGTCCTCCACCAGCTTGGGGTTCTGCTGCTTGCAGAACTGTGGAGGGGAGGAAGGATAGTTAGCTAGGCTAACATATGAGCCATATTGTTTACAGCATAAGGGAGGGGGAGGTTAACATAGCAGCCGTATTGTTTACAGCATAAGGGAGAGGGAGGTTAACATAGCAGCCGTATTGTTTACAGCATAAGGGAGGGGGAGGTTAACATAGCAGCCGTATTGTTTACAGCATAAGGGAGAGGGAGGTTAACATAGCAGCCGTATTGTTTACAGCATAAGGGAGGGGGAGGTTAACATAGCAGCCGTATTGTTTACAGCATAAGGGAGAGGGAGGTTAACATAGCAGCCGTATTGTTTACAGCATAAGGGAGAGGGAGGTTAACATAGCAGCCGTATTGTTTACAGCATAAGGGAGGGGGAGGTTAACATAGCAGCCGTATTGTTTACAGGACAAGTTATCTACCTGTATATAGAGGAAGTAGGCATTAGACATGGCTTGAATTATCTACCTGTATATAGGGGGAGTAGGCAATAGGCATGGCTCTAGTTATCTACCTGTATATAGAGGGAGTAGGCATTAGGCATGGCTTGAATTATCTACCTGTATATATGGGGAGTAGGCCTCTAGTTATCTACCTGTATATAGAGGGAGTAGGCAATAGGCATGGCTCTAGTTATCTACCTGTATACAGAGGGAGTAGCCAATAGGCATGGCTTGAATTATCTACCTGTATATAGGGGGAGTAGGCAATAGGCATGGCTCTAGTTATCTACCTGTATATAGAGGGAGTAGGCATTAGGCATGGCTTGAATTATCTACCTGTATATATGGGGAGTAGGCCTCTAGTTATCTACCTGTATATAGAGGGAGTAGGCAATAGGCATGGCTCTAGTTATCTACCTGTATATAGAGGGAGTAGGCAATAGGCATGACTCTAGTTATCTACCTGTATATAGAGGGAGTAGGCAATAGGCATGACTCTAGTTATCTACCTGTATACAGAGGGAGTAGGCAATAGGCATGGCTCTAGTTATCTACCTGTATATAGAGGGAGTAGGCAATAGGCATGACTCTAGTTATCTACCTGTATATAGAGGGAGTAGGCAATAGGCATGGCTCTAGTTATCTACCTGTATATAGAGGGAGTAGGCAATAGGCATGACTCTAGTTATCTACCTGTATACAGAGGGAGTAGCCAATAGGCATGGCTCTAGTTATCTACCTGTATATAGAGGGAGTAGCCAATAGGCATGACTCTAGTTATCTACCTGTATACAGAGGGAGTAGGCAATAGGCATGGCTCTAGTTATCTACCTGTATATAGAGGGAGTAGGCAATAGGCATGGCTCTAGTTATCTACCTGTATACAGAGGGAGTAGCCAATAGGCATGGCTCTAGTTATCTACCTGTATACAGAGGGAGTAGCCAATAGGCATGGCTCTAGTTATCTACCTGTATATAGAGGGAGTAGGCAATAGGCATGACTCTAGTTATCTACCTGTATACAGAGGGAGTAGCCAATAGGCATGGCTCTAGTTATCTACCTGTATATAGAGGGAGTAGCCAATAGGCATGGCTCTAGTTATCTACCTGTATATAGAGGGAGTAGGCAATAGGCATGACTCTAGTTATCTACCTGTATACAGAGGGAGTAGCCAATAGGCATGGCTCTAGTTATCTACCTGTATATAGAGGGAGTAGGCTCTAGTTATCTACCTGTATATAGAGGGAGTAGGCTCTAGTTATCTACCTGTATACAGAGGGAGTAGGCAATAGGCATGGCTCTAGTTATCTACCTGTATATAGAGGGAGTAGGCAATAGGCATGGTTCGGATCGTCATGAGGAAGTCACCACTGCTCTGAAGTTTCTCCTTGAGTCGTAACAGCACTGTGTACACTGAAACACAATCATTCATTCTTACTTTAATCTCATGACATAAACCATATGCAGCTAAAAGTAAAACAAGAAGAGAAGGTCAATGTCTCAATGTAGTAAATAGTACTATCAATTATCACTCATGCCAAATTACTTTCATGAGCGCTAACTATTTTTTAGACTGAAAGTAGATCTAGTATTAAACATGTTAAATACACAAGGTAAGATGAGGCAAGGAGATTTGTACGTCATATATGAATATATTAGGATGTAGCTGCTATGGTTCTACAACCTCTACAACTGCAAAGTTTTGTAAATAATGGAAGCAAACACAGGGTGTGTCATCATGTTGGTTTGGAATTGGGTACAAATATATTGTACATGTTCTTGGCTAGGTTCACACATAGCGGGACCCCAGGGGCTAGAATCAGTCCCCAGCAGCTTGTGCTTGTCATGTGAGTTGACTTAACTGATCGAGTGTCAGGCTTGTCATGTGAGTTGACTTAACTGATCGAGTGTCAGGCTCAGTGACTTGGTTGATTGCATGTCAGTATACTCTGATAGCATGGATTGTAGCTCATTATATCAATCACTGGTTTGTGTGGTACAGACATCATCAACACTTCATTCTACAGCTGGAATATTCATGAGTGCAAAGTTTACAAACAAAACTACATACAAAGAACACACTACTTCCATATACTTGCCACAAGGAATAGGTGCAGAGTCAAAAAACAAAAGAGGAAATGAGTTTAAACAAGTGGTTGTCATGGGTACCTAAATCACTGTCTCCACTGTCGATGGCCTTGCCCAGAGCTGTGTGATCCTGATCCATCTTCAGCAACAGGGGCACCTGCTCTGATGCCTTGGGCTCATACTCCAGCAGCTGAAACAGTCAAGGGGAGACAACTGTTGTCTCAGAAAAATCTATATGCTTCAATCAATATCATCTGAATATTCCACGTATGGCTGATTATTTTCACTACAAGTCAGAATGAGAATGAGAAATTGAATTGCAAGACCTGCTTAGAGGTTGTTCACTTGAATTGTAAGACCGACATTTTACAGTTGAATTGTACAAACAACCTTTTCATATGCATCAAATGTTAATTTTTGAGAGGTTGAAAGTCACACAAAAAATTTCATGAAGTGAACCTAACCTGCAATCTTAGGCTAAAAAAACATCATAAAGTCTGCTGCATGTTTTGTTTTTATTTCCATTTTCAAAAAAATATAAAAATCCTAATACTTAAACACAATGCGCAAAAAAAATTGAAAATGGAAACAAAAACAAAACATGCAATGAACTTTTTGATGATGTGGGCAGTGCCTGAGAACCAAGACTATTTATTTATCCTTATCCTAGCCATATCATATTTAGTTTTGAAACCAGCTTTTTTCCCACTGAGCCACCAAAACAGGTGATGAAAGTGTGTTCAATGTTACATGTCATGACTTCAGTTGTGCACATGTTGCGTGTGCTCTTTCTCTAACCCGCTGTCAATGAATTTATTTTATACCACGACTACAGTATTGTTTCAATAAGGTGGGTTATTTTTTATTCATTCTGGTATTTCTTACATCCTAAGTTAGTCAAAACACAAATATATAACAAATGTATAACCATGAGCTTCTGAAAAGCCCTCTGGCCTTTACATTTTGAGCCAAAACCTTGGAGTCATGTTTCAACTAAAACTAAATTTTCAAATGGTTGTAATGGGAATGGGCCACTTTTAAATATTCATCAGCGTCATCAAACAGGTCAAGGTAGTTTCTTTTCAGTGATTGCTAGTACTGGTAGGTCTAGTTACCCAATTTCAAAATTCTTTAGAGGGATTGGCGAATAGTGTTGAAGAGTAATATGGCACGGAGCTCATTTTCCTGTAACTGTTGTTCATAATGAAGGCTTTCAGAGATGGCTCTTCTCACTGCACCTGTGTAGCTAGGCAATATATATCTGGCTGTGTACGACAATGGCTGTGTTACCTTGATGGCTAGCTGCTTCCTGCCCTGGTCCAGAGCCTGGCTGGCAATCTCGGAGAAGGAGACCCCCGGGACATCCAGCAGCTTCTGGGAGATGGCTTTAGCCAGGGTGTCCTCCTCCTCATGCTTCTGCTGCACCTGTAGGCAACAGTGGAGTGCAGAGTACCAGGTGAAAACTCAAAGCTGTAATTCCATAGAAACAAATAATAACAGAAAATGATTGATTGTTTTGCTTGTTTCTTGCCTTACGTCACCCCCAGCGATATGCCATCTGTATGACACAGCCTACATTTATTCAAGTCTTGACCCGACAAACCAGTGATTGATATTATGAGCAATGTCCAAATGATGATCAAGTCATTTTGTTGCCTCTCATGACACAGATTTGCCTGTGAATTATTCTAACCTGGATTCCATACGGGAGGAAATTCTAACAGAATGATTGAACTGAGTGTTAGTCAGTAATCAACCATAATGCATCACACGTCCCAGGACAATGACAATGAAGGTGCCAGTCTGCCATTGCTGTTGCACTCTCTCCATTTTTTAAACCTTAGACACCTTCCTTCCAGCTGTATCACGACATTCTGTACATAATAACATCTAGACCAGACAAACCAGTGATTGGATATATGAGCACCTGACCACCCTATCCACTGGTCAAGCACAGGTAACTGGGGACTAGTACACCTCCAGAATAGACAGGAGCCATACCATGTCATCACATGCATTAATGTATCTCTATAGTGATCCTAGTGCTAAGAATCACGACAGTGCAATCAGCAGGAACTCACACAATGCCATCTGGCCAAAGTTACAGGTATATTTGGGTTGAGAAGTGCGGCCCTACCTTGTAGCAGGCCCAGTGCGCCAGTATTCTGCTGGTACCCTCTGCATCCGGGATCTTCAGATACTGGCAGATCTTTATAGCCAGGCAGAAGAACTTCCGGAGAACCAGTCGATCTATCAGCACCGACATTGACAGGTGCTCCAGTCTTAAAGGTGTTAAGGTAAATGCAAGTACACAACATGATGCATAAATCTTGTTTCCTTGTTTGTTGTTTTACGCCATAATCAGCAATATTGCAGTCTTATGTCGGCAGACTGAACAATCAAGTCTGGAACAGTAACACAAGTGATTGACATTATGATGAACGATCCCCACAATTGGGTTACGATGACACACAACCAACCAAGTCTCAAGGTCTGACATCCAATCCATCAAGTTGCCTGGTATTATAGGTTGCTTGGGACCATGGTTATTCCGGGTTAGATTGAAACGGAAGAAGTAGTTAGATGAAATATTTGGGGAAAACCAGCACAACCAGGCCACAGTAACTTGCAGGGGTTAACAACAATTATACTCTAGCCAGCGGCTCAGGGAACTTGTAAAGACAAGGCGTAACAGATAAGGTGTAAGTCAGACAAATTATCCAGTGTGTCAATGAAATATTTTTTTTATCTTCAACTTGTTACATCTGTCAATAGTGAGTGAGTGAGTTGGGTTTAACATCGCTTTGAACAGTATTCCAGTTATATCCCAGCATGTCAGCTTAATGTGGAAGGAAAGCCTGAAGTGATGCAGGTCTTAGATGTTTACCACTTTAGTGAAAATTACGAGCTGTTGACAAACATAATCTGGGTAACCCAGGATTCGAACCCACTGTCACAGGTTTCTTGCATGCCCAAGGGACATAACTCTGCACAGCGAACTGTGGTGACTTGGATGACTGGGCACATGACATGAGTGAGTGAGTGAGTGAGTATGGTTTTACGCCGCTTTAAGCAATATTCCAGCAATATCACGGCGGGGGACACCAGAAATGGGCTTCACACATTGTACCCATGTCGGGAATCGAATCCGGGTCTTCAGCATGACGAGCGAACGCTTTAACCACTAGGCTACCCGACCGCCCCCACATGACATGACAGCACCCAGGTTTTAAATACCGATTCACTAGTTCTGCCAGAAGGATACTGTACGTATGTGAGCGGAATACCCACAGAGTGATGTCTGACTTGGTTCAACACTCGTAGCATCTGACACATGTTGACAAACGCCTCCGGCCGGTAGTCGGTCAAGAAGCATTTACCAAATGAAGCAGCCTGAAACACAAGCACAGAGTGAGTGAGTGAGTGAGTAAAAAAGATTAAATTATGAATTTGCATAAATTCCGCTTTGATCATGATAGATCTCCATATTTACACTGGTTATTGATCAGTGTGTGCTCAATTTTCATTCTCAGGTCCCTGGGGCGTATACAACCCATTCAGCCTGAGGTGCTAACAGGTTAAAAGTCATATCATCATCTCATTGTATCAGGTACCCATTTACTGCTGGGTTAATAGAGGCCCATTTTGAACATTTGCTGATAATAGAGGCCCATTATGAACATTTGCTGAAAGTGTGGGGGCAGGACCGAAGACCTAGGAAGTCTCAGGAGTCAAGTTGCCGGGCGCAGTCACCGATCCAACTACTTTCTGCGACCCACTTTGTGAGCTGTGTGCTGTACACAGGGCCACATGCCTCAGGTCCATACTCTAGTAGGAATAATGAGATATAGCCATCCTCAGAGGGCAACAATTTGCATGGAAATGTGTTTATTCGTTCCTTATTTTACATAAAATGAAGCAGGATATGTCTCAGATCACTGGCAACATCAAAATTCTATTCAAAAACATCTCCAGGCAATGTTTATATGCTGTAACAGTTTGATGTGATAGTTGAACAATCAAATAATATAATAATAAATTGATATTTGTAATAAGCTTTAGTCCATCTGTTGAACATTGCTCAAAGCCCTTATACCATTATTACCCGGGTCAATAGAATAGTGTGCATTCAATATTCTTTCACAGTTGCTGGGGAGTACACAACCCAAGCTGCCTGTGAGGTGCTAGAAAGTTAACAGTCACATTACCACATTACACATTCACTGCTGGGTAACATTCCCTGCTTGGTGAACAGAGGCATGTTTGGAACAAAGTCACTTGCAAGAGACGCCACATGTGCTGCATGTGCTTCTGTGTGAGGCAGGACCGAAGCCCTAGGAACTCTCAGGAGTCAAGCTGACGAACACGGTCACCGATCCAACTACTCTCCACGACCAACGTTGCTTTACTTCACCTCATTGGTGACCATGGTTCTGTGCACAGGATCCTGTGCCACCACTTACCCTCAGCAGTAATCTCTGTTTATTTGGTTCAATCTCATTCCCCGCTGCCTCAATACACTGGTCCACTGCAATGTCCAGTTTGTCCTTGATCATCCTCACATATTCATCAGCTTTCTGGCTGCGTTTCTGGAAAAATCAAATCACTTAGGATTCTATTCATGCTGACATGGTCATATATCTATTTTGTAGAACATAATGGGCATACATTTATGAGTATAACCGGAATTCTATCAAATTTCAAATAATAATATTCCAGCTTATAAGACAATACGAAAGTATTGAATTTTTAAAATAACAAGTATTTGTCACAGAGTGACGAAATATCCCCCGCCTGTACACCATAGTACCAAATATGAAGACAATCCAGCGATTAGTTCTTGAGATATTGTGGCAACACCGTTTTCCAACTCCAAAAGCAGATTTGTCTGCTGTGACCTTGAAAATGGGATCAAGGTCACCAAAACCGACTGGTGTCTGCGGAGTCTGTATATACACCATAGTTCCAAATATGAAGACAATCCAGTGTTTAGTTCTTGAGATATCGCGGCAACACCGTTTTCCAACTCTAAAAGCAGATTTGTCTGCTGTGACCTTGAAAATGGGATCAAGGTCACCAAAACCGACTGGTGTCTGCGGAGTCTGTATATACACCATAGTTCCAAATATGAAGACAATCCAGTGTTTAGTTCTTGAGATATCGCGGCAACACCGTTTTCTAACTCCAAAAGCAGATTTGTCTGCTGTGACCTTGAAAATGGGATCAAGGTCACCAAAACCGACTGGTGTCTGCGGAGTCTGTATATACACCATAGTTCCAAATATGAAGACAATCCAGTGTTTAGTTCTTGAGATATCGCGGCAACACCGTTTTCCAACTCTAAAAGCAGATTTGTCTGCTGTGACCTTGAAAATGGGATCAAGGTCACCAAAACCGACTGGTGTCTGCGGAGTCTGTATATACACCATAGTTCCAAATATGAAGACAATCCAGTGTTTAGTTCTTGAGATATCGCGGCAACACTGTTTTCCAACTCCAAAAGCAGATATGCCTGCTGTGACCTTGAAAATGGGGTCAAGGTCACCAAAACCGACTGGTGTCTGCGGAGTCTGTATATACACCATAGTTCCAAATATGAAGACAATCCAGTGTTTAGTTCTTGAGATATCGCGGCAACAAACAGGTGGGACGTACGGACGGACGGACGGACGGACGGTCGTGAATACTATATCCCCCGCTTCGCGCTTTCGCGCGGCGGGGGATAAAAAATAAAATGACATCATAACAATATGATTGTATGGTTCAATCATTAAGTCAGTTCATACAACCTACAAATGAGTGTTCTAAGTGCTACTATATATTTAAAACATGTCAAACACTGGGCTACAACTCGTGCCCTATATTGTACACTGAACCTTATCTACAAAATCATCGTCTAAAAATGAAACTGACGGACTAACAGTTCACCAGACTCCGGGCTAATGGTTAACGTCAAAGACTATAAATGACCATGTGGCTTCTCCTTATTAGATCACTATCAACATCGTTGTTAATTTCCCTAAACAAGTGTTACCTACTGGCATCACAACAATAATTGCACAATTACTTTTCTTCAGTGTGGGTTCGAATCCCAGGCAAAACTCAACCAAAAAAAGTATGAGAATTTGTACTTTACTGAGAAAGTGATATCCCAAACATAACATTTGTTACTTTTCTTCAGTTATGTAATGATGGCCTGTAATTAACAGGTGAGTTTTTGCTGGTGTCTATTTTTGCTTGCAAGTTACACACCTGGAATTCCCTGGATGCCTCGAACAACATGGCCCCTGGCTCCATGGATCCGATCTTGAAGATTTGTTCTGTCACAGCTAGGGATGGAAGAAACAGATACAGGAGTATCTTTACAGTAAATGATCCAAAGATTTCCAGCTTCCAATCCAATCTAAGAACATTTTTCAACTGATCAGATAAGAGCATAGACCTGTTCATTTTACAATTATCAGTAAACACTGATCTCTTCTCCACTCAACACTGTGTCCTGTTATTGTCAAGGGAATAGGAAATGATGTCCCCAATTGAGATGACAGTTAATGATAATGTTAATGCAGTGCAGAATACTTGGATTCCCACTGTAGGATTTGAACTCTAAGGTTTTGAGCTATAAGTATGGGTACTGGTGGTTAAATGTGTGCTTGAAGGCTGATTAATGCCACAGTCAGCTATGTTCCAGCTACATAATAGCAGCCTGTAAATAATCAAGTCTGGGTCAAGCAAGCCAGTGTCTGAATACAATGGTCCACAGCATCGGAGCAAGGTGACACATGATCAGCCAAGTCATAGAACCTGACCACCTGGTCTGATTTAGTCAACAATATATGCTGGGACCTGTTCTTATCTGAGATCCTACAGAGCTATTGAACTTGGGAAGATGAGCGAAGTCAGTGTTGGAGTGTCAATAAGACAATAACCCTGTCCTCAAGATCACAGCCCTCCTTCAGGGCCCTGATGACATAGCATCCCTCTGTGTTCTCCTTCAGAGCCCTGATGACAAGGCACCACTCTGTTCCCTCCTTCAGAGCCCTGATGACAAGTCATCACTCTGTTCCCTCCTTCAGAGCCCTGATGACAAGTCATCACTCTATGTCCTCCTTCAGAGCCCTGATGACAAGACATCACTCTGTGTCCTCCTTCAGAGCCCTGATGACAAGACATCACTCTGTTCCCTCCTTCAGAGCCCTGATGACAAGACATCACTCTGTGTCCTCCTTCAGAGCCCTGATGACAAGTCATCACTCTGTTCCCTCCTTCAGAGCCATGATGAGAGGCATCACTCTGTGCCCTCCTTCAGAGCCCTGATGACAAGGCTTCACTCTGTGACCTCCTTCAGAGCCATGATGAGAGGCATCACTCTGTGTCCTCCTTCAGAGCCCTGATGACAAGAAATCACTCTGTTCCCTCCTTCAGAGCCCTGATGACAAGTCATCACTCTGTGTCCTCCTTCAGAGCCCTGATGACAAGTCATCACTCTGTGTCCTCCTTCAGAGCCCTGATGACAAGTCATCACTCTGTGTCCTCCTTCAGAGCCCTGATGACAAGTCATCACTCTGTGTCCTCCTTCAGAGCCCTGATGACAAGTCATCACTCTGTTCCCTCCTTCAGAGCCCTGATGACAAGTCATCACTCTATGTCCTCCTTCAGAGCCCTGATGACAAGTCATCACTCTGTGTCCTCCTTCAGAGCCCTGATGACAAGACATCACTCTGTGTCCTCCTTCAGAGCCCTGATGACAAGACATCACTCTGTTCCCTCCTTCAGAGCCCTGATGACAAGACATCACTCTGTGTCCTCCTTCAGAGCCCTGATGACAAGTCATCACTCTGTTCCCTCCTTCAGAGCCATGATGAGAGGCATCACTCTGTGCCCTCCTTCAGAGCCCTGATGACAAGGCTTCACTCTGTGACCTCCTTCAGAGCCATGATGAGAGGCATCACTCTGTGTCCTCCTTCAGAGCCCTGATGACAAGAAATCACTCTGTTCCCTCCTTCAGAGCCCTGATGACAAGTCATCACTCTGTGTCCTCCTTCAGAGCCCTGATGACAAGTCATCACTCTGTGTCCTCCTTCAGAGCCCTGATGACAAGTCATCACTCTGTGTCCTCCTTCAGAGCCCTGATGACAAGATATCACTCTGTGTCCCCCTTCAGAGCCCTGATGACAACATATCACTCTGTTCCCTCCTTCAGAGCCCTGATGACAAGATATCACTCTGTGTCCCCCTTCAGAGCCCTGATGACAAGGCATAACTCTGTTCCTTCCTTCAGAGCCCTGATGACAAGATATCACTCTGTGTCCCCCTTCAGAGCCCTGATGACAACATATCACTCTGTTCCCTCCTTCAGAGCCCTGATGACAAGATATCACTCTGTGTCCCCCTTCAGAGCCCTGATGACAAGGCATAACTCTGTTCCCTCCTTCAGAGCCCTGATGACAAGATATCACTCTGTGTCCTCCTTCAGAGCCCTGATGACACATCTGTTTTACATACCTGGCACTTTCTGGAGAAACTCATGAATATCATCCCCGAATATCCTCAGCCCATCTTCCTCCTGTACTAGAGAGACTGGGCTGTCAAAGTTGTATCTGAACCGGATTAAGGAATAATATTTTTCGGACAGTGAGTGAGTGAGTGAGTGAGTGAGTGAGTGAGTGAGTGAGTGAGTGAGGGAGTAAGTTAGGGAGTGAGTGAGGGAGGGAGACACACTTCATCAGGGTACGATGACATGCAGTCAGCAAAGTCACAGATCCTGACTGCCCACATCTTAATAACATCGTAATTGCCTCTTATGAAAGACATGAAGTATTTGGGGACCTATTCTGACAAAGAATATCCCACTGGATGGAGACAAGTGAAATGTCGAAATGTTATGGGAAAAATCAATAACAATAAATTATGGACTATTTAGATTAAGCTGATGGTGACTACCCTGGTGCCCAAGCATCCCTCTGAGGGAACATGTAAAGGATACTTGATCCAGTCTTTATCTGGTCCGACCACAACCATCAGCCTGTCCCACATCGCTACCACAGCACCGTTGCCACACCTGTATACAGACAGAACAATGAACAATCTAGCTCTTCCATCACGTCAAGTCTCTGGCAATGCATTTTTTATAATTGATAAGGTATACAACTTAATTGTGTAAAACAAAATTTTCTCCTCCAAACCAGAAAAACTTATTTTTGAAAAGTTTCCATAAGACTGTCCTCATAGACTTTTTGGAAAAAGGAAAGGAAAGGCATACGGACTATGTCATGGAGATTCAAATAGTAGGAACCCTTGAAAATGTTTTTTTAAATTTTTGCAAAAGAAATGGGTAAATTATGTGATCCAGAAGTTATTAGATAGACCATGTCGAAAGAAGAATGTCACTCAATACACATTCACATAGCATGTCACTACATGTGATCTGTCGAGAACATATCAGATTATGACATACCATGCAAGTTGATTTGGCGGGGACTTGGATTTGGTGTTGAATTCACAATAACATTTCTGAAACAAGAAAAGAAAAGGTACTTAAAACTAAAAAATATGTAAATTTTAATAATAAGCTGAAATTACAGATACAATAATACCAACACTGTTCAGTGACTTCCTGAATGAGCGCATGTTATTTACCCTACAGACAGCAATAGTCCAGCTATGGAGCAGTTTATGCAGCAGTCAGCCATGCTCCAGATATACCTACAGTGTAACAAATGTTATATCTAGGATGACACATTCTTAGTAAAGTATATTTCCACTGGTTTGAAAGGAACTGAGTTTGGGCCTGGCAAACCAGTGGTTGATAACATTAGTAATGAACCATTCTGTTCAGATACTAGGACAAAATCTGCCAGGTCACAAAAGATAACATCTCAATCCTCAGAACGGTTAACACTTTTGACAGATATGTGGGGATTCCAGGTGACAATAGGTCCCCAGCAACCTATGCTTGATGTAAGATGCAGCTCTATGCTTGTTGTAAGATGCAGTTCTATACTTGTTGTAAGATACAGTTCTATGCTTGTTGTAAGATGCAGTTCTATGCTTGTTGTAAGATGCAGCTCTATGCTTGTTGTAAGATGCAGCTCTATGCTTGTTGTAAGATACAGTTCTATGCTTGTTGTAAGATGCAGTTCTATGCTTGTTGTAAGATGCAGCTCTATGCTTGTTGTAAGATGCAGCTCTATGCTTGTTGTAAGATGCAGCTCTATGCCTGTTGTAAGATGCAGCTCTATGCTTGTTGTAAGATACAGTTCTATGCTTGTTGTAAGATGCAGCTCTATGCTTGTTGTAAGATACAGTTCTATGCTTGTTGTAAGATGCAGCTCTATGCTTGTTGTAAGATGCAGCTCTATGCTTGTTGTAAGATGTAGTTCTATGCTTGTTGTAAGATGCAGCTCTATGCTTGTTGTAAGATGCAGCTCTATGCTTGTTGTAAGATGCAGCTCTATGCTTGTTGTAAGATGCAGCTCTATGCTTGTTGTAAGATGCAGTTCTATGCTTGTTGTAAGATGCAGCTCTATGCTTGTTGTAAGATGCAGCCCTATGCTTGTTGTAAGATGCAGCCCTATGCTTGTTGTAAGATGCAGCTCTATGCTTGTTGTAAGATGCAGTTCTATGCTTGTTGTAAGATGCAGTTCTATGCCTGTTGTAAGATGCAGTTCTATGCTTGTTGTAAGATGCAGCCCTATGCTTGTTGTAAGATGCAGCTCTATGCTTGTTGTAAGATGCAGTTCTATGCCTGTTGTAAGATGCAGTTCTATGCCTGTTGTAAGATGCAGCTTTATGCTTGTTGTAAGATGCAGCCCTATGCTTGTTGTAAGATGCAGCCCTATGCTTGTTGTAAGATGCAGCTAAATGGATTGGGTGTGTTCAGTGTGTCATCATACCCCAACAACATATGATGTTGCTCATAATATTAATCACTGGTTGCCAGATCAAGACTCAATTATTTCCAGGCCTTTGTTGTATAGCTTGAATATTGCTGAGTGTGACTTTTTAACAACAAGTTAAGGATGTATTCTGCCACAGGATCCCTGTGGTGCAGTGTTCCACAGATAACATCCGGTACCTGTAAGTCTGAGGAGCCGATCCATATCATCCCAGTCTGTGTGAAGAGAGCCAGGTACTTGTTGTTGAAGGACAGCGCCATGCCAACGTACGCCTCCACCTCGGACTCCACCTCCGGCGACTGTGAACATCACACTATCATGTTGAAAAAGGCCAGACACAATTTTACAACTTGGGATTGTAAATACTTATTTATAAAGTACAAACCGGTATCAAGTTATGAATAAAATAACAAAATTAATTTTGAATGTCTTTTATAACTACTGGGCTGGTGGTATTGAACACACCAGAATATTATGCAGTAGCTAAAAAGTATGAAAACCTCTCATCTATCCTGTCGTATCTTAATATATATATATAATGATACAGACTGGTATGAGTCGCCAGTATTTACCTGATTTACCTGCTCTTGTTCCCCTCATTTACCTGCTCCTGTCCCCCCTAATTTTCCTGCGCCTGCCACCCCCTGAATTACCTGCTTCTGTCCTCCTGATTAACCTGCTCCTGTTCCCCTGAGTTACCTGCTTATGATATTGTCCCCCTCATTTACCTGCTCCTGGCCCCCATGATTTACCTGCTCCTGTCCCCTTGATTTATCTGCTCTTGATACTGTCCCCCTGATTTACCTTCTCCTGTCCGCCTGATTTACCTTCTCCTGTCCCCCTGATTTACCTTCTCCTGTCCCCCTGATTTACCTTCTCCTGTACCCCTGATTTACCTTCTCCTGTCCGCCTCATGTACCTTCTCCTGTCCGCCTCATGTACCTGCTCCTGTCCCCCTGATTTACCTGCTCCTGTCCCCTTGATTTATCTGCTCTTGATACTGTCCCCCTGATTTACCTTCTCCTGTCCCCCTGATTTACCTTCTCCTGTCCCCCTGATTTACCTTCTCCTGTCCCCCTGATTTACCTTCTCCTGTCCCCCTGATTTACCTTCTCCTGACCCCCTGATTTACCTGCTCCTGACCCCCTGATTTACCTGCTCACAATATTGTCCCCCTGATTTACCTTCCCCTGTCCCCCTGATTTACCTGCTCTTGATACTGTCCCCCTGATTTACCTTCTCCTGTCCCCCTGATTTACCTTCTCCTGACCCCCTGATTTACCTTCTCCTGTCCGCCTCATGTACCTTCTCCTGTCCGCCTCATGTACCTGCTCCTGTCCCCCTGATTTACCTTCTCCTGTCCCCCTGATTTACCTTCTCCTGTCCGCCTCATGTACCTTCTCCTGTCCGCCTCAAGTACCTGCTCCTGCCCCCGATTTACCTGCTCATGATATTGTCCCCCGGGTTTACCTGCTCCTGTCCCCCTGATTTACCTGATTTACCTGCTCCTGTCCCCCTGATTTACCTTCTCCTGCCCCCCCCCCCCCCCCCGCCCCCCCCCCCCCCCCCCCGATTTACCTGCTCACGATACTGTCCCCTGATTTACCTGCTCCTGTCCCCCTGATTTACCTGATTTACCTGCTCCTGTCCCCCTGATTTACCTGCTCATGATATTGTCCCCCTGATTTACCTGCTCCTGTCCCTGATTTACCTGCTCACGATATTGTCCCTCTGATTTACCTTCTCCTGCCCCCCTGATTTACCTTCTACTGTCCCCCTGAATCCCTGAATTACCTTCTCCTGTCCCCATGAGTTACCTGCTCATGATATTGTCCCCCTGATTTACCTGCTCTTGTCCCCCTGATTTACCTTCTCCTGCCCCCCTGATTTACCTGCTCATGATATTGTCCCCCTGATTTACCTGCTCCTGTCCCCCTGATTTACCTGCTCCTGATACTGGCCTCCATGATCCACAAGGAAGAGCTGGTCATTCTTGGCAACCAGGGCTAGAGACTTCCTCTCTATGTTGATAATGGTCCAGCTACTGGGTAGAGAATTCAGTCCTGGAAAGCAAGCAAAACTTCCAGCATAATCCTGGATCACAATGAAGTTAACAGCACCATGTTGGGCTAGGTCTTAAGTCTTGGCTTCCATCCACAGTGGTTCTCTTTGTGATCATTATAAATTCTTACCAGCACCATGGACTGGAGGTACTGAAGCTCACCTTCAATGTACTGTTTACCTACAGTTTAACATAAAAAAAATTGTACACCAGTCTCAAAATCCTCCAGTGCCGTTTACATGAGCATGATCCTAGGTTAGACCTCAAAGTGTGCCCCCACAGGAACGGGGAACTTATTTTAACTGTGCCATCACAATTTTAACCATGCGACGAGATCTTTTTGAGAAAAATATTTTGTTCAAGAAATATATTGAAAAAAATAAAAATATAAAGTCAAATTGACAAAAATGTATGCCTTTAAGAATGAAGGCAAAATATTGTTTCTCAAACAAAAAACTCTGCTCCCTCTGAAAATGAAACGGTCCGACCCTGACGCTTAAGTTGTGATACCTGGGACTTCTGCCAGCTTCCTGACACGGGGATCTTCAGCATTGGTGATAAGGAATATTCGGAATCCTGTCGTCATGACAGCAATTCCAGTGCCTTGGAAACTGTTGAATATTTTGCAGTCTAAAAGCTTCACATCCTTTGCCTCCTACAGGGAAAAATGAAACCATTTTGGAGAAACTTCTCTAATGTCAACCACCAAATATATAGGGGACATGTACAAAATGCAACACAACAAATTAACTGTAATCATGGTTATAAATTATTAATACCAATTTCAAATAAAGAAAAAAAAATTCACTGCCAGAAGAGTATACTTGTTACTGTAAGTACAGTTCAGATCCAGCATAAAAAATATTTATTTGAAATTTATATTGTTTCAGCTAAGGCTCTGGTCTTGTATTATAGGGGTGGTGGGTTGGTGAGATTAAGATAATCTGTGTCTACAACTCCTGTACACTGTAAACATGATATGATTAAAAAGTGACACCTTACTTAGACTGCGGTTATCTAAAAAACAGTTAACATGAATGTGAAGGAAACAAGTCATGCTGTGTACACACCTGGCCCATCCCAAATGTCCTCTTGAAGTTGAGGAAGATGTCATACACCAACACAACTCCATCGTCCTGCACACACAGCAGCTCCTCCGTCACTGTCCACCCTATCTGTATCACGTGGCCACTGTTCCACTGACAACACAAACACACTGATGAGAATCTCAGCATGACAATGTGTCAGGTGAGGTGAAATGAGGTTTAACATTGTCAGGCCTGCCAACGCAAACTGACAGACTGCAACAGAAAACTGTACATTTACATCTTACAGCCGTAATACAACGATACACATCTAGAATAATCTATATTGTGCTGTAAGATGCACGTTTACTCGCTGTTTGTTGATCCTCATGACATGACTGTCAACTTCCTTCCTGTTCCACGCAGGCCAAGTCTGGAAAGCTGCGGTCATGTTTTTGGCAGTGTGCTCTCATTTATGAGGTTGTTTCTTAGATTTTGGTTACGTTCTCATTGTTTTCTTTCGCTGATTCCTTGTGTGTTGTAGGCATATGACAGTTTTCTGTTGGTCTGTCAGTTTTCATTGGTAGGCCTGATCGTGTCTAAGATTATATATCAACATGCATGCGTGTGTTGGCGTGCGAGCATGTGTATGTGAGGCTGCTTGTAGTCCAGACAAATGCTGGTACTATAGTGCTAGCCCACTGAGATACCATGTCACAGTTTAACAATGGTTGTAGTGATGTCCTGAGACTGTAATGTTGCCATGGTTGTCATGACTGTAGGGAGTTTGTCCACATGTAATAATGTAGATACCTTGGATTAGAGCTCCCATCTGGAGGTATCAACCTCCCTTGTACAATGTTGTACCTACCCTGAGTTGACTGAGAAGTTTCCCTGCAGTATTGTAAACACTGATGATGGGTTTGACGTTTGTTGTCACCCTGCCAGACTTGCTCTCATCTCTCATGAGAGCTGAAAACAAAGTATAGAACACAGCGCTGAAAAACTCATTGACATGGCTGGGTTAAGCCAAACTCTTAACTCTATCTTACAAAGTATTTCAGTTACCATATTCGACGTAATAAGCGCCCCGCTCTAATAAGCGCCCACAGCGATATTTGCTGATATATTGGCTATTGAACAATCCCAATTACCACCCCTTCCGATTGATCAATGCACACAAGACTCATTCATTCATGTATAATACGCAATCATGTGTTATATGCACCCTTAATTATGGGCAATTAAATTGTGGACAAATATATCTGTCGTGTATAATACGCACAGACTTTTATTTTCTATCATTTCAGGCTGTCAGCATGAACCACAAAATTTATGATCTTTCAACTTTTTTTCATAATTTTTTTATTCTAATAAGGGCCCCCTATTTCTAATTTTGAGAGCGCCCTGGGCGCTTATTACGTCAAATACGGTATATAACAGAATGACACCTTAATGTGGGAAGAAAGTTTTACGTGACACAGATTGTAGACATTTACCAATTCTACATATTGCTACACTGAGTATGGTCATGGTGCAGACAAACCAAGGATCATAATCGGGAGGAATCTGGGATTCAAACCCAAATCAAGGGATCCTCACACCACTTGGCCACCCAGCTGGTAAGTGTTAAACAGAAGTAAGCACCTCTGATATTAAACTTTATGCTTAATAATACTAATCATCACATATCTTGACAAATATCTGTCATTCAAGTTAAACACATTCTCAATAAAATCATATCATGCCTGTCTGCATGAAGATCTCAGGACACCTCCAGAGGAAACTTTCTAATTAGCCAATGAGCATCAACGCTTATAAATTCTTGGTACAAGTGAGTGAAGCATTCAAACAAGTATATATGATTTGAGTATCTTGAAATCAAATTAAAATGACAAATTCTGAAAGTAGAATGTATATCGGCACCATTATATTGTTCGGGATATATCAACATGATCAACCAAATCCTGTTTTTTCTGAGCGCCATGGCATCCACACCCATGAGAGAGCACAATAAAATGGATATCTTTGTTCCCCGTTGGTTATTTGTGCAACTCAAAATTTCTGAATCAAGGTGGAAATAACATTAAGGTTATCATTTTATCATTTAAGACAGCTGATTGGCTGAAACACCCATGCAGCCTTCTTTTAGACGGGGCAGTTGAAGATCACTCAGGGTTCACCCGATGACAATTTCTATGGAGGTGTTTCTCAGATCTTAATGCAGAGAGGTTTGACTGGTGTAATTTTTATGGCGGTGTTTGTCAGATCTTAATGCAGAGAGGTTTGACTAGTGTAATCTCTATGGAGGTGTTTGTCAGATCTTAATGCAGAGAGGTTTGACTGGTGTAATCTCTATGGAGGTGTTTGTCAGATCTTAATGCAGAGAGGTTTGACTGGTGTAATCTCTATGGAGGTGTTTGTCAGATCTTAATGCAGAGAGGTTTGACTGGTGTAATCTCTATGGAGGTGTTTGTCAGATCTTAATGCAGAGAGGTTAGACTGGTGTAATCTCTATGGAGGTGTTTGTCAGATCTTAATGCAGAGAGGTTTGACTGGTGTAATCTCTATGGAGGTGTTTCTCAGATCTTAATGCAGAGAGGTGTGATTAGGTGAACATATCTGATGTTAATGAGACTGATGTGATGATAGAGACCAATCTTTGGCTAATACTTGTCTTGCTCAGTTTTCATGGTAAATCTGGACATGGGGTACAAGCAGCAAACATTTGACATATTCCTTCTACATATATAGAAATATGAATATGTATAATGAAACTGAAATGATTGATCATGTCCATGTGAAACCTTTATTAATCTAACACTACCCAAACACTTCCCAACTATAGAACAAACAAGGTTTCACTTTGTATTGAAGATATAATCATGGCAATTGATCCTGTTGATCAATATGGGTAATCACCACATCAGTGACTGGCAGCTTTTAGGAGACGTGACAAAGAACGTTATATTTTGGACATTTAAATCATCACTTGTGATTTTAGAAAAGGTCTCTATCATAAACTTTTCTGTGAGATTTTTACCTATGGGTCCTCCGTATGGTGCTGCTGCCACGGTACATTTTGACAGGTCCACCAGACCACTCCATTCCATAGTGTATAACTCGCATTTTCTTGAAGCAAAGAATAAATTTACATTAGTTATGTTTGGAGCAATGAGCAATGAGCAATGAGCAATGAGCAATGAACATTGAACATTATTTTATTAACACAAAAAAAAATCCACTGTCAACGTTAGATTGCAAATTACAAAGAATAGAGATGTTGTGAAAATGCACCATAATGTTTCAGTAGTGACAGAAGCTTAATAGTTTATTTTGCCTGAGCAAACATTCCAATTTATTATTACATTGTACACAAAACAGAAAAAAAATATTTTAGCCCACTAGTCCTTATAATGATGACATATAGCAAAAAACATAAAAATGGAAAATTTCTACTATTCCTCGTGATACCCTAACTACTGGGCACTTTGGCAAGGCTTTCGGGACTAGTGCTAGTTTCTAACGCTGCAATATCAGCAGGGCTTGTAGTGCTCATCGTATTCGTAGCCTATCCATGCTATCGAGGGTCCAAAATAATAGGCCTTGATGAGTGATCACTCCCACTTTCTTGAAACGATATAATTTCCTTTGAAATTGCTGTGATAAAATGTGAAATGAAAATTAGAGCAGCAAAGCTTGAAAATGAGGTCACATTACGAATAACGTTCGATGACATTAAGTTAGATTTTCCAACCTGTAATATATAGTTCCAAGAGGACTCCAATCTGCAGTAGCCATATTTCCTGGATATCAGAGTTACCTCCCTTCCGACGAAGAACACCCAAGCTCCTTCCCAGCGCGTGACACCTTCGTTACACTCTCATAGTACAGAGAGCTCCGGGAACGTACTATCGCTGTGAGGAGCTTGGAAGAACACGCCTTCTTTCGTTTGAGACTGGAGAGTTCCGGGCACCTCTATGGAAGGTTTCCATATTATTTATAGCAGCGGAATCCCAGTGTTTGTCAGGGGAGAGCGACCAATCGGTAGAGATCACCAATGTGGTTTATGTAAGTATCAGTAAGCAGTTTCATCATTTACGTAAACAACAGCGATTCATGTAAGTATATATCATGCAGTGACACTGGAAACTTATATTAGTTTTAAAGAGTTGTCAGAAACCGTTGAAGTCAAATGTACTTTGACGTATCTTTAAAAAATATTTAATTGATTGATAATTCATGTTGTATGAAAATAATGCAGAAACGAGAAAGAGCAAGTCATTCTGTCGTAGTAAGGTAGTGGGTAAACGGGTCCGTGTCAAATATTTCGTCTGATATTTTCACATCAGATCATGGAGATAGCCGTTGTTCATTTGGTAATTGCGAGTTTGTCAATGTCATGCATGTTTGATTTCATAGCTTTCGGTCATCAGTGTATGGGATAATCCACAGTTCAATTGTACAGCGAGTTTGGAATATTAGGTCATGTTGATACATATATATAATCAAAGATTTTCAACAAAAAACAACAAACACATATATATTTGGTAGTGATAAATGTGTGGCATGACTTTTCTGTTAACTCATCATTCAAATTAAAAATAATATTTTTGATTGTCAAAACTTTACCAATAATCAAGTAATCAGTTTACTTTCATATATCTACATTTGGTCCTAATCACCAAAGTTGCACAACAATATATATAGCTAGGCTATTGTAGAATAATTTGTTAATTTGAAGTTTACACGATATACAGCGTTTCCATTAGAACAGAGGCTGGTCACATGACCACGAAAGTGATGTTCATAAGTGTATCAACGACACAAGTTCACGGGACTGTTTACTTGAATTGACGTTAACACTGACTGACTACTTTCACATTCCTTGGAATTCCCTAGCACGAATACATTCAGTAGCGTTGTTTCTGATCATTTAGTCCCTTTAATCTTGAAATCAGCACTTTAGTATACATTCATAAACGTACAAGACTGCATGATTGTTTACGAATATCTTCACTATGACCCAACATAGTAAAGACAACGAGGAAATGCACATATATATCCAAACTATTGTTGTTTTGACTCAGTCCATGTCTGAACTGACTGTGACAGTCTACAGTAATCTATGAATTTAACCAAGACATCTTTTTGACACATCTTTATGAATCATCGGCTAATTGATCAATGATGACACATGTAACCTCCACAGGTTCATTAACAACTTCTGAAAACTCTCCCGTCATGTTTATCATGTCGTCCTTTTGACATCTTGCACTTGATGAACATCCATTACAATGTGCTGGCATTCTGACAGACTTACTGAGGTCGTTCTTCACAGACCTTTCTCATCCAATGATGTTATTTGAATATGTTTTTAGTAAGCTAACTACAACAGGTGTTCCTGTAGAGCAAGATGAGCATACTTACCCTCACGTCACCTCTTGTTTTGAGGAACTATTGTATTCCGCTGTACAGCTGGTGGTTGTCTGGCTGTCAGTGTTAACTTGAAGTCACACATACTAAATAAAATTGTGTATAGATCTAGACCTACATAGTGATATGAAAATGATAAGAACTGACTTTCACTTTGTGTGTTGCAAGCTCTGATGTTCATACAGTTTAGCCCTCACTCTGAGTGTCATTACTGGTTGCTCTCCAGCCAGTTGATCCCTTTATTTGATTTTAATGACTAAATTGTCAAAGTGAGTTTGTAATAATAGTTTGTGTGTTGTTTTCTTTTCATAAGGGGGCGGTCGGGTAGCCTAGTGGTTAAAGCGTTCGCTCGTCACGCCGAAGACCAGGGTTCAATTCCCGACATGGGTACAATGTGTGAAGCCCATTTCTGGTGACCCCCCGCCATGATATTGCTGGAATATTGCTAAAAGCGGCGTAAAACCATACTCACTCACTCACTCACTTTTCATAAGCTATGTCGTTTCCGTTTCCTTCTGTTTTCGAAGAAAGTGTTTAGTTCCATAAGATATGACCTGATCATGAGTTGATAATCTGCTTGTATTTTTACACATGATGTAGTATCGTGAAACCATCACTCCATAGCAGTAAACAATTATAATTACGCACATAAATTTTGCACAGGCTTCAAAAGGCCTTCAATAATGCACGATAAGATCCATAACTAAGTTGTTGATGATGTTCAGAAGTTCATGTATGAACTTGAATGTTTTATGACTGTGTTTAGATGTACAAACGGAACCATTCTGCTAATTACATTAGGGAAGAATGTCATAATGAACCTTTTCGAAAGCTCACTTAAATTGGGTCTTACAGTCAGCCTCAAATAGTGTGATGATTGCATTGAAACGGCCTAATCTTGTTGGTTCCTGTTTTATAGGCTGACATACAATGTCTCTGTTTGACATATATGCCACATTGCATAACAATGTCCACACCTAGGGTACTGCTCTGTGAAACATAGTCCCTCATTATGTGGAAACTTATAATATGCCAGAATGTATTTTTTGTTGAATACAAACAAATACTTTGTCCGTCTGTGATCTTGATGGTGAGAATTACAAACTTTTCTTTAAAAAGGCACAATTATTTCTCAGATTCACCTAAAACAGGTGATAACCTTTGCAAGAGGAGACAAGGTATTCAGTCTAATAAGCCGCCCATCCTTTATAATGTTTTGGCTGAAAGTCAAGTGATCCCAGCCCTGGTGTCTCTCACAGGATTCCGATTCCAGTCTGAAACATGACAGCCATGACCTTGTGGCTCTATTTTTGTTTGTTGTTTTAACCCCCAATCAGCATTATTACAGCAAGTAATCATGAACAGATCTCATAAGTACTGCCTATTACGAATATGTGGTCCTATGGATAAACATTTTAGAATCAAATGTTGGCATCTTGGTTGCCTTTTTTCTCAAAACTTCTTTTCTTTTTCTTTATTTGTTTTTTTCTCTATAGACCATGTAGACCAACCTGTTATCTCATAATGATTAAAAATTACAAAAAGAAAAAAACCCAACAACTTAATAATGTTAGGGGATGTTCATTTATTACAAGGGGTGGGGTGGGCCGGGTGGCCCAGTCGTCTAAGGCATCGCGATTCGCTCTGCAGAGTTGCATCCCTTGGGCACGCCAGAAACCTATGATTGTGGGTTTGAATCCCGGTTCGCCCCGATTATGTTTCAAGGTTTGTCAGCACCATACCTGTGCTCGTGGGTTTCACCGAAGTGGTAAACGTCTGAGACCTGCATCACTTCGGGCTTTCCTCCCACATTAAGCTGACACGCCGCGATATAACTAGAATACTGTTAAAAGCGGCGTTAAACCCAACTCACTCACTCATTCACTACAAGGGGTGGTTGGGAAGTTCAGGTGTTTTATGTCCTAATGTACTGAGAATAATTGCCCTCCCTAATGCTTGCCATATTTTGGGATGACCCTTCACAAGTCTTTGTGCATTTCAAGTATGTGTTTTTTTTTAAGGACATTCTCCTATTGACTGTCATAGTTGTATGTGACCCCCCCCCCCCCCCCCCCCTGCTCCCTCTGACCCACCCCCTATGATAAATGACCAGTCCCTATAAATCCTAATCTGTAACATTGAACACAGGTGAGGGAAACTGTTTAGTACTTGTTATTGAGATACCCATTGTGTCGTCATTTCAGGTTAAGTATTCAGTTTGATAACTTTATTTCCTATTCATGAGGCCCGTGCAATAAGTGTAGGACATGACTAACTAGGATATCCCTATTCAGGACACAGTGCAGTGACGAGATAGGTTATGTTGTGGAGTGTGTCTGAGCACATCTCACAAGTAGGTGGCAGCACAGGGAGTGACACAACTCACTTGTAGGTACGGTAAGTGTGCCATCTTGTCTTATCTGCAACTTAGTTATTTTGTAATTCTAACAATTCATACATTTACAGTTTGTATAAATAAATGTTTGTATAGGCCTATTGTTCATTGTATTGTAATTGAGTCATGTTTCATGTACTGTATTTGTCATAATAAGCACATGTGTACCAGTAAAGTAAAAAAATGGGGCCTCATTAAAACCATATGCAATGAGTTCAATTTGTCTTCAGTGATCGAGCAGTAGTGAACAAACTTATTTAGAACATATTTGCAATGTACCAAGAAAAATATGGACTGGCATTTAAATATTCAGTTTTAGTAGGGGCCCTTAAAAGGATTACTTATGGATTGTTCTAGACGTTGGTCAGGGTTCCACTTATTAGAAGCAGGGTGCTTAATACGTCAAATATGGTATATCACATTTCAAGTAGTCTCATGTATGTAGCGAGTTAGACTTTTCAATAAGTAATAAAATAGTCTTCAAGTAGAGAACTGAATGTATTGTATGTAAGAAAATTCTCTTCAGACTGAAAAGGTTCAAGGCCATCAACTACAAACATTTTCCTGAAGGGGTCAGTACTTACTATAAAGGGCTGTGTTGTAATATATAATTATGAAATGATGATGAACAGGATGAAAGTGGTCCGATACTTGTGTATAAAAACAGATAAAATGGTGTTATTCAGTGACTTTAGGATACTGACCATTCATCATATTCTTAATTCTGTAAATGTGGTAAAGAAAGCTTAGTATTTCAAAGATTTGTAAAATTCAAGTTGTACCATGTATACTGTCTGTATAGCAAAATAGTGTAATACATTGATGAAAGCTGTCTTATCAAAGAATTCCTTAGTTGTCATGTTGATTATTTTTGTTTTCCTCAAACTTTTTCTTGAATGTAATTAACAACGCGCTGGTGTGACGTTGATTAATGTTATTTGCATGCCTTGCATGCAAGGGGTCGGCGTATGGTTCTCGGTAGGAAGTGACAACTTGGAGACGATGGCTTGCTGTATATACAATTTTACTTTATACAGGTAGATATATACATGTATACAAAAATTACTATGTGCCAGGTCAGCACATAGTGGTAGTGGTTGTTGTCTTGGTGCCCCGGAGCACCCAGCCTAACCCTAGCTAGGCTAAGGGTAAGACCTTTCGTCTCACTCTTTCTCCCTCTGATTTTCATCTTTGGACCAAGGCTTATATAGCCAAGGTCACCTGACATTTAGTAAGTCATAAATATAAACAACAGTAATTCATCTGTGGCATACTTGCACATCTCGTTCAGGATGGCAGACAGTCGATGTCCAATACAATGGGGATTAATAATTGGGATTACCATCTTATAAATAATGGCAATGAAGTGTATCAAGGCATATAGCCTTTGGAATTAAATGTTCATTCAGACAATTGTTGTCACAAATCGGTCGCTATGACATAATGATAAAACACAACTTCAAACATGTAATTATTTCAAATAAAGAACATTCTCAATTAATAAGCAAAGTGCAAGGTATAATTAGGTGAGGGCCATTATTGTCCCACTATAATCAACAGATTTATAATTGCAAAACATTGATAAAAAGTGTTAAAAGTGTACACATATTTGACCAAATTGATGAAGTTTCAAGAACTTTAATTTAGAGATGTACACATGATATAACTAAAATTAAATCTTTCAACTAAAGGCTTATCTGTTAAAGTGAGCTACAGAGCTTCAGAATCTTGACGTTTATGGACAGATGTTACGTGAAGTGGTTGATGTATAAACACCCACCACTGAAGTGTCCATGCTGCAGACGGTTGACCAAGACTGGTGTACTCCACCCCGTACAGTAGATGTAATCTTGTGTTGGCCACACAGATAAGAGTGTGGGATTTACCTGGTGTTTATTCAATGTGTAGTGTTCACATATCACATAGCATGCATAGTGGCTTGTGTGATACGTGGCACAGGGATATACGTCTGGCACACAATATATCAAATTTGGATGTACCATGGCAGCCGGAACTAATATCATGTGGTAAGATATATAGCGTGTGAAGTCGGAAAGCCAGGATGAATATGTAATTTGAAAAATACATTTGTGATCCATGACACTGACTGTGACAGCTGGTACACTATGTGCACAGTGCCAGCATGTGTGTGTTGTAGTCCTGACATCTAGATCATGTTGATCGTGGAAATATTTGTTACATTATGAAATTTATTACTATTTTATTATTTTAATTATTATATGTTATTTATATAAGAATTAACATTGTTTAGATAGTGGATTAGATGTGAATAAGTCATCATCACCATCATCATTGTCGTCGTCGTCATCATCGTGATTCAGCAAATTATACATTGATAGTTGATGCTTGTAATGTATATAATGATATCACAATTATATGTTATATTTATCACCCTGTAATTTAAATATATAAACTGCTGATATGATATCAGTTCCGTTTGAAAGTTCATTCATATCATGATACAACTAGGTTAATGTCTTGTACCAACACTGTTATAACATGCTGTGTCACTATCACCTGTTGCTGTAGTAATTAACAGGGCAGTGTAATGGCTGCTGTTCTGTAACAGTACAAGCCAGGCTTGTTGTATGGTGTAACATCTCAGGAGACATTCACAAGCTGCAGGTATTGATATGAGTTCCATTTTTATCCCCCGCCGCGCGAAAGCGCGAAGCGGGGGATATAGTATTCACGACCGTACGTACGTATGTCCGTACGTCCGTCCGTACGTCCCACCTGTTTGTTGCCGCGATATCTCAAGAACTGAACACTGGATTGTCTTCATATTTGGAACTATGGTGTATATACAGACTCCGCAGACACCAGTCGGTTTTGGTGACCTTGATCCCATTTTCAAGGTCACAGCAGACAAATCTGCTTTTAGAGTTGGAAAACGGTGTTGCCGCGATATCTCAAGAACTAAACACTGGATTGTCTTCATATTTGGAACTATGGTGTATATACAGACTCCGCAGACACCAGTCAGTTTTGGTGACCTTGATCCCATTTTCAAGGTCACAGCAGACAAATCTGCTTTTAGAGTTGGAAAACGGTGTTGCCGCGATATCTCAAGAACTAAACACTGGATTGTCTTCATATTTGGAACTATGGTGTATATACAGACTCCGCAGACACCAGTCGGTTTTGGTGACCTTGATTCCATTTTAAAGGTCACAGCAGGCAAATCTGCTTTTGGAGTTGGAAAACGGTGTTGCCGCGATATCTCAAGAACTAAACACTGGATTGTCTTCATATTTGGAACTATGGTGTATATACAGACACCGCAGACACCAGTCGGTTTTGGTGACCTTGACCCCATTGTCAAGGTCACAGCAGGCAAATCTGCTTTTGGAGTTAGAAAACGGTGTTGCCGCGATATCTCAAGAACTAATCGCTGGATTGTCTTCATATTTGGAACTATAGTGTATATACAGACACCGCATGCACCTGTCAGATTTGGTGACCTTGACCCCATTTTCAAGGTCACAGCAGGCAAATCTGTTTTTGGAGTTGGAAAACGGTGTTGCCACAATATCTCAAGAACTAATCGCTGGATTGTCTTCATATTTGGTACTATGGTGTACAGGCGGGGGATATTTCGTCACTCTGTGACAAATACTTGTTATAAGTCTATTCGGGGCGGTCGGGTAGCCTAGTGGTTAAAGCGTTCGCTCGTCACGCCGAAGACCCGGGTTCGATTCCCGACATGGGTACAATGTGTGAAGCCCATTTCTGGTGTCCCCCGCCGTGATATTGCTGGAATATTGCTAAAAGCGGCGTAAAACCATACTCACTCACTCACTATAAGTCTATTCGTTTATTTGCCATACACGGTTTTACGCAATGCACAAATGTGTGTCCAGTATGCTCAAATGTTCAGAATGGACGCAGAAAAAGAATATGCTGTGTCCTGAGGGACCCATAATAATATTCTTTGTACCTACAGCGTATTGAAAGCATTTGTGGGTGTCTGTTATTTCATCCTTCAATCGTGACCACTGTCCACATGATCACTGATTCATTCCAGGCCCTCAAGTAATTTTCAAAACGTACAGAACATTTCACCATTTCATTACTTCATAGGACCCTCATAACCCTTTATAATTAATTATGGGGGTCCCTACTTTTGTAACATATGGTGGAACCCTGGCAATATCATCATGGACTACAGAAATCTACATGTTATTTAACTTAATCCATACCACAACTCCCACAGCTGTCACAACCTGTGGAGTTAATACAACCGTGTTAACTGTAATAAAATGTTTGTTGGATAAAGGTAATTCTTTAAGTCTCCAGCAATCATGACAATGTCAAGTGTGTGAGCACGCCAGACACTAATGATTGTGGGTTTGAATCCTGATTATGTTTCTTGGTTTGTCAACACCATAACCCATGCCTTTGGGTTTCAACGTCAGAGACCTACATCACTTCGGGCTTTCATCCCACAAGCTGACAACCCGTAATATAGCTGGAATACAGTTCAAATGTGTGAAGGCTAAAAAGATCTTTTCTTTGTTTTTCCACCCACCAGAATACTTTTGTATCCATATCAATTTAAAATCAGCAAGAAGTAATTTAAGGTCTATAAAATGTTATTTTTGTGAATATCTGGCATAACAAGATCGTACTTCCTTTGCATAATGCCATGTTGTTGCACTAATCCCTGTGTTATGATGGCTGAATAGGACATAATTATGATATCAAATACAATATTGTCATATTTGTTTTCCTGCTGTCAACACTGACCAATTTTTAGCTTCGTAAACATGATTTTTTCAAAATTTGATACCATCCCCACCACATTGGGTAAAAGAATGAGAAAACTTGATAAGGAGGTTTGAGTTTTTGTTCCTTTGTTTTCGCCTTGTTGTGGGCACCTGGTGTCATTGCTGTTTCATGGTGATTCATGAACACATTCATGCCCTTCACCTGAATCGTACAGTAAGCTTTGAATTTTTAAACTTATCCTATCTCACACTATGCTTTTCTTCTTATTTTTTCCATCCTGGTGTGGAAACATTCTAGAACAAAGTTTCCAGCTAAAAAAAAAACCCAATCACCTAAATACATCCGATACACCACCTAGTCACCACTGTGATCATGGGTCACGCACCACTGCAATCCAGTGCGATCTGATCACCTGACCCATACAGCAACCTCGTTCTCAATTCTATCGTCTGGTATTCGGACGTATACCCAAACAGAGAATCTTTTTATTTTTTTTATTTTACATGACTTCACTCCTGTTAACCATTACCATCGTTCTTACCCTCTTCAACCTCTATGTGAGCTTGAAAGGTTTGAAAAAGCGATAAAAGAGAAGCCAAACTGGTCCACCTTATGTCCTCAAGAACGTATGTGTGAGGTCTGACTTGACAGGACACCTCCTATCCGGGGCGAGATTGAAGTCCTGAGTAGGTTTCACCTGGCTCATGGATACGTGGTCGTGCCTTGGAACGGCGTCCTGTGTGAAACCATGGAATACATGATTCATCGATGTCATGCAGTATCTCTCTTGGTAGCACAAAGAGGGTTTTTGAAGCAACCTTTACACGAGCTTATCACTAATCCTTGTAAAATCCTTTGAATATTTCGTGATTAGTTCCAGCTTCCTCGTATACATCTCACAGTTGAGGTCCTTACAGGCTAAGGTATCTGTGCCCCACCATCCAACCGTGGGATAAATGCATAGTGTGAGATAGGATAATTTTAAAGAATTGTAAATTTTCTAATAAATTGTATTGTATTTATATATTTATCCCATCTCACACACTAAACGCCCACCCAACCATCCCCGCATCACAGTTACACCAGCCTGTACGCTCTAGATTGAGAATGAGGGTGCTGGATTAGTGGAGGGTGGTGATCAGATCTCAGGGGTCATGTCGCATGGAATTGCAGTGGTGCATGACCCATGATCGCAGTGGTGACTTGGTGATGCATTTGGGTGAGTGGTGTTTTTTTAAGCTGGAAACTAGGACGTTTCCACACCAGGATCGAAGAATAAGAATAAATGCATAGTGTGAGTAGATAGAATAGGTATGTCAATATACAATTGATTAGAACATTTACAACATGGTAAAGATTTTTTATGATTATGGAATTATATTTTTTGTGACTTTTGTTATTCAGTGATATGATATTGCTAGAATATTGCTAAAAGCAGCGTGACACCAAACTCACTCACGTCATCAGTTGATGGACCAGGTGTATGTTTCAGGTTGGTGCAGCGGACTGCTCGATTGCTGCTTGCCGTGAGTCTGGTGAAGAACAGCTTCCCTTCTGTCAGCTGGTTTGCTATGGGAGATATGGCATCCAAGATGTCTATGGTCAGCAAGGAAGAGGCTATGCCAGGTTTGAAACTTGATTTACTTTGCATGTGCAGAAAGAAAGAAATTTCTTCTGAGGTCTTTTTGCTTCTTTCCCCATCATTTGCATGGCTGTCATATGTTGTTGAGAGGAGAACTAAAAACACATTCAATATTTCTCCATGAAATCTTATAGCAACACATGAACTTAGTGGTGAAGTGCTGTCGTTTCAGCAAGTAATTTTAAGAACTCCAGACCATTTTCATTTGGGTTTGACACTGGTTTATGTAGTAGTTTGGTTATACTGTACTGTGTCACCTTAATGTAGGTGGAAAGCCCGAAGTGATGCAGGTCTTAGACATTTACCACATCGGTGAAACTCGTGGTCCCAGGTATGGTGCTGACAGACCCAGAAATATAATCCGAGAAAACTGGGCTTCAAACCCATGATCATAGGTTTCTGGCATACCGAGGAACGAAATGTGGCATGATAGATGAATGTGCCACCATACCACCTTATGACCTAGAAACAAATAGGTTTCTAAAGATAGCTGACATGATAGTGTTCCATAATCAGTGGTTGATACCCAGTGTTCCCATTAATTACCAGATTTTTACCGGTAAAATTTGGCTTGGACCGGTAATTCATGTTACTGCAGTCCCTGTGGACCGGCAAATAAAGTTCCTTATAAATCTTTGTTGTTGAACAAAACATCGGCTATATTCATATAAGTATGTTTTTCTAACAAAGTCAGCTTGTCAGTTGCCATCTGGGTTTCCCCTTGTCTATTTTTAGTGCTATCAAATAACATTTCGCTTTGCCTCAAGTTTAAATATATATTTGCAGCAATTAAGTCTCGAAATATAAAAAAAAATAGAGTTGAAAGAATTAAAAACAGGTAATTTTCATACTTTTTTTCATTTGTTGAAAGTTGGAACTGACAAAAATTAGGGGGGACTGGTAATTTTTAGAGTTGCCAGTCCTGGTGGGAATATCGGATACCAAACCAAACCAGAAATGGTAAGCATTTGACAGTTGGACTTAAAACACAAAGGGAATTTTGTCTACAGGTTCAGTAAAATGGTAATCTGCCAATTAGTTTCTTACCATTTAACTTGGTAACATTCTTACATTTTTGTGGATCATTTTGTATCAATACGTCACCTGATGATACAATACTCTTATCATGGCTCATAGTATTGTGAAACTTCGGCCACCACTAGTAAGTTTCTCATTGTCAATCTAGGGACTTCTCAAAATTGATTTTTACTTTGAATAGTGCCAGGTAATAATGTCTGTTGACACTTATATGTGTAGCTGAATCAACTGTGCACTTAGAGCAGACAAGAAATAATGTGAATTGTGCCAGAGAACCATTTAGTATCTTGTTCGCTGAAATAAAGAGGATATTTAGCTGATGGAGTGCTCCTGCTTCAGGACGGAGCGATACCCTGAAAGTGTCACCAAAACATGCTGTCAACGGGAACCCGACAGTGCCTCCATTCCCAGACAACATGAAGATGGCCATGATCGGTAAGACGTGTGAAGGTTGATTGGCTATAAACAACTCTGTACGGCTGGGGCGAGTCAAGATTTACTCGCCTATTACTACCCTATCCTATTACCCTGACCCTTTGCTTAAGTGTTGGGTACAAAATGTCCGATTAGGAATTATTTTTAGATGCATCTACAACAAAAATCTGATCGTACATACACTGAAGTTGACTGAAGCTTTATCTTTACTCCAACATATTAGCTAGAAGAAATGCATGCACAGTCAGAAAGAAATGCGAAAAATAGATAATGAAACTATGGTTATAACAAACACAAAGGGGCCACTAATTTTATGCACATTTCGACCGTCAGACATCTTGGATAAAGTCATGTGACCACGTCATGTGACTCGAAAAATAACAAAAGTGTGCACTGCTTCTTAATCTTGTGGACTATGTTTATTCATCTCATACATGACAAAAGTAAATACATGTTACTATTGGGACAGTTTCATTGTCATATACAGTACAAGAGTTACTTGCCGTCGGTGAGGCAATCTGTGAATTTGCTTCGAACATTGGTTGAAAGATGGATCTGATCGAGTGTTGTCGCGGTGTTTACTGTTGTTAATTAACTGAGTGTGTAAAATGAGGACAAGGCGTCAGAACCTAATCCAGTTAATCACGTGCCTTCAATTGTTTAGAGCTGCTTTGAACAGCTGCACATGGCTGCAGATGATTTGACGGGCAGATTGGTGACACATGAGCAGTTCAGAGATTGACAGTTTGTTATAAACATACACACTGTCACTCACAGAGTAGACACAGGACCACAAAATGAGTTTGTTATATCTGTCAGTTCATTATAAGCGTGTCCGTTATAGCCATCAAATTTATATAAGATATACAGCAAATGGCCGGTACCCAAGAAACAGTTTGTTATATCTGTCAGTTCGTTATAAGCGTGTTCGTTATAGCCATCAGTTTTATATAAGATATACAGCAAATGGCCGGTACCCAAAACACAGTTTGTTATATCTGTCAGTTCATAAAAAGTGTGTTCATTATATCAACCAATTTTTTTTTAGTGGTAAGATATAGAGCAAATGGCGAAACCGCATTATCAGTGGGAAATGTTGGGAAAGGGAGGTCACTCTAATTTCAAATGGGAGCTATCTCTGTTGTTTTCGTAATGGCAAGAAATGGCGTCAGTCACGCTGTACGTTGTTATTGGTCCAGCTATTAAATACCCAGCTTATCCCTAAGGTAGGGTTTGTTTACGTAGTACATATTCTCAACAACGTTTAGTTTTCAATTAGGCAAACAGAGTTAGCTCCCTTCTCGAACCACCGATAATGAGGTTTCGCCGAGCAAATGGCCGGTACCCAAAAACAGTTTGTCATATCCGTCAGTTCGTTATAAGCGTGTTTGTTATAAACATAGTTTACTGTATTCCTGATAACTCCAGGTCTGAAACCAGGAGTATCATTTTTCACGTCACTCACCCCAAGGTTTATTGAGATCTGTCTGTCTGAACACACAATGCCATTTAGAAAGTTGTCAAATGTAACAAATGTTATATTTGGGATAACACTTTCTTAGTAAAGTACAGATTCTCATACTTTTGGGGGGGTGAGTCTTGTCCGGCATTCGAACCCACCAAATTTACACTTGTCAGAGGGGTACACAAAGTATGTGATCTAGACGACCAGTTGTCAGACTTCCATATTTGTGGAAACCTTGATGGCTGAGTGGGTTAGATCACTGACTTTGTGTGCTGGCGATTAGGTGCCTGGTGTGTGTCGAAGTCCGGACGGAACTCAACCCCAAAAAAGTATGTGAATCTGTACTTTTCTAAGAAAGTGTTATCCCAAATATAACATTTGTTATATCTGTCTGAAGCTCTGATAAAATTGTCTTTTGTAGCAAAAGGTTTAGTGAAACGTTTAAACTTGTTTTGAAGTTGTGGTACATGTACCATGGATATCTACAACTCAAAATAGGTTAAATAACACCCCCATTGGAAGGCTGTGTGTTGCAATACCCACCAGCCACGACAGATTAACTGTCATATGATAGAACGTGGTGTTTCTTAACTTCTTTTGAGTAGTATACATCATGATGGGACATAGAATCTGTTGGAGTTGTTGTCATGCCACAGTACTCCACGGATAGTAACATCTGCCAGTTGTAATCACGGTGATCAGTGTCCACAGAGGTTGTAATCTTGCTTTCCATCACCAGGTATGGGATGTTTCTGGGGAGTGGAGAAGAAGTACTGGAAGGAGAAGGGTGTCTACTCCACTCAGGTAGGCTTGGCCATTGATGTGTTACAATGCTGGTTGACTGAACAGCAGTACCACGTACCTCGAACTTTATTGACCAGGGTTTGCACAGACTTGATAAGGCCTTGAAAATGGGTGATGTGCCTGGAAATGGCCTTGTATTTTCCTCACCAATCCCCAACATTTGTTTGTTTGTTTGTTTGTTTAACGCTGCACTCAGCAATATTCCAGCTATATGATGGATATCTGAAAATAATAAAATCTGGACCAGACAATCCAGGGATTGATATCAATGAGCACTGATCCATGCAAATGGGATACGATGACATGCATCAACCAAGTCAGCAAGCCTGAGCACCAGATCCCATTAGTCACCTCTTACGACAAGCATAGTCAACTCTTATGACAATCATGGGTTGCTGAAGACCTATTCTACCCCAGATCTTCACGGGTACCCCAACAGTAAATTACGTAACAATAAGTATGTATTATTATAGTTTGAAAAATAACAGTTTAGATATGTTAAAAACTTTCTTAAACAATTCATAAACTGGCTTAGGTATTAATCTGGAGGCTATAGAGTTATCTCCCTTTCAATGATCACCTCTTGGCTGCTTCTGTTTGAATTAAAAAAATGCCATAATATGTAACAAATGGCGGTAAGTGTTATAAAATGATTAATTTGGATGGATTTAGGGGAGGGACTGTTGAAAAGGGGAGGGATTGTTGGAAAGGGATAGAGTTTTGTGACATACTGAAGCATATGCCCTGTTGACAGGTTGGCTATGCAGCAGGCTACACCAAGAACCCAACATACAGGGAGGTGTGTACGGGACAGACGGGGCATTCCGAGGTCGTCAGGGTTGTGTTTGACCCAGAAAAAACAAACTTCACAAGACTTCTGCAGGTAATTTGAATCATGTACCTTCCTTTCCGCTAATGATGTTGTTTGTCATGACCGATATGAAACTATGTAATTCGGTGTACCAGGCAATCTCATTGAAATCCGATCTTTCAGATATGCCAGCCATTTTAGACATCTGAAATCTGAATAGCTCCTGAACCTACACAGCTTTCACTTAGAGTTGGTGGTCAACGTTCGCTCAGCTTTCACCTGACACGACCTCCTATGCTGATGTCATCAGATTTTGACACATAGAGGTATCACGTCAGAGTACAACATCTGATTTTAATGCCATTGTGTACCAGATGTCTTGGTTGCATGAAGTAGTGATCTCCCTTTATTATTTGAAGTGGCTGCATGTTCAGGTGATGAGGTGAGGTGAAATGGGGTTAACGCACTTATTTGGCAATGTGCATGCACATGTGTGTGTGTCTGCTGGTACTAGTCTGGACTGATGCCAATTTATAGTACTTGCTCACTGAGATACCATGCCGCAGTTTTAACATGAATACACCACGCAGACACAGTACACCGACTCCGAGCCGACCAGTCCCTTGTTTTACCCCCTTAATGCCAGGCGCCAGACAGGGTAACAACAAATACCATCTTTTAACGTCTTTTCTGCATGTTCAACTTCATGTTCCCCCACCCCCCCTTGTGAAAACCAAAAGTAGTATGTTGTAGGCAGTAAAATTATCTGAGAGAAGAGTTTGATATTTTGGACCCCTCCCTCTAAAAATGCAGGATTCGCCCTTGCTATCCACTTTGTTTTGTTGAGACCATCCCATGTGTTTGACCAATGTTGTTTATTAAGGATAACTAAACTAAACATCCTGTATATGAGTATTTGGATATGACAACACTTTTCACAACCCTTGTGAATATTCCTGTTCAGGAAAGGTCCCCATTACCCCATTGTCGTAAGAATTGACAAGAATGAAAATCAGGTTAAGATGTAATCTGGGTGATTGTGGGTCATTGTATTTGACAGTTTGGAATGTTGCTCATGCTATCAACCACTGGTTTGCCTGGCCCAGGCTCCATTAATTCCGACTGCCACGATACAGCTGGAAAACTGCTGACTGCAGCTTGAAACCAGATTCAGTTATTCACTCTTTCACAATTCAAACAGAAATAAGGGAGTTTGGGTTGACGCCACTTTGAACAGTATTTCTGTTATATCACGGCATGTCAGCTTCAGGTGTGAAGAAACATGAAAATGATAATGCAAGATCTGAACAAAGGCAGATATGTCTTTATACATCATTAATACTTTACTTGTAATGCAGGAAATAATATAAACTCATGGAGTAAGTCATATAGATGACTGATAGAACTTTGTTACCCATTAACCAAGCTCCTCTCAGCAATATACCCTTCACAGGGCTCTGTATATTATCCATGCCGTCAGTCACAGCTCCACACTGTGCTAGGTGACCTACAACCATGCATGGAGTTGTATATTATCGCTGCCATCAGTCACAGCTCCACACTGTGCTAGGTGACCTGCAACCATGCATGGAGTTGTATATAATGGCTGCCATCAGTCACAGCTCCACACTGTGCTAGGTGACCTGCAACCATGCATGGAGTTGTACATTATCGCTGCCATCAGTCACAGCTCCACACTGTGCTAGGTGACCTGCAACCATGCATGGAGTTGTATATTGTCACAGCCATCAGTCACAGCTCCACACTGTGCTAGGTGACCTGCAACCGTGCATGGAGTTGTACATTAACCATGCCATCAGTCACAGCTCCACACTGTGCTAGGTGACCTACAACCATGCATGGAGTTGTATATTATCGCTGCCATCAGTCACAGCTCCACACTGTGCTAGGTGACCTGCAACCATGCATGGAGTTGTATATTATCGCTGCCATCAGTCACAGCTCCACACTGTGCTAGGTGACCTGCAACCATGCATGGAGTTGTACATTATCCATGCCATCAGTCACAGCTCCACACTGTGCTAGGTGACCTGCAACCATGCATGGAGTTGTATATTAACCATGCCATCAGTCACAGCTCCACACTGTGCTAGGTGACCTGCAACCTTGCATGGAGTTGTATATTATCCATGCCATCAGTCACAGCTCCACACTGTGCTAGGTGACCTGCAACCATGCATGGAGTTGTATATTAACCATGCCATCAGTCACAGCTCCACACTGTGCTAGGTGACCTGCAACCATGCATGGAGTTGTATATTATCCATGCCATCAGTCACAGCTCCACACTGTGCTAGGTGACCTGCAACCATGCATGGAGTTGTATATAATGGCTGCCATCAGTCACAGCTCCACACTGTGCTAGGTGACCTGCAACCATGCATGGAGTTGTATATTATCGCTGCCATCAGTCACAGCTCCACACTGTGCTAGGTGACCTGCAACCATGCATGGAGTTGTATATAATGGCTGCCATCAGTCACAGCTCCACACTGTGCTTGGTGACCTGCAACCATGCATGGAGTTGTATATTATCGCTGCCATCAGTCACAGCTCCACACTGTGCTAGGTGACCTACAACAATGCATGGAGTTGTACATTATCGCTGCCATCAGTCACAGCTCCACACTGTGCTAGGTGACGTGCAACCATGCATGGAGTTGAACTCCCAACTGAATGTTATGTTTACGCCAAATACTCTTCCCAAAGCTATATTGTTTTGTTTGTCAATTTGAATTTCTATTTCATTTCAACCAACATGTAATTGTTCAGTGAGAACGCAAGGGAGAAGTTGGGTGTTTTTCTGTTAGTCTGCAATTTTGGACCAATCAAAGAAAATGTAAATTTATCTGGGAAATAGAAAGTCACAATGACATTTCCAAAGACATACACAAACCTATAAATGTCACTACATTTGAGGTTAGAGGGATTAAAATTCAAGATTTTTGTAATGCCTGTATGCACACTGATGATACGACATCGGTAACAAAGGTGTCACATCCTGGTATGAAGCTTGCCTAGTAACCTGATTTCCCTCACTGACAATCTTGATAGTGATGTGCCAATGTATATTTCAGGTATTTTGGGAGAACCACAATCCGACGCAAGGCATGCGACAGGGCAATGACTCCGGCACTCAGTACCGATCAGGTATATACTACTACGATGAAGAACAAAAACAACTGGCAGAAAGGTCCAGGGATGCATATCAAGAGCTGCTGACGAAAATAGGCTACCCTCAGATTACCACCGAGATAATACCTGTTCCTGAGTTCTACTACGCTGAGGATTACCACCAGCAATATCTGCATAAAAACCCGGGTGGATATTGCGGGGGCGGGGGTGTAGGTGTGTCATGCCCAGTTGGAGTTTTTGGAAAAAACAAGAAAAAAGATGAATTGTAAGGCCTTGGTTGGGGCTCCCTTCCACAAAGTTATCTTAGCGCTATGTGTGACAACAATTTCAGGATTCCTATCACCTCGATTGAAACGGGTCAGGACTGTTCCTCAGGGAGATGTGTTGTCCAAGTTCAGATTTTGAAGTTGATTCAGTCATTGTGTTATGATCATTTTGGGAACAGGGTGTGTACACATCTCACAGATACAATCTTAATCTACAAGGAGAATCCTTATACAGAAACATACTTACATCACATGTGGCACTTTGATACCATCCTGAAAAGAGTTAAGTAACAAGCCTGTTTTTCACCTGTTTGAATTGGTCATAGCAACCTATGCTGGTCTTGGAGGCGACTATATGCATCGGGAGGTCAGGCTTGATTGATGGCACATCAATGTTCCTGGATGGTGTGGATTATGGCTTGTAACATCAATTACTGGATGGTATGGTCACCATGGTGACGACTCAAATATCACAGACTCTTATTATATAGATGGAATATTGCTGAATGCAGTGACACACAATAAACACACATTTGTTTTGAGCGGTGAAAATGTTACCTTAAGTTATAGTTGTCTTACTAATGATCGATCCCATGACGTACGTAGTCAGTAATTGCACTGCCAGCCATTGCTGAATATGTACATGGATGGTTGACCAGCATGGTAGACCTGTTAATGTGGTATGTCCAAAAGGTAGTACCAATTTGATAGGGTGAAACAATACATCGGTGCACTGTGAGTTTTCATGTGACGATACAATACACGATACGTTCTTCTCTGTATTGATACAAGATGATACAATTGCTGAAATAAATTACTTACTACTCGTTTAATGACCCCTGGCGTTTTTGTCAGTCAGATAACAAAATGTGTTGTAATTAGCGTTTCAAGTAAACTATTAAAAATAGCCCTTACGAACATGTGCCTACAGCTAGCTTTTTCTTTTGAACCTGCTCTGTAATATACATTGTCAAAAAGTTTCCATGCGATTTGCTGTAAATATGCTTACCTATCGTGACCTATGTACCATGATATGTACCATATTGTGACCTTACTGTATTGTTTCACCCTACAATTTATTATTACTAAAAACAAGTTAAGAACACCTTACAATTGGAGGACTGTTTGCACCATCCATGCCAGTATATTAAAAACAACAGGTGTTCTTTTAATTCTTTTAGTATATTTGACATTTTTCTGATTATCCCTGCAGCAACCATTGCGATAGTCTATAGTAAATCATTTTGACTATCATGTAATGACAGAAAAAGAAATAACATGGAGGTTGATAAGTTGAGATGTTTTACAGTACAACTGTGATATATGTAGATCTGATGTTCTTTGGCATTGTTTGCCACTTCACTGTCTTCATGATGAATACTTAATGTAATTTTACTCTCACCTAGTATAACAGTTTGTTCATAAATTTGTAAATAAAATGTTTAGTGTACTATGATTTTCCAGTGTTTATCAATGCAAATCTACCTGTCTACAATTATTTCCAAAACACACATGATACAATGTCAGTTGTGGCTGAGAAACATTGGCTTCATTTTGATTTTACTGGAAACTGGTGATTTTAACATAAAATGTCCGGTTATAAATATCTACCGGTAGTTAAATTCCAAAACATCAATGTACAGTTCATCGAACGATACTGTGGTAGTAATTACTACTGCCAGCACAAAGAACTGGAGTCTTTGTAAGGAGACACGGAGGCCTAAACACAAGATCACATTCTGGTACATAATTATCCTGATCCAACAGTCAATCCACTGATCACCTGGAGGCTCAATGAAACTGTTTGGACTTTCACTGGTGTTCCTTTGACCATGACATTCATTTGATGAATGGAGTGTTTGGGGTTTTCATTTGATGAATGGAGTGTTTGGGGTTTTCATTTGATGAATGGAGTGTTTGGGGTTTTACAGCTTTGTTTTCGACATGACCGGGCCGGGAACAAGTAAACCTGTGACAAATAATCTAGCAAATCTAGCTGCGGACACACATCAATATTTCCCATGACTGATGCTCAGCAATCAGTAGTTGCTCAAATCAGACATAAATTTTGCAATTATTTTTTATAATAATATATGCTGAACAAAAGAAGGTTAGAATCATGAATGTTATTGGAGTATTTTTGACGTAGTTGTGTGCTGAGTCTTCACTACCAAAAACTATCCCCCAAAATATTCAAGATCCCTCACTTTTGTTCAGGATATATCTCATTGGTTTCCATATATCTGGATGGTCCTTAAGGCTTATGATCCTCATACTCCACCTTGTTTGTTTTTGTTTGTTGTTCATAATGCTTGTTGACTGTGCAGCTGTACCAGACACCTATCTAAGACTTTATTAACCAGGGTTTGCGGAGACTTGATATGCCCTTGAAAAATGGTTTATGTGCCCAGAAATTGTCTTGAATTTTCCTCACCTGTCCAAAACAGTTTGCTTGTTTGTTTGTTTGTTTGTTTAACGCCGCACTCAGCAACATTCCAGCTATATGAAGGCGGTCTGTAAATAATCGAGTCTGGACCAGACAATCCAGTGACTGACATCATGAGCATCCATCCACACAATTGGGATACAATGACATGCATCAACCAAGGCAGCAAGCCTGACCACCCAATTCTGTTAGTCACCTCTTACGACAAGCATGGGTTGCTGAAGACCTATTAATCTTCACGGGTTCCTACTTCACCTAAACCTATTAAGATAAATGAGCAATGAATTCGGTGTTATCACAATACTACCATGTGAGTTCACTGTAACAATATGGAGTGGTCACAATCCACTATGGGTACCCGGCAGCAAGTTGGGCGATTATCACTTCTCAGTGCTATTCAGGTTGGTTGTCGGACATTATTAAATTTCATCCAGAGACAAATATCAATGAAATGGTATCCATGATGAAGAAGACAAGAACACAGTTAAAAGTTGACATTTTTATAGCCATATTGCAGTATTAGATACACAAGCATTTACAGAAATCTGTGCATTCAATTTGTGAAAAATTATACTACACTTGTACCAATTTTACAATTATGATGGAAAATGCAGTATCACACACTTAAGTCCCCATCAGTACCTCCGTAACAATACATACAAATTACATTGAACAAAAACAATGTGGGGATCAGTGGATGATGTCATGACCATGGCAGCAAGTATAGTCACATGACCATACCCACTTGTCTTAAAATGAAATAAGAACCAACTAGAATCTTACGACCCTCCTTCCCTCATTCCAAAATACAAGTCCTAACAAAACATGTGCAGGTTCACTGGGTTCCATCTGGATTAAGGGAAGGAGGTAGATATCAATATTTTACAATATATATTTACACGCTGAACAAACCTTGTGTGGCTGTTCAAAATTTACCGATTCTCTCCTTTGGTGGGTTGTGATATGAGGTTGAGCCTGTTATCTACACTGTACAAGAGAATAATAAAATCTAGCTTCTTTTTTCTTTTGTATTATCACATTTGGAACAAAGCACCTCAACAGAAAAATCTAGTTTGCAAGGAGTGCAAACGTGTCGATTTGTTTAAAATTTTAGAGAGAAAACACCTTGCAATCAATTTGATAATAATGAATTCTGGTATTGGTATGGACAGTTGATTGGCTGAAGTCCTGATTCTCTGCACAGTAAAGTCAATGACATTAAAAAGTTTCTTCTTGTATTGCTATTTTTGCTACATATTCCCCTTCATTCCTTATTTATAATAGTAATCTAAGCCCTGAGGGGATGCATGCTGCGCAACTCCAGTCCTTGGAAATAATTACTGCTTACAATTCCATCTTTGTTCCAACATTACCATGGTTACCATGGTTACAGTACACAAGTCACTAACGACAGAATTCAATAAATAAATATATTTACAAAATAGGCACATGCATTACATATGCTGCAAGTGGAAAAGTTATCAAAAGAAATTCTTATTTGAACACTATTTACAGTGATAACACCTGCCTGATTATCCAACAAGTGACTTCTTGCAAGAATCTACAAACACGAGCATAACACAATGTAAGTCAAATAGCAATACAGGAATGGTCTCCTTAATGTTAGAAACAACATCTCATTACCATCTTGTTCAGATTAAGAAAAGATTTATTGCCCTTCACTTCTAGTCAAGCACTTTCCTAAAAGAAACATCTTAAATATGGAATCATATTCTACAATAACCTTTACCGGCATATACAAAGATACCAAAAAGGTTTTGCCCCAAAGTCTCCTTTATGGTCCAATCCATTCAATTCAATTATATCCAATAGCTGGAAATTCATTGGAACTGTGAGCCTATAGTCTTAAAGATTCTATACCACAGGCCTAACCCACTGTCTGCATTAATATTCCAACAAGAACATGGAAGTATGTGGTTTATAACTCCAAACCCTTGCCTCAGTAGGTTCACACAATCACCTTTAAAAGCATTCTGTATGGAAACCATGCAGTTGTTCATGGTAGAATGGCATATGTAAGTTCTTTCTAAGCAGAGTGCAACTGGTCTGACTCCAACCATGTCATTAAAAATGCCAAGTCTAATAATCTGGGGTAAAAACAGTGTCGAAGAGCCTGATGGAGCCAAACCATGGTGTTATCCAAGGCTTACTGAGTGATGAAGTGATGCTACTGCAGCCTTAGTCCCCTTCCCCCGAGCAGTTAGCAGGCTTGTACAGATATGGCTAGCAAGGCAAGGTGCACCCACAGGTTCTAAGCAAGGTAACTGTAAGTGTCCTTTTGTCCATCAACTCGTTCTAAGTACTCTTTTTCTATCAGAATGTCAATACATTTCTGAAACAAAAACAAAGAATGGATATAGGGTAAGATACTTTTTTTCACTTTATTAACATATATTTTTCATATAAATACTAAAAGGTTAAAAGCTATATTGGTACATAACTTTAATTATTTTTGTCTAAAAATTAAATAAAGTACCTTATGCATGATGCTTTTGATGACAGTATCTAAAATGTATATATATTTTGAGCAAACTTATTGTAAAATAGTTTGCCTTGGTTGACACCAGAGACAATTTATCAGATTATTAAGTCCTTATGGAGACTGCCAGTTGTTAGTGTCTGGTAGTGCTTACCTTAATAACAGGCACTCTGGGCTTGAAGCGAGAGGACAGTTGATTGAGGACCTCTGCTAGTAGGTGTTGGTGTTTTAGGACTTTCCGCATCTTCATGATTCTCACTATGGCAGCCTAGAGGAAGGAGGAATGTGATACATAACTAGAACACATCCATCAACAGCAGCTCTACTGAAATCTTTACATACAAAGGATTGAGTCTATAATACCTACAGACTACGATACTAACTGCTAACAATAGCTTTGTATCCCTATTGAACACATTCTTAAACAAACTTGACTTTCTGCCCTTCTTCTCCGCTTTGTTTCTGCCAGAAACCAATGCGAACATCAAGTTCCAACAGATAATATCTTAAGAGGGCACATAATTTCATATTTAATTCTTTCTAAAACTATATGGCTCAAGCATTGCTCACAGAAGATAGTACAAATATGGCTAGCATAACTCCCGCTGCTACTGAACTCCACTTTTTCAGGGATGACAACCCTGGAGGCGTTGAGGCAACTAGGAATACATGAGTTAACTGGCATTGAAACTAAGTAATATTTAAAACAAGAGTCATCAGAAGAGGACATATGCCCCTGGCCCCAACAAATTCTAAAGAACAAAATATCTGACTAACTTTTAAGTCCAATTTGATGAGAGAATTTCTATCTAATCTGTCTGTCTGTATGTAAGAGTAGTTATTGAACTATCAAAATAATAATTTGTTCAAATTACCAGTCATGTATTTGCAATGAAATTTATGATATATATCACTTAATCGTATAGGCAGAATTTGGTAAAAAATACTGCAATGACAGAAATAATGGTTATCGTCTTTGCCGTTCATGAGTAGAACAATAATTCTCGAAATTTACCAACACAATCAGCAATATTCCAGCTATATGGTGGTGACCTGTAAATAATCAAGTCTGGACCACACATCCAGTGATCCAGAAAAAATCTATCAATGTACGATGACGCACCAATAACTGAGTCTGACCACCCGATCCATTATGTCACCTCTTGTTGCCAACATAGGTTGCTGGAGGCAAATATCACTCAAAATCCCCGCGTGGACATAACTAATATCAGGGCTAGGCATCATGGGTCATATCCAACTCTCAGCAGCTCATTTCAGGCTCGTGGTTATTGTCAACCAACTAGATTTTGTGGGAATACCAAAAGGTCCTTCTATTGTTTCACTTGTCTTTCACTAACAGACTAATGGCAAGGCCTATCCCTGAAACTTCCAATGAGTACCTGTATGAGTAGTTTCCTATCCTCCTCTATATGTTTGTGTGTCGATTCTTGCTCTGCCTTCACTTCAGTCTTCATGGGAACATTGATGTTCACTCTAAGTTTCTTACTGTAAACAGAGTGGAGATCACGTGCATCATAATACAAGCTATACACCACATGAGTGTGGAGGAATGCATAAGCAGGGAAATCACGTAGTTCATTGTTCATGTACAATTAACAGCTCAGTCATAATACATGTAGTTCAAATTCAGGAAGGAGATATTTTTTTGTATGTTGTTTAATGCAGCATTCAGTCATATTCCAGCTACATGACGTCAGCCTCTGAATGATAGTTTTGGCCAGACAAACCAGTGATTAACGTAATGAGCAATCAACCAAGTCTGACAAACATTTAGTTGCCTCTTACAAGCAGGCAGGTTCCTGGAGATACAAGTCTAACACCGAATCCGCACTGGTGACAGGGTAAAGAGTTAGTTTTGGACAGGCAAGATGGAGTTACATGTCCTGAAAAATAAGTCTGCATGTATAAATATTATTACTTGCCCCATCCTGTTCAACACATAACATACTATTACCTACCATGCACATAGCCATAACATGACCTAATATGTACTTTAATTTGGATGTTATCCTACAAATTATATTCTGAAAGTGGAAAACATCAATTATGGACAATTAAAATCAGTAATACTGATGAGAGGAGCTCACTTTTTATATCCGAGGAAGAGTGCTAGATGAGATGATGCTTGGAGGTTGTTCTCATCATCATCCGCAACCAAGAGTTTGGATTTCAGGAGGATCTGCAACACTTGCACTAAGGTGTCCTGCAAAATATCAAAATGACATTGGTCAGATAATTGTGCTACCTTTCAACATAACCTTCCGTTGGGTGAAGCACATGCCTACTAGAACCTTATATCAGATTAAACTACCTTGCCTTTAGCTAACATAAGGAGAAAACCTAAAGGCAATGTAATGATTTAACTTCAAGTCAAATGACATCACATTGTAAACCAGATGTTGTTTGTTGTTTAACACCACACTCAGTAATATTCCAGCTATGACAGCGGTTCGAAACAATACAGCCTCAACCAGATGATCTCAGCAATTATAATGAACACTTTTTATAAAAAGACAGTGTAATTACATGATTATTTTGAGTACTTCAGTTTGGACTGTTGATATGGTATTTCCGGTGTTATATGCCCACGGTAATGTCTTTGTGTTTGGTGAAAAAACCCATCAAAACTCTTCAACACTGTGTTCAGGATGCCACCCTTGAAACCCCCCTAATTCTAGGTAAGAAAAACACGTCAAAACATAGCGATATACGGTAATTCCTCCAAAATCATAATGATCAGCATCTCGACAGACCAAGTTAATGTCACATGCCCTCTTACCATCTTTATCTGTGTAATCTCCATCAGCTGCTGTACATTGTAGGATACTTCTGTGTTGTATTGTAACAGGACGGCCATTTGAAACGTAGATGCCTGAAAATGGCAAAGAAAAATGTCTTGTAAGGAATAGAATCTGGGTCTTTAGTGTAATGAATCAATGCTTCAACCACACCTCTCCTCTCAGAAAACTGCAGACCAGTATGTTTCAGAAGCATGTATATTGAGGACTTCCACAATCCGTGATTTCTGATAAACTGAGATGCAGCTAATCTGAAACACTCACCTGCAGTGTGTATCTGTTTTTGAAGCAATTTGTGACAATTTCTCCCTTAGACATGTGGTATAACCAGTTTAGTTTTCTCCCACTGTGTTGACTGCTATAAAATGATGTGAATCTCTGGAAACTTCGCTCCAACTGCAAAATCAAAAGCATCTCAATCAATACCAACATAAAGGAGAAAATTTAACACTGAATTCTATCATCCTCAATTTATAACTTCATAAAAGTGAAAGAATCTTGTATTTTTTGCCCTGTAAGCAATAATTCAAGCTATATCACAGTGGCCTATAAATATCTGAGTCAAGGTAAATCACACCTGTTGTTGACATGGGTGCTGATCCACACTGTCAAGATACAATCACCCCTTATTAGCCATTTCGCATCACTGCCAATACTTTAACAGGTTTGTATACACTGCATTCCTCTATTGCCACTTCAGGGTGTTGTCAGTATTTTTAACCAAAGAACCAAGCTTGTTCCAGTTTACCGGGAAATCAGTGTGTGCTCAGACCAATCAGCATTTGTAATGCAACGACAATATTTCTTGTGCAACATGTGCCATGGCCATCATGACCCTTGCGACCATCGACGGGACAAATTACTTCAATATTAGGCTAAGGTAGGGTTTGCCCAAAATTCATGCACAGAGTGGGTTTCACATGACATCAGCAAGTTCGAGATCACCTGTTTTCATTACCTGACTGAAAGTAGACACACATCACTATTACACCACAAAGCGGCCTATGTATTCATCCATACCAGCTAGTACCGGGTTCCATTATCAGTTTTGGGATAAATAATTGTTGAGCACTTAATGGCTAGTGCCATATCTAATGTTAATTATGTTTGTGATGCTCTTATTTATTTGAATGTGTGTTTAAAAATAACCTGAGACCTTGTGCTGATGTAACTCAAATATCCTTCTGGGATAATAAAGTGTCATCTTATCTTATTCATGGGTGATGAAAGACAGAGTGGTCACAAACCCGATTTTAAGCACCCAATCATCACATGGCAGCCTATAAGACATGCATGGGGTACTGGGGTAACAGGACATAATCAGTCCTGTTATCCCTTGGGCTGGGACGATACACCAACTGTGCGATCCGATATGTATCACGATACTTGCATGTGCTCTTATCTGTGGTGCGTAAGCCATCTTTTTCATTGACAGGATGGCCAAATACCTGTCCCACTAACGACTTACAATTGGCAGTGTATGGCACAATGGATGAAAATATTTACAATTTCGCTGCTCATTTTCACTGGTAATAAGTGTTTGGAGTAACATTTATTAAAGAAAACATTTAAGGTAAGAATCATATTTTTTGGCTTAGTGCGCGCTTGCTCTTGTGATCGACTAAAAAAATCGTGATCCACTGATGCATCGTCCCACTACTAGTTATCCCAATGTAGGATTATCTCCTTATATCTTTTCAGACCAGTATCTCTATCTAATAATCGCTCCTACCTCCACTGGAAGGTTGAAGCTACACGACTGCTGGAATGGCCACGACCCTGAACTCAACACTTGGATACTGAAGTCAACTGCAAAGCAAACATGTAAACACATTGTAATATGGAGGGACAAGAACTCCCCCAAAAGTGGGGAAAGCACTGATTTTGATGTTTCTGTTTCTAAGAGTGCAGCAATATTAAAATGGGAGACAAAAAGAAAACATCATTGGCTTGTTTCGTTTGTTGCCTCAGTCAGCAATACTGAAGCTATATGATGGCAGCCTGCCAAATTATCACGTGACCACACAATCCACTGCTTGACATGAGAATCAATCAAAGCAATTGTGATATGATGACATAAAATCCACGAAGTCACAGCGCCTGATCACCCAATCCATTTAGTGTGTCTTAGGCAAAGAATAGGTTGCTGGGACCTATATTCTTACCCAGAATCCCCACTAGGTGAATGCCTAATCTGAAAAACACTTTGTCTATTCTTGAACACATAACTGGAGAATAGACAAACTACTAAACTACCCAAACACCTATTTATACTTATTCACGCTATCAGTCAGAAGTATATGACAGATCAACAAAACAATCTGAAGAAAGAACAATATTACAAAGAGTTTCAACAAATGGTAGTGGTAAATAAATAATTTCACTTGTTGCTAAATGTCTGAGCTAAATACACAAAATAGTAGTTGCAACTCTACATGATGTAACTAAAAATAAATATATTTTCAACTTTCGTTCAAATACATACAGCACCAGATTATTACCAATGATTATGACTCAATAATCATTTGTAGTTTTGTAATTTTTCTGTAAATGTCTGGAGAAAACTTGAAGAGGAGACAGAGAGAGGGTCTACAGAAAAGAGATCTACAAAAACCAGTTTGGACTTACCATCCAGAGGATCCGTTGACTGAATGGACCTCTTGAATGTTTCATTGAGATCTTTGCTGACACCAATATCTTGGAACATTCTCTGTAACTTTGAAGTGTATTCAAAACCACAGGCTTGCTGGAAGCAAAATGAGGAACAGCGTATTGCTAAGGGAATATCACACATGCTGTCAATGCTGAAATATTATTACGTCAAATTGAAATTTATCCTGACAATGCAAGCAAGGAACACTGGCCCTGTGATTGTGTCAGTGATAACATTGCTTTGTGCATGTGGCCCTAACATGATTGACTCATCTTTAACCGTAATATGACCAAGTAATACAGTCCCACATTGATGTATGTTCTTTCTTCATCTTTTACATACACCTCTGAAAAGACTGCTTGAAAATTAACTAAACATACAGCTCTGCCATAACCAAACGAGTTTGAGGTCAAACATGGGTCTTTGGCGTGACGAGCGAAAGTTATAAACTAAACAAATCAGATGGTACCTTGGTCTCAGAACAAGGAAACCATTGTTGGTGTTGTGTTACAGTGAGCATAATACACCATGACTCAAAGTTTACATTATGAATGCTTATCAACATATACAGAGAATGAGTCATAAACAACTGCTGAAGGCAAAAGACATTCTAAGTCCTATTGGGTAAGTTATTGCTGTCCAGGGCTCACTTGCACAAAGCGATATTACCGTATTTTCTTGAGTATAGTGCGCACCCATGTATAATGCGCACTCCCCTCTAGCGGGTTCAATATTTTGGGAAAAAAAGAAATTTGAATATTATGCGCAGAAAAAATTTACACCGTAACCTTTCAGCGAAGTCCGGCAAACGAACGGGTGCTGAGAAACTTTGTCAGTACAAATTCGAAATTTGAGATAAAAAATCACCAGACATGTTTATTTACCATTTAAATAGTATTTATTGTTCTGCTAGGCATTGTTTTATATCTAGGGATTAAGATTACCTTGTGTATTTTCTCGTAAACTAAGCCAGAAACAGCAATCAGCTGTACACACGTTTTCTTGGAATCGACCGGTGATTCGGTCAAGACACACCCAATGATATAACTTTATAGGATTTTTAATGCAAGGATCGGCAACAATTGTATCTGAAACTATTTCTTTTTATCAGGAATAATATATTCCATTATTTTCTTAATTATATGCAGCCTTTACTAAACATATTTAAAATAATAATAACCCCCAAGCGAAGCAGCTGATCGCTATTGCCGGGTATTATTTTTTACATGGAACCAGTCTGACCAGTCACCGTCAAGGCTCACGCGCACGTGATCGCGTGATCGCGAGAATTTCATGTTGACATAGAATCGTCAAACAAAAACAAATATGACTTTTAACGAGTCAAAGTATGTAATTTATGATATATGTATCCATTCTCTGTCAACTAAAGTTCGTTTCAAGGCGTCAATAGCAGTATTCTGACCGTGGTTGCTGTTAATAACAGTGAGTTGTGCGATCGCTTCACAAACAATTTTGCCGAAATTAATAAAAACAATATAATAAGGAATTTTGAATAAAATTAATGAAATAAGTTACAAACATAAATCCAGATATACAAAGAACACTTTTTATAGCATGACAGTGTAATTACATGATTATTTTGCGTACTTCAGTATGGATTTGTTGACATGGTATTTCCGGTGTTTCGTGCTCACGGTAATGTCTTTCCATGGGGGGAAAAAAACATCCAAACTCATAATCCGTGTATACACAGCTGTGTTTTTTCGAAAAAAAGTGTGCACTATACTCAAGAAAATACGGTAGTACTAAGACTATCGTAAGCCTATGTTAAAGTAGGGAAGTTACGATCATCTTAGCTCTAAGATTGTTTTGTGCAAGTGGGCCCAGGTATATTAAATGAAGAGTTGTTTAAACCAACTCTACTGTTCAGTTACTTGTACAGCCTTTCCACATTCAAGATTTACCACAGGAGTTTCTCTGTAAAATACATTAACAGACAGCTGCATTTCAAGGAATCTGTTATGGGGAAGAGTAATATGCAAAGTAGAAATACTATCAGTGTGTGTCGTTCTGATATATACAAAGGTATCCCCACTATTACACCAGCTAACCTTCAGCTTGGAGATCATGCTGGCCTCTGCATCATCGCTTGCTGACATGTGCTGCACCAATCTCTTGGCAAGCATCTTGCTGTAAAACTTTTGGAATACATCTTTGTCCTCAATGTATTTGAACACAACCATCTGAAAGCAAATGACAAAATCATTACCCTCATTGTTCAAAGCTCATGTAATACTTCAGATCAACTACAATCTCTTTACCTAATTTTCAAAACAGCTTATCAGCATGGAGGTGTCTAAATTCTTGGTATGGGCAGCTAAAGCATTTGGCACAGGCAAAATCTGATTTCTGGGCCTTAACATCTTCCTGCGGCAAGAAGTTTACTGACTATAAAGTCAAGTTTCCAGCCTTGCTGAACTGGGCTGGAATTTCGTGGCTCAATCGTAGCGCCACCAGTGGCTATTACAAGTTATGTCCCTTCTATATACCTCCTATTGACCAATCAGATTTCACATCTCATATCATATGCATTTGCTTCAATCAAAATGGCGGCTCCTAGTCAAGACAATCTGATCAACTTAATCAAGGAAAGGTTTCACATTCCCTGCCACACAGACACCCAGTGCATGTTGTTTGGAACACAACACTTGAGCACCTTGATTAAACACACGAAAAGCTTTGGAGAATATCTGTGATGCCCAACTGAAGGTACTCAAACTTTGCAAATCCCGCAATCGACCCAAATCTGCAACTTCTCCAATGACTGCTGCATATATGTTCAAATATTCTAGAAACTCACTATCGCTACTGTTTTGACTGATGGACCCATGACTATTGACTGACCATGCAGAAGCAAGGAAGATGAAAATACATAGCACGGTGACCTAGATCAAATTGAGACAAAGTCGAGGGATAATGATGCATAGAGAAGATATCTTACCACTTGGTTCAGTGTATCTTCTAGTTCAGCTTCTTCTGGGTTCTTTGAGCTGTAAAAATGTAAATTCATGAAATAATGAATAACGTGCAATATTCTTCATTCTATTGATTTCACAAACTTTACACTACCAAAAGTTAGGTCACTTGTCATTCAGAATAGATAGGAAAGCAGATCACCGGATATTAAACCAAAATACTAGTAGATACTGAAGATTGCCATGGATAAGGTGTCAATAAAGCATTATAACAAGTCTGAAATTGTGGACAAACACTCCAGTCAGATATTATTTCTTTCTATTGATGATGACTACTACCTTCTGTACAACTGGACAAGATAGTATGTGGATGATCAACTTCCATATTACACTTAGTTTTCAATGAAGGTTCTAAATCAGTTATTCTAGGTGCTTTGTGAGCTCACACATTAAAACAAACTGACATCATAGGTGAAATTATATGCTTGCCTCATAGATTGAAAGCCTCAACACAGTCAATCACAAGCCTATTATTTATTCAAATTTTTAAAAAATTGAAAAGAACAAAACATACTAAAGCGTTAATGTATGTAGTAACCATCCACTGAAAGGTTAATCACAAATGTAATCCAGAAGAACCAATATTGAGCCTGATGCTAATGGCTGTGTGTTGCCAGCTGTGATAGAGGAAAAGTGAGAGCTTGAGGGAAGGTAACTCTAGTCTGTGACATGGTGGAGACACCCCCTGGAGGAGACACAAATTTTGGTTCTGTGTTAGAGAATTGAAGAAAGGACATTTGAGATAATCATACCTTTTCTTTAAGAGCAGATCACAGTATCGAGCCAGTAATTCCGGAGACTTGCTTGAAGAACTTGCCATTTTTGTCACCGAGTTGTTGTTGATAAACCGCCCACATGCCTGTAGCGTCAAGTATACAACATCATCCTCAATTCAACATCTACTTGAGAGTTTAGCATTACATACATATTCCTTGAAGAACACACTTCATATTTGACAATTCCAGAGAGATCAACAGATGTAAAGTGGAACATATTTAATAACCTATGTCTATATGACATAATTACACAATTGTCAATTTCAATTTACTTACCATCATAAACGAAATGAGACACCATGAGCAATACATCTATCTATCTGATCACTCTTATATTGACATACTCTATTTCTAAGCTACTGGTCAACACCTACCTTATCTAATGCTGCCACAAAGCCAGCATCATTGTGGAAAGCTGTCATGACCAGAGCATGATATTTCTTGTGGACATCAAGTATTGTCTGTACATAAGTTTTGGGATCCTGCAAAATACATACATGTAATGGGTGAGTGAGGGTTGTAGTAGCAGCTACATCATGACTTGAGAAGGGGATCAACAATTACAAGTTGATGGTTTCTATCAGGAGTCAGCCACAACGACACGCTGTCATTTCAGATGGGATTACATACTCTCATCTATGCTGTGTGTAGCAGCATGCATCCAGCAATTTGCAGTGATCAAGTGGTGTTGGCAGTCACTACTATATCATGTCATCCTGTAAGACTGGGTAATACAAACAAGTGGTCGATGACATGAACAATGCTTGCTGTCTTCAGGTTCAAAGAAACACTTTTTGGTGCAATGGATGTGTTAGTTGTGTTACACCACACCAGCAAAACTCCAACAAAATGATGGTGGCCTGTAACTAACCAAGCCTGGACCAGATAATCCAATGATTGATGATATGAGCAAGGATCTATGCTATCACAGTTCTTGTTCTCGTGTTTCATCAACCAAGTCCCAAGCTTGACCACCTGATTAACTAAGTTGCCTCTAACATCAAGCACAGCTGGCTTGGGGCCTATTCTTACAAGGAATCCAACATGGGAAATTGTAAGGTGGTCATCCTTCAGGCCTTGAGATCGGTTCAATTTCTAGGACATTGACTGATTGTCATCCAAAATATCCTAAAATATTTTTCTCAATTTGGTAATAACATAGAAGTATGCTCCATCAAAAGATCATGAAATCATGATATTGTCCCACCGACATCAGTCTACAGCAAAATCACTGATCCTTAATGTCAGTGTGAGTGAGTGAGTTTGATTTTACGCCGCTTTTAGCAATATTCAAGCAATATCACGGCAGGAATCTAACCCGGGTCTTCAGAGTGACAATCAAACGCGTTAACCACTAGGTTACGCGACCGCCCCTTAATGTTAGAAGTACTACTTATATTCAGTAGGCATTTTAACATACAAATCACCATTTCAGCTGTTAACCATGGGGTACCGGTGACCTAGCCTCCTGAATGTGGTTCAAGAGCAGAAGTGGAGATCTTGCTACAACACATGGATACCCTCTTCTTTACATCTTACCACTGACTCACGTTTAATGCAGACTCTCCACATCTTTCTATAGCAGCCTGTCCTTGGTTGTAGATATGTGTCTCGAGGAGGGACTTCAGCTCACCCAATCCATCTTGTATACGTGATACCAATGTGTACATTCGACCTAAATCTGAAAAAGTAACATCTAATTTGAAGCCAGGTTGTCTTTGATTGAATACAGATTACCATCTTTACTCAAACCATTATACAAAAACTACCTGAAAAGCTGTCAGTGGACAGTGAAAGTAGGAAGTTGACCAACACACTCCTAAAAAATGTGGTGATATTAATATATATGAAGACACACAACCAATATGTGATGCATGAAGCATGGTACCAAATTCATCATCATGTTGTTATTGTTGGAACCCTCAAAGCAGAGCAACAACCAAATGCATAACTCAAATGTAACAATACAGGCAGTGGAACCACAGGACCGATGCACGTTTGTTCTGCGTGATACATCATGAGTAGGCCTATAAATATATGTGTGGGCGTGCAAACTGTGTTACAATGGTTACATCATTTACGGCATTAATTCCAGAATTGCGAAGCAGTATGACCAGACATCAGCGAACCACCTTCATGAGGTACGTCTCAGAGCCAGGCAGCCTGTCAACAACTTTGTTAACTGTGACACAGTGTGAAGGACTCACATATAGTCTAACCAGTGATGGAGAACTGTTTGGTCAAGGACGAGTCAAGATTTAACCTGCCTCTTTGTCAATTTGCTGTGCAATGTCTTCAATTGGATATATGTCCACAGTTGTCCTATTTGAATGTCATCGCTCATCAAGTGTTCAGGTGTGCTGTAAATGTGTTACAAATTGACTATCACAAAATTCTAGAAATCTCATAGTTTGTCCAGTCCCTCTCCCCTGAAGTCAATGGCTGTGATGTGACAATGATGTGAGCATGTTGTGTGCACAGAGTAGATCTCAAATTATTAGGCAAGACTTCACTTACCATCATTCTTATCGGTATCCAACAGATTCTGGAACTCATAATGGAATATTTCCAGATGTTTCTCAATGAGGACCTTCTCACACACCCTGGCTAACACGTCCTGTGTACTCTCATGGAGGTACAGTTGCACCCGCTTCTGTTCCTCCAACAACCGTGTCTCAGCCTGCCAACAAAACAACAGACATTCACAGCTGTCTCACATGTTGGGGCTACCGGACACTCTCACTTTTCACTATGTCTTTCTCTCTATATAACATGTACTGTTTCAGGAACAGTGGATAATGAGGACTTCATAGGTCAGAGATATCTTGTTAGTCCAAACACTGAATGCTATTGGCAATGTGAATTTTAATATAGGCTGCTTTGGACAGTATTTCGGTTATATCAAGTCATGTCAGCCTGATGTGGGTGTAGGCCTTAGACGTTTACCACTTTGGAGAAATCCATGAGCACAGATGTGGTGCTCATAAAGTTAGAAACATAATCAGGGCGAACCGGGAATCGAACTCATGATCATAGGTTTCTAGTGTGCCCAACTCTGCAGTGTAAATTACAGCCATATGAGCCCCCACTGTTGGGATAGACAACATAGAACAACCATGTTATAACAAATAATTAATCTTGATATCTGTTAATCCAGACGATTCACCAGGAACAGTACTGATGATTAACCATAGTATAAACACAGCAACTGTGCAATGGACATCAATATTAACACTTGCCCTGAATTTAAAAAGAATGTCATACCTTTTTCATGTATTCTGTGACAGGGTTTTGTCGAAGGAACTCTGTGCTCTCCCTTGTGTAGAATCTCTCTGTATCTTCCAGGAATGGGTTCTCAAAGTTCTCTTTGTACACTGTTAATGTAGGTCCTTTAGCACTTGGTTCGTCCTCATTTAGACCAAGCTCAACTGAAAATAAATCCAGGACTCTCTTACAACCATAACAGTATCTAAGACCTTTGCTTCAAGCCAATCTCAGCAGGAAATAAATTCAATACTCTCTTACATCCATAAAGTATCTAGTACCTTTGCTCCATGCTGGCTTTATTACATCACATCATATCACAAACCATGAGAACAATGACATCATCATGTACAAGCATCAATTACTGGGGACATTTTGTATTAAGTAATCCCCTTCAAAGGAGTAACTTGTACAAGTCAATATCTCACCATAGCAGTTTATGACACCACTGACAAGTCTGGTATTGATGGTTTCCCCGTTTCTCTCTTTCTCAATCAGCTTAAGGACAGCATTGGTCACCTGTTTGTTCAGAGGCTTGAAGAGGTTGTCTCTCCATGTGATCAAAGCAAGCTGAAACATAACAGTGTCCATATCAAAATAACATTTTCAAATAATAGCCTGTCCCACTGTCTGTGACAGGTCAATTCCACCAACAACAGGTGCAATACAAAGTTTACCTGTCCAGTGGATGTTCACATAAATTCTGCCCATTAGTACCGTATTTTCTTGAGTATAGTGCGCACTTTTTTTCGAAAAAACACAGCTGTGTAGAAGGGGGTGCGCATTATACACGAATTATGAGTTTGGATGTTTTTTTCCCCCCATGGAAAGACATTACCGTGAGCACGAAACACCGGAAATACCATGTCAACAAATCCATACTGAAGTACGCAAAATAATCATGTAATTACACTTTCTGGCTATAAAAAGTGTTCTTTGTATATCTGGACTTATGTTTGTAACTTATTTCATTGATTTTATTCAAAATTCTTTATAATATTGTTTTTATTAATTTCGGCGAAATCGTGTGTGAAGCGATCGGAAGATCGCACAACTCACCGTTATTAACAGCAACCACGGTCAGAATACCGCTATTGACGCCTTGAAACAAACTTTAGTTGGCAGAGAATGGATACATATATCATAAATGACATACTTTGACTCGTTAAAAGTCATATTTGTTTTTGTTTGACGATTCTATGTCAACATGAAATTCTCGCGATCACGTGATCACGTGCGTGTGAGCCTTGACGGTGACTGGTCAGACTGGTTCCATGTAAAAAATAATACCCGGGAATAGCGATCAGCTGCTTCGCCTAGGGTTATTATTATTTTAAATATGTTTAGTAAAGGTTGCATCTAAATTAACAATATATTGGAATATATTATTCCTGATAAATAAAATAGTTTCAGATACAATTGTTGCCGATCCTTGCATTAAAAATCCTATAAAGTTATATCATTGGGTGTGTCTTGACCGAATCACCGGTCGATTCCAAGAAAACGTGTGTACAGCTGATTGCTGTTTCCGGCTTAGTTTACGAGAAAATACGCAAGGTAATCTTAATCCCTAAATATAAAACAATGCCTAGCAGAACAATAAATACTATTTAAACGGTAAATAAACATGTCTGGTGATTTTTTATCTCAAATTTCGAATTTGTACTGACGAAGTTTCTCAGCACCCGTTCGTTTGCCGGACTTCGCTGCGCATAATATTCAAATTTCTTTTTTTCCAAAATTTTGAACCCGCTAGAGGGGGGTGCGCATTATACATGGGTATAATACAAGAAAATACGGTAATACATAACTAAACAACCCTAATTCAAGTTTGAAATAACAGAAAAAGAAAAAGAGATGCTGTTTATTCCCTAAAATTTGTGATTGGCAACATTTGACAAGGACAGACTTTCAAGCAGCCAGTCCTGAGGATTGTGTTTCACAACATCAGGCAAAATGGTCAATAGATTACAAGTGAGTATGATTTCATATAGCTTTTAGCAATATTTCAGGAATATCACAATTGCAACTGCAAAGATTGTCACTTAAACTAAATCTAAGGCTGAATGCAAAGATGGTAAAATCCACATAAGCAAGAAAATACATAAAATACAGTCAAGTCTTGTTAATCCGACACTCGTTATTCCAACAATCGGCTTTATCCGACACTAATGATGGGAACTGATCATGCTGATTAAATCAGTGTTACATGTATTTAGACCTGTTAATCAGACAGTCTCGCAATCTGACTCCAACACACCTAATTTGCAACAAATTACTGAAATCACTCATTAATCAGTCTTGTTAATCCGACAGTGATCAGTGTGCTCCGTTTTCATCTGACCGCTAGTACACAGCCTGTGTTTTGATGTGAGACGAGTCGGCGAGTAGCTGCATATTACAACAGCCGCAGAGATAAACTTGCTTAACAATAAACAATTAATGCTTTAAATATACAAAACATGATTAATCACATGCTTAGATTACCTCAATCTCATTAAAATCAGATACAAATTCTCACTTTCACCGAGAACCCATTACAGGTCGCGTCAGAATGACCTTCACGAACTTTGACTGACCAATGAAATGACTAACAGGAGGTCGACATTAGCCACTAAGAAAGCACCTTTCTTGAGCATTGCGTCACTAATTTCAAACTGGCGAATTCCATTCCATACTACGCTTTTAAAAGTATTTTGAATTAGTCATACAGCATGTAACAGTAGTTTTGTGTTAAGCTTCAGAGGTTGCATGCTTAGAAAACATGTTCCGCTAACAATGTAATATAAATGTAACAATGAATATTTCCTATTTCCTTTTTTTATTACAATGTGTTTGTATCGTTATCAATCATGTAGTTGTCCTTTTTTCAACCATAAACGTTGATACTACTCAATTTGTGTTAATCAAACAAACTCATTAATCCGACATAATCATACGCAACCAACCATGTCAGATTAACAGGACTTGACTGTGTAAGCTTATTAAATAAATACATACAGAATAAATGTAATAAATGCCCTTGGTTCCCTCATCACATTCTCGCCGCACCCAATGTCGGTTGAGATAGGCACAGATGCCATCAAGCACTTTGCTGGAGAACTGGTAATCTTCCCACTGTCTGGTATAAAATTGCAGAACTTGCTCGTCTAGGAGGTCTTGACCATCCTGTGAGTAAAGGCATGATTTTATTTGCATCTGTTCTCATACAATCATCACACACATCAATCCAAAGAATCCATGAAAAATCCTTTTGTAAGTATATCACTGAAAGAGATGGGTCAGTACAGATTTCACTGAGTAGAACTCATCTTGCTCATGCATCTTGGTAAACTGAAGCTGTTTGTAACTACTTGCAAAAAGAGAAGCAGTCCCTTCACCCCCAATTCCTCAAAACTTATGACTTGTACGCCCAGCCCGAGACATTACTTCCAGAATTGTAAAAGTAAAAGCAGAATAGTAACTTCCAACAAATCATGCAACCATGTTTCATAACCTCAAGAATGATAGACAGTTCACAATCATTTCATATGGTAGCATTTGTAAAGATACATGGAAACATAAAATGTCACTCCTCAAAAACTGACAATGCTATAACAATGCTTTAAAAAACCTGAATGCTGACCTTGACTGCCAACTTATTTTGATCAAAATCATTCTGAAACAGGGCCCCATCCTAAAGAAAGTATGTACTAACTTTAATGCTAAATGCAATAATACACTTGAGAAAGTAAAGTTTCACTAATGCATTCATGCTCTCATGACCTTGACCTTCTCATAGCATGTGACAAAAGAATTCCCTGTGAAATACATCCATTGCAGGATATCCTTTACTGTCAACATGGCCAACAATTTTTGCTCCTTATTCAAGAAGAAGAATGACAACATTGCACACTTTGTTAAAATGTGACCTTGACCTTCAACAAATGCAATTGACATGTAATGTGGTGGGATTTGTTTTACTAACTTATAATGTAAATAGAGTTAAGTATGTCTCAGAAACTGACAATGATACGACCAAGTTTCCCAAAAATTTGAAAGCTGACCTTGACTAATGACTAATCTTAACCAAAACCTATAAAAAAAAGTCCCAATATCGTTTCACAGGGATGCAAATTATTGGTCATCGTTACATCAAAGAATCTGAAAAGGAAGTGGCATGATCAGTTTGCGACATTAGCCTGAAGGATGAGTCTAGAACAAAAAATAGCCTGTCAGACATGTGGAGCAGCTTCTGTGGTAGCACTATTGGTCTAGTTATGTTTTTTCACACGACTGTTATCAAACAGGCAAAATATATTCTTGGCAACTTTCAGCATTTGCTGCACCACACAGTAAACATGCTCAACACATCATTGAAATTGAATAGTTGTAAATTAATGCAAACTTTATGTGTGTAAGCATGCCACAGAACAATGCAATGGTTCTGAAACCATATTACATGTACCATAAAATATATGCAACCTGGGTTTAACTTGAGACATATGCAACAATGTCCCTGAATGATGCATCATTTCAGAGTCGAAAACTCTAGGGCTAGGGGCAATGTTTCTTCACTAGCTCCAATGTCTCGGTCTGTCAAAAGTTATTGGCACATTAAATGTTATTTTACAACAAGCATAAACTGTTCAGTTGGTTACCTTCAACAAGTTGACCAGATAGTTCTTGAGGAACTCCTTGATTCTCTTGTACAGTTCATGTCCGACAAACTGTGCCCCACTGGTGGGTTGTTTAATCTTGCGGCCCCCAGGCCCCCGTGACTGTGTCTGTGAGCCTGACCCCTGGCCATGGACACTGGTGCAGTAGTTATAAACATGCCTTCAAATAGCTAAGGAAATTCACAAGGAGTCCTTGCTTCTAGCTCCAATTTTCTAGCTAAAGCAATATGGCGATTTTTAGCCAAAAATAGTCATCTATGGTTATAACAAACTCAATGGGACCAGTAATTTTAGTTTGTTGTAAGCATATATATACAACATATATACACAAATTGCCGGGACCAAAAAGTAAGTTTGTAATATCCATCAGTTTGTTACAAGTGTGTTCATTATAAACGTAGTTTACTGTATAATCCTTATCCAAAGGTAGAATGCAGAACTAAACTAACAGACAGTATCTGATGTGTTATCGGTATAGTATTTAACAAAGAGTGAATGTTGTTTTATGCCAAAGTTCTATCATACAACATACAATTTTTAACCGCAATGACTATATTAGCTGGCTCTTATCATCATACGGTTCCGGGGATATTTACTGCCCAAGAATTTTGGCAGGTGGTTCTCGTTAGAAAAAAAAATATACTAAGCAACACAGTGAACCTTATGGAGGAGAACACAGGTTTGAAACCCATGACCATGTCACCTAGCAACATCCTTACATTAGTTATAATCATGATGGGCAAGGTTCTTAAACTTGCTGATGTTACACTTATTTCAGATTATTTCAGAATTATCACCAAACCTATTTTATTACTCTCATAACACTTGACAAGCTTGCCCCAACAAATCCATTGTAAAACCATCAATAAACCTCAGCATCATCACAGGTATAAGTAGTCTTTACCCCAAGGGAAGGATCTAATGCCATAACGTGGTGTCGGTTGAAACACGACATGAATGACCTTCAGTGAATCATTACAGCCCTATGTCTGCTGGAAACTGGAGCCTGATGTCAAGGACATCTGCTTGTTTGGTTTTGCTTTCACTCGGAAAATCTAACTTTTGTTTATTGGGAGTTCTTTAATGACATCAGTCTATCGCCAATATGAAGCTGAGACAGTCAAATCGTCATTTACATGTTGTAATTACATCCTGAACCAAAAAAGGTTATCGATCATGAAAATCTTTACATGTGAAATATGACATTGTGTGCTCGTTCTTAAACAAAAATATCCCCATAAACATGACAAAATCATGATCTCTAACTTTATGTGTTCAGAATATAATATAATATCAAACAAAAAGTGAATTGGGTACAGTGACAAGTCATGTATTGCTTGCGGGGTAAGCAAATGTAGAACATTCTCAGTGATCACACAAGGACATTTTGAGGGGGTGGACCATAGGTACCACAGCCCTGGAGTGAGTGAGTGAGTGAGTTTGGTTTTACGCCGCTTTTGGCAATATTCCAGCAATATCACGACGGGCCACACCAGAAATGGGCTTCACACATTGTAGCCATGTCGGGATTCAAACCCGGGTCTTCAGCGTGGCGATCGAGCGCTTAAACCACTAGGCTACCAGACCGCCCCCCACAGCCCTGGAGAAATATTGGGCTTTGCATGAACAATGTTGCAGGCAAAATTTATTTAAACATTCAATAATCTAAACAATAGTCAAAACTATCAGTACTTAACTCACACAAATATTTCCTCTCCACTGTATTACTTGCCACCTACAATGAGGTACCCAATGACTTCAACTTACCTACTGCTCCTACTATTAACATTACCCTACAAAGTAAATGTAAACCACTAACAGCAGCTAACTATGCCATCCAACAACGTCTAAATCTACATATCAAAATGATTTCCACTGTATGGTGACCGAAAAGGGAACTCAGAATTACTTCCTGCTACATTTTTGTGATCCACTTAACTGCAGGAAGCTGTGTACATTGATCATTAGGACACACCATCAAGCCAATGGGATTGTTTTATCATGTACATACAAAGAGTTTTAGAAAGCCTTGTTCTGAATTCCATCTGTTTACTTTTCTGCCTGAAGTTTGCCTCACATCTGATCGGAATATCGCAAGCAAATGACATTTGAACTGAGTTTGTTATGCTAAAAAAAAATTGATTATTGCATATGATTAACCATGCAATTTTCTAAATGCATCAATTATGTAAAAAATGATTCAATCCCACATAAACGCATCCTTCGAACAATAAAAGTTACTGTATCATAACCATGTTACATGACGTGCTAGCACAGTATCATGTCATCAATGGAATGTTGATGCATGTTCGCTGAATTACGTACTTGTGATGTTATGCCATTTCCTTAAAACTGTGCACAATAACATGGAGAAAATATAATCTTTCCTTGCAGATGCACATTTTATGGATATGTTTAACTAATTTATTAAGATAAATAATATTACTGGTAAGCCAGGATAAGTTAAGTTGTGACCCGACTATTAACCCCGTATGACTATGTATGAGGTCCGCCTGCTGGCGCGTACCACTGTGAAGAAAGGCATTGTAGGTGGTCTGCAACAAGTAGTATGATGGATATGTGCGTGTCCTGTTACGAGCGATACCTTCTGCTCTGATGCAGACAGAGCAGTGGCAATGCTATCTCTTGACAATGCTTGAGGTTATTTTTACGTTCTTTCTCCATGTAATGTATGACATAGGCCAATTCCCAAGCCTGAGCATGTATGATTTGGCCATGCTTACCTGGCTTTGACATGTTTATATGTTTGTAAATAACTTCTATCAAACGACTTTGAGAGAATTCTGGTATCTACTTGTTATGAGCAACACATGTGTCCACAGGAGTATAGTTACTTTTATCATCTTGACAACATGTGAACAACATACGTACACCCTCTCTACCTGTAACAACCCAAACATGCTTGCCTAAATTCTGGGCGTCGCCTACTTGTCTCAAACATGTAAAACATAATATAGTGAGTGTTCCTTATAGCAATGTGTGAATTTGGCATGTAACGATTTCATGTGCAATAAAATGCCCTCTAAGGCCTTGCTTTATTTGGACTGTTTGGTTAAATTGAAACGATTTTAAAAATACCTATCTCACAAAAAGTTAAATCCTCTCAACAGACAGATTGACATCCTTAAGGCACTTTTGTAGCAAAATATCAACAGACCAGTAGACAGCTTGAAACGGAGTATGGCAAAGACACCTTAAATTTCATTTTAATTTAGGACACTGTCGATACCAGTGTTACCCATATTGAACATGTAAAAGGATACGTATAGAGTTCCATGTATCTGTGCTTGGACATGCTCTGTCGTTTGTAAACAGACTTGATCCCTGACTTGAGATCATCCCAGATTTGATCCAACTCAATCTGCTTGAGACCATGAGGATTCTGTCCCTTCCCTGCCATGGCACTGGCAAAATGTTTACGGTGTTAAGCTGAGGTTTTGCTATTTGTAGATATCACAATGCTACAGCAGAGGGCTGTAGTTCTAGGTTTAACTGATGAAGTTATCTCTCTGTCATCCTTTGTTTTCCATCCTTTGAGTGCATCTGAAATTGAAAAAGTATAGAACTTAAAGGACCTCAACAATTTGATCTCAATTATACATTCCTAATTAAGGCAATGATTCTTCTGAACTAATGATGATAACAGTTGATAAACCAGGGTTTCGGATCGGTTGATTTTCTTGCATGTGTGAAGCAGATGAAACAGGTTTGATGTTTAATGACGCCGATGCCAACACCAACAAGAACCAGGCCAAAAACAATGTCTCCCCAAAATCCCTTGGGGTTGGAAGGGGAGGGGGGAGAGAGAAGAAGAAGGGAGAGACATAATTCAATGTTCATATACCTCTTAACATTTTTAAAAAAACACAATTTTGAACAAATTGACTTTTTCAAAATTGTCCTTGAATCGTAGATAAATCCCTGGGAAACACTGCTAGTGGATAGAGCATGTAGACCGTCACTTCTGGAAGTACAAGTTACTATCACACCACACAAACTGAAACAAACTGTCATTCAGACATTACTTTGTGTTATTTAATCACTTGGCTTACGTTTTCAGGATGAACTGGCTTTCTTTCATTTGTTTAGTTATATTGGTGATGTCAGCTGGAAGTGGATCATGTGAATTGCATTTTACTGACTGGTTTTATCATTTTTGAGCAGTTTGCATCCCACATGTTATAAACATGATATAGCATGACCACTACTAGCGTTTTCATGCAATGCGGGGTGCGAGCAAGAAGAATGAATTGGCGAAATAACTTGGGAATAACTGCTGAACAAATAATAAAATAAACTTTGTCATGGAATTCATTACAAATGTGGGCATCTTCTTGGGGTAGTAACAGTAATATTGAAGAAGTTTGGATATGCAGGTTGATAGGCAATCTGTGATTTTCATTTTCACTTGAAACTCAAACTAATGATGTCACCTTCACTTTATTTATAACCTCGTCTGTTGCACGTCTGTAAATGAAAGGATGTGTGGAAACAATGACTTAGTTGTGTCTGTTTGGCATAGAGGAAATTCAACTATAAATTATTGGTGGATAGGTGTCAAGTCTGTTTGGCCAAATGAGATAGCACATGTGGCAATTATTTTCATAATGTCTATGTCTTTTCAACAAATCCATCGATCCATTGAACATGTTGAATCAATGTACTATCAGCTAATACTGAGTAAGATAACAATGATCAATCAATGTGTCTTTGGTAAGTCTTTCTGATTACATTTTTTCGCAACTCAGCTTATCATTCCTCTCTTACTGTGCTTCCATGTGCACAGTACATAAATAATATTAATATGTAATATATTAAGTACATCAGACCTGGCTTAGTAGATGGAAAAATATCATGGAATATTAATTAATCAAGACAAGAGATATACTAAATGGAAACCACTGATTCCTATATCCTGGACACCATCACCTGAATAATCTCAGACATCAGAGGTAGGGATAAACACTTGTTATAATGTCTCGACAGAGGTGAGGAGAGGTGTGGTGAAATGGGGTTTAACGTCGCGTCCAAGATTATTGCACTAATATAGCGTCGTGCATGTATGTGTGTGTGTGCCTGCTTGTACTAGTCCGGAGTGATGCCAATTTATAGTGGTAGCACACTGAGATACCATGCCGTAGTTTAACATGAATACCCCACTCAGACACAGTATACTGACTCCGAGCCGTCCAGTGCTTGTTTTAGCCCCTGGTCAGACAGGGTAACAACAAGTACCATCTTTTTACATCTTTTGGTATGATGCGACTGGGGATCGAACCCCGGACCTTCCGTTCTCCGGGTGGATGCTCAACCAAGGAGGCGGTCGCATGTCTTGACAGATGACATGTTTATTGTGCATTGTCTGTCAGGAAATCTAAGGGACTCTGTGGTGCTACCACTAATTCTACTTGTAATAAAGTCACAAAACTGAGCATTAGGTGAATGACGTCAAATACACAGGTATAGGGTTACACCATGAAAGCATGGATGACAATAAGGACGTGGAGATTGTTGCAGAATATACAATGTAGTTGCCTGAAATGGTCATTTCTGAAACAAATATATGTATTGTTTTTGCTGTATACAGTTTGGCAGTTGATTTTCATTCAGTTTGAATCTGATACAGATATAGAAGTTTATAATAACCTCCCAGTGGAAATCAGGGTTTTCATGTTGTGGCCTTATACATGTGTCATAGCTGTCAAATGGCAAGTTAAATTTTAATAGTTTGAGTCGAAAGTCAAGATAGATAACATCATAAATCCAAATCAGTCTGTTATCATCCACACAATCAGAAATCCGTACATGATCTCACCATGCTCACTGTAGGATATTTGTTAATAAAACTATTACCATCTGGGGTATTTCCATACAATGGCATCTGATGAGCCTCCACCATTCTTTTTATCTTTATGTTCAAGAATTTCATTAATAAGCATCCTTTGTAAATTGAAACCTTCATAGATGAATTTATGCATCAATCACCTAGTGATATACACGTGTATGGCATTGTCTCAGTGAGCCCAAGCAGGCAGTGTCATCTGGCTAGTAGTAGCAAGAGCAGTTTGACTGCTCCTTTAATTGTAGCAAAAGTAGTATTGTTGGCTACATAGCTCTGTACCAGTGCTTAGAATTATAGAAGGGTCCTGTGCTCCAAAATTAAGGTATGCAGCTCTAGTAGTATTAACATCCAGGGGTCTCCTAAATCTGCAACATTTACATAAGGGAAAATATCATTTGACTTTTATGCTTAATTTCAAACACTGTTCTTCTCTCTGTAATAATTGCAAATTTGTGGTTTACAAAACAATCCAAATTGTACACTGTTTGGCAGATCAGGTGTTTCTATGTCTCTTGATAAGCTGTTGAAACGAGTGGCACACAATGATTCAAATCTTTCATACATGATAAATGATATCACTTTGAATGTTGTTTTCATTCTTGTCAACAAGCACATTTTAATATACAAACAATTTGCTTTGTTTCTGAAGAAAAGTTCCCTAAGTCCAGAAACCTTCTATTCATGTGATAGATCAGAATATATAGTGACACAAATTATTAAAAAAGTTGACATTGTCCTGAGAATTTAAGTGGTCACCAAATGGTTTAAAAGAAATTAATTCAGGCCAAATGTTTCATGTTCAAGAGAAACCAAAGTATGTGATAGATCTGACACATTTGACAACCTATTGACTATAGTCAATATCATTCAGTGACAACCTTACTTAGTGTTAAAAGTTAGTCAAAAGGATCGTTGTCATAATTCGGGTCCCAACATTATCCTAAAGATAATAATCAAACACTTACATAAAAACAGTGAACATAGTAAATCTGCATTCACTTCAGGCTTATAATCTGACGCGACAGAGAGGTTATTCAGTTACAGTGTTCGAAATTAAGGGGGTCCTCAAGGTTTGCTTCAATAGCACACTATGGGTCTTCGACCCCCAAGTAAATCTATAACTTACCCATTTTGAATTTGGTACACAACAAATCAACTGTTAATTTAGCCAACACTGAAATATCATGACAGCCTATGTCTGTGTAAGTGCTGTTCCAATGACCGTTCATATGGCATTTGGCACGCATAATATTAGTAAAACAGCAAATCACATTCAGCGTTAGAAATTGGCACCAGTCCTGTAGTCCTTGCTAAACTGCCCAATACCTAAGGTATCATAAGACTAGTAGAAATTGTTAAGGGGTTTGCGATATGTTATCATTTTAAGGAGTAGTGGAATAAAAATGTTAGTTTCTACCGCTGATATTTAATGTCCTACTCTTAACTAACCATGTTGTTAAGTGCAGAGATTACCAAAGAAATTATCAAAAACAGTAAATAGGTTAATAACATTGACAGTTGATGTTCAAACTTTGCGAATGTGTTACAATTGCAAAATATGACACAACACGTTCGAATCAGCGAGTTTCACAAAAGCATATAAAGGAATGCACGGTCCTCATATTTTGACAATTCATTTTCACTTCAAATAACGATGTTCGGAGTGTGCCACATCATGCCTAAGACTAAATTATCCTTTCAACATATAATTTCAACATGTTATAATCAATCATCGAAGGAGCTTAATGAGTTCTTTGTGTTTGTTTTCTTATTTCTTGCTCACTCTGTTTACCAATATGGCGGTCATGCAAAGTCATGCGAATTTCTACTACAGGAAAACGTGTCTATAGTTGGCAAAACTGCTATGCACAGGGAAGATTCTACAACACACACGTCCATGGATACTTACTAAAATATTCTGCCGAAACTAGACAGGATAGTTCGGCAAAGAACGACAAAATAAGTCCCAAATAATTTGGACACGCAATCCACGGAAAAATGATCACAAATCTGTCGATTATCTGCCCTTCGAGACCCGCATTGGCTCACTAGGGGGCGCAACAATTTTAATACTAATCGATAAATCTGTAACTGCATCCCAAAAAATAATGTTCTAACTTCGTCGTGACATTGAGCGGTTTGCGTTTAGAATATTATAGCAAAAGTTGTTGCAGTACTTACGAGAAGGGTGGAATGACTGACAAAAATGCATCCACGCAACTCGATCGTATCAACTTATCTTTAGTATTGTGCGATATTGTCAGATTAGGAGATAAACATGTATTTGATTTAACTGTAATATAGTTTAAAGATCAATATCAGAGATATAGTTTATATACGCCTTTGGTTATATAGGTAGTAAATCTATCTGAAAGAGAATTTTTTTGGACTCCTCCTGTTATTTAAAAAAATGCTGGATCCGCCCTTTTTTGTGCAGAAACCTTTTACTGTTCTGCCCATTGATTTTTAAAAAAAATTATGTATATGCTTTGTGATTTTACTCTACCGCCATATGCATATATAATTTTATGATTAGACCCCCTGAACCGTTTACACTCTCCGTTCTAAAATACGATCACGATAGACCTTATATTTAATTTATACCAGTACCACTGAATATGACTATCAGTGCTACTGGTACAAATTACAGATAGCGTCTCACATGGTCATTTGTTTAAGAACGAGAGTGTGGGAAATTAAATATATTGAAACAAATATATGGGTATATAGACATATTTTAACCCTATCAGTATTGTTCATCCTAGATTACCCATTGTTCTATTTCGACAAACACCACTGACCCATTCGCCAACTTAGGTCCGTATCGAAAGTGACGTCATATGCACAGCTCCAGTCTCTAACTTAGCTCAGAATATCTTGCGCCCGTGTTTTGATTGGACAGGTTGTTTTTTTTAAAAGTGCCATTCGAATCAGGCACTAAACGAAACTATGCTGGCGAATGGGTTCAAGGTATATCTATCGACACAGAATGGACAAATAATATACTGGATAATAGAGGATTTATTTATTTTGTAACTTTTTATTTATGTTTCATTTTCATTTTACAGTTACGCATATTACACATATAGTAATTGTACTTTAAGAGAAGAGTAAATGACTGCTTGACTAGTACCTGTTGAAATATCCCGTACAATAATTTACGTTTGCAATAAATGTATTAGTGAGTAGTACTGAGTAAGCTCCTATTGGATATCCTGAAAAAAAGTTGGCATTTTGTGTTCAATTCTTGTGTCAAATATGAGTTTTTCCAGTCCCAAGATTATGGTGTTTACATGGTTGTTGTTTTTGTTTTTAAGTAATACTCGAGTAAAACGTTTTCTTTTGAAATGCGAATGTTTATTTCCCTTTATTGAGAAGCCTGTTTTCCATATTGGACCAGATGGGGCGTACCTTTTGACATTCCCCAAAAAGGGAATGATAATAGTGAATGAGTGTTGTAACGTGGATGACGTTTCGTTCAGTATTTACCCATTTAAGGTAACATGTTCCTATTATAACCTCTGCGAGCCAGGGATAACCATGCTCGAGGATCTGTGGAATAAAATAAACAGAAGATTTTTTGGCGTATTTTATGTACTAGGTGTTAAGGATATTTTACAGAATATATCCCCCACCCCAACCTTACAATTAACAGTGCACTATGCAAAATACTCCCCTACCAAAATAACCGTACACTATACTGATTTTACAGTTATATATGTTACTTATTAATGTTGATGTACACGATGCAAGGAATGTTTGAAATCAAAAACAGATACTGAGATATGTTTCTTTCTTTGAATATGCACATCAGCATACAAAAATATTCATGAATTGTATATTTGACCAGAACTTTCTTGATTGTGTTATGGCTGACATTTGCATTCGTCAGTTATCACAGATAGAAATATGACATGAACTAAACACTTTATCACCATGACGCATTTTCACGGACAACCGTTTGAGAGCCTTTAAGCCATATATGGGCATGCATAGTACTAACTGTTGACTAGTTGTCAGCAAATACTATAAGTGCATCTGTTACTAAAAATAGCCGAGAAACTTTAAAACTGATTAAAACAAAGACAAAATGTTGTATACAAGTAAACGGAAGTTGCTTCGTATATCGAAATAGTTGTAGCATATATGTAGAAACAAAAATGTTGCACATTTTCCATTTCTCAAGAGATAAAGAGGGGTAAAATTTTACCGACTGGTACTTCCTTTTGGTCACATGACTTGGCCTTCAGAAAACAGAAAGTACACAGCGATCGAACACAAAATAGATTCAGATTGCGAAATTGAAACAGCCATCGCTATGTCTAAACAAGGTAAATCAAAAGCACAGATATGCACATAGATGTATCGTTTCCTTCAACACTCGGTGATCCATTTCTGTTGGACAAAAAGATAGCTATTTGGAAGAATCGTTCATTCAAAGAATGCGAACAATTTTGCAACAGTAAAACACCAACATGGAATTCCAGTGATTGGGAAAAACAAGAACGAATTAACCTCTATATCACTGATAAATATAGTTTAATGTACAGTTCGTATATTTTCTACTCTGAAGATCCCGGCACGTGTAGATTTACGTCGATTAATGGTCATATACCTTTGTGGTGAAAACGCGTTATTTTCGATCTACACATAGGTCTGATGGTCAACAAAGGAGATAAATACATGTAGTGGGTTGTGTGTATGCACCATATTGTATTCTGTTTTTTCAACTTTGTTCCAGTAAATCTATGGATATGGCAAAAAGAACTTGAATTTCTTCTCAAATTCTCTAAATGAATACATTATTCAAGTTATGGAGATGATTTTTAGATATATCTGTAGCCTATATATTCTAGAAATTCAGTGACGATTATCACAGAGTGTCACACTACATCATGTAATGACTTGACTCATCTATTAGACTGGTTTGCTAATGTTGGTTATCCATTCCAAAGATTTTTACTGTACATTTCCCTCGTGTGATAATGATTATCAAGTTCTATCTGGAAATAACTGGTTTTGTTTAATGTTATGTTCACCGTCACATGTGACAGTTAGGAGATAAACATACTGTGTTTTCAATGTAAAGGTAGGTTCCTTGTAGATTTAACCCCACTAAATTGAATTTGGAACCGAACATGCAGCTAAATTTACTTATGTCACATGAATTACTGTACACCATCTTCACATGAATATAACAGCCAATCAACAATTTTGAAGGCAGCAGATTTTTGAAGAGCTTACATCAGAACGCAAAACTGATAACATTTTAATAGACAGAGACTTGTTAAGATCTTTTGACAGCCACACACATGCGGACAGACATTTCAGCCGATCTGTTGCAGTTGTTCTTTTCACAAGTTGTATTCAGAACAAGTCATATTTCATCATTTTCAGCTACTCCAAATGCTGTTATCATAAATCATCGACAAGTTCTTAGCAGACGTGTCACAAAAGAGGCAAATACAATTTTGGGGTGTATCTATAGCCAGACATGACAGACTGATAACCTTTGCAGAAACTGCTATTTCATGCTCCCCTCAATTGGTAACATCCGTTCATATCACAGCATTAGATGCAGCCCAACACTCTTTCAAAGTTTTGTTTTCTCAAGATTCTTGTTTGGTCTTACCCAAGAACAGGTCCACAGACTGCAAAAAATTCAGAACAATAGAGCCCATATTATATGTTTAACATCTAAACATCAACATATGACTCCAGTTCCGAAAGCCTTACATTGGTTACCTGTAAAGACTAGTATAGAATACAACATTCTGTGACTTTGTGACAGACTGGAATTGCTTCCGACTATGTCATGGAGCTCATTAAATGATACATTCCGTCCACATACCCTTGGTCAGAGCATCACCACCTGCTGGCAAGAAAGAAATCAAATCCTATGGTCAAGGAACATTCCCTATGCAGCAGCTACACTTTTGAATTCTCTTTCTGGCGACATCAAGCATTCTCCCTCCCTGGCCTCTTCCAATCTGTCCTGAAAACCCATCTCTTCAGGTGTCACTACTTCTAATTTCAATCTGTTCTTACTCCCTAGCTGTGCTTTCTTGTTTTCTGTAGTGCTATGAGTAGGCGCTTGTGGGTGGATATTGTACAGTAAACATGGTAAAAATAAATGTCCACTATTATTGTTAAGTTAACTGATGTGGTCTGTTTCCTTGTGAGGCGAGTGGGATGTGAATCTAATAATTAGTTTATTGTGGCCTGGGTTGAAATTTTACTTTTTTCAAACAGTGATACAATTTGTAATTTACATCATTATTGTTATTTTATGATTAATGTGATGATTTTATTAGCAGAAATTACTATGGTATGATTTGTATGAGGTGTGAAATGTATATGTAGCAACCACATCAGTCACAATGGTGACTTAAGATTATGTGGGTTCCCAGACCACAGGAATTCAAGTTTTTTGAGTGAGTTGAGAGACAACAGCCCTACTGCTGTATATCCTAATATATATGTCATATAATCATAATTTAACATTACAAGGCAGAGGAGTGTCACAATTCACCTCATAACAATGAGTGAAACACATACTGGGGGAAGGCAATCAATTTGTGTGAACTTGGCAACATGGACCCTGTAGAATTCCACGCCAAAACAGTGCATAATAAGTATCCTGATTTGCATTATACATGTGATATCTTGCCTTCGCGTTATGTATCGCTAAATGTATAGGTATGTCATCACATCTCAAATAGGCAGCAGGACTATGATATGTCAACTCACACTACAGATTTCTGATTCCTGTCACAAACTCACCTAGCCACTTTTGATGATTCAGGAGGATATATCCTTTCACATGGATAGAGTGCAGAACTGATTTCTTTTGAATAATGTCACCAAAGATTCACACATTAGAATTCCAGGTTAGAATTTGACCCTGGCAACCTATGCTGCAATAATGGATCAGGTGGTCAGTCTTGTGACTGGTATATTGTGTGTTGTACTCTGACAATGTTGAACATTGTACATAATATCATCCACTGGTTGTCAGGCAGAGGCATGAAAGGCAAGAGGTCCTTGTCATTACCCTAGTGTTAGAAGTTAATGATTTAGGGCGTCCCTGGTTCAAACTCCATGGGACCTCAACGATCCCCTCTATTTTGAAGTTTTCATATTTCCGTCAAAGTTCCTTGTGGACTTGAAAAAAGGTGGGCCCCATGAAGATCCGGGTTAGAATAGGTCATTAGCAACCCATGCTTGTCATTAGAGGGGACTTATGAGTTTGGGTGGTCAGGCCCGCTGACATGGTTGATGCATGTCATCGTGTCCCAATTGCGTGGATTGATGCTCATGATAACAATCACTTGATTATTTACAGACTGCTGTCATATAGCTTGAATATTGCTGAGTGTTGTGTTAAAACAAACAAACAAACAAGCTGAAATAGGTGGACACCATGAGCACTAAACCCCCACAATCTGGGCCAATCAGAAAATCTTATGGCCATTGCTAATAATATCTGTCTGACAATCTAAGCTACAGGTAAAGTTCAAGCCAATTTCTTCGAGACACTAGAGGTACGAACTTAGTTTCAACTTTTGCAAAATATCAGCTGGCATTTCCTTAGAGTTGTCTGATACATCTTGATCTTCAATTGCCTCTCATTTCTTTGAAAGGAATGAAAATACTCTGGCCTACTGTTTGTGAAACTATGAGCATATGCGCTTATTTCTGTCAGTGGAAAAACAATCAGTAGAATTCTGATATTACCCAATGATAGGGAATCATAATAGTGGAAATAGAAGTTTCCCGTCGACCAACTGTACCAATTATGACCATCGGCTAAACAGCGAGTGCCACATGATGATACAGCAACGTTTCAGTTACTAAAATTACATTTTCTTTTTTCTCTGGTATCACACTCGATTCTTATATTCATTACAAGTATAAGAAATGCATTATCACATTTGTCGTCTGCAAACCGATATTCCCAAAATATGATTTACACATACTTATCTTCTAACACTATGTACTATGGATTTCACAATGTGGCCCCTCCATAATTTCAATATGCGCTGTTTGAAAATTGAATGTGCCAGTGGCGCAGTGGTGCGGCCTATGATGAACTCTTCTTTGCGTGTTCTGTCATCAAAGTTGATCACTCTTTTTACATTGCTTTTGCTACCATCATATTAATCATCATTTACCTTCATTTACTATGTAACATCATCTTGCACAAAGTTACAGGTGCTGAATAGTATGCACCTGGTTGATGTATCTCATGCTCATATCATGAGCACGTTGTTGTCTTCTATGGCTGTAACTAACTGTGAACCCTTGGGTCATCGCTTGGTCAGAGATCAGTGGATAATACTTATATGGAAGCCTTTTCTGTCTGCTATAGTATTTGGATCAATGTACCCCCTAAATTAACATGGGAGTTATCACACAGGCCCCTGACGTTGATGCCTAATGTTAAAAACTGATGACACTGTACAATAAAGGAATCATATCTTTTGTTGAATTCCAGATCCCAGCAAAGCCCAAGGCATGCCTCCCCCACAGTATGCCTACGGTGCTCCTCTCCAGCAGCAGTATGGATCTCAGCCCCCACCATACAGCGCTTCAGCCCAGTCGAGCGCCGCTGCCTACCCTGCGTCTGCCTCACAGCATGACTCTGCCTACCTTGCCTCCATGCAGGCACAGGCCCAGGCATACCAAGCCCAATCTCAATACGTCCAACAGCAGTACATGCAGGCATACGCTCAAATGCAACCCATGCAGCATGGGTATGGTGAGTATTGATGTTTAATAACCTTTGTAAAGGGGATAACAGCGTTAGAAATTGGCACTAGTCCTATAGTCCTGGCCAAACTGCCCGATAGTAAGGTAGTATAAGGACTAGTAGAAATTAGCCTTTTTTAAGGATTTTGCTATGTTATAATTTTAAGGACTAGTGGTCTAATACTGTTAGTTTCTATCGCTGGATAAACCATCGGCCTGTCACAATTACTTGGATAACCAGCTACTATTTGAATACAATTTGTAACCAGTTAATAAATGTGCAAACCGGTATTCATTATCCTAATTCAATGTTATTAATCATCAGTTGCAGTTATGTTTATGAGACCGAATATTTTTTATGTTAATTGTCACAATCTGAATGAGTCTGCAGTTTGGAACAGTCTATGAATGACGTAGATTGTGTAATCTGCTGCTGCTGTAGCACCGACAATCTTGTCACTGTCAAGCATAACCAGTATTGAATATGATACAACACATTTTAACATCAACTTCATTTCATAATCGGCTGTCATGGTTACAGTATTGAACATCCATTTATACTACTTGATAATTTGCTCTTCACTTCACATGACAAACCAACTAAACTGCAAACTATATGGTAATAAACCATGTGTCCCATGAGATGCTGGGTTGCTGTCTGGAGGTGACCAAATGGATTGGGTGGTCAGACTTTGTGACTTGGGCGATAGCGTGTCCTTTTACCTGACAACATGGATCATTGCTCATAATATCGATCACTAGATTCGATTATTTAAAGGCTGCTGTCATTTAGCAGGAATATGCTGCTGAGGCGTTTAACAACAAACAAACAGTAAAACCTTATAACATGTTTAACTGGTCTGTCATTTGAATTGTGTTTCAGTACCTGCTTCCTCGTCTGCCTACCCCCGCCAGCAGTACATGCCAGTGATCCACCAGACCCAGGGAGTTTCTCCCCACGGACCTCCTCCCCCCTATTCTCCGGTAAGGGAAACAGTGCCATGTTACACTACCTCTTTTTATACTTGCACAGACTGACTTACATCCTCTATTTTCCAATCAAAATGAGACTTGTGTACAACTTATTAGAAACAGTTAAGTATACACGGTACATATTGCAGATGGTATTGATGTTTTCAACTTTGTTAGTCCTTTGTTTTTAAGGTAGAATCCTAAATAGCAAGCAATTTTAAGGAAGACAAATTAATTCAAAGCACTGCTGATAGGTAAATTCAAGAACTTTGCAAATATTTTAGTCTTTCTTTTCAGGATTCGAAACTGACAGTAGTTTGTTAGTCTGAGACTAGTAGAATTAAGGAAGGACTTGAGACTTTAACGTTTTACCATTAGATATGTGGCAACTTTGTAGCTGATTGGTGGACCAGTGAAAATAACAATTAATTTCTCTCTTTAGTCGTATGTATTCATTTCGTTGAATCTATTCATGTATTCATTATCCCTTTTGACCATCATGAATTCCAGACTTAAATATGTACTGATACTCTGAGCCTGCAAGTTCGTAGCTTTGGGTTGTATTCTGGATCCAGTTTCTTATATGAGAGTGCCAACAAGAAGAGTCCATTTTATCCATCATCAAAATCAGTGTATCTCATTTCATTATTAGGAATATAATAAGCAGTTGTAATTAAGAAAGTTTGCCCTTGTCCTTCTCATTGAGGTTGATAATACCCTTTTCAGTTTCTGCATCCTGTGGTAGTGTGAATCATGCTGTACATTACGCATGTTCATATGCTCAGTTGCCAGGTATTTGTCCAGTTTGATGTTTTTTTTTGTGAAAGTATATTTATCACTGGCTTCATATAAGAAACATTCTTGAAAGGTACATTTTTTAATTTTTGTGTTTATCTTATCTCAGACTATGCATTTCTCATTCTTCTGTCGATCCTAAGCGGAAACATGCTTAAACAAAGGGTTCCTGCTTCTAAAAAACAATTCACCCGAACACGTTACCTTAGCATCACCATGTCACTTCCCAATAATTGGGGTCATGCAAGTAGTGACCTACAAGACTGAACACATGGCTTTCTAATCGCCACAGTTTGGTGATGTGCTCCGCTAGAGAAATCAAATTTTCTTCTCTCTCTCTTCTACCTATATCCCTCTATGAAGACTTGAAGATTTCCTTTCTTTGGTCGTTTTCAACATGCACTGACCTGCGTGCTTGAATTGTAGGTTCTCGGATTGCAGCAGTTCATCTAAACGTTGTTTACAGTGTGTCAACCTATCTGACGCGACATTCAGCATTTATCTACACAAGTGCCAAGGCAGGGAACAAGACCGGCTTTCTCAATCCAAGGAACCTGAAAAATCGCCCAACGTCATGAAAATCCCTTTGAAAAAGAAAGCGACTAAGCTACCTACAACTCCTGGGATTGGCAAATCGTTAACCACCTCGCTTCCTGTCTTGTCTGTCAGTGACGACGGCGTATGTGACAGCTTTCTCATGGAAGATGTTACCATCTCTAATGTTCATCCCCTTCTGGAGAATCTACTGTTGACGTCTACGGCAATTCAACCTTCTGCTTTGGATGTACAGAAAGTTCTCTCAATGGTATTGGATCCAACAACCCCCTTTTTTTCTTCACAGTCGGTCGTGCTCCAACTTGCTAACACAAAGCCTGTCCTAGTCTTTCTCCTTCAACACCCTCCTTTACTGTTGTTGATAACAACATAATTTTTTTTCCGCCTGAAGGCATATCTAATGCTGCAGCTTCAACTGAACCCTCCATAGTTTCTTTTACTACGATTTTGTCTGTTCTGGCAGGTTTACACTCCCAGTCTACCTCTCAACGTTCGAGATCCCCTGTTCGATGTTCTAGAGATCTCCCTCCTGGGGATCGGTTATCACAGGATTGCCGCTCAAACTCATCAATCCCTTCTGTCGATCAAGACTCATGCAGGGTCACGTTCTTGGGTGTGCTCTCACTGAGCATTATTCTTCTAAGATTCAGTTATCAGGGATCCGGTCATCTACTCATCATTTGGATCATACATCTTATCCAAGGAGACTTGCATTCGAGATGCTGCTGGTCTTATTCAGGATAAGGTTACGGCCATTTTGGATCTTCTTTGCTCACTGCGCGGTGTCGATTACTACCTTAAGACAGCTAGGTGTCCTTCAGCTTTGACGCCTTCAAAAATCGCCTGTACCAACTTGGTCAACTCCTTCACCTTTTGCTGGATGCATTCAAGACATTGCACAAAATGTTCGGCATGACACATCCCTCCAGGTGACAGTTGATCTGCTTCATTTACAATGTAACCAGCTTGTAGAGCAACAATGGAAAGACTATAGATTACCTGCCTTCACTCGCACTTAGTCGGATCTCCGGGAGGTTATAAGTAGCAAATCCAGGAGAACGGGGATACAAACTCTAAGTGTCTTGACTCCTCTTCAGACCGACTGGGCTCTTTCACCCTCAGTTGTTTCTGTGGTCACATCGCCTGTAGGCAGAAGATTTGGTCTATTTGCAAGAATTTGGAAGAATTGGACCATCCTGGACTACCCATTTGTGTTACCACCTATCATCTATCCCTCATGGCAACTCCTCCTACGACTTACAAGCCTCCTCAGCACCTGTATCCAGACATGCAGCTTTCTGTTCTCACAGATACCATAGGTACGCTACTTGCAGAGTGCCTGGGCACAGATCCCACAACACAAATGGGTTTTTACTTACTAATCTTCATGGTCCCAAACAAAGACAGCCATCAACTCATCTCATTTTCAACATGGAAACTTTCAACAAGTTATACCTAGATATACCTCCACATTTCTGGATGACGTCAATCATGTTACTATGTACAATTACTATGCCCCTACCAATAGAAGGTGCTCCCCTATTTTTTTGTCCCAATGGCTATTTATCAATCTCACCAAGCCCATCGTCAAATTCCTTCCATGTTTGAGGCATCATCTTAGAATCATAATTAGCGACTTCATTCAGGCCAGTGAAGACCCAGGCATCCTTCTACTACATCTCAACTTCACGCAGCATCACCTTCATCAACTCGGCTGGCTGGTCAATGCCAAAAATATCCTTGATGGTTCCTTCTCAACATTTTCTGTTTATCGTGGGCCCTGTTCAACACACGTCTAGGCAAGATGTTTGTTCACCAAGATCGTTGGGTGAAGATTCAACACCTTGTTCCATTGGCTATCTGCGTCAATGGCAACAGAGCAACTGTGGGTTGGGGAGCTCCTTGTCAGAAGCTACAGGAGGCAGGGCCATGATCTGCCGACGAAAGCCATCTTCACATCAACAACTTATTCAAAGCAGTGATCTTGGCAGTGTCACACTGGGCAACACGTTTTCATGCTTTCAGTCTGATGATCCAGGCAACCACAACAAATTGCCGAATACCTCCATCTTCAGTAGTCACAAAGGCTTAAGGGTTTTACCTCATCTACGTATCTTGCTGTGATCAGTTCCGTTGTCGCTACTACAACGGTTGTGAAGGTCACTACTGTTGTGCAACTGCAATCCCTTTTTCAGTCTTACAAGTTGGCGGACCAGTCATCTCGTTTCCAACCACCGACCTTGGATCTCAACGTCATATTTTGCCATTTAACTTCCGCTGATTAAGAGCCACTTGCCAAGAAGGACTTTGAATGTATCATGTTAAGAACAGTCTTTCTTTTGGTTCTTGCGACTGCTCGAGTGAGTGAGATTCATGTCTCACGTCAACCGAGTTTGTTTCGCACGGGAAAGTTTTTCTGGGCTGTTGATGGGACTTCATTACCAAAAATCAACTTCTTGGACAACCTGGTCAGTTATTTACTATCTCGCTTTTGACGTCGACCTTAAACCCTGAGGATCTTGAAGACGTATCCTTGTGTCCTGTACATGTGCTTCTGTTCTACTTTGATGTGACAAAACCTCCTCGACATTCCTCCAAGAGGCACTATATTCCGCTTTCTAATGCACCTGTTCTGAAGTCTCCTGTACCACAATTTGTTTTGGGATTTGGTCGGTTGTTCTCCAGGCTTATACTTTTGCTGGCCTGCCTGCACCTCCACTATAGCTTCACACAGTAATTGCACTTTGGCTGCAATTATGGACGGGTGTTTCTGGAAATCCAACATGGTTTTCCAATCCCACTACCTCCAAGACATCTCTGTGATTGACGTCCAAGGTCTGCATCAAGTTGGCCCATTGGTTCTCACACAGCAACACTATAGGACATATCTACGCAGATAAGAGTGAGACATGTACCCGATTCAGTTCCTTGTACAACATCTCTCTATATGCAATAAACTTTGGCATTATTCTTCGAGTTGGAGTCCATCTCTGAATAAGTCGTACATTGTATCATGTGGCTTTACAATTTGCTTCTTTACATATGAGCACGTTTTGCTGATTGTTCCTGATCTCATGTATTTCATTTGTTTCACTTATCAGGGTCACGACACTTTTTTGGGTGTGTTTCTTCCCTGTCCACAATTTTTTGCGTTTTATGTCACAAGACAGTGTTATTCTGTGTTATATTGTTCTGTATCACTGTTTTGCACCTGCTTCCTCATGTATATACTATGGTTGTTGCCTTTATAGGCTAGAGATTTGCACCTCACCATCCCACCGTGGAATAAATGCATAGTTTGAGATAGGATAAGTTAATAAATTTGAAAAATTTACAATAAATTGTATATTTATATACTTATCCCATCTCACACGGTATATGCATGAAAAGCATGCATGACCCAGATTGTTGGGAGGTGACCATGGTGATGCAAAGGTGTGTTTGGGTGAACTGTTTTTTAGAAGCAGGAAACTTTTGTTCAGGCATGTTCGAAAGAAGAATAAGAAATGCACAGTGTGAGAAAGGATAAGTATATGAATAAACAAATTATTGTAAAAGTCTGAGTTTCCAGTCTCTAAACAAAATTACTCCGAACACATCCCAGCATCACCATGGTCACCACCCAAACAAATTGGTCATGCACTTAGTCCTGTGCATAACGACCTACACGACTTGACCCCACCTGTAAGTTGTTCAAGCCTATTTCCACATAGGAACGAATAAGAATGAAGAAATGTATAATGCCGGGTTTTATGAGACGCGGAAATGTGCGTCCAGTACGCACAAATGTTTAGAATGGATGCAGAAAAGAATATATTTGCATCTCTAGGGATGCACAATAATGGTCATTGTACCAAATTCTTGACAAGAAATATAAACCTTACTGTAGTGTAATTAAAGTAGTAACTAGATCTTTAGTACAGTATACGACACCATTTCATTAATTGACACGACCCTCATATTTCCTGTAAGGACCCTTGAAATTTGTAATTGGGTACCCTCTGGACCCCTAGTTTTGAAGGTTAAGGTAAAACCCTGATAGTGTGAGATAGGATAAGTATAAAAATATACAATGTATTGGAAATTTTCCAATTTTGTTAGAACCAGAATAATTTTTAAATATGCCCTTCAGGAACCAGAAACTGGTTTTAACTGTCATTATTGTATTAACCATGCCATTGGCACACACCCTGGTATGTGAGCACTAAATGTATATCGAATATGTCTTGAGTAGTTTGTTTATCTCACCTGGTGGCCAAATTACTTTGAAGCTGATCCTGGTTCAAGGTTTGAAATTACTTGTGTTTTGATGCCAAAGGAACGGGTATATATTATGTTCCCTGTGCCTGAGGGTATCATATTTGTAGCAGCAATACCCAGGACAGTGCTTATTACATGAAATCAGAAACAAACATATGAACAGTCTAAATACATGGTATAAATCACAAGATAGATTTGGGTAATCAGACTAAGGGTATTATCATATTCACCAAAAGGGAAGGGGACAGACTTTCAAGCAATTATCTAGCCTTGGTCAAAGGAGTTCCCTCAGTTCGATGATGGATCCAAAAGTTAACACATTTTAATTCAAAGGGGCAAACCTGAACATGTTTATGAGTTCCCTGTGGCACACTTACAAACGAAATAATTCTTGTTAGTGGCGTTATCTAGGTTATCTAGGTGCTTATCACTGATGCTTGTTTTGTAGGTGGCTCAACAAATGATGGTTCAGCAGCCAGGGACAGTTGTTGTTGGAGGAGCTTTTGATGCTGGAGCACGATTTGATGGGATATCTCAGCCACGAATCCCAGTAAGTAGTCAGTCGGAATCATAGAGATTGTGTAGAGATAAATCTACACTGCGATATCACTGTACCTTCCTGCAAAATGCATTTCTGGTGTCCTCCGCCGTGATATTGCTGGAATATTGCTAAAAGCGGCGTAAAACCGTACTCACTCACTCACTCCTGCAAAATGTTTTCTTTTTACGACAGATTATCAGCGCACCAGTATGAGTTGTATCCCCTTTTCAGTTGTGTGGAGTATTTAGCTCCAGATGAACTGTGTATTTGCGTAAACTGCGCAAAATAAATCACCACATCCCAATTAATTTTGTTGCTTTTGGACAAAATATGCTTGAAAAAATTCTAAAACTCATCAGCATAACAACATGGTGCGTCACTACCCAATGTAGACTTTTCTGCTTGTGTACCTGAATATCTTTATTTATCTTTACTAACTGATCAAATGCAGGCATCAGCTATACATAAACTCAACTGTAGTGATTAATGCACAATTGTATTGCTTACTGCAAGTGACACATGTATCTCTGTAGTGAGCTTATGCGACCCTGGACACATTTCGGGCAGCACATGGACAGAAGACAATTAGAGGTTACCTAAAACAGCCTATTAAGCATAACTATTTTTAAAAATGTCTAATCATTTGTTTGAAAATACCCATTAGACTGGATTCAAGGGAGTAAAATATATTGAATACCCAAAGAATACTATCAAATACCCAATGTAAATGACAACATGTAAGTAAATACTCAATGGCTTATACAATTATCTAGAGCCCTCGTAGAGGGTGGTCAATAGTCATTGAATGAAATCTTCAAGGATACATAAAATATTTCCAGTCTGTAAACATTTAAAGGGGAAGTGTTCACGCAAAAATCACTTTCTTTCTTTTTCTTAACAAAACGCAATTTTAGAATTAGTTAGTATCTGTGTCTGAAAATATACACTCATTTTTTTTCACAGTGAAAGTAGGAAGCTCACAATAGTGTTAAAATGATATGTCGTTATGAGGCCTTCGTTTTACGAGCGAAATAGGCCTGAGTTATCCCCCTTAGATTATGACGTAATTGGTGCCAATTCAACTGGGTCCCTGTCTATTCTCAACGCAAAAGATATCAAGGACCAGTTTGCTGTAAAACAACATGGTCTACGACACACTCCGGCGCAGTGGTGACTCAGCATAACACAATTCTGGCTGGCATCTGAGACGCTAGAATCACAAAACTGTACCTACACCACGTGAAGCGGCTCTAACAAAGCATGATGACGTCATAATGTTTATCAATTGGCACCAATGACGTCATATTGCAAGGGGCATAAGCCATGGTGTTTTTGTTATGGAAATAGAACACTTGGTAAATGTGAAAAATATAAATCGTTTTAATGCAAAAAAAATGTTAATTAAATATGATGTTTTTATATTTTTGTCTATGACACTTCTATGTTAACACTTTTAATGTGGAAAAAGTACAAGAAAAATTGGTTCATTTCCGTGTGAACTTGCCCTTTAAGTCAGTCAGGGAAGGAAGTTATCAAATCAGCCAGAGGGAAAAGTTACTAAGCTATTTATGATAATAGTATGCCATCCAAACACAATACAGTGTTTCATGTGCATTGCAGCCTTTTATATTCAATAGTTCTATTGGAAGGATCACCATATCCACAATTAATAACATTACATTTTGCTGTGTGCGTGTTTAATATCCTGTCTTTCTGGTTCATAAGAATCAAGAAACATGAGAAATTTCTGGGTTGGGTACGAAACTTCAAGAATTGTGTGTTGTTTGAACATGTTGAACATACAACATGTACAAGAGAGACGTTGAAATGTCACCTTTCCTCTATATTATTCTGTAAGTGTGTACCCAATGACATGCGCGTACCAATCACAACACAACCATATGTCAAGTTCCTTTCAAACAGGCGCCACTATTATGAAAAGGAATGAGTTTATTGCAAGTTGTCATATGGCAATTTGTAATAGTTACATCTGGTAATATTATGTATGTAGCATGCCATACACTTACATTTTAACTGCACAAGGTGTCATTTCAATGATAGTTAATTAACATGACTCAGGGTTCGAAATTAAGGGAAGCTAAGATGCGTCTTAATTTATGATTTTGCGTCTATAAATCAAAATAAAGACAATAGTTTTTGCGACTTGCTTTTTCCGTTTCACAATTGGTTGACAAATACCTAGATTTCTAAATTCACTGTGATAACTTTTGATTTCGCGAAGATTATCCTTGATTTGTTTACCTCCAATTTAGAGTTACCTCCCCATTTGCGTTTCCGGAAAAAACTTTCACTTCCTTTCAACTTTCTTGAACGCGGACTATTCCGAGCTCTTTTTGACCAATGAACATATAGCACGGAGATTAATATTTTGCAATGACGTATGTCTATTTTCGGGACACCAATCAAATGCCGTAAAAACTATGTCATCGGTATTTTATTCAATTGACCCAAGGTTGTTTCTTTTTTTTAAGATGACATGCCATTCTCGAATCCCAGACAACACCCGTAAGGCTGGTCGACTGACCAAGCCGAAGTCACGTCAAAATAGTACATGTATCAGGGTTTCCCCTGACGCAGTATTCTTGCGTATATGACTCTCAATTAAGGAAAAATACGTCCAGAAATTAATGACTGCGTCATGACTGACGCAATTTCAAAATATCTGTGTTGTTGTTTACCAGCTTTGGAATGAAAATATTACAACTGCTCACCTGAACTTAATTTATAAACATTTTCTGAAGACAATATATGCAAACATCTTAAAATTTACGTCTAGTTTTTAATTAATCGTCGTTTCAAAATATATTTATGCATCAAAGTGAACGTAACTCTCACACTCCATGTGGCTTCGATGACAGCACGTGATGTAAACAAAGGAAAATTCCGCAAATTGACAAGGTTTTTCATGTTTCGGCATATTTTCTCACTAAAAGTTAACCATGACATATGTTTATCTAGATGTGTAGACTTGTAAAAAATGAAACAGAAGAAAATATTATCATTGTTCCGGTGAATAATGTGATTTGGCACAGTTACAGTATGTGGTTAAGCAGAACCTATGGAACGGGGTAAACAGAAGTTGTAAGTATCAGAGGGACACATGTTTTTTGCTGAAATTTAGGTAAACATTATTGAATGAAATTTTAAATAAAATTAATAAAATAGATGACAAACATAAGGTCAGATATACAGAGAACACATTTTTATTACCAGATAGTGTAACAACAGGATTAACTTGCGTAATTATCCCCCGCCGCGCGAAGCGGGGGATATAGTATTCACGACCGTCCGTACGTCCCACCTGTTTGTTGCCGCGATATCTCAAGAACTAAACACTGGATTGTCTTCATATTTGGAACTATGGTGTATATACAGACTCCGCAGACACCAGTCGGTTTTGGTGACCTTGACCCCATTTTCAAGGTCACAGCAGGCATATCTGCTTTTGGAGTTGGAAAACGGTGTTGCCGCGATATCTCAAGAACTAAACACTGGATTGTCTTCATATTTGGAACTATGGTGTATATACAGACTCCGCAGACACCAGTCGGTTTTGGTGACCTTGATCCCATTTTCAAGGTCACAGCAGACAAATCTGCTTTTGGAGTTGGAAAACGGTGTTGCCGCGATATCTCAAGAACTAAACACTGGATTGTCTTCATATTTGGATCTATGGTGTATATACAGACTCCGCAGACACCAGTCGGTTTTGGTGACCTTGATCCCATTTTCAAGGTCACAGCAGACAAATCTGCTTTTAGAGTTGGAAAACGGTGTTGCCGCGATATCTCAAGAACTAAACACTGGATTGTCTTCATATTTGGAACTATGGTGTATATACAGACTCCGCAGACACCAGTCGGTTTTGGTGACCTTGATCCCATTTTCAAGGTCACAGCAGGCAAATCTGCTTTTGGAGTTGGAAAACGGTGTTGCCGCGATATCTCAAGAACTAAACACTGGATTGTCTTCATATTTGGAACTATGGTGTATATACAGACACCGCAGACACCAGTCGGTTTTGGTGACCTTGACCCCATTGTCAAGGTCACAGCAGGCAAATCTGCTTTTGGAGTTAGAAAACGGTGTTGCCATGATATCTCAAGAACTAATCGCTGGATTGTCTTCATATTTGGAACTATAGTGTATATACAGACACCGCATACACCTGTCAGATTTGGTGACCTTGACCCCATTTTCAAGGTCACAGCAGGCAAATCTGTTTTTGGAGTTGGAAAACGGTGTTGCCACAATATCTCAAGAACTAATCGCTGGATTGTCTTCATATTTGGTACTATGGTGTACAGGCGGGGGATATTTCGTCACTCTGTGACAAATACTTGTTCAATTCGGATTTGTTATGCTATTTCCAATGACGGATCATGACAGCCTGAAATAAGACTGAAGAAAAGTCTGTGCGTATTATACACAAGAGATATTTTTTCAGGATTTAATAGCCCATAATTAGGGGTGTGTATTATACACGAGAGTGTATTATACGCGAATAAATATGGTATATACGAAATGTAAAGCTTTGGACGTGTTTGTTGTTGCTAATAAACTGTATTCAACCAGAAAATATTACAGTGCTCACAAGTCTTCAGTTCAACTTCACTGTTGATAGATAATACAAGATAACTAGATAAAAGATGTAAATGAGCTAGTGGTATTAGATTATAATCTGACATGAAATGTATTTTAATATCCATCCATGATTAAAAATTATGTCTCACAGTTGAGACTGATGTTATTTATTCATCCTGTATTAGTGTCACTGTAAATTGTTTCATGAGCTGTGAAGTAATTAAAGATTGTGAAAAGATAAAACCAACAAACTTTGTTTTTCATTCATATATCCTTTATTTCTCTGTTGTACAATCAGCTGAGAACATTAATTAGCACTTGATAACTTAAACTAAAGACATATAATATTTAAAAGATACTTAACTTTTAGTGTAACATTAACAGTGAACACGTTAAATTTCATTAATCATACAATAAAACATTTGACTCTCAAAAAATATTTTTGACTCCCAAAAATTCATAGGCTGAGTCAAGGTGACTCTCAGATATTGGAGTCTAGGGGGAACCCTGCAATGTATATCATTTTATTAACCTACCTGTCACATCATTCATTTATTAAATCTATCACATTTCACATTGTCTGAAATACGTATTCCATTTCAATTTATCATTTCTTATCGATAAATTAAAAAATATATTCACTATTTCCCGCCATGTTATTGAAAATGAAATCTCGAAAACACTCTTCGACAACGGGTCCACATCGAACATGTCAAAGAGCAATGTAAAGACTTTTCAAGCAAATTTTTAAATATATTATACAAAGTAATAGATAAAATATGAAAAAATATATCTTAAAGTTGTCAAACTTACATTTAAGTTATTATTTCCATCTTTTCGTGCAATCGCGTGTATTAAATGTAAGTCAAATGCCATCTCAGCTTTCATCGTCTCAATTTCCTCGGTTCGAAACACGATGTTTAATGCAAAAATATAAGCATGAAAAATCTTTGTCACAGCTTGTAACATGGCAAGATACATCCATGAAGTTTCATATTTTTAATATAGATCACAATTTCCTGCTTAAAACGTTCAGAATCACACAATTTAACAAAAGTCTTTCGTCAAATTATGAAATTCATCATACCATAGATGTAATTTGATTGGCTGACTTAGGTCACATGGTCACATTTGACCAGTCACGAACCTTGTATCAGATTTTGGCAAAGAAAGCGTCTTTAGAAACCAATTTTATCGAAAATTTCTAGCGATGTGTCACATGGCCGTCTTTGATGAACGTGTTATTCGAAAACAGAGGTATCTCTTCATGTTTCTGAACGGACAGCCGCTGTTATCGGGAAATGGGTGATGTCAGATACCAGATCTATTTACAATTCTTTTTAAAATATTTTTTTCAATTGCGTTTTTATGAAATCTTATAGATTCTGTTTGCGAAAATCGTCAATTTTGCGCTTCCTTGGTCCTTAATCTGGACGTTATGAATGTGTTAGCTTACATTTTCTTTATTTACAATGAACATAATTAAGTTGTAAATTATGCATTATCTAAATAATGTGATAAACATAACATATTTATAAACAATAGGATTGGAACTTGAAATGGTGTATAATATGTGGTAGCAAAGATGTTTTACAAACATGCAGATATTATCTTTGATAAATGATTTATGAGTGTAATTTAATTACTTTGTTATCTGAATATCATAACATGCATAATCAGCCATTGTTTATATGCAGCATAAATCATGATCATGCAATCTTGTGATATATATTTTGAAGTTTTGAGTTGAGAAAAATAATTGCTTGTTGATTTTTTATTTTGCTTGTGCCTAAAAAAAAAAAATTCTAACCCTGAATGACTTTACAGGCCATGGGTGGCCTGGTCATCTAATGTGCTATATTTTAAGAGCAGAGTTGTGTCCCTTAGGTATGCCAGAAATCTATTAATTTTTGTTACTTGGTTTGTCAGCACAATTTCTCATGTACCATGCTTGTCGATTTCACCAAAGTGTTAATTTTCTGAGACTGGCATTGCTTTGGGCTTTCCTCACACATCAAACTGACACCCAGTGATATAACTGAAATGCTGTTGAATGTGGCTTTAACCAAACTCACTTATATGACTTCACAGAAAATCCCTTTTTCTTGTCTGACCGACAGATATTGCTTTTTCAGCCACCTCCTCCTGGTATGGCCCCCAGTGCTGCGCAGATCGCTCAGATGCAGGGGCAGTCAGTTGTGGGTACCCAACAGAGTTCTAATTGGTTCACAGGAGGTTCCGGAGGAGGAGCTACATTGTGGTGAACAAAAGGATTGGCTTGAATTTCTTGCCAATCAAGTGGAAAGGAATGACAGACATGAACCCATAGAAAAGGTGTCTGTGATACTCACACATAAAGATGGGTTTGGTTCTAGCTATCTGCAAAATTATAGTCATTACAAAGGTTTATAAGACAACCAATGAAATAGGACTGGCATCAGTTGTAATGAATTTTGAGCATAAAAGAACACGAAGTTGGGACGAGAATTTCTTTTCATATTTCAGTCAATCTTTTTCTTTGAAGGGTTTTATCTTTGTGTTTATGGCATCTTGTGCCAGTCCTCTGTATAATTTAACGGAAACTGTAGACATTAGATGAAATGACTGCGTTACAGCAGCCCAGGTGTATACACAAATTCTAGATATTCCCTGTTCATTGTTCTTGGAGGACAACATTATTTGTTGATTTATGGGATACATTGTCCATTTACCTCTGTTGTTGGCCTTTGAAAGATGCTTGCAGCATATTTGGAGCTCAGTTAATGAAGCAGTAACTCAGTAATTTAGTTCAGTAACATTGCTTCCCTCTACAAAAATAGTGCTAATATTGCAAGCTGAAAACAGAAATGAAGAATCATGACATAGAAATCACTAAAAAATATGCATCTGTCAAAAACAGATCCATAGGTTTACTGAATAGAATGTTTGCGGTACTATTTGAAAGTGAGAATGATTATTTAAGGAATTATTGTGTTTTGAATTATGGTGTTGTATAAATTTTCTAGAAATAACTGTAATAAGTTGGCATTGTTTAATATTTACTGTAAATGTGCATGGTTGTGTAATATGTGTTTTTGAGTCCATATCCTTAAGTCGCTGAAACTCCACCTCTTTATCTGGGCTGCATGAGAATGCTCTCTGTGTAAGGTACACCCAGTGTGATTGATTATCTTGATTGAAATGGCATTGCTGTCACCTGTTGGTCTTATACATTATGCAGGTCTGCAATGTTGCTGATATGAAACATCTAAAAATTGCTTTCCTTGACTTTTAAAAAACCCAACTATTTCATTGATTGTCTTGGAAATTGATTCAAATTAACAGAAAATAAAAAAAATTCATGTTAATACATGTAGGTTATTTTTTACATGCTCTTTATAGAGAAGAGGGAAGCAATGTACTTTGGTGATCTGATTTGAAATTTCATAAAGGCATTTCAGTGTACTTTTTCGGCCAATTTTTAGTAGTGAGCTGCCAAAATTATTTGTATAAAGATGGTGGTTCCAATGATTGGGTGATATGCTGTTTTTTTTCTGGACTTTTGTCCGAAGATTTTGTATTTCACATGTTTAATGAAAATAAATCTATATATTTCAAACCTGTTTCACTTCTCGTGTATATATCATATTAGGTATGTTATCATGTAGTATACAACCCACAAACTGCTAAGTTCTAGGTGCTGTATTCAAAATACTGTGTACTAAACTAGAGAAACATGTTATCAGCCTTGCCCATTGTGAGAAATGGTTTCATAATGGTACTAGTCTGATAGTCTTGTCATAATTGTTAATGGGTTAGTTCGCTTGACTCAAATTATTTAGATACACATTTTGGAATAAAAAATGGAGGCATAAGATCATGTTCAACATGCTGAACATATGATTTTTTTAGCTAACTTTTATAGTTTTAACCTCCAAACACCAATGTTCACCTAGGCAAAGAGAAACAGCAGGCAGCTAGTTTGTAGTTATTATGGTTATTGATGATTCATTTCTAAACAGCTGGGGGCCCAATGGGCATGCACGGTTCATTGCTAGTTCAAACCCCATAGTGGTAATAATCTTAGGCCTGCATCACTGAGATAATTTTCAAGGCTGCACCAACTTTCAGCTGCATGAATGGAACTGATATTCAGAGTATACATGTTTACCATGGTTAAGCTGAAGTGAGTGAATGTTGTTTAATGCTAGTCAGCAGTATTCCAGCTTTTTCACAGCAGCTTTCAAGTTATCAAGTTTGGACCAGACTAACCAGTGTTTGAAATCATGAGCAGAAATCCACAAATTCAGCCAAGTCAACAAGCCTGACTATTAAGTCCTCTCCAATTGATGCATAGGACTGCAGGGTTCATACAAGGAATGTGAGTTCCCAGGCCTGGAATAGTTTTGTAAAATAGAAAATTGTGATGTCATGAAAAGTGTTTATACCTGTAATTATTTTTGTTGATATACCTGTGACTGGCAAATAAATGCTTTGACCAAAGTGAAAGAAAGTTTGAATTAATTGATTTAATTTTTGTTGTGATTTTTTAGACTTCTTTTATGTGATATACAAAACTGGAATGATATCCAGAAAATTTGTCAGGCTAACCTGTATGAACCCTGGACTGGATCATGGGGTCCAATTCTTTGGGAAATGTGAACCAACATAGCTGCCTACTAAGCTTGGTGAACATTGACACAGTTAAAATAAGAACCTGTGTGTCCGTTTTGCTTGGAACTAATCTCAAGAAAATGTCGGGAGTCGGACATGTCACCCACACTCTCAGCCACCAATAGTGCTTACATCTTGAGATTCCAAGATTGTCTTATGGCTTTGTGTTATACATACTCTTCAAACAAAAGTAGTAATACTCGGAAATTATTTACTTTTTCCAAAATTGTAAGAGATTAGTTTCTGGTAATAGCTGAACATAATATTGAACGAATGGGAAACGCATTACAGCGGGTAGTGAAGTAGGATAATAGATGTTATGGACGTCAGCGATCTTGAAGGACGATAGTTTTTTTTATCAGTAGTGGGTAATACCGCCACGATTTGTCAACATTCATTCGTCCCCCCGCCGTGATTTTGCTGGAATATAGCTAAGAGCGGCGTAAAACCATACTCACTCAACATTCATTCACTCGGCGAAGGGCACACCGTATGAGTCTCCAACTCCCCTTGCAGCGCCTGGCCACGTTCAGCAAACGTGGTCGGCAGCCTATGACGTTGAAGCACACGACTCTCTATCATGTCCCAGACGTGCTCAGTAGGGGAAAAGGTCAGGGCTCATTGCTGGCCATGGCATTCTATGGATGTTGTACTACTGGTGGTGAGCATTGACGACTTGTGGACGGTGAGCGCGGGCATTATCGTCCTCTGAGACAAAACGTCGACCCGAATGCCTTACAAACGGGACAACCAAAGGTGTCAGTGTGTTGTCCCGACAGTACTGCCCATTGACCCTTCTTTGCACAATATGGAGTAGGGGTAGGTCATGTCATAGTGAGTCCAACCAGCACAATAACCGACCCACCGCAAAATCTGTCCTGAGGTCTAAGGTTGAAGGTTGACATTGACGTTCATTTCGACGTCTCCAGAGACAACCACGCCTATCAACGAAGTGCAAAGGTGAACAGGGACTCATTTGAAAACAGACCGCCTCCGTGGTCTTGTGGTAGAGCGTCCGCCCGGAGAGCGGAAGGTCCAGGGTTCGATCCCGGGCCGCGTCATACAAAAAGACGTTAAAAGATTGTACTTGTTGTTACCCTGTCTGGCGCTCGGCATTAAGGGGCTAAAACAAGGACTGGTCGGCTCGGAGTCAGTAAACTGTGTCTGAGTGGGGTATTCATGTTAAACTGCGGCATGGTATCTCAGTGAGCTAGCACTATAAATCGGCATCAGTCCGGACTAGTACAAGCAGCCACACACACACACATACACGTGCATGCACGTCGCTATATAAGTGCAATAATCTTGGACGCGACGTTAAACCCAATTTCACCTCACCTCACCTCATTTGAAAACCTTACACGTGACCAGCGACGATTACCCCAGTTCGACGCGTCGCTAGTTAATACACAAATAATGAATGAAATTAAGTAAAACACAACTATACGATAAGCAGAATCAATAAGATTGACAAATAATGGCCCACAGAGATTAATCGACCTTTCAAGAAAGTGTCAAATAAGATCGACAAAACATTTTCCAATTCTTTCAAAAGCAGGCGATTGTACGATTCCGACTGTATCATGAGCATGTGTTTTTGAGTCACTATCAAATAGTGATGATACCAGGTGTTCGCTAAAAGATGAACGTATCCTGTCCCGCTGGTGAACAAGGCAACTGTTCCCCGTAATAAACACGGGAACATATGGGAGGAGTCGAAATAGGGAATTGCATCGGAGATACTTTTTGTCACTGAAGCGTCAAATTTTGAAATGTCAAACACATTCAGTCTTGAGTGATGTAACTTGAACTATCGGGGAAGGAGGGGTAGCCTAGTGGATAAAGCGTTCGCTCGTCACAGCGAAGTCCCGGGTTCGATTCCCCCATATGGGTACAAAGTGTGGAGCCGATTTCTGGTGTCCTCCGCGGTAATATTGCTTTAATAATGCTAAAAGCGGCGCAGAAACATACCAACTCACTCACTCACTCACTTGAACTATTATCACTAACGTTATTGCTCGTGGGTTTCATAAATATGGTACGCGTCTATTTCCCGTGCCACCTTGTACCTACCTGACAACTGAACAGTGATTAAAAACCGCACGAGTTAGCTAACATACATTTCATTCAATCAACATGTATAGCGGTCAATATACCGGTGTTTTGTTTACAAACAGTCACACATTCATTTATGTTATGTTTAAGATATATATACACACTGTGGGTAGAAATCATACCCCAACCTTTAATTTCCTAGTTTAAACAGTTCGTAAATGACCTGTTTCTGCATTACACACAACGTACACAAAGTAGATATAACGTCAAAGCCAAAGAAGAACCAGTCTCGATTATCCCCCGAAGAAGATTCCATTGGCGTGATAGGCAAAATAACGGTGAAAATTAGGTGAATGGATCACTGAAAATCAGTGATGACACTAAGACATTGCTACATTCGACTACACGTTAAGCACTCCCCATATACTTTTCAAAGTGATTCAGGTGGACCAGGTATACTTGCTGTTTATTTTCATTCATAATCCAGTTGTTTAAGGAGGAAAGGGGGTACACTTTCTGGAACCATTGTTTGTTGTTTAACGTCGTACTCAGCAATATTGCAGTTATATGACGGCAGTCTGTAAATAATTGAGTCTTGAAGAGACAATGCAGTGATTGACATCATGAGCATCGATCCACGCATTTGGGGCTACGAGGACATGCATCAACCAACCGAGCCAGCAAGTCTGACCACCTGGTCCCGATAGTCTCCTTTTACTACAAGAATGGGTTGAAGACCTAATCCGGATCTTCACGTGTCGCTGCAACCATTGACTCAGCCTCATTTTTTTCCTTTTATGTGATGTTTTCATTCAGAAATGTCCCTAATACAATGCTTTATGTGGTATGCATTGAGCTATTAATTAATGTTAAATAGTGACAATTCTCTTGAATTTGAGTGAAGCTGTTACTAATGTCAGATTTGCCAATAAATCAGAACTGAAGTCACTGTATGAATCACCAGTCCTAAACCAGGACAATAGACCGTGATGCATAATTTAAGTGGTTATATTAAATGTGTTTAAGAATAAGAGATCGCGTGGGTACAAAATCTTTGATTAATGTCTCCTAGTCACCTAACTTTGTCTGTACCCACTCACTCATTCATGCTTTGATGTGTTATCAGTCTGTCTGTAATTGTTTTGATTGTCTTCTTTTTCGTGTGTCAGAGATGCGGACATATATGTAGCTATCACACTGACGATTGGACCATTCTTTAACACATCATCTAAGAGGGAACGCCAATTATATGAATATACAACAATGAGAACGTTTGCGGAATGTTGTGAAGGACAACAAATCCTAGGTACGAAGTTGCAGGTCATGCAATGGTGTTGAACTCAACGAATGGCATACATCTCGGGTATCCATTTCCAGGATAGTATCCATAGAGAAAATACAGTTGTTCATGTAGTGATGCGCCAGCGGCCATGGTTCAATCACTGTTGCCTTGTCACCTTCGTCTCGGCGTGCTCATCAACTTCAAGCCTCAAGTACTTGTCCTTGAGTAGCACGATGGGAGGGATTGACACGACTATAGATCCCAACATGGCCCAGTTCATCCAGGACTGGCTCCCTGTAATTTAAACAGTGAACCAGTATTCAGTCTGTATCTTTTCAAGCAGGTTGTACACTAGTCTGCTCGGTTCACATTTCATAGGAATGAAATCTCACCAAAATCAGATATTAGTTCTCGTCATAACGACCTTTCGCGAACTTTGACCGACCAATGAAATTACAAGAATTCGACATTTAGCCAATCAGAAAGCAAGTTGTTCAAACTGCCGATTTCCATTTCAGACTACGCTTTGAAAAATATTGATTCAAAATTTGAAAACTGTACAAAAGAAAATTGTTTAATGTTTCATAGATGGCCGAGATTGTATGACAGTACTTCACACGGGCTATGGAAAGTTCTCCTCCGGTTCAAATGTTTATCCCATTGGAGCGAGAGATCGATGATGACTTTGACGGATTCAGTCGCACAGCCACTAACTGTCGTTCGGATTACCCCGTGTTACCAGTTAGAGGTTGCATGATCAGAAAACACATTCCGACTGTCACTTTCCCGATCTGGTAAGCGACGGTCTGATTGGTCGGAAGAAAGGTCATTCTGACGTGACCCGTAATGGGATGTCCTCAGAATTTTGTTTAGCGATAGCGAGAATTTGGATCTGATTTTGATGAGATTGATATGTATGGAATGTAAAGGTCATAGTTTTAATCCAAAGCATTTTCAGAACGTTTGAACATACGGGAGGAGTATTGAAATACCTACCAATATTTGGTAATGTAGGAATTAGGAGAAAGACGAAGCCGAATATGTTGTTGACAAGTGTCAGAATGGAGTTGGTTGTTCCCTCGCCGATAGGGAACGTCAGCTCACAAGTCAGTTCATAAATAAGGGGCTCGGCACAAAACAGGATGGTGGTTGCCGAAATGAATGTTACGTAGAGGACAACTGCGAAAAAGGAAACATATACAAATAAATAAATTGCAATAGATTCCATGGCATAAGAATGGCTCACGAAGCACATTGTTTTTGCGTTTCTGTTTCCATAACCCGAAAAAGGCCACGCCCACTAACGGACTACTGCTTACTGATTGGATGATAATAGAATGGGCGGAGTTTGTGTTGCATAATAAATATGGCGCTGTACCATGTGACTGAGTTCTTATTGTTGTCAACATTTTTGTGTATTAATGATTAAATAAGCTGTCTGTGACTTTATTGTTGATTTATTTATAAGAATTGACTTAAATATATTTTTACGTTTATGGAGATATAAACGTAAATAAGGGTGTGTACACTTTGCGTAAATCAACGAGACGGAAGTTTTTGAAGCAAGGATATAAGTCTTTGATTGATGTCAATTCTTATAAAAAAACTGAACCCTGAAATAATAACTGAAGATATTCGAAAATGAATTTGTTTGTATATGTAGTTTACACTCTCTTGAAATAGTTCCAACCTTCGATGCTGGGATTCATACACTGTAGCTATGTTGGGAATCGAACACAGTCTAAGTCGAGACGAGCGAACGCTTGAACCACTAGGCTATCCTACCTTCCCTCTAAACTACAAACAGACCAAGACGAATCGTTACTAACTGTGGTACGTATAATATTGTAACCAGAATCTTGCTTTCCTATATCCCGAGTCTGAGTTGGGTGCAAGTTTTCGCATGATGATAAGATCGGGTTTTGTTCAGCGCTGAATGGGGATTTAGAAGTATGGAGGGTAACTTAAAAAGTTGAGGATCTATCGTAGTAACCAGATATTCTTTCATTGTCAGCTTCCGTTTCCTGTATGATAGAAATGCTATTAGTAATACAGCAGCAACACATTTATGAACAGGGGCGGTCGGGTAGCCTGGTGGTTCAAGCGTTCGCTCTTCACGCCGAAGATCCGGGTTCGATTCCCGACATGGGTACAATGTGTGAAGGCCATTTCTGGTGTCCCTCGCCGTGATATTGCTGGAATAATTCTAAAAGCGGCGTAAAACCATTTTCACTCACATTTATGAACACAGCGCTTTTAAAAGCTCGGCGGGATACGAACCTGCAACCTCTTGATTAGCAGGACTTCACGCTACCATCTGTGCTAAGGTGAGGTGAGGTGAAATTGGGTTTAACGTTATATGCAGTTATATAGCGACGTGCGTTCGTGCACGTGTATGTGTGTGTGTGGCTGCTTGTACTAGTCCGGACTGATGCCGATTTATAGTGCTAGCCCACTGAGATACCATGCCGCAGTTTAACATGAATACCTAACTCAGACACAGTATACTGACTCTGAGCCAACCGGTCCTTGTAATTTCAACATACATTATACATCCTATCCATATTTGACTTAATTCCCATTGATATGCTCTTTGTTCAAACATCTTTAGACCCGTGAAGGGTAGAATAGGTCTTCAGAAACCCATGCTTGCCGTAAAAGGTGACTTTGCTTGTCGTAAAAGGCGACAAACGGGATCGGATGTCAGGCTCGCTGACTTGGTTGATGCATGTCATCGATCCCAAATGCGTGGATGCTCATGATATCAATCACTGGATTGTCTGGTCCAGATTCGATTATTTACAGACCGCCGTCATATAGCTGGAATATTGCTGAGTGCGGCGTTAAACAACAAACCAACCAACCAACCAACCAATCAAACATCTTTAAATTCTAAACGTGACTAAACTCTTAACATGTTCAGATTATATGGAGTTTGTGTTTATGTGGTGTTTATAATCTGAGTCGATAGTTCATATGATTTGTTTCGACTCTATACGTGTTTAGATCTGCATGTTTTTACATTCTAATCACATTTTATACATGTACGATTTGGATATTTTTAAGCATGCGTTTATGAATCACTGTCAAACAGTGATGCTGCCAGGTGTTCGCGAAAACATGAATTAAAAGCAATCGCCGTCTCAAAGATATTTAACAGCTTTCAATGCCAAGAAGAAAACGGATATCGTTATGAGCGTGCCGTACCGGTCTTGTAACAGTAAAAAAGGTGGATTTCCCGGTGTTCATTCAATGTGTGTTTTTACCAAATCGTACTACACCAGTACCTAGAGAAGAGGGCAGAACCCCCACGCAGACGAGGGCGAAACACGCCACGTTCCCAGCCCCCAGTAGATACAGGATGAATATCAACAGCTTAAAATGGCGGGAAAATTTGTCTGCAAATCTGAAATATTAAAAACCATGTCAGAGGGGAAAGGTATTTTCGGGGCACTTCATAAGACTATCCAGCTCTCCCTGTAGAAATCTTCCATTTCAATGAAATTACTTATTATCAAATGTCCTATGAATAATTAGAATGTGTTTTTTCTAACAATTGCGTATCATGTTTACCTTGCAACTATTAACGACAAACCCATCTGACCCACGTTGCCGTAGAACCCCATCCAGCCGGCCTCCTTTTCAGAGACTCCGTACGGCTTGAGGATGACGTCCACCAGGCCAGTCCAGCAATCGGCTACTCCCAGGGTGAGACCATATATGAGAGTCAGGAGCCAGAACTGACCACGCCTGAAAGAGAAATAGTACATGGTTACGTTGTGGTAGCTATCGGAAAACGTCGTCTCCTTTCAGTGTGAGTGATTGAGTGAGTGAGTTGGGTTTAACGCCGCTTTTAACAGTATTCCATTCATATCACGGCGTGTCAGCTTAATGTGGGCTGAAAGCCCGAAGTGATGCAGGTCTCAGAAGTTTACCACTTCGGTGAAACACACGAGCACGGGTATGGTGCTGACAAACCTAGAAACATAATCGGGGCGAACCGGGATTCGAACCCACAATCATAGGTTTCTGGCGTGCCCAAGGGACGCAACTCTGCACAGCGAATCGCGGAGCCTTAGGCGACTGGGCCACCCGTGCCCCTTCTCCTTTCAGGATGTCGCCACGAAACATTTGCTATGTGTAGCCATTGTTCCCTTGCTTTCGGCGTGGCGAGGGAACACTTTAACCAATTGGTTTCCCCATCGCCCTATCCTTACGTAGACCATCCCCGTCCACAGAGTACCGCTGTGGTTTAATGATACATTCTGTCAAAAGTGTTAATGAAGTCAAAGTTCGATATCCACATATTTTAATTATTAATATTTGTATTCTTAGGAAAAACAGTTATTTTATAGGTCAAGCATAGAATTTCTTGGTAGGGTTGTCTTGGAACAAATACAATCGGATTTTCTCATTGTGAGTGAGTGAGTTTAACGCCGCTTTTAACAGTATTCCAGTCATATCACGGCGTGTCAGCTTAATGTGGGCGGAAAGCCCGAAGTGATGCAGGTCTCAGACGTTTACCACTTCGGTGAAACCCACGAGCACAGGTATGGTGCTGACAAACCTAGAAACATAATCGGGGCGAATCGGGGCGAACCGGGATTCGAACCCACAATCATAGGTTTCTGGTGTGCCTAGGGGACGCAACTCTGCACAGCGAATCGAGGCGCCTTAGACGACTGGGCCACCCGTGCCCCCGATTTTCTCATTGTAACAATGTAATGTGATTTACAGTGCGTTCACACGAACAAAGGTCACCTGAAGAGCGTCTTGAGTCCCACCAGGAAGTTCTCCCTCTTCTGTGATGCTGAGAAACAGGGGGGCAGGGGAGGTCTGCTGGGGAAGTACAACAGGATGACCAGGAAGAGGAACACGGACCACCCACAAACTGAAACATGTAGTAATTGCCTTTGTCAGATTGTCCTTATCGGCGCCAATAGAGTGAACATGAAGTAATTGCCGTTGTCAGATGGTCGTTATCGGCGCCAATAGAGTGAACATGAAGTAATTGCCGTTGTCTGATGGTCCTTATCGGCGCCAATAGAGTGAAAGCGTAGTACATGCCGTTGTCAGATGGTCCCGTTATCGGCGCCAATAGAGTGAAGATGCAGTAATTGCCGTTGTCGGATGGTAATTATTGACGCCAACAGAGTGAAAGCGTAGTACATGCAGTTGTCGGATGGTAATTATTGGCGCCAATCGAGTGAACATCTCGTACATGCCGTTGTCAGATGGTCCTTATCGGCGCCAGTAGAGTGAAAGCGTATGTAAATGTAAATTTAGGTCCCATGCAGTAATATGACATTTACGCCACAATTGTTTGATAGGCTTTTCTTAGAAGTTGATGGATGACAATGTAGACCAAATAACAATTCTGGATAACACCCTTGCTTGACAAGGATGTAAGGAGCTAGAACGAAACGCTATTACAGTATTATAAAGAAGTTGTTGTCCATAAAAAAATGTTTTTTTAGCTACGCCACAGCCTTTAAAGTATACAATGGGACATATACATACGTGGTTGATACACAGCAAGGTCACACATTGTGACGTAGTATCAGTACAATTGAAGACTGTTTGAGAATTTTTTATAATATAAAGTAGCATTGCTCTTGAAAAATGTAAATATGCTACTCAATGTTTGCTAAGGATCACGTTTTGATGGTATAAAAAAATCCTCCAACAAATAAAGAATGAAATATCCCGGTACACAACGTAACCCCTACAGGACCTCAATTTTAGGATGAACGGACAGAGGCATGCAGTCATAGGAGCGATGTGCACGAGGTTCTTGAAAATGTGTGTTTGGATGTATCGGGATAGAATAATTACACATCATTATCAGAGAGCACAATATTTGCTACTGAGGACTGCCACAACTGAATATAGTTATGCCCCATCAGCGTCAGGGACGTCGTTTGACGACCGAAGAATTAGGCAGATGTATAGGCATGCTTGAAACTGCAACTTCTTTTTGCAAACGTTTTTGGTGTCAGCCACAGTATGATCAGCAGGGCATGGAATCGATACCAGACGTTTGGATCAGCAGGTGGTCGACAGCGTTCCACCACTTAGCGGGAAAGACAGGTTTCTCATAACTGCAGGAAGACGTCATCACTTCGTGACTGCCACCACACTCAAAACTGACATACGAAACGTCAGTGCCGTTAACGTTTCTACTTAGACTGGTCTCCGGTCATGGGGGGCATGCATTCGCATCCCACTGACCCAATATCATAGACAGGCATGTATGGATTGAGCTGGAGATCACGTCAATTGGACAGGGCTCCAGTACTTTTCACTGATGAGTCGAGATACTGTCAACACTTCACAGAACGTCGTACCCGAGCATGGTGTAGACAAGGATATTTCAGGATTCCAACGTAACCGAACCTGACCGCTATGGAAGGGGCTGAGTCATGATATGGGGTGGGATCAGTAGAGCTGGAAGAACCGATGTCCTACAGCGGGGCACGACGACAGGTGTGCGACACAGGCTGTGTACGTGAGACGTTATGCTAGTGCATCGTGCCAGGGTCGTTGATGCCAATTTAGAGCAAGAGACCATTGTCCGCACGGAGTGGCCAGCCCGGTCACAGACCTCAGCCTAATCGACCACACGTGGGACGAGCTGCAGATCGCCCTCTCACGACGCCCTGCAATTCCGGAAACTCTACAGGAACTCTAACTGTTACTGAAGATTAGAATAATCTTCCTTTGGCATCCAAAGACTTACTTAGGAACATGAGACGACGGTGCCAGGCTGTGATCGCATGAAGTGGTTCACATACGCGCAACTGAGAGGTGTAATTTTTGGATAATGAAAGTGGTTTCGTCATTTTTTTACATTTTAGTTTTTGTCAGATATGCTGATTTTGACGGGTGATCTGACTGATTATTGGTCGCATGTTGCATGTTGGCATTGTGTGGCACATGACAACGGACATTGCTTTATTAAACATGTCTTCACGCAATATGTCTCTGGCTATGTCAACAGATGCACACAATTTGACGTATTACCCTATCAAGTGGTGATCCTTAGAATGTTTTGAGTAGTAAACTTTTAAACATAAATCCACCAGTAACATATGACCCAACAAAGACTAGAATGACAAAAACATGTTTGCGAAATGATGATTCTTACCACTATACTGCAAAAACATAATGTCCTTCCTTTCTTCTGCTATCCTTGTCCCTAAAGGGCGAGAATACGATGATGTAAACAAATATTCATAAATAATGTCGTTTTAGTCATAGGTCAATAAAATCCTGGGTTAATATTTAACTCACAAAAAACCTCATTGAAGGTAAGGTATTACAACTTAGATTGAAGTACAGATTACAGCCTGTCTCCACGAGTTGGGAAGTATATGTCGTGAAGACACTCACCTGATGTATTGAAGTACAGAGTACAGTCGGTGTCTGGGAGTTGGGAAGTATATGTCGTGAAGATACTCACCAGATGTATTGAAGTACAGAGTACAGTCGGTGTCTGGGAGTTGGGAAGTATATGTCGTGAAGACACTCACCTGATGTATTGAAGTACAGAGTACAGTCGGTGTCTGGGAGTTGGGAAGTATATGTCGTGAAGATACTCACCAGATGTATTGAAGTAAAGAGTACAGTCGGTGTCTGGGAGTTGGGAAGTATATGTCGTGAAGACACTCACCTGATGTATTGAAGTACAGAGTACAGTCGGTGTCTGGGAGTTGGGAAGTACATGTCGTGAAGACACTCACCTGATGTATTGAAGTACAAAGAACAGTCTGTCTCCACGAGTTGGGAAGTATATGCCGTGATGTGGATGCTGGAAAAGGATAAGAATAGTCATCATTAGGACAACGGGACTTCACAATGGATTTGTTGACATGCTATTTCCGGTCCTGAGCGCCTATTCGAATTAATGAGAGTTTGGTCTAGAATTTGAACTGTGGGTACATATTTGAGTAAGACGCTTAATACGACGAACAACCCTTCAATATTACAACAAACATCACAGTGGTGTTAGGCGCCATGTCTTTTTGCAGAGTTGTGTCCCTTAGTCGTGCCAGGACTCATCGTGGATTCGAATACCTTATTCGCTCCAAATTATAACCCTCTATCGGTCAGCACCAGTCAAGTGATCGTGGGTTTCTCGTAAGTGATAATCGCCTGATTCGTATTAAGCTCACACGCCGTCATACAACACAAAATATTATTCAGGACGGCGTTGCACCACTTCCTTATTGCTGGTTACCTATCGATGATGTTCCTGTCATTTTTTCTCAACAAAACTTTTAACAACCTCAATATCTCAAATTATCAAAAATAAACATCATTATTTGAATGACTGTTGCTTAAGGCTTCAGCAATCTTGTAGCGTGTCATGGAGTAGATTAGTTGCACATAAATATGAAAACACTCACCTTTGGTTGTCTCGTACATTGGTGCAGTTTGGGTTGGTACGGTCCGGGACTACCATTGGCCCTAGAAGAAAACATGTTCATTGCCCATTAAAGGAAGCCTCAAACGAAGTATACATTACTTGGCTATAGCTCGCATTATATTTATTTTCTACGTTGATGTAACTATAGATCATACATGTATATCAGTGGTATATCGTGCACAGACGGAATTCTACTACGAAATAGTTAGGTCACGTGATACGAAATAGTTAGGTCACGTGAAACGTTATGTCTCCTAACCTTTAGGTATAGTTCGATGGCTTCCTTCAAACAGCCACAGTAAACCAGCTCCATGTGTTCAGATATTAAATAAGAACTTCTTAGAAGATTGTACCGTCTTACACTGCTACTCATATTTACATTTCCCACAATATAAACGTATCTAAAACGAGAAACTACACCATTCCAAACTGTAAGTCAGTACCCCTACATCTCATAGTTTCTGAGGGGCGGTGGGGTAGCAGGCAGGCAGGCAGGCAGGCAGCCACTCACTCACTCACTCACTCACTCACTCACTGAGATATTATTCGTTAGTTTTTAACAGATGCGTGTTTGGACTTACCTATGACAAAACTTAAGGCCAGTCCTAGGTTGGTGATGACGATGGTGAGAGCCGTGCTTGTTGTCCTCTCGTGAGGGCCGAACCAGATGCTGGAGAGAACGGGATTACCAAACATGGCCACTGGCCCGGCCAACCCATTCAAGGCAGCCCCGATGTGGTTGATCCTTGGAAAAATCAAATGAAGGTATCTTCATCATATGGCAAAACGAAAGCTTCTTGTGACTTATGTGCAATTAGAGTCTGCCTATAGATTTTGCAGATGTCGTAAGGCAACGTTGCTCTTGACGTAAACCTCTTGTTGGTCGGGCCTAGACTTGAGTATTTACACATGGATGTCGTGTAGCTGAAATATTGCACGGCATTAAACAACATTCATTATCTGAGTAAACAGGCGATCGCGTCCACTCCAGTTACCATGGTACGAGAGTCTCCATGCTACGCATCTTCGCGAGAACTAGGATGGAATTTCTGGACTCCATCGTAGCGCCAACCGTGGCTATTACGAGTTATGTCCGTTCTATTGACCAATGAGATTCCACCTTTCATATCACCTGCCTTTGCTTTAAACAAAATGGCGGCGCCCAGTCAAGACGATCTGATCGATAATCAAAATCTATATTGTGATAAAACGGGCCTTGCTTCGCGAGGTGCATTAAATCAGGTGAGCACCTTGATTAAAAACATGAAAAGATTTGGGAAATATCTGTTGACGCCGAGTTGGCTGTACACATGCTTTGCAAATCCTGCAATCAACCGAAATCTACACGGCAGTTTACGAACCGGAAGTCGATTTCGTTACGCGATTTTGATTGGAGTATCGTTAGTCCAGCAAAAATTTAACTCCCTAATTCCAGCCTAGTTCGGCAAAGGAGGAAACTGGACTTTTCTGGCCATGTTACGAGAGTCTCCAGTACTCACCATGTTACGAGAGTCTCCAGTACTCACCATGTTACGAGAGTCTCCAGTACTCACCATGTTACGAGAGTCTCCAGTACTCACCATGTTACGAGAGTCTCCAGTACTCACCATGTTACGAGAGTCTCAAGTACTCACCATGTTACGAGAGTCTCCAGTACTCACCATGTTACGAGAGTCTCCAGTACTCACCATGTTACGAGAGTCTCCAGTACTCACCATGTTACGAGAGTCTCCAGTACTCACCATGTTGCGAGAGTCTCCAGTACTCACCATGTTACGAGAGTCTCCAGTACTCACCATGTTACGAGAGTCTCCAGTACTCACCATGTTACGAGAGTCTCCAGTACTCACCATGTTACGAGAGTCTCCAGTACTCACCATGTTACGAGAGTCTCCAGTACTCACCATGTTACGAGAGACTCCAGTACTCACCATGTTACGAGAGTCTCCAGTACTCACCATGTTACGAGAGTCTCCAGTACTCACCATGTTACGAGAGTCTCCAGTACTCACCATGTTACGAGAGACTCCAGTACTCACCATGTTACGAGAGTCTCCAGTACTCACCATGTTACGAGAGTCTCCAGTACTCACCATGTTACGACAGTCTCCAGTACTCACCATTTTACGAGAGTCTCCAGTACTCACCATGTTACGAGAGACTCCAGTACTCACCATGTTACGAGAGTCTCCAGTACTCACCATGTTACGAGAGTCTCCAGTACTCACCATGTTACGAGAGTCTCCAGTACTCACCATGTTACGAGAGACTCCAGTACTCACCATGTTACGAGAGTCTCCAGTACTCACCATGTTACGAGAGTCTCCAGTACTCACCATGTTACGAGAGTCTCCAGTACTCACCATGTTACGAGAGTCTCCAGTACTCACCATGTTACGAGAGGTGGCGCGGAGGAGATACACCGTATGCCACATCCCGCTGTTATCAGCATCATACTGGTCACAACGGCAGGCCTTATCCCTGAAAATGCGAATATGCAGTTACAAAAGTAGTCACCTTTGGATGCCTTGTCTCGCCATAATGACAACAATGTCCTGGAATTCGGAGTTTACTTACATACCAGTGCTGTATACTTAACGGATCATGCATTTCTCGATTTGTTAGGCTTTGTTGAGGTAAGATTACTTAATTACAAGTAAGAAGCATAGTGCCTGTCGTTACACTTTGGATGTTTCGGTGTCGGAGCTGGGAATATACTATTCAGAAGACGTTAAGGACCACCTAGGGGTGGTAGGGTATCCTAGAGGTTAAAGCGTTACATGGTTACAATGTGTGAAACCCATATTTGGTTTCCCCCGTGATATTGCTGTAATATTGCAACAAGCGGCGTAAAACCATACTCATTACAGGGCTTAAGTTTGGCCTGGCATGGTGGCATTTGGTGACATTGTCAACAGGATTGTGTGAACACATATGATTTTTTTGTTTTGTTTGTGTCTTTGTTGTTTCACGACGCAGTTAGCAATATTCCAGCTGTAAATAATAACGGTGCCACCATTTTCATCTTAAGAAACTCTCCTGATGGAGGTAATCTAACCAGGGTAGAAGTGACAACCGTTTAGGCAAGTACATTTGGACTATCGCCCCAAAGTAACATTGTGAGTTTTGGTATAAGATGATAAAGACTTGCACAGAATAGAATAAAGGTAGAATCCTGTTTCCACGACAGGGCAAATCCTTGCTTTATTCGAAGATATACGGTATGTCATGATAACATAGTCTTGACGTACGTCAGTGACGTTTTACAGTCTGCGTTACACTGATCAGGTGATATCACAAACCTATATCTTTAGTGGTTTGTATATGACATGGTATATGTGCAGTAGGATTAGTTTAAGAGGAAACTCGGCTCATTCATTTAGGACAGCCCGATACCTTCACATTACCTCAGTTAATCCGTCATGACAGATTAACTACAGTCGTATTAATCGGGTGGTCCTTAATTCAGTTTGAGCAGTGTAGTTGTGACAACGAGGACGAGGACAATATGACAACGCCATTCACTATGATGCCAATGGTGATAAAGCTGGTATTAGTGATAACATCGAAGATTATTAAACCCGACGAAACTGTTTACGAAGATGATGCGGATGGTGACAATGATGCTACCTAAGTTGATGAAGTTGGCATGGTAACAGGGAAAGTGCAAACGATAATACATCTAACAGAACAGCACAGCCTTACCCTTCACATCAATGACCCAAGAGAAGAACACGGCTGCCACCATGAAAGATATAGGTCCCCAATTGGTCAGCGTAGATATGGTTCCGTCATCCCATCCGAAAGCATCTTCACTGGCAGCAGAGATGGGCCCGAAGGTGTTCCATACAAAATTCTCTGTGGCCGCGAATAACGAGAATATGACCAAAATGTACCACCGTCGTTTATATAATTTGACCTTCACCTCAACCTCCTGGGCAACTGGTGGAGACTTCGGGTGGCTGTTGACTGGGGCTAGAAGACTATCGTCGAAAGTTGGGGTAGCTATTCTTGTACTGTCGGACGCTAGGTCTACCCAGGAGTCATCGCTACCCCTGAGTTTGGGGTCTGCAGCGTTTATGGATAAATATTGCGGGGTATACACCCTATCGGGTGGAGCTTCTTTCTCGCCGGATCCGTCAGATAGGCTGCCCGTCGTATTTGATAAAAGCCTTGTTTTTTCGTCCATGATGTATTGTATTTATAATGGAGAATAACATTTAAATACCCCTGGACTCGTTATGGTAGTTGAAAAGTCCTGTATTAAACAAAAAACGTTTTTATTAATTAATTTTGTTTCCTTGCTATAAATAATACTTACATTACAGGGTTTAAGTGTGGCCTGGCATGGTGGCATTTGGTGACATTGTCAACAGGATTGTGTGAACACATGATTTGTTTGTTTGTTTGTTTGTTGTTTCACGACGCAGTTAGCAATATTCCAGCTGTAAATAATGACGGTGCCACCGTTTTCATCTTAAGAAACTCTACTGATAGAGGTTATCTAACCAGGCTAGAAGTGACAACCGTTTAGGCAAGTACACTTGGGACTATCGCCCCAAAGTAACATTGTGAGTTTTGGTATAAGATGATAAAGACTTGCACAGAATAGAATAAAGGTAGAATCCGGTTTCCACGACAGGGCAAATCCTTGCTTTATTCGAAGATATACGGTATGTCATGATAACATAGCCTTGACGTAGGTCAGTGACGTTTTACAGTCTGCGTCAACTGATCAGGTGATATCACAAACCTATATCTTTAGTGGTTTGTATATGACATGGTATATGTGCAGTAGGATAAGTTTAAGAGGAAACTCGGCTCGGGCAAAACTGACAGTTTTTTTTAATGATTCAAGTCTTCCAAACACCAGTCAGAATGCATATGGAGCAATTTAACCGCTACTGAGACAAGTTATCGTGTACGAAGTTTTGTTTGTTTGTTGTTTAACGCGGCAATCAGCCTGTTATTTGAAGGCGGTCTGTAAATAATCGAGTCTGGGCCAGAGTCTGGGCATCGACCCAAGCAATTGAGATACGATAACATCACAGGAACTTAATGATAACGTGTATAGCATGATATATTCGTATAGAAAATAATCACACCCGTCGTTATACATACACTCTTCAAAAAAAGAAACGCACAGGTAGTATGTAGTTCACTGAACCTGACTACACAAAAAAATCCCGTATATAAATTGGATATATGGTATTGGAAAATGTTGGTGGCCTGATATTCGACAAACGGTGCGTTAAAACGCAGCCATTGTCGATTTGTCGATTTTTCAAGTTAAAAAATGCCGAGACTCAGCGCTGCCGATAGGAACATCGCCATAGGACGTATCCAAAGAGGGGAATCGCAGTCTTCTGTTGCACGCCACTTCAACGTACACCACAGCACCATTTGACGCCTTTATGACCGATACACACAGTTCAATTCCACTGCAGACCGGCCGACCAAGAGTTACCACCCCTGCACAAGATCGCAACATTCGACTGATCCACCTTCGTCATCGCAGTGCAACAACTACGGAGACTGCAGGACGCATCCCTGGTTTGAGGAGGATATCGGACCAGACTGTCAGGGACCATCTTCGCGAGGCTGGAATCCGACCCAGAAAACCCGTTTTCGTCCCTGTTTTGTAACAGATCCATCGACAGCGACGCTTGCGTTGGTGCCATACCTTACAGCCTTGGAATTTGAGAAACTGGAGACGAGTGTGGTTTAGCGATGAATCACGATTTCTTCTTCACCGGCGTGATGGAAGACAACGTGTTTATCGTCGTCGAAATGAGCGTTTTGCTCCACATTGTATATGTGAATTGGCGGTAATGTCATGGTGAGGGGGGCCATATCCTACACCACGAGATCTGACTTGGTTGTGGTTCAGGGGAAATTGACAGCAAATCGATATATGACATTCTTCAATCCCACCTTTTTCAAATCATTGACCGCCAAAGGGGGGGGGGGGGGGGGGGGGGGGGGGCAGCTCGTGTCACGGTAGACTACCATCATTATGCCAACATCAACGACTTGCCCTGGCCGTCGAGATCTCCAAATCTCAACCCAATCGAACACCTCTGGGATGAACTCGATCGACGTGTACGTCAACGTCAGAACACGCCGCAGACACTCCCACAACTAGCCAACGCGCTACAAGCTGAATGGCGTTGAATTCCGCAGGACAGAATTCGTATACTTATCCAGGCAGTGCCGAGGAGATACAGAGCCGTGATTGCTGCCCGGGGCGGTCACACGACATACTGAGTTCAGCGCAACCTTGCGCAACCTTGTGGCCTTATGTGACACGACAATGAACAGTTTTCAATGCCTTTGTACCACGACAACATGTGAATATCGAGCTCCAAAATTTCATATTTGGTATCTTTGATATTAAATTAAATATATCGACTTTATTAGGTACAATAAATTTACTACTCTTTTTTTTAAGAGTGTATAGACAAGGAGTGACCCGCTATCCTGGTCCTTATTCAAGATTTCGCACTCGGTTCGAATCAGCTCGATATCGCATGAAATATGAATGTCAATTATTTCAACCTATTGGTACTTCCTATACAAACCATAGGCTACACAATCATGTTCATCTGTGGTCCCCTTACCTCGTATTTTTTTTAAAACAACCATCAAATCTCAGCTCTAAGCTGCGCCGCTGAGGTAAACAAGAAGGCGTTATACGGGCTTAAACTAACCCGGATCTTCACGGGTCATGTACGAAGTACAATATCTTGATGTAGACATATTGGCAAAGAAACCATACGCCATTTAACTACCACATCTAGTGCATAATACAAATCCAACAGGCCGAAATCATAACATATTCTCTCTACATAATCTAGGGGTTTGTAGGGTAGCCCTGAGGTTAAAGCGTTCGCTCGTCACGCCTAAGGTCCGGGTTCGATTCCCAACATGGGTACAATGATTGAAGCCAATTTCTGGTATCCCCTGCCGTGATATAACATGATACGCTACAATACCGCAGTCTCCAAAAAACCAGCAAACCTTCCGACAATATGGAGCCAGGCCTTCATAGGACAGTCATTTAGATTGGTGACTGGTAAGTGTTTATCACTGAAATCCAGGTTCGAATCCCCACGTATGCTTTGTTTATGTTTAGCGCTGCACTCAGCAACAATTCAGCTATATCATAGTAGACTGTAAATAGGCTCATCGCCTCTGAACCAGATTCTCCAGTGATTGATATTATGAGCAACACTCCATCCATCAGGGTAGCGACCAATCAAGCCACCGAGCCTGACCACCCGAACAAGGTCTTACGACAAGCATCGGTTGCCGTACACATCTTCCCTAGGCAAGGAAGTTAACTGACTATATAAGTCAAGTTTCCACCCTTGCTGAACTAGGCTGGAATTATGGAGTTGTATTTTGGCTGGACTAACGGGTCTATGCATAGTACAATCAAAATCACCTGGCGAAATGGACATCCGGTTCGTAAACTGCCGTGGAGGTTTCGATGGCAGGATTTGCATAGCATGTGTACCGTCAACTCGACGTCAACAAATATTTTCCAAATCTGTTCATGTTTTTAATAATGTTGCTGACGCAATTTGATGCACTTCGCTAGGTAAGACCCGTGTTATTACAATATAGATCTTGATTATCGGTAAGATCGCCTTGACTGGGCGCCGCCATTTTGCTTGAAGCAAATGCAAGTGATATGAAAGGTGGAATCTGATTGGTCAATAGGAGGGAAATAGAAGAGACATCACTGGTAATAGCCACTGGTTGGCCTACGATCGAGCCCAGAAATTCCAGCGGCGTTTGGCAAGGTTGGAAACTGGACTTTTATAGTCAGATAACTGCTTTGCCTCGGGATGATGGCTCAACCCGGAATCCACAAGGGCTCCCTACGTACATACAACCGACCGTTAATATTGTTTTGAGCGACCTCAATCCTTATGCTCACGGTAAAAAGTAACGATTTTCTAAAAACATAATCATCCTTCAGACGGTAGACGGTAGACGCTACCCAGGGTAAACAAGGGGCCTGAAGTTAGCACCGGGTTCGTTATTCAGACTTGGTATAACAAATATAAGATACCGTATTTCCAGTGGGTTCGTTATTCATTAAACTACAATAATGTGGTCAAATACACTGAAACTCATTTCAGTACTTTGAATAACGAAAAATTAAACTGCAGCATTTTAGTTTTCAGTTCATGTCCAACAAATTCACAAATGTGAGGTAGTCTAATTTATGGTCAAGCACTTTTTAGTTACACACTGTCCAGCAACTGGAATCTAAACAGCACCACTCATCTTTTGTCAAAACACTATTCAGTCGGATTCTGTCCGGCATTTTATGGATGAATAATAACGAACTAAAAGGGGATAGATCAAACTGTATTCAATTCATTTGTAGGAAAGGGTTACAATACCACTTACACTCTTGTATGATAATTTTCATTACAGTTAAATGTAGTGAGTTACCCAGACAGTATTTTCTATAAAAAGTCGTTCGTCAGATAGCAGTTATATTCATTCTATAGGTAAATTTGCTGTGGACAGAAAGTTATATACGTCACAATGCAAAACCGATCCATCTGACTGCTTTAATACTAAATGGCAATGTATCTATACAGACAATGTACACTTATGTTTACTGAAGTCTTGAACTCTACTGAACTATAATCTAAGTTTACTGCACTATGCAAGTGGTTGTCTAGAACTGTGCAAACAAACGTGAGGTTAACTTGTCACCTATATGATGAATACAATCATGGGATCCATTCCAGGTCGTAGTCAACGATCAAAGTTACAAACCCAAACAAATCTAATGGCATAGTGTCAGACATTCGGAGAGTAGTAAGACATCTTACTGCAGTTGTGTGCTATGTCATCACCATTTACTGACCAGTCATGTAATTCATGAAAACATAGATACATTGTATCTATAGAGGGTGATGATGGACACTGACCAGTAACGTTTTTTTTTCTGTGGGAACGGATATAGGTGGTATGGTTGAAGATACAGTGGCAGGGTCTACGAGCAGAGGCCACACTCATTATACAATTAAATTTTCCTATATTTGATTATTTGTCCTAAAATACAGTCAATATTTAATGAGGGCTACTTCTGCAAAGGTTTCCCCACAATTTAAGTCTTTATTGTAAATAAGTACATAAATAAAAAAACAGTAGCAGATTCTTTATTCCATTTATTTATATATTTTCTTGGACATGAACTGAATAACGAACCCGGTGCTGGTTAGTTTTCTTTACTCAAAAGTACTGAATAGTTTAACAGTTGTTGGGAGATAGACCATAGACTATCTTATATTTAATAGTATTGTTGGACATAAACTAAATAACGAACCCGGTATTTGACCACATTACTGTAGTTGTTTAATATACAGCCTTTATTAATAACGAACCCGGTGCTGGCTTGTTTTTCGTTATTCGAAAAACGAATAACGAACCAACTGGAAATACGGTATCTTATATAATGTATTTGTTATACCAAGTCTGAATAACGAACCCGGTGCTGGTTTGTTTTTCGTTATTGAAAAGTACTGAATACCTAAACAGCTTTTTTGAATGATGATGTAAGACGAACCTGCTGTCATATATTAAATGAGTTTCAGTGTATTTGACCACATTACTGTAGTTTAAATACCGCCTTTGAATAACGAACCCGGTGCTGGCTTGTTTTTCGTTATTCGAAAAACGAATAACGAATAACGAACCCGCTGCTAACTTCAGGCCCCTGGGTAAACAGGGCCATAAAGCTACCACCAACGTACCTGAATGGCACTGCACTGTTTAAATGGGAGCATATTCCTGATGTCACATACCTTCCCCACTGTATCCCGTGATATGATCTGTGTATGCGCTCCTAGTCCCTGGTTTTGTTATCAATGGGGTCAGCCGAGACCTATGTACTAGCTGAAGATAAAGGACGTTGAGACAATAATCTTACGTCATGGACACTCACAATTACATAAACATCCCTCAGGACAAAATTATAACAGCTAAGTAGTATTTTGCATTTTCAGTTCTAGACTTTGGGTTGTTTTTTCGCTGACTATGCATCAAAGTTTCGACATTCCAGTCCGATGCCCAGGCTCCGCTTCCACAAAGCGATCACAAGACTATCACTCTAAACCCAAGTGTTCCACTTCTGAACACTAGACAGAACACATGGATGTAACACTTTTAGAACGCGTCCATGTGTTCTGAAAATATTCTGAACGTTGATGTTCTCGACCCAGAACAGGAGTGTTCTACAAACATATTTAGAACGCTTCAACGTGTTCTGACGATGTAACACTTTTAGAACGCCTGTAAAGTGTTCTGGACCGAGATTCAGAACACTACACGTTCTCGGACACGTACTTCCACATTACTGAAACGACAACTCATCGTGTGTGTCGAATACAATTTACCCGATGTTTTTCAAGGTGTAAGAATTTAAACCATACACCCATGCATATTCTCTGGCATAAAATCACACGGACGAATTCTGAACTGCAACCATGAATTCTTTATTATATTTGTTTGGGATGATCATGGATATTCAAGTCACTTATGAGTCAGAGTTCTTCATGAAACATTACAAACTGTCGTGTAGCAAATTGAAGCATACTTCCATACTTAAGATAACTTAAGTTTCAAGTCTTTCACGAAGCGCATGTACTTCGCAGATGTTTCTTGTGGGTAAATATCCCCAAAGGACGATGTTCGTAACAGCGACATGACCATCGCAGGCTTCAGGAAACTTCATGTCAAATATGACTCCCCAACATCCTACAACACAAAACATTTATTTGATCATAGTCATATAGTTATCAAACTCGTACATATTACATAGGACATTCTAACAAATGTTCGTTAGTAAACCCAAGATTACCGTGACATTTGTTTCATTATTTATAGGTTGCAAAATGTTTTGCCAAAAATGTCATTTGACTAACAAAGTTACCACTTACTTGGATAAAGGTTAGAGCAAAATATACACAAGTACCTTCTTATTTGATCTGCAAAACCTTGTGTCTTTTCCTCCTTTGTGTAGACGTGTGCCCTGTGCAATAGTTTCCATGGATGGTACTGATTATCTGCAATGCACCCTGAAATAGAAACAACAAGACTGATTCTCTAAAATATTTCACATATAATAGCCAAAAACATGTCCTGTGAAGGTTTAGTTCTTTTTGTTCATTACATACTTACACTACTCCCTGCTGATTTCGATGCATTGTCGATGCTTGCTGATCATGCCCTCGGATCCCAAATTTAGATGTTCAGAGATTTGTTGCATGTAGCCCGCTTCGCACTTTCAGGCGATTCATATAGAAACTGAAATATATATTCATTTTATTAAAACATCATTCAAATAAACGGAAACGTTCAAATAGTGACACTTGCAATTTGGATTGGAATTTCATCTCATAATTTATAAATAAAGCGTGTGGAAAAATGGCAGAAATGACGGTCAAAATGGCGAGTAATATGTCGTCTGCTATGCGTTTTGTAAGGGGCCGGTTATACTTCGTTGGGATCAGCATATGAATATATCGCCGAAATATTACATTATTTTAGGTACGTATTAAATATGAAACAAAAGTATTCCTAGATGGATACTTACCACAGACACACCTCAGATCATAGGAAATTGTAGCGCCAAATACATGCGACGTCACGCCAGTTTCTCACATAACGGATGTGAATCACAGAGCATGGACAGCTTTGAATGCTTGTTAGAAAAACAGAACACCGATGTTCTATTAATGGAACACGTGTTCTCGCATATAACATTATAGAACACAGCAGAACACACGCGTTCTAGGAGAGAACGCAGGCGTTCAGCAAATAGACCGTATATGTTCCAGAGCACCCATTAAAGATCCAGCTAAAATTAGCCATCAGAATGCCAGTGTTCTGATACACGTAAATGTCCCCAATGCAAGCAAGTTATTTCCATGTATTAGCAATGAGTTGTATTTCAGTAATGTTTCTTGTTGTATTTATTCAGGCTACATATGAGTTATTATTAACACAAAGTATGCCATGTTTATAAACTATTTATTATTCATCAAACTCAAAATATAACCCTTCTTATACACATTTTCTGTTTGACATACCAATCTACCAGCCTCTCTTCTTCTCAAAAATAAATATTCCGAAAACACAAATATGATGGTCGAATTTAAATCTATCTAACAACATTCAGCACATAATCTCTGCTAATGTGCATGGACTTCTCCCAGGAGAGAACACACGCGTTCTACATCAGATCACAGGCGTTCAGCAATAGAACACGTGCTGCACGAATTAGAACATTCGTATTCTGTGGCAGAACGTATGGACGCGTCCAGTGTTCTATATTAGAACACATAGATTTAGAGTGTAAGACTGCGGTACGGGTGGAGTGAGTGAGTATGGTTTTGCGCCGCTTTTAGCAAATTCCAGCAATATCACGGCGGGGACACCAGAAATGGGCTTCACACATTGTACCCATGTCGGGAATTCAGCGTGACGAGCGAACGCTGTAACCATTAGGCTACCCGACCGGTACATGCGGCAGAATCTGTGATATGTATCCAAACAGTTTCAGGATAGGCTGTCAATACTGCTAATGAATCAGATGTGTGAATCGCCATAACATTTAAATAGTTGTTGGTTAAAGTTTGAACTTTGGGACCATCTTGAGCCTATCTTGGGGCCATCTTGGCCATAGTATCAGAAGCACGAATGGCCCAGTCGTCTTAGGCGCCGCGTTTCGCTGTGCACAGCTGGGTCCCTTGGGTACTATACAGAAACCTATGACCGTCGGTTCGAATCCCGGTCGCCCTGATTAAGTTACTAGGTTTGTCGGCCCCATGCCTGTGCTTGTGGGTTTCACAAGGGTGGTAAACGTATGAGACCTGCATCACTTCAGTCTTTCCTGTCACATTAGGCTCACTCACTTACCATAGTATGATCCATTAGCATGGATCACAAGGGGCTAAAACAAGGACTGGTCGGCTCGGAGTCAGTATACTGTGTCTGAGTGGGGTATTCATGTTAAACTGCGGCATGGTATCTCAGTGTGCTAGCACTATAAATCGGCATCAGTCCGGACTAGTACAACCAGCCACACACACATACACGTGCATTCACGTCGCTATATAAGTACAATAATCTTGGACGCGACGTTAAACCCCATTTCACCTCACCTCACCTCACTGAGATAGGTGTTATGGCAGCTATTACCCGCTGTCTGCTACATGCACGGAGACTGATGGTCAGCTGCGCTTACCTATGACACAGGGGGTAAGCGCTGTCCATGCCAAACCGGATGTTGGTAAGTAGCAACTACCATTTTCTGGCTGGACAGTGAAAATTGTGATTTCACCCGGGCTCAAGAAGCACGGTTCAGGCAGGTTTTTAGCCCTTTTACTTCATAATTTGAGCTAAGTCTAACATATGTCAGGGCACAGAAGGGCTTCCGGACCACAATCGTTATATCATTTATATACGGCACACAATACGTTTGGTGTCATCTGGTGCGATAGCGAGTCGAGTCGAAAATTCGGTGCTTTTCAGTGTAAATACATCATGTTCATACCAGGGCACTTTTGTGTCAAGTTTAGCTTTATTAGACTGATTTAGGATTTGTATTAATTTAATACCTGTGTGTGAGATATTTTGCTGAACAAAAACTGTACGAGCAGACCTTGCACAAAGCGATCACAAGACTAAGACTTTGGTACGGGTGGAGTGAGTGGATGAGTATGGTTTTACGCCGGTTTTAGCAATATTCCAGCAATATCACGGCGGGGGACACAAGAAATGGGCTTTACACATTTTACCCATGTCGGGAATCCAACCGGTGTCTTTGGCGTGACGAGCGAACGCTTTAACCACTAGGCTACCCGACCGCCATCGAGCTGATGAAAGTTGGCTGTTAGAACAAATTTACTGCCAAGGTTGGAATAATACTGTCTGTGTGGTTAGTATAAGAAAGTTACATTAATTTTAAAATATTTAAAACAACTGTGGTATTGATGATTAAAACATTTCAGGAAGTTTTGTTAATCCATGAATACTCTCATAGTATTTCAACTACCTTGATTTGGCGGCAATAATCTGAAAACGTCATCATGTGGCAATAACGCCTATTCGCTCTCTTGTTGAATAGAAGCGACAAAATCATTTCCATTATCATAAAACATCTCTTCTAAAAGCAGTATCCGCTGTACGATTCCGACTATATTATAGTTGTTTGTTTGTTGTTTAACGCAACACTCAACAATATTCCAGCTCTATGACGCGGGCCGACTTTATTATATGCCTTTGTTTATGAATCACTATTAAATAGTGACGATACCAGGTTTTATCCCGAGAATGGGGTTTTTAAATATTATAAAAACCCGAGGATATGTGTTTTATCCAACTTATAAACCGAAAAAAGAACTTAAAACAACATTGTTACGTTTCAAACATACTTTCCATGAATCATAGGAAACAGGCGTAAAATATCTTTTGCTGGCGAACTGGAGCTTTAAAGCGTTGTGATTTATCAGCGCGCCTGTCGCCTATAGTAGTACACTCCCTGGGCTACAGTTTTGAAGGTTGCATGTTTGATCCGCGTGAATATAAAGAAACACCCACTGACGTGTTTTATCTAACACATACTGTCTTGTTGATAGATTTTGTCACTTTGAATTATAATAAAAAGACCTAAATATGCATGAGTTTTGATTGTTTCTTGTTTGACGCCGCACTCAGCAATATTCCAGCTATATGACGGTTGTCTGGAAATCATCGAGTCTGGACCCGACAATCCAATGATTGACATCATGAGCATCGATCTACGCAATTGGAATACGATGACATGCATCAACCAAATTGGCGAGCCTGACCACCCATTCCGTTAGTCGCCTCTTAGGGCAAGCATGGGTTGCTGAAGACCTATTCTACCCCGGATCTTCATGGGTTCCTATGTAGTTGTCTCAATATACTTAAGATGACATTAGCTTTCAATTTAGACAAAATGTCCTGAATTTCTGAACATAGATGTAACTATGGTCACTACGTTAAGGCATGCCCTGTGGATCAAGGAACTCAGTTTTTTCTTAAAAGTGGCATGTGGGATATTTATGAGGGGAAGTTAAAAGATTAAATGTTTTGAACTTGGTTCTTTTCTGGGATTGTACACATTCAAGGAAATCCTTTGATTTTGAGAAACCCACGTTTTTTTTTAGCACATTTCTTCCTCAGTCAACACACTGGCCTTATCATAGTACATGGCATTAGTTGATGTCACTTATGCCATGTTCTTTCATGGGTCTGCAGTACCAATTTGACATTCAATCTTTTTCAGAACCAAGGAGGTGACTATGCTTGTTATTATAAGAGGCTACTAAACAGAAGCCAGACTCGCTGACTTGGTTGATGCATGTCATCGATCCCAATTGCATGGATCGATGTTCATGATGTCAATCACTGGATTGTCTGGTCCAGACTCGATTATTTACAGACCGCCGTCACATAGCTGGAATATTGCTGAGTGTGGGGTTACACAACAAACAGAACCACGGATATCTAGGCAAATGATTAGTCTTCTGTGTCACCTAACACTAGTATCTTAGCTTTAAGCACCAAAATTGAAGTAAAACATATTAAACTTTATATTGAGTGCCGTATATCAATAACATAACGATTGTGGTCTGGAAGCACTTCAGTGCATGACATATATTAGATTTAGTTCAAATTATAAAGTAAAAGGGATAAAAACCTGCCTTAACCATGCTCCATGATCAGTCTGTTTTTACTACACTGAAGATGTTGCAGTGCAAACCCAACAGAAAGTGGAAACGTGAGCACAGTGACATGATCTGGCTGATAACTTGTCTTCATTCCAAAGCTCAATGTTGCTCATTTTACAGATTGATAACTTACGCTTGAAGACACAAATTCATAACAACATCTCTGTTTTCACTTTCATGAGGATGTTCTTTAGCTGTGTGATCAGCTATATGCCAAGCATGATGAATACAATACACACAAATGCCAAATAAAAACAACAACATTTATTCAAATATCTTACCAAGAGTTTACATCTAACACAATTGCCTTTTCTGCAGAGATGTACATAGTTATTTCAACCACAGTTAAAATACACCAATCACAACTATTACATGGGTAAACCTGGGAAATACATGTGTATTCCCCCACTGTCAAAAGTCAGTTACACCAAATGTCTTTAACCTTTGTCATTTGTATGATGGATCTTTCCAGATGGTGATGTTACATATTAACTCACTCACCTTCCTGAGGGATTGCACTCATCGGATGTATTATTGTAGCCATCATCGTGAATATTCACATATATAAATAAAACAATACATTTTTATACTATGGAAACTAATGGGACAGCATACAGTTACACAGTGAACACAACCTATTTGTTCCTGTTGAGTAATAATAACAAAACTACCCTAAGGAAGAGAATATATGGATGTCACCTTTATTATGAGGAACACAACTTCATCAGGTGAAGGAATAAGCATATACCCTGAAACGTTGTGTTCCTCATAATAAGGAAGGTGACATCCATATATTCTCTTCCTTATGTGAATCACTTCTAAATGCCTTTCAAAGACCTACTGTTACCCTATTTTTACATGTATATCTAACATAAACAAAACATTTGTACAGAAATCCAATATGTATTGAGAGTGAGTGTAATTGATGAGTGGTTTCCTCAGACAGTCCTCTCATTCTGCCTCCATTGCCTGGTTCTTGGTCTGTGATTCACTTAAGCTGAGACGGTTGAAATCAGCATGAAATGACTAAACATTCAAATGCTTTTGGTATTAAGCATCAGTTTAATCGTTTTTAATTTTTTATTACTTTATAAATATATTAACTACAAAAAATGAAATGTTGAAATTATATCAAATCAGAAAAGCAATATGCCTTCTATTCTGCAGAATACAAATGTATGACTCAGCCGAAAAAAGGTGAGCACACAATTTAGAAACCTGAAAGACACATGACTCAGGTGACTTTCATTCTACAAATATTTACATGGCAACACATTGAAATAACTTTGAAGAACAAAAAGACAAAATGTGGTACTTCACCCGTTACATTTCAAGCAGCGTCAGGAAGTGTTTTTTGTCACTTCATTCAGAACACAATGTGTGTTGTGAACTGTTTGGCAAGATTTCAGCAAAAAGATCTAAGCAAAAGAACCTGGTTGGCAGACGGGCTAACACGCTAACACCGTATTCGTGCTTTCGAGTTGAGTTGATTGGTTCAACTGTGTCATATGGCCCTGTGACGCAGGGGTAGCATTACGCAGATGGCTGTTTCAATGAATGCTCGTTCAACCCGTGACGAACAGGTCTGGTTGTTGATGAAATATAGTGATAGCTAAATTGAACAGATTTTTTATTCATGCACCGATTGTCTTTAAATGTAATATCCAGTTATGTATGACTGTTTAATAATCTCATACCAACTTTGACTGGAGTAGGTACGATAGTTTTTCAGATATTGTAGTAAACATCGGTACCTTAAATTACATTCCAGACTATATAAGAGTGGAGTTTAATGATAGATTGCCAGCTTATGTAGAATACAATTATTTCCTGACATCCTTACTGCCAATAGTGCACCATATAGTTTGTCATATCAGCAGTTGTAGGCTGTGAATCTGGTATCAATTTGCAACAAAGTAAAACACACCTTTGTATTAGTGTAACATAGAAGCAGCCCCATCACTGCCATTTCTTCAGGGCTTAAAGTCATAATGTACCACAATGTACTTCCAGTCCTAAAATATTACTTCCAGATCTTGATCCCAATCAAGACTTTGTTACGACCTACCAATTCCTCAAGTCTCATGATTGTAAAAATAAAAGAGCAACAGCAACTGGCAATAAACCATGTTTCAACAATACCCTCAAAGATGACCTTGACCTTTGACATGTTTGAAAGGCATATGAAATGAGGTGGGATTTGTATATATATATACCCATGAACAAACATAAAGTTTCATACCTGTAGAAACTGACAATGACAACCAAGTTTTAAAAAAAGCTGAAAGTTAACCTTGACCTTTGAGGCATACTGACCCAAACCTTTTCAAACCTCCATCATTGAGAAAGTATATACTAAGATTAATGATATATGCATTAATATGTTTTGAGCATGTGTAACTACAATCTTTTCTATGTTGTAATCAAGATCTTCACACTGTATGTGCCAAATGAATTCACTAGATGCATGTGGAATATAGGATATTTTCTGTCAATAATCTATTTGCCATTGAAAATTTCCTCAAAGGTATCTTGACATTTGACACAAATGTAATTGACAATATCATGACCTTGACCCTATGACCTTTTCAAGACATGTGCCAAAAGAATTCTCTGAGCTGTTGGGAAGAAGTCCATGGAAAAATAATCTCTGAAGTCAATAACCTTGTGCAGTAGTCATAAATCACCGACAGTGGTGGCAAAATTCCATGAAAAACTTTCACTGACATATTAAGTTTGAGACCGGTTGCCATTAATTGAAGTCTGAAGTATAGCATAAAATAAACAAAGAATAAATATGCATTGACTTGAGTGTATTATTCCACATCTGATACAATCTAAATAATAGTATATAATGCTTATAATAATAGTATACTTATAATAATAGTATACTTAGTGAGAGTGAGATATTATTATTCACATTATGCAAAATGTTATGCATATTTACCAATATCATATCTATTTTCCCAAACAAACTACATAGTGTAATTTGGGGTTGGTCTCTTGCAATACATTGAGGTAATAGTGAGTGAGTAAGATTTGATGCTGCTTTGACCAGTATTGCTGTTATGTCACAGTGTGTCAGCCTGATGTGGGAGGAAAGAGGGAGGTGATGCAGGTGTTAGACATTTACCACATTGGTGAAACCCACGAGTGTAGGTATGGTGCTGACAAACCTAGAAACATCATCAGGGTCAATCTTGGACTTGATGGATAAATACCAAATTTGAATAACATTATGATCCCCTGATCTGTACGAACGTTGCCAGTAACCGTCATACCCATGAACAAATACGGGCATCACAACATGATACAAAGATTTACGATGTCTGCAAATCAATTATTATAAGTAACGGAACAACCAAGTACAGAACTAGACTAAGGTTATCATACATACATGTACAGTAAAGTCAACATATAAAATCTATAAATATGATGAAAAAAAGAATAAGTCTGATCACCCAATCAATAAAGCCGCCTCTGTTGACAAACAAGAAGGGGCCCGCCCTATTGTAACAAATGTTAGAAGTTCACTGGAAGCCTTATCCCAATGAAAGGCACTCTGCAAAAAGTACCAGTCAAGCAACTTCTATGTTGACAGAATGAAAGCTGAGGACAATTTCCATTAACTTTTCAAATTATTATTCAATAATCATAATATACATTATATAGGTGATCGTGAGTATTCAAATTAAGTATTAAACATAAAAAAAGTACATTGTGATTGAAAGACTGATGGCTGGTATTGTGTGATCCTGGGGTGGGGTATGAAGCTCACTGGGGTGGGGCATGAAGCTAAATGCTGTTGAAGGATCCTGCATACAGCACTGCACAAACACACTGACCAAGGGAGATAATTTCAAGTTAAGCCCCAAATGGTCAGATAAGTGTAACAAGGGGAAACACATATATTGTTGTAAGTCATCTCATCTCAAAGATAATATTTTGAATCTATATTCATAAATTCTGTTCACCTTCCACAGAATAAGATAGAAAGAAGATGTTTACAAGTCAATTTTTTCCCATAAAGATTTGCTGAAATATTTAAGTAGGGGAGTATTGCTACAAATCATTTGAGTGCACTTTCGTTTTGGAAGTGGGAAGGAATTGGTTTCAGCATCGTTAATGAAATTGGAAATTAATGCTCAGTTCAAGGTTACGCTTGGAAGGTGGCAGTCCTAGCAAGTCTGATTCAAGTCATTTGAAACCTTGTCCACAAATATGTTTATTGTGTACTACAACCTAGTAGTCTGGCATATTAACATGGAGACAATGCCTTCATTTGGCACAAGTCACTTATTACAATGACAGGAAATGGACATAAGGGCCCTGTTCCACAAAGTGATCTCAGTGCTATGACTGTTATAAATGTAAGTCAGTATCTAAGTATGGGAGTTGTAATAATCTTTGTGCTAAGAATGCCTTGTGGAGCGGGGCCCAGGAATCCTGTACTGATGCCTGTTTGGGAAACAATGGGGAATCACACATGCTTCACACATGCCTACATGGCCTAACCGACATCGATCTCATCTGTGCCAACATGTACACAGTTGAATCAAGTCATAAATACATACAAACTGATTATATCTTATTATAGGTTGGTTTCTTTCGGGAATGCTTAAAATACCTGACCACATGCTTTGCAATAACATAGTTATTGTAATGGACATGGAATGCATGATGCAATGTCCACAATTTCATGTTTATAGAAAGGAACATGGAATGCATGCTGGAGAATCTTTTCTGCTAACAATACAATGTGGATCTCTATCTTAATTGGGCCTTTAGAAGCTGTAGCAGAGCTACAGATAAGCAGCATATTTGCGTAAAATACCCCCCCCAAAAAAAAAATAATAAAAAAATAAAAAATAAAAATAAAAAAAATTCAAAACCTGATTACTTTCAATTAACTTTCGTACAGAAACGCATGCATTAAATGAAAAACTCAAATGTATGAAAACAGCGTAAATACCCAATGAAGCTTTTCCACCAGCATGCATACAAAGGAGCTTATTTCTGAAACACAATTACGAGCTAATACAAGCCTGTATATTTAGAACAGTTATATACATCTAAAACATCATATCAAGATGTTCACTAATTTTGTGAAAAACACAAAAGAGTGATAAATAGATGAGAGAAAAATATTGGTTACCCAATGAAAAATGTAATAACCCAATTAAAATAGAAACCCTACAGTAAAAACTCAATTGCTCAAAAACTTATATTGCTTGACAACGGTACGAGCATCTGTATCAAAACAACAAAGAAGTTGACATCCATAGTCAAGCCTGCCTTCACTGATCTGGTTCTGGATCCGGATGATCCACTTGACAGAAGAGCTTTACAGAAACACTCCCTCGCATGTGAAGCAGTTCGGACAGGACTCACAGGGAAAGATTTTGTTACACATGTTAACTGGCTAACTGGATACAAATGCCATCAACAGTTGTTGATAAGTTCCCTGAGTTGACTACCTTCCCTCCATGCTACGAGGCTTCAGTGTTGGCCTCATCAAGCTCCAGCCTGTTGTAGGTGTCTTTGAGCAAGAACAGAACCGGAACACAGACGCCGATGACACCAATGATGGTCCAGTTCATCCACATTGTACCTGTGACACAAGAGAGAACTAGTCTTTCTCTTTTTAACTGTTTGATTGGCATTCTAGGAGTTGGCAAAATAAGTCTGCCTATAAAGATCTAATTAAGCAAGTCTATTTTGATTAGGACCAAATCAGCTTGTCACAACTGTATATCCTTTAAATCCTTATCATCACTGAATATCTGGCTTCACTACCCGTGTGCTTCTTTACCCGTGTGCTATTTGTTTTTCGTACTGTACATTTAGCTTCATCCAATTATGTGCTTGTTGTCGTTTGTTTATCGTTGTCTATGTTAATCTGCTGCTTATCACAACATGTCATGCATATATATCTCTCATCACTTGGTTGATAACGGTGTAAGAATCTACATTGAAACGTTGCTGTATGCAATAAACCAGAAGTTGTTATCCATAAAGTGGTACATTCTTTTTATTCTTTTGTTACCCTAGGGCTTGAAAAGTACCATCCCTTAACATCTTGTGGCTGGGGATCAGACCAACGACCTTCAAGCTTAAGGATCGGGTTTGCCTCAAAACTAATTACATAGTAGACAGTGAAGAGGACGTCTGTTGAAAATCAAAAGATTTTAGAGTGTGATGACAGTAAAAATGGGAACTTATGGCTCTGATGTAATACAGGTAAGGTATTTAAAGGAATTATGGGTTTCACATCATGTATTGATGTGACGAAATTGAACCACCGTATGGGGCACCTACTCTGCTCTGGAATCCTCACAGATTACCCTGGTTGAGCCAGATGGAACAATATGGTGATAAGGTGAGTGAGCACTGATTACCCCAGAAGTCAGAGGGGGGTTGCCCTCCTAACCCCTTTTGAAAACCAAATGTAGTATGTTGTAGACAACTCCCACCCCCACCCTGATCCCCACCACCAACAACAGACACACAGAGGATTTTGTTTTGTAACCCCTCCCTTTTAAAAATGCTGGATCTGCCCTTCAGGCCTGGCCCAGGCAAACCAGTGTTTGATGGTAATGACACATATCAGTTGGCCTTAATTAATATCATCACATTCTCAAACACCTTGTGTAACATGTCAGGCGACATTTTTATTTTATTTCTTGGTTTACGGTTTTCAAACTCATTTCAAAAGTGAAGTAGGCCAATTTAAAAAATAAAAAAAAGCCTCTGCGATTTCCTCTTTCCAGTTTTGTCTTAAAAAGTTAGGTAGGTATAAAAAAAATATTCTGGAGTAACAAAATTAAAACAACTCAATTTTTCAAGAACATTTTATCATATCCCTGGCACTCAGCTTGTGCACAAATGTCATTATAACAATATTCACGTCATGGGTGGAAATGCATGAAGACGGTGGAAGACGCTGCTATTTTGGCAGCATGGGTGACGTTTAACTCTTTCAACACCAGCCAACCAGAAGATTACTGCTGTGACACCAAGTTCCCAGAGCCTCTTGTGTAATAGATGAAGCCAACATTTATCAAGGAAATTATCTTCTTTTAAAACATCTTTACGAAGCCGAGATGTCATTTGACTTACATTACACGCGATGGCACAAAGAAGAAGAATAACTTAGATGTCAGTTGGCAACTTATATTATTTATATTACATATATTTTTGTTGATTTTATTACTTTGTATAATATATTCAAAGATGTTTGAAACATCTTTATTTTGCTGATTGACATATTCAATGAGGACCCGTTGTTGAAGTGTGCCCGAGAATTTTATTTTAAAAAACATTGCGGGAAATAGGGAATAATTTTTTAATCCACTGATAAAAAATGATAAAATCAAATGGAATACAAATTTCAGACATTGTGAAATGTGATAGATTTAATAAATGAATGATATGACAAATAGGTTAATAAAATTATAAACTATTTTGACCTGACTTGGCCAGTCTACACTGTGGTGTCTGGTGACTCGTGGCTTCTTGACCGGTGTACCGGCCAACAGTGTTGAAAGAGTTAAACTGGTCACCACTGCGCTTTGCATTGACAAGCTTTGATGGCATTAGAGAAGGATCCCCCCCCACCGAGAAATATCAGAGTGACTTCCCTTTGCTTTGAGCTCGACGAGGAAATGAATTCTGTTTTTTATGAAAAGATTGGCGGTAATAAAGAAGAGGCTAATTTTCATTTTTATTTCTTTATTAACCCTTGGACTTTAAACCAAGATATAAAAAAAATGTCGTCTTATGGAAAACAATCTATAAATAGATAGTTTGGAAGTATACCATCTAGAATTGTTTGAAAGCTTGTTGAAATATCAGACCAGACAATGAGCACATATTCATAGCTAGGGACATGGACTGGTGTTATAAGTAGAAACATTGCGAACATACTGAGAAATGGTCAACAAAAATGTCATCTCATCACGTTCTACAACTTCTACCATGAAATGATCGATGGTAGGTAAATCTTTGAAGAAGGTGTTATCTTATATTATTATGTCACGATTGTCACCAGAAGACCTACATACCTATACTGGGCGCCATCAGGACAAAGAGAAACACCAGGCCTCCAATGTTGTTCATCAGTGTGAGGATCCCGTTAGTTGTCCCTTCCCCTATAGGGTATGTCAGTTCACATGACATCTCAAACAAGAGGGGCACTGCTGAGTTGAGGGTGGTCACCCCTCCTATCACAGCCACATACAGCATCGCTGCAAATCAGAGCATAGCTGCTTAAGCATTCCAGAAAGAAAGATCCAGAAACAAGGAGAAGGCAATCGCTCTTAAACATACAGAAGCACATGCAGGTCATACATTCAGGCATACTCAATACCACTTACCTGTAGAGGATGGTGCTATTCCCTGACATATCAGTGCAAACCACACGAAGAATCCTCCTCCTAACATGTACAAAATTAGGATGATCCACTTCATGTGTTTGGAAAATATGTCCGCAAATCTGAAATTAAGTGCAAAGAATGAAGGATTCATTGGAAATTAGTGTATGCCTTTGTGGCATTCACAGCACAGTAAGTAGTTCCTAATTGTCCAATATTCACTCATTGTAGCAAAAATATATATCTTGTAGTTAGTTTCGAAGCTAAACTGAACAAATCTAATACATTATTTGTGCATGTCATTCATATTGAACATCTTTACCGTGCCATCAGAAGTGTTGCTACAGGAAGGTCAGCCTTACCTTGCCATCAGAAGTGTTCGTAGAGGAAGGTCAGCCTTACCTTGCCATCAGAAGTGTTCCTACAGGAAGTTCAGCCTTACCTTGCCATCAGAAGTGTTCCTAGAGGAAGGTCAGCCTTACCTTGCCATCGGTAGTGTTCCTAGAGGAAGTTCAGCCTTACCTTGCCATCAGTAGTGTTCCTAGAGGAAGGTCAGCCTTACCTTGCCATCGGTAGTGTTCCTAGAGGAAGTTCAGCCTTACCTTGCCACAAGTAGTGTTCCTAGAGGAAGGTCAGCCTTACCTTGCCATCGGTAGTGTTCCTAGAGGAAGTTAAGCCTTACCTTGCCATCGGTAGTGTTTCCTAGAGGAAGGTCAGCCTTACCTTGCCATCGGTAGTGTTCCTAGAGGAAGTTCAGCCTTACCTTGCCATCGGTAGTGTTCCTAGAGGAAGGTCAGCCTTACCTTGCCATCGGTAGTGTTCCTAGAGGAAGGTCAGCCTTACCTTGCCATCGGTAGTGTTCCTAGAGGAAGGTCAGCCTTACCTTGCCATCGGTAGTGTTCCTAGAGGAAGTTCAGCCTTACCTTGCCATCGGTAGTGTTCCTAGAGGAAGGTCAGCCTTACCTTGCCATCGGTAGTGTTCCTAGAGGAAGGTCAGCCTTACCTTGCCATCAGAAGTGTTCCTACAGGAAGTTCAGCCTTACCTTGCCATCAGAAGTGTTCCTAGAGGAAGGTCAGCCTTACCTTGCCATCGGTAGTGTTCCTAGAGGAAGGTCAGCCTTACCTTGCCATCGGTAGTGTTCCTAGAGGAAGGTCAGCCTTACCTTGCCATCGGTAGTGTTCCTAGAGGAAGGTCAGCCTTACCTTGCTATCGGTAGTGTTCCTAGAGGAAGGTCAGCCTTACCTTGCCATCGGAAGTGTTCCTTCAGGAAAGTCAGCCTTACCTTGCCATCGGTAGTGTTCCTAGAGGTAGGTCAGCCTTACCTTGCCATAATTAATGATCCTAAACATCCAGAAACTGTGCCATAGAAGCCGATCCATCCAGCCTCTTTCTGGTGTATTCCATGGGGCTTCAGGTTGACGTCAATCACGCCTGTCCAAACGTTACACACTCCCAGGGCCAGGCCATACACAAAACACACAATCCAAAAATCTCCTCTCCTGTAATTCAAGAGAAGTATATTATATGTCACATGCTCATGATATAGCTGGAATTATATCATGGACTTGACATGGGTTTTAAGTACCATGATTACTAGGAACACTTATTGCATGTCTATAGTTTTCATGCAGAAATTGTTGAGAAATTGTCTCAGCCAACATGAACATTTCATATGAACATGGCATCATATAAACAATTCGGACACAATTACAAAAACAGTTTCCTTGGGCTGATCTGACACATCATGACAAAACCCAAATACTGCTCAAAGCAGAGTTAAACCCAAACTCACTCACTCACTCACTAGACTTGTGAAGATCCGGGTAGAGAATAGGTCTTCAGCAACCCATGCTTGTTGTAAGAAGCGACAAACAGAATCGGGTGGTCAGGCTCGTTGACTTGGTTGATGCATGTCATCGTATCCCAATTGCATGGATTGATGCTCGTGATGTCAATCACTGGATTGTCTGGTCCAGACTCAATTATTTACAGACCGCCTTCATATAGCTGAAATATTGCTGAGCGTGGCGTTAAACAACAAACAAACACTATAATGCTTCTGTTTTTTATATAATGACATACTTCATCAATTCTATCAGTCCTTTGCGGAAACTTTCTCTCTTCATTGAGGCCGAGACACATGGAGGAATGGCTGGTTTCTTGGGGAAGTACAGCAACATGGCTAGCAGCACCGCCATAGACCAACCAAACTCTGGAAGTGACAGGTATAGCCATTACATACCATTTAACACATTGACACAAGACACCACATGCACGCACATACATGCAAGCACACACACATACACAGACAGAGCCACATACACACACACACACACACACGCACGTACACACACATAGAGGCACATTCGTGCACACACACACAGAGGCACACAAGCGCACGCACACACTTTTGGTTTGCATTTATGGGATTACAAATGTGTAATTCTGCTACAATTGCAGGTTTACCACATCTCTACGTTTGTAACTCAAATAACCCAAAAACATATTGAAGTCTATTCTGTCTATTCTATTAGATAAAAAACCAAACAATAATAACTTTATAGACTGCTTTTTTTATAATCAAAACACCTGAAAATAACCCCTGAAGACATCAGTACAAAATCAGTGACATTGTTCAGCACAACATTGCAACATGAGCCATCGATTGAGGTCCTCTAACCCACAAATTAGTTTGTTCTTTTAATACGGAATACCACTGTAGACTCTTCAAATAACACAGATCTCATCACATGGAAAACCACTGTAGACTCCACAAATAACACAGATCTCATCACATGGAATACCACTGTAGACTCCACAAATAACACAAATCTCATCACATGGAATACCACTGTAGACTCCACAAATAACACAAATCTCATCACATGGAATACCACTGTAGACTCAATAAATAAGGTGGATCTTATTACTTGGATACCCCTGTAAACTCCACAAATAAGGTTTATTGTAGACCCCACAAATAAGGTGGTCGTATAACATGGATACCCCTGTAGACCCCACAAATAAGGTGGTCGTATAACATGGATACCCCTGTAGACCCCACAAATAAGGTGGTCGTATAACATGGATACCCCTGTAGACTCAACAAATAAGGTGGTCGTATAACATGGATACCACTGTGGACCCCAGAAATAAGGTGGTCGTATAACATGGATACCCCTGTAGACTCCACCAATAAGGTAGTCGTATAACATGGATACCCCTGTAGACTCCACCAATAAGGTGGTCGTATAACATGGATACCCCTGTAGTCTCCACAAATAAGGTAGTCGTATAACATGGATACCCCTGTAGACTCCACAAATAAGGTTTATTGTAGACCCCACAAAAAAAATGGTCGTATAACATGGATACCCCTGTAGACCCCACAAATAAGGTGGTCGTATAACATGGATACCCCTGTAAACCCCACAAATAAGGTGGTCGTATAACATGGATACCCCTGTAGGCCCCACAAATAAGGTGGTCGTATAACATGGATACCCCTGTAGACTCCACAAATAAGGTTTATTGTAGACCCCACAAATAAAATGGTCGTATAACATGGATACCCCTGTAGACCCTACAAATAAGGTGGTCATATAACATGGATACCCCTGTAGACCCCACAAATAAGGTGGTCGTATAACATGTATACCCCTGTAGACCCATGGAGTACTGTGTCGCTGGCCAATACAAGGAACACAAGGAACACTTGGAAACTTCATTGGTTCCTGTCAGCCCATACAGAGCTTATATTAGAAAAAAATATTCTGGTGCTAACTAAGGCTGTCTTACCTATATACAGTAGAAACATAATGTCCTTTCTCTCCTTAGTGACCCTTGCAGCTGTAAAACAAAATATACACTGTACTAACATGATTAAATTCTTACAAAAAATTATTTTGGTTGACTTCTGAAGGAACCCTTTAGTATTTTCTTTGACATCTTTTTGTGTTTCTATTTCTTATTCCAAATAAAGATCACTGCATGCCCAAGAAATACTGACTCACATTTTAAGTGATATCATAAAATGATATGTGTTCGGACATTATTTGCTTATCTTTATGGATAACGGATCCACTGATCCAAGACCGACCTTGCGCGAACTTTGACCGACAAATGGAATGACCAGTCAGAAGGCAGCTTTCTCGTGTTTTACGGCACTAATTTCAAATTGGCGACTACGCTTCGAAACATATCTTGACAAATTCTCAATTACAAATTTGAAACCTAAACAAAAGAAATTCTGGAATGGCTAATATATGGTCTAGATTGTATGGATTCAGTCGCTAAACCCGTAACTATCGTTCAGAATACCCCATGTTAAAGGTTTCGAGGTTGTATGATTTAGAAATCACATTCCGACTGTCACTTTCATGATCTGGTAAGTGACGCTCTGATTGGTCGGATGAAAGGTCGTTCTGACTTGACCCCTAATGGGATGTCTTCTGATCTTTGTTTAGCGGTAGCGAGGACTAAGGTCTGATTTTAATGAGATTGGCCTAATCATTCAGTTGAATGTGTTGCATAAAACGGTACGTTATGTTCCTTGGCCTTGATACGCAGACTTTGCCAAAATTATCTCCCTTTGACTCCCAAGAAAGAAACAAAAATAACTAATCTTCCACCAGATGATGGTGCTAAAGATGGTGAATTCATCTGACCTAAGCATCTGTGCCATATTTGTTTTCATTCCCTCCTTCGACTGTTTGACAAACAAAACCTGTGATTTAACAAAAAAAAACAATAATGGCTTTCTCTGGTCGGCTACATGGGTTCGATGTATGTAAACATACCTTTAGATGCATTGCTGCAGCTGTTGTTGTCAAACAGCTCAAATTCATTAAAGTTGTAGTTTGGCAGGTCTACCCTGAAAACAAAATCAAGTTTTCTTATTTGAAAACCCCCATTATTCCTGTGTTTCCCTTCATCACATAACTTCCTGATACTAATTTATGGAGTCATTGTCATGTCGGGTTCTACAGTTTCACCCACACTGAATTAAAAATACAGACATGTACCCTAGCCATGCTAGCTCTACCTTGCACAGCATAAAAGCCACTTCTATTCAAGTTAAGGCAACTGCAGCAATGGTGACATGTGACATGTTTAGAGCACATTTCATTATATTCATGATTCCTACATATATATTAATGACTTCATTCATTTTGTGTTTCTTTAGTTGAAGAGGATATAATTATGTTTTAACACTTTATCAATATGAAAAAGTCACTTTGTGTGACATCATAAGCGTGTATTCACCCAAATGCCACTGACTGGTTTCCAATGGTGCAGTTAGGTTGGGCTTTCTCCGGCACAAGGAGAGGTCCTAAACACATAAACACAGTAACATATACACAATACATACAAATACATAGCATTAATACTACATAAATCAAAAGTAATTTCAACAATACATTGGAATAATTATGGATGTAAAATCAAATCCTGAGACTCAGTTATTAATTTATTCTGTACTTTCAGCATTATAAATTGTAATGTCGACAATCAGGATGATTTACAATATTTCAGTATTAAAAATCCAAAACATGTGCTTGCGCGCGTGTGTGTCTGGTGTGTGTTTGTGCGCGTGTGTCTGAGCGTGAGTGCGTGCGTGTCTCTGTGTGTGTGTGTGTGTGTGTGTGTGTGTGTGTGTGTGTGTGTGTGTGTGTGTGTGTGTGTGTGTGTGTGTGAGTGAGTGAGTGTGAGTGTGTGTTTGTGTTTGTGTGTGTGTAGAGGCACACTGTGTTAAGTTTGTTCTTAGTCTGTTATCAGGTGAAGGTACACCCACAGTGTTAGAAAGTGATATGCAATGGTAGGTAGGATGTCAGCATGCAGTAAGAGTGCAAAAAAGAGACAGATAAAGGCATTGCAGTTGTATTAATAAACATGTGTGAGGTGTTAATCTGGAGTATTATAAATGGTTATTAGAATTCTCAATTGTTATTGATGTAATAGTATCCAAATATCATTACTAATCCTGTCTACCTATTCACTTTTATCCAAAATCATCTTACTTATCATATTATACATTTGATGAGCTTATCTGGGGAAGAATAGGTCCCCAGTACTGTACTGCTTGTTAAAAGAAGTGACTAGAGAAACAATTAACTCACACACATTTTACTTGAACTGTATACACAAAATATCTATTCCCACAGAAATGACAAACAGTCTTTACACTCAACATGGAAAGCACACGATAAAAGCACATTGACATATATGTGTCACAGCATGCATATAAAGAGGGGTAAACTAGACCACATCTCTCCATTTTGACAATTTGTCATGAAACAAACATGGAACGTGGTTGGATGTACACTTGACACTCTAGATATTGACTGCCTCTAATACATTGCGAAAGGAATACTGAAGGTACTAAAGCTGAGGATTTGGGATCAGGAACAGGTGGTTTTAATGCTTTTTCGGTCATTTGAACATGCTGTTTGACTGTAGAAATTATGGCTTAAAAAAATAGTTCTTCTGAAATTTTGAAGTACTTGGAAGCTATTACATAACAAAGTTACATTACTTTTGACATCTAACTCTTGTCAACCGTTGTCAAGGTCATACAGACCTACCCACCACCTCATCCTCACTGAGTAAAATGGTAAAACATTGCCTCTCTTGGACAGTACTCATATCTTTGTAGTTTCTTGGTTATTACTGAAGTCTCCTATCGGCCTGTACAAAGAAAGGATGCCTAACGAGTCAGTCACACAATGTAAACATCACTTCTGGTAAACATACTCGAGTGTCAACTTCTGAAACATGCTGCAAACACATACAAGATGCTCCTAATTATACACGGGTACCAACTTCTGTGACCAGCTGAATCAGAGACTACATATTGGTATATGGACTCTGCTATATACAGTCTCACATACCCAAAAAGAACCCAGAGGCCATCAGGATATTTGTAATGGAGAATGCAAGGGCAGTGCTTGTTGCTCTCTCATGAGGTCCAAACCAAACAGCTGACAACACTGGAGGTCCAGCCATAGCTATAGGTCCTGCAAGCCCATTCAGAAACTGTCCCAGATGGTTTAGCCTGAAAAAGTGTAAATATCACTTCTTCCATTACCCCAGGAACCATGGAGATACGGTATCACTGAAACCTACGTCTGGAATACCCATTGTAAAGCATCCGATTCTGTCTGCTTCTGGTACAGCTCTGACCTAGAAACACCTAAACAGTCTGGTTACCATCATGGCATGGCTTTAACATGTTTAAGACGACTAAACACTTGCATGTACCACGAAAAGGTGTCAACCTGCAGTACTTTCAAAATGACAAAATACTGGGTTTATTTCAATCCAAAATATTCAGGAACACTACCAGTACTCAAAACAAATGTCCACACATCAGTCCAGTACAAGCGCTTGTTGGGTGATTGCATTATGTATATATTTTGATTGTCTCCACAAATTTATAACACAAACATTTCAGTTACATTAAACTAGGAAAGAAATTAAGGGATCAAACTTCTGAATACTTGCTTTGAAGAAACCTAATCATGCTAATTTCAAGGTCATCCACAAAACATTTGGGCAGGTAGTTAGGCATTGAATATGTTCCTCCTGAAAAACCTACAATATCTATCTCTTAACGAACTAGAATTCCCTGGTAAGCCAAATGGAGAACCTCACCCAAGTGTCTTTTGACATCAAATATATCGACACGAGTTGATATATTTGATATCAAAAGACACAAGGGTGAAATTCTATTTATCATCCAACATCATTCTTCCAACTTTTTCAATTTGTAGACAGTAATAAGCAGTGTCTTAAGTGTACAAAGTACTGTTAACAGCTTCAATAGCAGAGCCATTAGTGATGTCATTTAATTGTGATGTCATAGTAACCAATGACATCACAATGGTCTGCAAAGCAATGTAGATATCGGTTGATCTCACCCAAGCGATATCTCCTGTGGAAGCCTGTTTTGGATGATAAATAGAGGTTATCATGCGAGTGTGTTTGGGGAGGGTAAACATCCTGCATTAGGAATAAACATTGTATTTAGCGAGCCTTGGTGAGCTAAATACATAGTGTTTATTCCTAATACAGGATATTTACCATCCCCAAACACACAAGTGTGATAACCTCTTTATCATTTAATGTCATTCTTTAATTCTGTGCTTCAAATCGCTTTCCCTCTCTTACAAACATTACTGAAACATTGCAAGTTTTCCTGGAATGTGCACATTAATATTTATTACGTCACCATGTAAGTGATGTGTCAGTCGGACAGTGACAGTAGCCAATATAGTTCCAACTGAAATCTCTTTCTTATACAGTGGCGAAGCAACATATACGCAAAACAACAATTGTGTTTAATTGCCTTTAGCGGCAATCACTCGGTCTGTCTGCTAGAGTAACTGCCCTTTGTCAAAGGGAAGCTACTCTAACCCTAGTCTATGAGACGCCACGGCCAAGGTCAGATGTTGTTGACAGTCGGTCTGTCCTATCATAACGTTAAGAAGTGTAGTCAGATGTACACACAAAACAAAACAGGGTAACAATTCAAACATATTTCGGCCAAATCCAACTATTTTAATTTGTGGAGAAAGGTTCAAGCCGCAGGTCTACAAGCACAGATATGGCTACTGATCCCGCTTGACTAGGCCTCGTGCCCTCGCAAAATTGTGTCGAAATTTATATCTCCAAAGTTACCAAAACATAAAATGCCTTAGCTACGTCACAGTAAGACACTGAATTTCAGTACATTAGACTTTTCTTTTGATAATGAAAGCAATTATCTCTGTAGTTTATCCAGATTCCCGATGTTTAAATCTGACTCATTCGCCGAATGACGAGGGCGACGCCATGTTTGTTTATAAACAGTGAAAGTGGTCCCTACTTGACCTTTGATATTTGCATCTCTATCCGCATATGACCCCAACGGATATCGTTTTTATCCGTTGGCTTTATCCTGCCGAGAAACCTACCCATTATATGATGAATGCATATACACACTTTGCAAAAAAATTGTAAAACTTGTTCTTTTACAACCTGGGCTTATAACCAAGAGACTATGGTACAGATCACTACGTATTCCTCTAGTCAAGGGATTAGCCAAGCATGGTGAGGTTAATAGTAGCAGATGCCTTGTTAATAAAACAAAATGTCACATTATCTAAGGTAATGAGATCTAGACAAGTGTTACAAATTACCAAATGTTCTACATGTTGTATGGTTAGATCTCTGAAATATGATGGACTTCATGCATGGTAATATAACCTTTAACATGTTTAAATCTGTTAACTGGTTAATGTCCCAGATATAATAACCGAGAAGGACACAGAGATAAATTGTCAGGTTATTTGAAACCTACATATGCCTTTATGATCTTTCTGTTCAGCATTTCCAATATTACTTTAATACATGGTTTGATGTCTTAGCTGTTTGATCTCATTTGAGTAGTAGTAATATATTACAAGAAGAAAACAATTTGTAATTGTAGCTCCATATGAGCTAACAATAGTATTTGAGAATGAGATTAATTGTGTTAAGAAAGATGCTAAACATGCTCAAGGTAGAAAGAGCAATATGGAGGTTCAGTAATGACAAGAGACAACAAAGCTAGCCTTAGCAGCTTCAGGAGAGATCACATGCAAAATGAAATGAATGTGACTGGAAAGTAATAGGTGCAGGGATTTATCTAGGACCTTCAACCATGGCCCATGTCAGACAATTTGGGAAAACAAAATTTTGCAAAAATATTGAGATTTTTTTCAAATCCCTATTTAGGTATATCAACATAAATCAAATGCAATAAAGTAAAACAATATTTACGTGATCTTTTTAGTAAGTTACATTTTAGCTGAAAATATCGTTATTCAAATTTTCATTTATTTATAAGATTTGCCATATGCCATAGAGCACCTAGATAAGTCCCTAGAATACCATAGTGCAGTCCCTTCCATTGGCCATACCAATAATGAAACTGAGAGATTGCAAGCCCACAGTTAAGGCATAGCAAAGAGCTGTGCTTGTGGTTCGCTCATGTGGGGCAAACCACAGTGCTGACACAACTGGAGGACCACTCATAGCTGCAGGCCCTGCCAACCCATTGAGGAAGAGACCTACATGATTTAACCTGAAATATAATCATTGTTTCATGTAAGTTACATAGGACAGTAAAGGGTAAAAGAGTAGGATATCAACCACTGGTGAACATGGCGTAGTTGGTCAAGCCGGGAGTGGAGTGAGTGAGGAAGTATGGTTTTATGCTGCTTTTAACACTATTCCAGCCATATCACAGCAGGGGACGCCAGAAATTGGCTTGACACCTTTCCCATTTGGGAATCAAACCAGGCCTTTGACATGACGATCAAATGCTTCAACTACAAGCCACCCTGCTGCCCACTTGCTAGTCCTGCACCATGACCGTGGAATATATTTATTTTATGAAAAAAACATAATCTAGAAATGCATACAAAAGCAAGTCTAGCCAGCTCAAGCTAGCTCTATTCCACATAGGGAATTTTATTTTTATTTTTAGAGTCAAGAACGATATTGTGTAATATAAGATTTCAGAGACTAAATGTTAGTCTACCCACTTGCAGTAGATGGCGTTTGTGTAATGACTACGATTACTGCTAATACTATAATGATCATCACTTTGTCCTAACCATGGAACAGAAAAATCAGTATATAAACTAACACTTTTAGTCCACTAGTCCTAATAATGATAATATATAGCAAAACCCTTAAAAATGACAAATTTCTACTGGTCCTTATGATGCCTTAACTATTGGGCAGTTTGGCATGGACCAGAGGGCGAGTGCCAATTTCTAATTTGCACCATAGGTTAAACAATGCAATGGGGACATATACCAGATTAATAATTCGAATGTCCGAGCCTAACTAGCCAAAAATACCCACCTGTGCAGATTTTAATTTGCCAAATCATTCTCTCACCACATACACACATGCGGTGTTAAAATTAAGGGTCCCTGGGGTCCTAGGGTCATTGAGCTGGCTTGAGGTAGTTGTATTTGTATGTAGCAAGTGCCCCTTCAATCTTAACTTTTGTCAATAAGGTAATGACAAGAAAACCTTGATGGGGACATATCTAGTCCTGTTCAGAGGCAGATATTCAGTCCAAAGTCTGCAGGTGTCAGTTAATATTCTCAAATGAGATAACAGGACCAGTAGTTTGAGGCAATATAGGAAGAGCTTGTGACGCCTAATTTAACATAAACATGATAAATGCATTGTTAAACTACAACTTTGAACAGAAGTATCCCTGAAATTCAGATAATAAGAACTTCCAAATACACATATTTGTAAGTGTTAAAAAGGTGGGCATAACCATCTGGAAACACATTTTCCTGAATTAATAAACAAATAATTAATTCCATCATGAATATCAAGCACAGGAATCTTTTTCTGAAAAGAAATTTTAAAATCGCTTCCTAATTCAAACAGGTCCGAACAATTACTACACTATTTTTATTTGTATTGCTGTAAATTGCTCACATGTGAAGCTGCATATGCATACACAAAGTGATCATCAACAGACAGAAGCTTGTCAACCTTATTTGTAGGGGAGAAAGGATATTGTGTGTGTATTGCAATATATTATTTTTGAACTTCCACAATACCATTATCTAAGTATGGAATTTATATTATCTCCAAACATAATTAAATCATCTGCATGACCAAACCATAATTATATCAACACTGACCCAGAAACAATAGGTGTATCACGATACATTGATGTATTCTGCATGTGTAAAGATAAAATATGAAATAGGAATATGCTTTAATATGCTGATGCACAAAACATGCTAAATGATAATATATATTTTTTTGCTGAAAATCTAGTAATTTAACCTTAGTAAAAATGATTTTTCAGAATCATTTACTAAATCATTATGATTATCTTTTTAAAATGGCATATGAAATATAAATTTGTATCATGAAGACAAGACATATTGCAATGCAACACAGACCCCGGGCCATTGTGATGGGAGCAAGCTGTCGGGTCAGGGAGGGACAGTAGCTCTACCTCGCATCAGTTAGGCAACCATGACCAATTAACCTTCAAACTATGTATTTGATGTCATTCAAATCAGATCTTCTAATCCCATGTGATACCTCACTGCAATAAGACCTGGCAACAACCCATAGAAGTTTGTCTGAGGGGAACCCTGAGCGTATATTGACTGCCCAGTATACATGGAGAACATGTGGGTTCTTGAGGTGATGCCGTTTTGTGCCACATACATTTGAATCTACTACCCCAAACATGGTTCTTAGCTTCATCTTCAGTTTAGTGTTGTTTAGAAGAGCTCAATACATCAAACAGAATTTTACAAGACTCAGGCATCTCACTAGTCGTAAAAGTTGCAGACTGCGAATGTCATCTTTCCAATTCCATTCAACTTCAATTCTAACAAAAGAAACCCCATACAGAACACCAGTATTACAGCACTGGGACTCAACAACAGAGTTACACAATATCCACAACACATGGAACAACATAACGGCACGGTTCATATTTTGCATTCGGAACAGTGATATGGAAATCAGATGCTGCCCTAAATGTTAGCTCAATGGTACTGAGAATTTAGAACCCTCAATGCTGATTGGCTGATTAGGAAGGTTACTTGACGCGACCTCCTATGGAAGGGGTGTGGGATCTTGAAGCAGAGGGGTATCATATCAGAGTAAAGTATTCAATGAGATTATTTATGTATGTAAGAAACTACCCCAGCCCTGTTGCCATGGTTACACTGTCTGAGCTAGAGCTACAACATGTACAAGTTGCCTATGGCCCTGGAAGTCTGCTATCGTTCCACCCCTATGTGTTGTAGTCCTGTTCGACACAGACCTATGATAAACGACACTGCTACGCCAAAGCCATTTAGCACAGAACCCACAGCGGTGGCAGTTGTACGTTCATTGGGTGCGAACCAGTGGGCAGAGAGAGCAGGGGGCCCTCCCATGGCCACCACCCCGCCCAGGCCGTTTAGAAACTGACCAGCATGGACTAACCTGTAATATACAACGGACACTTTAACCATGTTAACCATGTATACCTTGTGAAAATCTATCAATGTGTGAAAGATATGTTCAAAAGCAGTGTTGGAAATTAAGGGAGGATTGTGATGTTTTATTTCAATCAATGGACAACACCAACATTGTTATCTTATAACACTAGGTAACAAAATGTATCTTTTATGGCGGGACCTCTGGGCTTTCCTGCACAGATTTGAACTGTGACAAGTCATTAGTCGAATTAGCAAACTGATTTTTGAGCTGAAAAAACTTGTACATGAGTATTCAACTTATAGAATCCTTACATCCTGCTAATATTCATTTAGTATGGCAGCTGTCTTATTACGGTTCTTTAGAAGTGAATGTACCCAGTACACAAATAACGTGTGAGGAAGAATAATTTTTAATGTGAAGTTTATGCAGTAAACAGACCTATGAAGATCCGGGTTAGAATAGGTCTTCTGCAAGCCAGGCTTGCCTTATGCATGGTAAGAGGCAATAATGTTTGTTGTAAGTGGTGACCAGCTGGATCGGGTGGTCAGGCTTGCTGACTTGGTTGATGCATGCCATTGTGTCCCAATTGCGTAGAACAATGGTCATGTGTCAATCGCTGGATTGTCTGGTCGAAACTAAATTATCAATAGACCACTGTCAAATAGCTGGAATATTGCTGAGTGTGGCGTCAAACAACAAACAAACAAACACAGTAAACATCTTTTCCATTGAACAAGAGGTCAGTCACATGACCATGAAACAGATGTTCATAAGCGCATGGACGACACAATTTGATGCCTATAAAACATTGTATGATTTTCAAGAGATTGTATTCTGGAAATGACATAAATACTGATAAAATACTTCCACATACCTGGGAAAAGCCCTGGGAATTCCCTTTTATGAACAAAAGGAAGTTCCTTGGAATTCCCTTCCATGAATAAGCTGAGGTGAGGTGAAATGGGGTTTAATGTCGCGTCCAAGATTATTACACTTATATAGTGACATGCATGTACGTGTGGCTGCTTGTACTAGTCCGGACTGATGCCGATTTATAGTGCTAGCCCACTGAGATACCACGCCGCAGTTTAACATGAATACCCCACTCAGACACAGTGTACTGACTCTGAGCCAACCAGTCCTTCTTTTAGCCCCTTAATGCCGAGCGCCAGGCAGGGTAACAACAAGTACCATCTTTTAACGTCCATTGGTATGACGCGGCCAGGGATCGAACCCCGGACCTTCCGCTCTCCGGGTGGACGCTCTACAACTAGACCACAGAGACGGTCCCTTCCATAAATAAAAGGAAAGGCCTGGGAATTCCCTTCTATGAACAAATACTAAACAGTGAATGTATACATAGCATGGATGAAGAAGAAGATCCTGAAACTGAATGTCAATGTCTGACAACTACCGGTACATGCAGGGTTTTACACGACGCAGAAATTTACGTCCAGTTAGCACAGATGCAAGTACTATTCATTGTACCAAGTTCATGACAAGAAATATAAGGTTGGATGTATAAGTACTTATCAAATCTTGCATCATACAGCACAAATGTTAATTACGCTACAGGACCCATGTATTTCCAGGAGGGACCCATAAAATTAATCAATGGGATCCTATAGTTGTGAAGGTCAAGGTAAAAACAGAAGGCTGGCTCCTACCATGTGACCAGTGGGGGCGTTGAAGTGATGATGCGGAGTCCACAACCAGCTGCCACAAGGAACATGCTGGACAGGCACGCCCACCGCAAGCCTGCAACACAAAACACACCACCAATAGGGGAGGCGAAATGGGGTTTTACATCACCCTTACATACCAACATGTGCGCATGTCAGGTGTGGCTGCTTGTACTGATCTGGACTAATCCCAGCCTGACAGTGCAAGTCCACGGAGGGGGCAGTCGGGTAGCCTAGTGGTTAAAGCATTCGCTCGTCACGCCGAAGACCCGGGTTCGAGTCCTGACATGGGTACAATGTGTGAAGCCCATTTCTGGTGTCCCCCGCTGTGATATTGCAGGAATATTGCTAAAAGCGGTGTTAAACCATACTCACTCACTAGTCCACGGAGACAATACCCCCAGTTAGACATGGATACTCCACTCGCCTTATAATGACCAATCCTCGGTTTATGCCCTTAAAGGGAAACAGTGCTCCAACTTTCAAAGTATTGAAATATGAATCTGTGTTTTCTTCGCGGAATCAAAATTTGCTTATTATGGACTATAATCTTGACTGGTTTGACTTCTGTTTGGCGTTTTTTTTGCTGCACTGTGTGAAGCCTTATCTATCGGAGTATCGAATAATATATATATATATATATATATATATAACAAAGGATACACAATAAAGAGCTGCAGCCAAACTGCCATCAAACATGGATGACAAAAAAGGAGTATTATTATTGTTGTATTTTATGCAATTCGCCTGACAAATAAGGGTTGTTGCTGTCTTGAGTATATGAACTGAACTTCATTGTTGCAAAACTATTACGTACACGCATTTGCTGTATACCAAACTACATAATTGTACATACACTTTTACACACAAAGAGGGATTTTGCAAGGTGAAAGGTTATAGTAAGCATCATCTAATCCAATGCAAGGATTCAAAGGGATATCCTCCAGGTTGCCCCTCGAGGCCCAATTTGTCAGGCAGCTATAACGCTAACTGGCATCCGGTGATTATTGGGTCTAATTAAAACAGTGCCGCTTGACAGGTAGGAGTTGGAGCATTGTTTACCTTTAATGCCAAGCCCCAGGCAGGGTAACTACTTCTTTCAATGTCTTTTGATATGATGCGGCCTTGGGATCGACCCATCAACCTTCCGCTCTCTGAGCAGATGCTCTATCCACTACACCATAGAGATGTATATATCACAGCATGGCCATCTTGAACTGATTGCCCTGGAGTGAGTGAGTGAGTTGGGATGAGCACAGCATCTCATACATAATGTGGGTGGATAGGCCGAAGTTACGCAGGTAATTGACATAGAATAAAGATCTGAAACATAAAAGGCAAGAAGGCGATCGATCCACCGACAAACCTAGTTGCAGAGCATGTTGAACATGGTAATAAAAAAATATAACGTAATCATACCTTTGACATCAATCATCCAGGAGAAAAATACTGCAGCCACAATATAAGATATTGGTCCCCAGTTGGTTAACAAGGAGATATCTGCATTTTTCCATCCAAATGCTTCCTCACATGACTGTGAGATTGGACCCCATGTGTTCCATACAAGACCTTGAGATCCCGCAAATAGCGAATATATAGCCAGTATATACCATCTTCTCTTGTACAGTTTGACTTTCAGTTCACTATCAATTGTCACTTCTTCATTTGATTGGATATCTTTACTGGAGCCAAGGATGTTATCATTAAATTTTGGTGTTGCAATACGAGTATTGGAGAAAGTCACTGCATCTTCATGTACAGCGTCAACTGCATTGATGGATGAGTAGTTAGGGAGGCCCTCAACATTGTCTCCATCGTTGATGCTGGCCGAGCGGAGAAGGGGTTTTCGCAAGTCCTCAGCCATAATGAATCCTGACCTGGTATGCTTGTATGGATGTGTATCAATGCTGCCTATCTGTCAGATATGTTAGCCTGTAGATACAACAGTAGGAAATAGCATGAGATACAATTTAGTGTATTACACCTATCCATCATATGACCGTTTAAACAATTCTTCTTTCGTCATAAGAGGGATTTAATAGCATTGTCAATCAGGCAATCAAAAGAGAGATCTGAACAAAACTTAAACAAGTACATGTAAAACATTACAGAAATAACATACCAACAATACATTGCTTAAGGGAAGTAGAAACAACAAGTTGGAGTAATTTCTATCCTTTCATTTCATTTCATCCTGACACTCTTTCGGAAATCCCAAATGCTTGGTGTGTTTGGGGACTCTTTACCAGATATAAACAGATCCAAGAAAGTCAGAGTTACTAAAAAAACAAAATAACACTGAAAGAAATTTTGTTCAGTTCACATACATCTTTGACAAAACTAATTCAATCAACTATCCAACAGTTTTGGAAAGATAACATATATCAGTATTATCACTATACGTCTTAAGCCACTCGTCTGAAGCCAGAATCTAGAAATTCTGTTCAGAGTTACAATATCGCTGAAAGATTCAACAGCATAACACTGAGGTTCACAACCTTGACTGACTAATTTATCCCACTGGCTTACATAACAACCCAGATAAATGTCACTGTAATAATGAACTTGTAGATAAGAATGTAAATAGCTCACTCAATAGCACAAGCACAATTCATCACATGATGTTGTTAAAAACAAATTGACTGTCCTCGATACACCTGACCCAGTGATGAATCCTACTTGTGACTGACAAATGTGACACCCTTCGCTGCCACCTTAACAATACACGTCAATGACGAATCTGGGACAGATAACTTATAGTAGACCGTTAAAACTGCGGATACGCCGCCAAGAAATATCCCGTCTTTTCTACATCTTCACTAAATTCTCGGACTTCACTGAGTCTTATGACCAGGACAGGACAATGGGATGACGTCATTGTTATGCAGGTTATAACTGGTGCATCACTATTACATGTAAGTCCCTTAAGTGATCTATAAACAGGGGAAGGAGGAGAAAGTCCGTGCTACAATATCTCACTGTCGTATTTTGAACTATTTACTATTAAATCGATATCAAAGTTACACTGAAAGTTTCTGAGTGACCAGTGGTGACGGAAACACTGCTGTCCTGCAGCACTACATGTACACAAACTCTTAAACCGAACGGTTAAATAGCACGAGTCAGATTGCAACTTACCATCCCTGGTGAATGACATTATCTGGTAAGAAGCCTGGACCTTGAGCAACGATAAACAGCCCTGAAGCCGTATTGACAATGCAGACAGGAATAGCAGACTATATTTGAGTCACGTGAATAAAGTTAGTTTGAATTGTGGTTGTCGTAAATGTGTGCCCATATTAAAAGCACATTTGTATATTTATATAACACATGACCGTTTAAAAATCCAACTTTATGTAGCCTAACAGGTATTCTTGGGTCAATTTTACAACTTATTTATGTGTTTTGTATCTTTTTAAGACATCACGACATGGTCGGTGCTTTAAGGGAGACAACTCTTTCTCACTCCATTTGTTGAACTAGAAAGCAACAACTTTGCGTTTTACAGTTCGAGTCAACATATGTTCCTGGCAAAATGTCTTAAGAATTTTTATTAGGTTTGTCGGATTGTACTTGCCAAAATACCTCTTCCGTTTGGTATATGATTTCAAAACGGTCGTTTTGAAATATGACAGACGAGTATTTGGAAATATCTCAGTGTCGCTATGCTCCCTCAATAAATTTACATCGAGCCACAACGCGTGAAAAAAGATAGGAATATGCATGGATACATACCTCTGCTCACCAGACACCCAAGGGGGGCCTGCATAATTGTGTCAATTAAAGGTTAACAAAGGATTTTAGTGACAAGAACGTTGACGATTACTGACGTATATATTTGAAATACAGTTAGTTTCATATCAGTGTTACAGGTCTCGCACTCCAGGCAACTCTACAACACGCTGCAATAACGCTTAATCGACTCAAAACGAAAATTCCATCGACGGGCCTAACACTGGTCTGAGTTCGAATCTCAGATTAAACCCTAATTGTGAGCCTTTGTTACACAGCACCAAATCCTTGAACAGGGGTTTCCAAAGCGGTTAACGTGCACGATCTGCCTCTATTCAGGGTTTCGTCTAACATCAAGCTGACACCCCGTGATATGACACACATACGCCGATCAAGGGGTGCCATCCCACCCGTTTTGAAGCATACTACACATGTATACCTTTCGAGGTATTTTTAGATAACAGGGTGTACTGAGTGTAACTGTATTACAACACTACGACACTGTCATTTAGGGATATTTCTTCAACAAAACAACCCGCCTCTCAAAAACGCAAATTGCTCCGCGTATTATCTGCATTCATCTTACACTTGAATACATGACACTTTTTATGAAAACTTCTTTTATTCTTTGTCACGACGTTTCAGAGCTATATTGCTCCTTCATCGGGTAAATCGTTTACTAGTGAATTGACTGAAATACTGTTCAAAGTGACCCGGGAAGATCCGGGTTAGAATTCGTCTTCAGCAACCCATGCTTGTAAGAGGCGATCGAGTCGTCAGGCTCGCTGACATGGTTGATGCATGTTATCGTATCCCAATTGCGTAGATCGATATCATTAAGTCAATCACTGAATGGTCTGGTCCAGACACGATTATTTACAGATTGCCGACATGTTGCTGAAATATTGCTGAGTGCGGCGTTAAACATAAACAAACTGTCTCAAACCCATGCTGTCCCACTCCCCCCTCTTCGCCCGTCAAGTGATAATGAGCTGAGGGAAGTGCACGTAAAAGGTGCGTACAATTGCGCGAATGATCCATAATGATCCGTTAGTCCGACCCTAGTGAAAATCTAGCTGGACTAGATATTTTTCTAAAATGTCTGGTTAGTTTTGGTAACCGTTAATTCAAAGTATGCTGCGGACTAGTAGCATATGACCAAAGGTGTTTACTCCTGCATAGGACCCGTGAAGATTCCGGGATAGAATAGGCCTTCAGCAACCCATACTTGCCGGAAAAGGTGACTTTGCTTGTCGTAAAAGGCGACTATGCTTGTCGTAAAAGGCGACTTACGGGATCGGGTGGTCAGGCTCGCTGACTTGGTTGATGCATGTCATCGATCCCAATTGCGTGGATCGGTGCTCATGATATTAATCACTGGATTGTCTGGTCCAGACTCGATTATTTACAGACCGCCGTCATATAGCTGGAATATTGCTGAGTGCGGCGTTAAACAACAAACCAACCAACCAACCAACTCCTCCATAGCCGCCATTATCCCGAATAGCACCATCATCATCTTCGTCTTAAGCTTGACAAGGGTTATACACAACATACGTACTTCATGTTATCATATTGTAAATGTACTTGAACTAATTAAGCAAGTGTCGCTGCACTAACCTTCACACTATCAATGTAGGCCATCATTTTAGTGAGCTTGGGTCATAGCTGTTTCACCACTACATTCTTCAACATAGCCGAGCTTTACAGGTGTAACGGTAACCATTTTATAACGGTAAACCATTGACCCGGTGAGCATCAATCTGTGGACTATCGGGTAGGGAGGAGAGAATTGTTGACATGGCCAGGAAACAAATAGTTATTTTACTGCTAAAACTCTTGACATCAGTGGAATAGTGAATGTTGTTTTAAGCCACTGTAGCACAATCCTGGCAAACCAATGGTTGACGGCAAGAGCAAAGATCTATTTCAGTAGGCACGTACAAGCATGGGTGCTTGGGATCGATTCTGCCCCGGAATAGATTTTTTTTTTTTCAATATTCCAGCTATATGTAAATATGTAAATAATTGAGTCAGAGCCAGACCATCCAGTGATTGCCATCATGAGCATCGATATACGCAATTGGGATACGATGACATGCATCAACCAAGTCAGCCAGCCTGACCAACCGATCCCGTTAGTCGCCTCTTACGACAAGCATAGTCGAATTTTACAGCAAGCTTGGGAAGACCTATTCTAACCCGGATCTTCACCGGTCCCGGATTAGGTGAATGACTTGACTTAATAATTCCCCCTCATTTCTATAGTGAGGGAGGAGGATCTATATGTGATCTAGCTCTGGCATATTATGGTTATTTCTGATGTTAATTCTCGCTAGTTTAATGTTCACGTTGCATAACAAGCACGAATGAGTGAAACTATGTCAAAATAGTTTGACTTTAAATCGCAATAGCACATTTTCAGGACAGTCACAGGCTCAAGGCCAATGAATAATACGCCTCTTCATTGAACTGGCTGATATCTAATCTACAATGACTTGTTATCTGACGTAGTTTCTACGTATCTTGGCCATTAGGTTATTGGTCTTGATAAGATACGTTAAATGGGTTACATACCGTTACAGTTTTTGTAAACAGAACTTGAATTCTGGACAGAGCACTCAAGCCTATCTGGTTATAACCCGACTCACTCGATTGAGTTGGTCAGCTTTTTCAGTCAAACTATATTTTGAACCAGTCCGCTGCGAAAAGTGTTCATACTGACTAAGTGTGTATATTATTATTGGGGTAGTTGTCCACAACATACTAAATTTGGTTTTCAACAAGGGGATGGTGGTGGCGTGTGTGTGTGTGTGTGCGTGTGCTTGTGCGTGTGTGCGTGTGCTTGTGCGTGCGTGCGTGCGTGCGTGCGTGCGTGTGTGTGTGTGTGTGTGTGTGTGTGTGTGCGTGTATAATTTGTATAATGTGTATAATGCACCAACGCTACGCCCTGAAGCGTGCTCAAAGCGGTGATGTCTGTGATTGATCTGTGATCTGTAATGTGATCCGGAAACCAACATATCCTCCCTTTTCAGACAAAGACAATACATGTACATTTGATAACATATATGTATTATATACTTTATGTATTATCTAACCTACGGGGTTAGAAAACTTCATAATGCATTGCGAGTACACTATTCTCTCATTAGGAGAAAAACAAGCTGTGTTCTCAAAGCAGAGGTTTCGATTGTAGATTTGATACCTGTTAATTTCATTCGAAATCGAAAGCGATAATTCATCAATCTCATTAAAATCAGATCTAAGTTCTCGATGCCGCCAAACAAAGCTTAGCGATAGCGAGAACTAAGATCTGATTTTAATGAGATTGATAATTCATGATCCAGAAATGTTTTAAGTTATTGGCGTGTCTCTGGCTAGGTATGAATTGCGATTTGTATCCATTGTCCATACTTTACTTGGACGGGGTCGTAATTCTTTCATTTACACCCTTGTTCACCGTCGTTATTAGTAGTATATATATAGGTTTTTCACCAACACATCTACGACTTTCGTTCAAGAATCATCTATGATGACAATTGAAATTTGAACATTAAAACGAATCGATAATATTACTTTTATGTGTTTTTACATGTTCATTCGTAGTATGTGATGGTTATTTATATTTTCATATTTTAACGGGAGCCGACCCATCATTATAATGAAAATAATTGTGAGGACGCGGTTTGCTTACGTCACGAACCATCTGCCACTAACATCCGCGCCTGAAAGTGCGTAAAGAATACAAATTATATTATTCCGGGATTTCAAAAACGTTTTGTTTGTTTGTTTCTTGTTTAACGCCGCACTCAGCAATATTCCAGCTATATGTCGGCGGTCTGTAAATAATCGAGTCGGGGCCAGACAATCCAGTGATTGACATCATGAGCATCGATCCACGCAATTGGGATACGGTGACATGCATTAACCAAGTCAGCGAGCCTGACCACCCGATTCCGTTAGTCGCCTCTAACGACAAGCATGGGTTGCTGAAGACCTATTCTAACCCGGATCTTCACGGGTCAAAAACGTACTGTGATGTAAATTTAATTTGACAGCGCGCTGTTTCTAACATGACACATATTACTTCAGCGTTTTTAGGTAATCCCACGCTGGTGTCTTAATGTCACTGATGTTTCCCTAATGTTGTCGTCATGGACCTGGCTACAGTCATCACAGTGCTGGCTTCATTGAACCTTCTTCTGGACGTGGACGTCTTTTGTATTTCTTGTATCGTGTACGTACAGGTAAAGATCCCATCACTGTATGCTCCGTCGGTTGTGTTCTCTTGGTTGAAGATGTTTCCTGCTCAACCATAGTACCAGTTGCAGGTGATATCCTTAGGATAGCCGGGGATTACAACAAAACATTCTTTTTGAATTTGGGTGGTATCGGAAGCACCCAGATGAATCAGATTACTAGTCACAGATGTAATACCATAAGGGTTTAAAAAATGTATTTGGATCTTGTGGAAACATTCTGCGCATAGTTCGGCCAGCTTATATGTATGCGCGTGTACTTCTTTTTTTGTTTTTGACTCATATCTTCTAAAAAGCAGAATCCATTGTTCAATTCTGACTACATCATGAACAAATGTTAACCAATCACTATCGAATAGTGATGATACCAAGTGTTCGCAAAAAGGTGAACACACCCTGCCTCCAGGGTGGCACCCGTTATAAACACATGCAAAGGCAAGTCAATTGTTCACCTGAAAACATGAGCGGCCTTTTCAGAAACATTGAGTTACAAAACACAGGACAGGACAATGTTTGCTATATTCATTGGTTGTATGCGAGCTACGTTTACTCTAGATGATGTCCTGCTGCCGTGCGTGAGAGAATTCGCCTGTGACGCACTCTACGTCTTCCAACCTTTTAGTATGACTCGATGACTATCTTTAACGCCGCTTTGAACAGCATTCCGGTTACATAAGTTCATACAGATTAACTGAATTAACTAAATATAATAACCGACAAGTATAAACCTTTTATTAACATAACATTTACATTTGGAACCATATGATACAAACACTGTTTGACAATATTTTCATTTTAAAGATCTTGTATTGAAATTCAGTTTATTTACATTTCATTTGAACAGACACTGTAGGACACAATACATATAATTTTAACACATTTCAATTAATAACCAGACATAATAATACGTGTAACCGAAACAACAATTGTCATTCCTTAGAGACCAGACACAATTTAAGGAACTTTGGATGTGGCGGGGAGAAAGGGACAGACAGTTAGGTAATCTGTTGGTGGATAGCATTTAAGCAACAGACAGAAAGCTAGATTTATAGTTGGGTAGTTATAATGGCGTGAATGAGGATATGGGTGTCTGGGGTTAGGATTTACCATACTGCTGGTAGTATTTCGGCCATATTAGCACGTGAGACTACGAATGGACTTTCCCATATTATAAAGGAATCAAACCCGGGCGACGAGCGAACGCGTTGACCACAAGGCTACCCAACCGCGCCCTCAAAACATTATTTTTTTAGCTATCCATAGTTTTGAGTTAAAGGTGTGGGTTTGTTTGGGGTTGCTAGGCAACTGAATGCATCAAACACTCGTTCCACCCAAAACGACCTCTATAGGGGCTCGAACCCGAACCAAAGGCATGACGAGTGAACGCTTTGGCTTGTGTTTTTCTCCCGACACTGAATTGACTCCTTATATTGATTACACGTGAACATTTATGAACCACATACATTAGAACATTGAAATTGAACACAATTAGACACACGTGACACACAACTTCAGGTACAATAATATTAGTGCTATGCAATGAGAGTTTTACACTGATTATGCAAGGTATGATACAAGTACTGAGGATATGACGTGTAACAAGCGATTATTTACAAAAAAAATGTTTAAGAAAACTAATTTTAAATTCATTCGAAATGGTAATCTTTCTCAGTCGTAAGCAATTTCAAGAGTTTATGAAATATCAGAGTACCTATAGGTATAAAATGAAAGTGGCAACTTATATATCAAGCATATATGTGAATATTTAAGTCATATAAAAGTAGAAAAAATATTATCACCAGGAATAATGGACTAGAACCGCTCCGAAGTTCCTTTACTTACACAATACACAGGAATGCAAAGATATGAAAGACAATAACAAGTTGTGAAACCGTCGCCGATCTTGCTACATATTAATGAAATACTGACCATTTCTAGATATGTCAACTCTGTAATGATGCTTTCTATGGTATATGCAGTTTTAGAGGATAAGACAAAATATGGCCGAACTATTTGCTACTTAACACATAGCCTCGTACCCCGTATGAAAGAAGCTGGAGGAAATAATCAGTATTCCAGTTATATGTACCACTGTAAGTGTCATGAAGCTTCATCAATCTTTCAAAATGAATCATATTTTGAACTTTTTACTTGAAATCGCTGCATACTTTCATGAAACGCATTTATCACAAACGTATGCTTAAAAAAATTGACGTTATTTAGCAGGTCTCATTTCCGAAGAATACCATGAAACATAGTTTGAACATGAAAGATTGCATGATGTATCTTTGAGAACTGGTTGTGCCTAGTGTCGGCTAGAAGAACCAGTATCTGCTTGTATCCTTGAGAACTGGTCCTGACTGGTGTCGGCTAGAAGAACCAGTATCTGCTTGGCGTAACGGAACAGCCTGCACGATCCCAGTAGTCACACGTGTGAGTGATCTTGTTGAAGTGAAGGTCAGCTGGACAGTCCTTGACCCATGCACGTCCCCAGTCACAATGAATCCACAAGGTGCAGTCCCATGGGTGCGGATACTCGCCCCCCGCACCGCGCGGGCACTCGAAGTCGACGTGTTCTGAAACAAATAGGACAGGTGTTGGTTAGGGAAACAACCAGGTGGACACTTCTTTCTTCACTTCGAATATCAGGTTCATGTTAAGGTGTGATAGTTTCTTGATAACTGATTACAGTTGACCATTGTTGTCATTTCCCGGTTATCTCGAAACACTCGTTTTCTCGAAGTTAACCAGTCGTCAAAACTACGAATTCTTGTTATCTCCCCTCAACACTCAATGTATCTTGGTGCTGATTGGCCGACATAACTAGAGTGGTTAAGTGAATGATTTTAATGGTGCAGGTTTAACAGTATTTCAGTTAAATTGAAGTTTCTTAGTTTAATGTAGGAGGAAAACCGCAGTGATGTAACTAATTGACGTTTATCACTTTGGTGAAGCCAAAGAGCCTGGTAGACCAACCAAGGATTATAATCGGGACCAATCTTGGATTCGAACAATGATCTACAGACCCCGACGTGACTTAACCTGCGACACCTTGGACCACCCATCTTGACTACAGAAAACACTATGCATGTTTGTAAATTACAAACAATGAATAAACATACATCGATCCAACTGTATTTCTACATTTTAAGCTAATCCCATTAAATCCCATTTCGCCTACTTACCACATCGTTGACCCTTGGTCAGCGGTGGGCACATGCAGTCGACGTCTCCAAACTGGGTCAGGTAGCACACGCCATTTGGACACCGGCTGGCGCTGCAGTTAAAGTTCCTGATCTGGCAGCTATCTCCCGTGTATCCATTCAAGCATTCACAACGGAAGGCGACGCTGTCAATGGGGACACATGTACCCAGGTTGCGGCAGGGGGACGACTTACAGGGACCTTCAGTGCTCACAGGGAGTTGGCAGTACTGACCACCATATCCCAAGGGGCAGGAACAGGTGAAGTTAAAGGGGGACTCTGGCGACGGGGTACAGCTTCCACCATTTAGACACGGCTGGGGGCTGCACGCAGGGGACGTCATGTACTGACAGTTAATTCCAGCAAATCCTCTAGCGCAGGTGCAGATGTAACCCCCAAACGAGAGGGAGGAACACTGTCCGCCATTTTCACACGGGTTATTCTGGCAGGATTCACCGCTTGATGTCTGGCAATATATACCGCTGTACTCCCTCGGGCAGACACATCTGAATCTACTAGAGTCGCTTGGGTCTATTTCACAGGTTCCCCCATTTTGACAAGTAACAGTACTGCAAACATTGTTCTCACTACTATCTATTTCACACCTAGGACCCACAAAGCCAGTTGGGCATGCACAGGTGTATTGAGTGTTTGAGCGAGGGAGACAGATGCCGTTATTTTCGCAAGGGTTGCCAGAACATGGTCCAACAGGGGTCTGACAGTTTTGCCCTCCGAAGCCGCTGTTACACTGACACGCGTAGCCATTCAGACTACGCTGATCCGGCGAGCACCTGCCTCCGTTCTGACAGGGATTGTTTGAACAAGGGTTGGATCTGGTTTCACAGTTTCTCCCAAGATACCCAGCATTACATCGACACCTGTACCCGCGAGACTGTGTGACGTCAAACTCGCAGTTGCCGTTCTGACAGGGATTTGGGTTGCATGTACTGGTGAGAGATTGGCAGTTGGTGCCTCCGTATCTAGGACTGCATCGACAGGAATAACCTGTTCCCGACTGAATACAGCTTCCGCCATTACTACACGGGCTGGATGAACAGGCGCCAGTGATGGTCTCACAGTTGACTCCACCGTATCCGGCAGAACAGCGACATGAGTATCCAGATCCTGATGAGACACAGTTTCCGTTGTTTCTACATGGGTTCGGTTCGCAGAAGTTGGTGCGGGTTTGGCAGTTGACACCCCCAAATCCTGCTGTGCAACGACATATATAGCCAGTGGAACCTAATGGGGAACAGCTAGCGCCGTTTCTGCAAGGATTCGGGGCACAGAAGTTGGTGCGGGTTCGACAATTAATGCCTCCGAAACCTGTTGTGCACTGACATCGGTATATAGCACCCGATGAAACACATCTTCCATTGTTTACACAAGGATTTGATGCACAGACGTCGATCGGGGTTTGACAGTTGGTTCCTGCGAATCCTGCTAAACAACCACAGGTGTAGCCAGACGTTTGGAAAGGGTCGCGATTACAGATGCCGCCATTTTGACATGGGTTGGTGAAACAAGGGTCCAATAGGGTTTCGCAGTTTGCACCTTCATACCCATCTCTGCAAGTACATTTGTAGCCAATGTTGTTAGAAGCATCGAATCTGCAGGTTCCTCCGTTTCTGCAAGGGTTCTCCTGACACGAGGTTGCTTCGGAGTTTTGGCAGTTCTTACCTCCGAATCCTACTGGACAGTTGCATCTGTACTGTTCAATGTAGGATGCATCAAATACGCATCGTCCTCTGTTTAAGCATGGCTGGCTAGTACAGGCATTCGCTTCTCGTTCGCAGTTCGGTCCAGTAAACCCGTCTAGACATACGCACGAATAACCCGAGACGAAGTCCCGCGTAACACATTGTCCACCATTTTGGCATGGGTTAGATCCACAGTTCTGTCGCACCTCAACCTCACAAAGCTCCCCTGTATAACCAGCCAAACAGCTGCAATCAAACCCCCTTGCATTGCTTGGGTCGGGAAAGCAGAACCCGCTGTTCGCGCATGGGAAGGAAGCGCACACATGATTCTCACAGTATTGTCCCGTGTAGTTGCTTGGACAGCTACAGTTGAATGTTGTTGGCGAGAAGGAGAAACACACTCCGCCGTTCTGGCACAGCCCGGGTCGGCAGCTGGTTGCGATTTGACATGTTGGACCAGTGAAACCAACAGGACATTCACACGTATAGGAAGACCCTTCCTGTAAGCATATTCCACCGTTGAAGCAGGCCACGCCGTTTCGCGGCGAGCAGGGTCCAAACTCACAGCTCTTTCCACCATAACCTTGGCGGCATTCACAGAAGAAAGACGCCCCTGCTGATACGCATGTCGCACCATTGTCGCACGGATTTGAGGAGCATGGATCTTGTCGTTCACAGTTGTTCCCTGTATATCCACGTGGACATCTGCAGGTGTAAGATATGCCAGTTCCTGTGCATGTTCCGCCGTTTCTACATGGCTGTCGTGAACAGATTGAAAACGTCTGGCATTGGGGACCGGAGTAACCTTCAGTGCAGGCACACGTGTAGCTGGATTCATTTGTAGCCAAGCACCTTCCATTCAAACAGGGATTAGAAGCACATGGGTTTCTTGAAGCGCATCTGTTTCCTATATACGTATTAGTACATATGCATCTGTAGGTTTGACCATTTGCATCACAGAAACCGCCGTTTAGACATGGGTTTGAGTTACAAGGATTGCGAATGCTACAGGTTCTACCACTGAATCCATTGGGACATGTGCAGTTGAAGGTGTTTCTGGTGTTAACACACAGGCCATTGTTACGACAGGGTGTTGAGGCACAATAATTCGTCTCTTCGCAGTTGCTTCCCCTGAAACCGCTCGTGCATTGGCATGAGTAGGAGTTGATGCTTGGGTTCGAGAAACATGTTCCACTATTTTGACACGGGTTAGACTCGCAGGGCTGGTACGTTTCACAGTTGAAGCCAGTATATCCAGAAGCACAGTTACAGCGATAAGTAAGTCCATTGGGCGAGCAGGTTCCTCCGTTTCTACATGGAGATGTTTCACACGTGTTGATGACTGTGCAATTTTTTCCAGTGAATCCTTGCTGACATTCACATGTATAGGAGCTCCCGCTTGCTCGACAGATACCATTGTTTTGACAGGGGTTGACGAAGCAGGGGTTAAAATCGCTGCATGTGCGACCAGAATAACCAGGGCGACACTCACATGAGAAGGAATTACCAATGGTGATGCAATTTGCGTTGTTTTGACAAGGGTTAGAGCTACATCGATCTGTCTGCGCGCATCTCTCACCCGTGAAACCAGACTGGCAACTACAGATGAATCTGTCCCCGTTTGAGAAGCACGCTCCACGATTCTGACACGGGTTCGGAGCGCAAAGATCGCGTCGGTCTGTGCAGGTAGCGCCTGTGTAATCTATTGGGCATTGACAAGCGAATCCTCGTCCACTGGCGGTGCACACTCCTCCATTAAAACACGGGTTACTCAGGCATGGCTGGAAGTTCTCACAACTAATTCCGGTGAAACCTTGGGGACAAATACAGCGATATCCTCTAGCGGTTGTGGGGGATGGGACGCAGGACCCTTCATTAAGACAAGGTGAGGAGCCACATGTGTCCACGACGTCACAGTTCCTACCAACGTATCCCTGTTGGCATCTACAGGCGTAGTTATTGCCGTTCCTGCTGCAGACGCCATTCTCACAGGGACTGTTGTAACACGGGTCGTAACTGTTGCACGTTGTTCCAGAGTAGCCAGGTTCACATGCACATGTGAATGTGTTGCCTACGTTGGTGCATTGTCCGTTGTTCAGGCACGGACTTGACGTGCATCGGTCTATCTGGTCACATATGTCGCCAATGAATCCTCTCGGGCAGTTGCAGATGAACTTTTCGTCATTCGAGTAGCACACGCCGCCATTTACACATGGATATGGTGAACAGGGATTTGTGATTTCTGGAAGAAATTGAATATGTTTATGACCTTATTACACAAGCACAATACTGACTCAATATTGATAGCGTTTGGGACATACAGAAATTAAATGTTATTTTAACACAACCGAAATATCAAACAGTCGACAACCGTTGTGTTGAACATTGTTATATCTCGAATTTAACGCGATTGGCATGTTACCAATGTGGAATTTAATCTAAAAGAAATATTCAACTACACAGTCGATGTTTTTTAATTTATACACCACATCTCCGCATAACACATAGGTTAAAAAATGATAAACAATTAAATTAATTTCATATTTACTCGTCTAAATTCCTACTTGATCGACTCATGATCTTATTACCTGAGTTTAAATAAAATCAACATAAATGTCTTCGAAAATATTTCACTCTATATGATAAGGGGCTAATCGGGTCTTGGAGTACCTCATGCTATATATTTCATACTATATATCAGCGGATCATGGATTACAAATGAACGTCACGTTTGTACTGCACTTACTTGTCTGGCAATCTTTGCCGGTGAATTCTCTTGGACACTGACAGACATAACTCCCGAGGGTGTTCAAACACGTGGCACCATTTCGACAGGGAGATAACTCTTCACATTCATTTATATCTGCAATAAGGTAATTTTAACAAAACTAAACAAATATTAAAAAGAAATGACCAATTTATTAACATTAATAGTATATAACCAATAAGCAATGGTGAAAAGTAACATCTCAAAGTATGCTGTTTGTCTTCCTAAACAGTTTCAGTTTTCTGAGGCAAGCGAATCAGAAGTTGTTTGTCACAGACAAATTTCAAGACACATGTAAGTTCAGATACTGTTTAATCGGACACAATGAACCTTTTTAGGTGTATGCAAGCAGCCCTGAATGTTTTCATATACTGCAAAAGTTTAACCCTGGACTTGTATTATAATGTTTGCAAACTGATCAATTAGTGGTGATCTATATATTGCTTTAAAGGATGAGCTCTGCTTCTCCACGGTATGTTGCTCATGTCCACATCTAGGTCTGGATACTTAAAGTAGCAGCACGCATGAGACTCATAAACTGTTACATTGGCATGCATCACAAATGGTGTGTGAAAGTCTTGCACTAGATGTTAGACTACCAACAGGCTTACGCCCCTCGTTAACTACTGGGATAAGAACCCGTATTTCGTGGACATTTCTGCATAAGCTGTTACCTTCTTCACATCTCTCTCCGGTGATTCCTGGAGCGCATATGCACACGAAGCTGCCGATGCCGTCACTGCAGGTGCCATTGTTACGACAGGGGTTACTGGCGCAGTCATCACGTCCTGCAACATCATAACGTGTGTTAACACAGATGTTGAAATATGCCGGATGAAGAGGCTATACGTAGCCTTGAAAGGTCGTTACAAACAATAAACATGTTGCCATCCATACAATGCCATCTTATCTTCATGTTCGTCAGGGGGCACGGGTGGCCCAGTCGTCTAAGGCGCCGCGATTCGCTGTGCAGAGTTGCGTCCCTTGGGCACGCCAGAAACCTATGATTGTGGGTTCGAATCCCGGTTTGCCCTAATTATGTTTCTAGGTTTGTCAGCACCATACCCGTGCTCGTGGGTTTCACTGAAGTGGTAAACGTCTTAGACCTGCATCACATCGGGCTTTCCTCCCACATTAAGCTGACACGCCGTGATATAACTGGAATAATGTTAAAAGCGGCGTTAAACCCAACTCAATCACTCATGTTCGTCCAACTTCTACATGCATTATAAAGATGTGATAAGTTCCTTGATTTGCGGCTATTCCAATGGTATAGGCATCTGCAAGTCTAAACAGACATTGGAGGTTAACATGTATACACAATCAAAGAAAGGATTTTGTCACTTTGGTGATAAAAAGACAATATATGCACCGGTACCTGTATAAAGTTAATGTCATAAAACAATATTCTTTATTCTAATTTCCAAAATGCAGGCGCGGTCGGGAAGCCTAGTGGTTCAAGCGTTCACTCGTCACGCCGAAGACGGGTTCGATTCCCGACATGGGTACAATGTGTGAAGCCCATTTCTGATGTCCCCTGTCGTGATATTGCTGGAATATTGTTAAAATCGGCGTAAAACCATACTCATTTTAAAATGTATAGCGTGTCTGTAACCATTTAGCACCTCGATGTCAGATAAATTAACGATACATCGGTCAGTAATGTACGTACCCCGGCTGCAGTCGTCTCCGGTGTAGTGTTGGTCACATTCACATCGGTAAGAATATCCGCTTTGGGTCCGGATCGGACTGCAGGATCCCCCATTGAGACACGGATACATTCTGCACGGGCTCACTGGAACGGAAGACATGGATCAGGTGAGCTAACAAACATAGAGGGATAAAAGAATAGGGATAATGAGGGTGAACATATTTCCGTAAAATACAAGCGAGTAGTCATAACTACGTTTGTGAAAACGTCTTCTCGACGGTTCTGCTGCAATGGCCAGAAGAGTAGATCTTGAAGGTCACATCGGCTTGATTGAAGACGGAAACAGCTTTGAACATAGGCTTTAATGTACAATGGACAGGTATTTGGTTGGAAGACTGTTACTGTCGTGTCTAAAGGCCGTGGCACTGAGCAGTTGTGATGTCGACCAATGGGATGTGTCGGTTACAATGTGTGATATGACAAATTGCATGTCATCGTGCCCTGACGTCTTGGGCCGTTGCTTAAACTGTTAACCACTGGTTTACGCTGCTCAGACACGAATGTTTAAAGGCGGACGTGATATATCTGGACATCTCTGACAAAAACAACATTTACGCATTCACCATTGTGAGCATCAAGGCTACAAATAGAAACAGTAATTAAAATAATGTCCAAACAGCTCTAGGCCCAACTGATTCTTCACGATGCCCCGAAATCTGTGCACGGATCTTGACCAAAGAACCTTAATAGTTTGAGTCAGTGTAACAGGGTTCTTCCTTTCAAATGATGACATATCCGGGTGCTAAACATTACCGTCGTAGACGTATTGTATTCGAAACAAAAGCAAAAATATCGCATAGATTGTATGCATTGTTGTGTGCATAGCGAAAGGCGAGTACATCATGTCTTTTGAGTTATCTTAGTAATAGAACTATTATCGCCAGAAAAAACAAAAACGGTGAAATCTTTTTATAGAGTTTTTATAGTTTCCGTTGTGAGGAACTACTTCCACTCGTTATAATTACCCCAAAACAATGACATTCCACTTGAGATAATGTGCTCAAAGTTGTACTTTCTATTCTGTGACGTATAAGATTTCTTCTGTCATTCATAAACAACAGCGAACCAATTATTAATATCAGTTTCATAAAACGCCCTCGTTCCGCGACGATGGTCAACCTTACCGATATCACAGTTCTCCCCAGTGTATTCAATGGTGCAGTTTTTCGAGCCAAATGCGTCACAGGTGTAGGCGTCGGTGTCGCGGCAGAATGTGTTGCAGTTGACGCCGTAGTAGCTGTCCTGGCAGTATATCTGGAAGCAGTTCAGTATACAATCAGCCCTACCTGCTTCACGCCAACTGTTTATAGATGATTACATGTTGTTATTGTGTTATTGCAGTAGTTTTTCTACCGAATCGCTGGATGTTTTGTACTTTCACTTTTTGATCTGGCATATCGTGATGACGTCGCACGAAGTAGCTTGATTGAAGCAAAGGGATTGACCCATGTAGTATTCTGGTGGAAGAGGGGGTGTTAATTTTGTTAATACAGAATGTTTCATAGGTCAGGGCTTTAAGACAAACTAATATTTTCCTCTGAAAGGAGGCGCCGATCATATATTTTAAGACCGCGGCATATTGACCATTATCAAGTTCAGCGAACACTTTAGTGTGTAAACCCTGCTTTATATGTAAATCCTGGTTTGGTGTGTAAATCCTGCTTTAGTGTGTCAACCCTGCTTTAGTGTGTACACCCTGCTTTAGTGTGTAAACCCTGTTTTAGTGTGTAAATCCTGCTTCAGTGTGTAAACCCTGCTTTAGTGTGTAAACCCTGCTTTAGTGTGTAAATCCTGCTTTAGTGTGTAAACCCTCCTTTAGTGTGTAAACCCTGCTTTAGTGTGTACACCCTGCTTTAGTGTGTAAACCCTGCTTTAGTGTGCAAATCCTGCTTTAGTGTGCAAATCCTGCTTTAGTGTGTAAACCCTGCTTCAGTGTGTAAACCCTGCTTTCTTGTGTAAACCCTGCTTTAGTGTGTACACCCTGAGGATAAGTTTATAACAGATTATCAAAGGTTGTGAGTAATTTGCCAGAGCATGTTATATATACTTCTGTGGCAACTGAACCCCTGGTAAGCAGAATTTGGAGAAAACAACTGAACAAACGTTTTCTTATAAATATTGATCAAACCATATAAATTATACGGTATCCATTTCGCCTAAACGATTCATGTGTTTTGCAAATTTGTATTTGAGAGAAAAAGGATACTAAATTTATTCATACTCCGTCTCAGTTCCGAAATATTGTCAACCCCATAATACGTTTTTAAACCACTCAGATTGCAGCACATACATTTAATCTACAATGCAATTGGAATCGCGGGTTAAGATCATGATCCCCAACATAGAGTCGGGTTAGCTACATTTATATTATATGTCAGTGTGAAAGACTGAGTTTTCTGAGGTTGATTAAAGTGGTATTTTCACTGCAGTGAACATAACATCTGATATTTCACTGCAGTGAACATAACACCTGGAATTTTCACTGCAGTGAACATAACACCTGATATTTCACTGCAGTGAACATAATACTTTGACGGAACTATTGTCACACAAGAGTTACCCCCCCGCAGAGTGTCTCCCTTCATCGTAAGTGTCCGTCCCGTTCGCAAACTTTTGACTTCCTTTTTACGTTACTTCCACAATGACAAGGCAAAATAATGACAGATGGCCATTTATGGAGTTAACATCGCTTCTTGCTGTTTGTTATTTGTCTGAAAATGTTTCGTTCTAAACTGTAAAGTTCTCATTGAACTCGTCGTTTCGTAAATTTCTAAAAGTTATATAATAAATACGCCACTTGTGAAAATATCTCCTTCCCCCCGTCACGAGATGAGATAAACATTATATTTCACTCGACACATGACATATCCGCCATGTTTACAGAGACTCCGTGGATGTACGTGGATGTTGACGTGCTTACCCTGGCGACTATGGAGAGGTCCATCTGGGCAGTGTTTCTCCCTGCGGGGACAGACACAAGCTGCTCGAAGCCTGATGAAGTATACACGCTGCCAGCAACATTCAGACCTGAAACATTCCACCATATTGTCATAAAAGCGTTCAACTTTACACGTCCACACGAGGGATAGGGGCCTCACAGAAGAGTTGGCATGTAGTTATCATGACCTACTTACACAGCGATGAAGACAGTGGGGAAGTTTTGATTGGAATGAAATGCATCGAAATTATTAATTTCCTGAAAAAAATACATCATTTTCACTCATATGTCAGCTACACGTGGGACGAAAGCCCGAAGTGAAGCAGGTCATTGGTGCTTACATTTTTAACTAACCCACGAACACGGGTATAGTGCTACAAAGCCAAGATCATTATACGGGTGAATCTTAAAATAGAACCCATCACTAAAGGATTCTGGCACGCCTCGATGCTGTAACACTACGTTCATACCCAATAACTACTATAATAACATATAGGGATTTAGTATTTGAATGCACAACGACGGATGGATGGGGTGGGGGATGGAGAACAAGACTACGTTATCCTTTGAGGAAGTTGGACCATTTCTTATTCAGAAAAAAATGTGATTTTTCTAATGAATTACGAAAACGCTGTGTTCCCTCAAAATTCACACGATTTCCACCTCAATCATTTTAAGATCTTATACATTCATTGAATTCCTGTTGCATGCAGCATGTCCTCGTGGCACCAAGAAGATGCCCTTCTTTTGCCTCTTTACTTCACAGGTACAGGCAACGAGGAAGTGGCATCTTCCCGAGGCAAGGGAGTTAACACACCATAAAAGAGGACTTTGTATAGTCAATTAACTCCCTTGCCTCGGGAAGATGAGGACGTGGGGGCATCTTGTCGGACTTGGTACATTGTTTAAGATGTCTGACCAGTAACAGTTCTATAAAACCGTTTCTCAAAGTCATTGCCTCTAGGGTATTCAGCCATCCGGGCTGACGTTAATGTTTTATCATTTACCAGCTGCTAACATTCCTTTTTGTAACTCTGCCTTTCTTCAGACATATTTTACACTAATATGCTACAACGTTTAAGCATATGGGGTAATACTGTTACATTTTAGTGTATGTCGAGGTTGCAAGTATTGCGCACGTTTCCCCTCATTCAAGCTGCACTGAGATGCTGTTTCATATGATACAGGGCTTCTAATAGTGGAATATTGTACGTGGCTTCAATGGTTTTTGCGTCTCTTCATTTACATATTTATCAGTGAGTAAGTATGATTTTACGCCGCTTTTAGCAATACTCCGGCAATATCACGGGGGGGTACACCAAGGCTTCACACTTTGTACCCATGTGGGGAACCTTGGTCCTCGGCTTTACCGCCCCACATATGTAAAGACAATTGCCGAGAAGATCATACACTTTATAATAATACGAAATCGGACATACCGAAAAATAAATTCAATTCAGTAGCGTTAATGTTTGTTCCGAGTCAAAGAAATAATTTGATTTCGGATGAACTTAAGTTACAATCAGGTTACACTGTTGCTGTGTATACGATATAGAAAATACCTGACCCAATGCCTACAACTTGTGAAGAAGGTCAATGATTTGTTGTTCTAGCTTTTTCAAGAACATCTTCATACGAACTTCTCATTGATATGAAATAGGCCCATAACATGGAGCTTCGACAGTCTCTAGATAGATAAAGGTAATGGAAATGTGTTTCCTTCGAGAAGAGCCGTACATGATCGGCGAATTTTGCTTTCAGCAAAATTGAAAACGCATATCGACACTGATAGTTTTGTTGGCGTGTCTGGCATTGCTCTCTGTGAGTTTTGTGTTTAATGCAACACTCAGAAATATTCCAGCCATATGGTGGCGGCCAGAAAACCATCGAGTTTGAACCAGACAATCCAGTGATGATTTTATGAGCAATGATCCATACCGTCGGGGTACGTTGACACGCCATCAACCAAATCACCGAGCCTGTCACCCGATACATTAAGTCGTCTCTCAAGACCAGCATAGGTTGCAGGAGACCAATTCTAACCACGTGTGTCTAGCACTGTTCTTCACCCACTTGTCATGTCCATCGTGAAGTCCCCAATCAGTATCTTGCTCGATCCAACATTGTCCACAACCTGAACTCTCAGCATTAGATCCTGAAAAAAATAAATCAGAATTAAACAGTACTCAAACTCATACCAAATATGAATAGACAATGTCATTTAGAAAGTTGTCAAAGGTATAACACTTTCTCAGTAAACACACATTCTGGTCCCTTTCTGGGGGTTGACCCCAATCCGACTCGAACCCACACCCTCAGAGTGAGACACCCAACTGACCAGATGCACATATCAGTTAAACATTACAGACGTATATGGGTGCTTGCACACACCTTTGCTAACAATAGTATTGGGATAATTGTAAACATGTTATATCATCACTTTTGGATGGTTTCGTAGACACAGGCTAATTTTGGAAACGATTTTATAACGGTTGTGTTCACGTTTGACTAGAAAGTATTTTCTTCAATCAAAGATAGTAAATGGAGAAACACTAACTAACCACAAGAATAGAACATGCAGAGAATAGAAAATATTTTGTCGTTTTCCCATCAATATGCCACTATGTGTAAATGCTTCAGGCAGGGCTTGCAATCACAGTTGGCGATAAAGTAGTTTTTCTTATGGTATTTAAAGATGCACTAATGATACGCATTTTCAGTTTTGAATAGCGCCTTGAACAATGGTTCCAGGCACAGACTGTACTGAGAGTAAAAACTTCATTAGAGCCTGTAAAGTATATATATGTAATCTCAGACAAGAAACGTCGTAGCATGACTTGGAGTCGGAATGTCAAAAGTGAAGTTCAATGAAGGTAGATAGTTAAGAATAGAGTTATCACTACGCACACGTCCTGCATGTAAACTTGGTACAGAAGTTGAATTTTGTTTAAATCTGTGACTATTATGATGATCTCGGAGAATATTACTTACCGAAAATGTACTGTCAATATCCAGCCCTGAATGTGTTTCAAATACTATCATCGGGGAACATTGCTAAAGACACTATGTAACTTAGTGTCGCAAAGTTATAAGAGACAGATACGTTATAAACGCAGGTTTACCACGTGTTGACATTTGGTGAATATATTTGTGTAAATGGCATGTTGATGGGCCTGTGGCCTTCAAGCGAAATATAGACCTGACTTGACTTGACTTTGGTCAGTGATTTCTGATGACAACTCACCATCTGGGCCAAATCAGATTTTAATTCGACTCATAAACCAACAGCTGACCGACTTGTGTCATCATGTATAACACGTTTTATCACGACAAGAAATGTTAGATGTTTTATTATGACAAGAGATGTTAGATGTCACCACTCTTTTATATAGGAAATTACGCATGCAATGAAAGTGTAAAGTCAACAAACCCATCTGAGGTTTATATATACTATATTCGTGTCATTACCTTTTGTAACACCATGACATATGATTTCAAGATAGCCCTTTCATATAGAACAGGTGTTTGTATTTAAGTACTTCCTAATTGTAATCTATGTGTTTTATTCACACGATTGCTTCGTCCATCATTGATAAAATGATGTTTCTGAGAATGAAATGACATAACTCTGTCTTATGTCTATCTGAAAATCATAGATTTAATTATTGCAATTTGCATTTAGGAGAGAATACTTACGATACGCATACCAGCCAACGTTTGGATCATGTCTCTTTAACAGCAACAGTTCCTTTAAGCTTCTCTCACGAAGAGTTGTGAAAATCATTTCTCTCTCGGATAATCGAAAACCTTAGAGCTTAATTGTCATATTTAGAGGACATATTTGAGAAACTTTCGCCAAACAAGCGTTGATCTTTTTTAAAACATTGGCTTTATTATGTAAATGCAAGCAAAACAGCTCTTAACCGGTTACGTGTTATATGCCACAATGCATACGTATGTTTTAACAAGGCACAAATTGGAACTAACGAGTCAATGTATACTTTCACTGTTTTGTGACAAATTTAAAGTACAAATACCACTTTAAAGGACGGATATTGCCTTACATGTTCACTGTTAATGTTGGTTAACTGAGCACGTAAACGCAACAACAAAAAATCAATGGATTTAGGCGTTTGTAAAACACTTCGGCCAAATCAAAGCAGAGTGTTTTCTGTGTCTTACTTCAAGGCTTCTGAACCATTAAGGTGTCGAAATTATTGTGTTGTGGGGTATTGGCAATGTGGTGGTATGTGTGTGATCATATGGTTGTGTGGGTGTCTGGTGGTGGTTTGAGCTGTATGACAAGAGGGAGGATTTCAACTTTCCAATAGTCAGCTTTCCCTTTGGATGGTGGATGTATTGTGGTATGTGAGGGAAGTATTGGTGATGCGTTGCATGGTGTATTGACAATGTGTTACAAGGTGTATTGACAATGTGTTATATTGTGTATTGACAATGTGTTACATTGTGTATTGACAATGTGTTACATGGTATATTGGCAAAGTGTTACACAGTGTATTGACAATGTGTTACACAGTGTATTGACAATGTGTTACATGGTGTATTGACAATGTGTTACATGGTATATTGGCAAAGTGTTACACGGTGTTTTGACAATGTGTTACATGGTATATTGGCAAAGTGTTACACGGTGTATTGACAATGTGTTACATGGTGTATTGACAATGTGTTACATTCTGTATTGACAATGTCTTACATTGTGCGCCGAAGACCCGGGTTCGATTCCAGACATGGGTACAATGTGTGAAGCCCATTTCTGGCGTCCCCCGCCGTGATATTGCTGGAATATTGCTAAAAGCGGCGTAAAACCATACTCACTCACTCACTCTTACATTGTGTATTGACAATGTGTTACATGGTGTATTGGCAAAGTGTTACACGGTGTATTGACAATGTGTTACATGATGTATTGACAATGTGTTACATTGTGTATTGGCAATGTGTTACATGGTGTATTGGTGATGTGTTACTTGGTGTGTTGACAATGTGTTACATGGTGTATTGATAATGTATTACATTGTGTATTGGCAATGTGTTACTTGGTGTATTGGCAATGTGTTACTTGGTTTATTTGTGATGTGTTACATGGGGAATTGGTGATGTGTTACATGGTGTATAGGTGATGTGTTACATGGTGAATTGGCAATGTGTTACTTGGTGTGTTGATAATGTGTTACATTGTGTATTGGCAATGTGTTACATGGTGTATTGGTGATGTGTTACATGGTGTAGTGGTGATGTTTTACATGGTGTATTGGCAATGTGTTACTTGGTTTATTGGTGATGTGTTACATTGGTAATTGGTGATGTGTTACATGGTGTATAGGTGATGTGTTACATGGTGTATTGGCAATGTGTTACTTGGTGTGTTGATAATGTGTTACATTGTGTATTGGCAATGTGTTACATGGTGTATTGGTGATGTGTTACATGGTGTAGTGGTGATGTTTTACATGGTGTAGTGGTGATGTGTTAGTATTGGTGATGTGTTACATAGTGTATTGTTGATGTGTTACATGGTGTATTGGTGATGTGTTACATGGTGTATTGGTGATGTGTTACATGGTGTAGTGGCAATGTGTTACATGGTGTAGTGGTGATGTGTTCGTATTGGTGATGTGTTACATGGTGTATTGGTGATGTGTTACATGGTGTATTGGTGATGTGTTACATGGTGTATTGGTGATGTGTTACATGGTGTATTGGTGATGTGTTACATGGTGTATTGGTGATGTGTTACATGGTGTAGTGGTGATGTTTTACATGGTGCAGTGGTGATGTGTTAGTATTGGTGATGTGTTACATAGTGTATTGTTGATGTGTTACATGGTGTATTGGTGATGTGTTACATGGTGTATTGGTGATGTTTTACATGGTGTATTGGTTATGTGTTACATGGTGAATTGGTGATGTGTTACATGGTGAATTGGTGATGTGTTACATGGTGTAGTGGTGATGTTTTACATGGTGTATGGCATCAAGACTGACATATGTTGTGTATAAAATATTCGTGAGAATTTGATACAGTATTTGTACAGTATTCTCTTAACCAAAGCCAAATCTGACAACGATGAGATGATTTTGTTCAAACATTTCAATTGTCAATGAGCCATGGTCATCACAACAAAGTTAAAAGATTACAGGTTACTTACCCCGAGCGTATTTTCCTCTGTAATGAATAAGGACCCTGATCTTCTTAAAACAGGACCGTTTCCTGAAATCAAATTTGATATGCAACAATTCGTTCATCATTTTGTATCATCAATAATTATTATCAAATGAATTATAGAAAATAAGTAGTAGTGGTGTAAAACACATGTTTTAAGAATTCGCAAAAATACAATGGTTTCCTGGGAATAATTTCAAAATAGCAATATTAATTTTCTATAATATAATCGCTTTTATAGTGGGTTTAACATGTTCAACGGTTGCCTTTTGCTTTCCTTGATTAACATATCAATAACCGAAATTGAGTCTCTATAGCATCAAGGATTGATACAAGGCATATTGAAGTGTGACTATTGATGTGTGTGCAAATATACTCCACGGATTTGCATCTAAACTATGTCCAGGTTCCTGGCAACCTTGTGTAGATGTCACACTTACTGCCAGCAGGATTTATGAGAAACGTAGGGTTATACTAGTGGCTAAAGCGTTCGCTCGTCACGCTGTAGGTTTGGGTTCGATTCCCCACATGGGAACAAGGTATGAAGCCCATTTCTGGTGTCCCCCGCCGTGATATTGCTGGAATTATGCTATAATGATATACTGCTTCTACTACTACTACAACTACTACTACTACTACTACTACAACTACTCCTGCTGCTGCTGCTGCTGCTATTACTACTCCTAAATAAATGATAATCCTCTCTGTGCAGACACTAACATTTACTGTCAAAAAATATGCTTCTTGTTAAGGTTTAACTCAAGTATGGAACGAGTCCCAAACAATGTTTTATGTTGAAAAATCTAAATCCCGTCGTGCCAGTGGTGCACTGCTGAATTGCAAATTATAAACGTGAGAAGATCGGAAGTGCCTCTCCAAAAGAAATCTAAATATGACGCACCTGTGGTGTACGTTTCAACATTTTTGGCATCCCAACTCCAGCTGGTTATATGCTTAAATTGACCGCCACGCCAAATACAATAATGGATTGAGGAAACAAATAGACGTTGCCAACCGCCGAACGTAAAGGATTGCAAATGTTAATTCGCTAGTCTGATTTGTCGTTTGTGACACTTGCTGGTGCAAATTCCGTGTTCCAAATGCTCTACGATTCTCACGTTTTAAGTCAACATCAAACGCTGACTCGAAATATAATAATGCTGGCGATGCAGAAGATAATTTGAGACTGGGCGAGTTTTGTAAGGAAAACATGCTCTAAATTGCTGGTTATTTGGTCGTACTACAGAAAGAATACAGACTTTAAGCCCAGTATAGAAACTGAGGAAGAAATCTGTAAAAAGCACACGAGTACTTTTGGCACTGAAACCAAACCTGAAGATATGTCCATTCGTCTTTCGTATTGGATTCCAAGGCTTAACAAAGCGGTACAAAACGGAGATATATTACTGGGTCCAGCAAATGTACCACCAAATTCCTGTCTCAAAGAAAGGGGGTCGTCTTCAAGGCTTTCCCTGCTATGCTGAAACTCTGCTGCCCACCTCTTTACGGTGGTATAGTAAGGGCACCCGTCCTAGTGTTGTACTGCTATGTTACTGGATGGCTGTTGGTGTTAAACCCTTTTTCTGCAAGTACTTGATCTCTGCACGTACCTCACGTTTGTCCATTTCCAAAGGTCACAAACCCCTGCTTATTTTATTGACTTGTCAAAGCGAAACAATGTGCTCAGTTGACTCAAGTTTTGTGACTCTATAACACCATGTAATGTCAACAACAACTATCATGCAATTCCTTCTGTGTGAGGCTCAAGACTTATAAATCAACCCTCGTATCAGATGTGTTATTGTGAGACTTCGTCACACCAAATGTGTCAAAATTACAGAGTATAGACGTTTTCAGGAAATAGGTATTGACAGTAAAAATATATCTTCTGGAAACAAACACTTGTTCATGGTGACAATGGTTAAGATGTGCAGCCACATCTACACGTATGTCCTTCATGATGTTATGAAGTCCAGAACTTGCAAATGGCGGCGTTGTTAAATGATCTTCGTCTTTTCTAGCATTGATAACACCTTAGAGCTACGCTACTTGCAAATAAAGGAAGAAATATTGTCGAAAGCAACTGATATATTTTATGTCGTAACGTTAATAATTTGTGATGTCACAAACTATGACGTCATGATCAACAATACAGCACGTTCACGTCAAACAAGTGACCTATCCGGAAAGTCGATTATTGAACACGTGCAAATTTTACAATCGATTCTCCCGAAAATTTTAGAGATATTGAACTGGCATGGATATTTATGAACGCATTACAAGTGAATAAGTCGAACAGTATTTCACGGTTATCACGGAGTATCCCTTTATTGAGCCCGATCGTATGATCGTAGTTTACTAAGCAGGCACGAATAGGGTGTCGACAAACCAAAGATCAGGAGGAATCGGGAATTCGAAGCCACGATCAGCAGATCCTGCATTACTAAGGGGGGCAACTCTGCACCCTACCACTTACTCTACCACTGCGACACTCGTGTCCCTACATATACTTCATATCAGACACACAACAGCACCAGTACATAAAGACATTTATTAGATATTATGTAATACCTGGAAGAAACTTCAAATCATACTTCATTCGTCAGCCTCCTCAATACCCTTCATCTTATAACGATACTTTCGCATCTCTCATCTCCCATTATCGACTATTCTGTTTAAAAGGCTACACATCAGTAATAGGGGCCATTTTGGACACAGAATTCGGTCAAAGGCAGACATGTCATTTGTCTTGTCATTAACACACGTCTGTCCAAAAGTCTTTCTTTAACTGCCATAGACTTCACCGATTGATGGTAGGATGCGACATATTACCACCCAATTGGGAACTAGTCCGACAAGAGCTAAATGTGACCGTTCCCAAGGCCGTAGGACCTCGAGAATGTGTTCCTTGTCCACGACACAGAGGAGAGAAAAAACGTTGATTATTTACAAACATAATAGCCACTCCTTGTCAACTTGATAAACAGAATCCCTCGAAAAAGAAACATGGTTTTAGGATTACCCCGTGGATTATTTTCTTTAAATCAGACATGGTTAATCCGTTTTGTTAATCTACAAACATCTCATACTGCTTGTTCTCTTCAGCTGTAAAACTTTTCAAATTTGCGAAGATTTGTAGAAAGGTTTGAGAATGGTGTTGTTAGCTAGAGAAAAGCAGTAACGATGAGCGTACTTAAGCAGGTTCTACTGCCTTTGTCCCTATCGCTGGCTACTTTAACGCAGAGGTGTCAAGTCCTGTGGCTTGTTCCGCCACAGCAGTCAAAAGGTAAAAAAAAAAAGAACAAACAAAGCCATACTTAGACTTATGCTCTTTTTAAAATGTTATTTTCGTAATATGTGTCAATATTTACGATTCATCTCCACCCCCACTGCATATTTTAAGAAGTTTCGAATATTCACGAATTAGTGAATAGAGAAACAAATTTGTTGATTAGTGACTAATGCTTGATAAATAAAATAAACGTGATAAGGACATCCTTTAGACCTTTGAAAGCATATGTACAAATGTCCAGATTTTTTTGATAAAACTGAGCAAAATCAATCACAAGTTGATAATTCGTTAACATATAAGTACGTGATTGTTTTGAACGTTGCCATGGGTAATATCCTAACTGCATCACTCCAGGACCATCATAAATGGGCGTCACACTCGGTACCAATGTGATTTCTTGAACTCGGGTCTCCGACGTGATGAGTGACCGCTTTAACCACTAGCCTACCCTACCGCGTCTTCAAAAGATTAAACATTTTTCCATTTTGTAAGGATACAAATACATACACCTGACTGCTGTCTGGTGTATGTGATATGATGTTCCTACTTCCAAAACTCTTCATGGTATTTGTATCGAGAGCTCGTCTTCAAGAAACCACATTTAAGCATGTGGGAAAACCCTTTGTGTTATCTGCATTCATTACCTCAATACCAATCTTCGACATACCCTATAAGCGTTACATTACATGTATGTCACGCATGACAGGTCATTTATAACAATATTATATTGCGTTTGATCCATGCATTACGAGAAGAATGACAAATTGGTGAATGTGAATATGAATGTGTCATCAGTTTTTATAACACTATTATATCATATTGTCAGGATTTATAGGAAATAAAAAACGTTAGCCAGAGAATGACCAGTCACAATTATCTGCCGAAACAGATTCTATTGGGTATAAAAGGCAAAATATTATGAATAGGTCGCTGAAAATCAGTCATGACACCAGGTCTTGATGTCAACTTAAATGTATCCGTTAAAGTAGACCTACAATGAAAAAGATGCTATTTTCGAATTGGGTTTCTTTAATATATATATAAATAGGTATATATTAAGGAGGTTAGTGTATATTCTCCATTGAATGAATCAAAATATTTTCTTTCAAAGACTGGAAACTATGACGCCCGGAAGTCTTGCAGTGTGTCACATCAGTAGGAAGCATGTCTCGCGGGGCTAAGCTGTGTCTGAACTAGATATCTGCACGTATTTCATAGAAAATCAATTTTTTTTCATTGTGGAAATGTGTGCAAAGTCACTTACCGAGAGAGTCTAAACAGCCACGCAAAACATTATTTCTGACATTGCAAATAACGAAAAAAAACTACTGTGGGTTCCGGTAATGAGAATGTTTGAGTGACAAACTGCGAGCACCTGCCAGAGAGTTGGAAATAGGAAGTCATTCTTTTTGCATTTGCAACTGAAGTAAAACAAATCTAAGTAAAAAAAACGTTTCCTTCCGCTCTACTCTCCGATATCCGAGTTTTGGGACAAATGTCAGAAATTCTGGACCACATATTTACAACCGTTGTGCGTTTCAACGTCTAAATACAATTTCTAGCCATCGCAAGACACATGTTGCGTCCCCAGGATCTGGTCTGCATGTTCTGCGTGTCCTGGAAGCGTCCAGGATAGTAGTCATTTTGCATAACACATCAAAGAAGGAGTTTTGTTCACCCAGCAAAAGAATTTCAAAGACGTAGTCATTGTCATGCCGTGGCCCATGAACATACTGTGTTAAATGAGAGGGATATC